AATACACAACCAAAAAACAAAAAAAAAAAAAATAAATATATATATATATATATATACATACTTTCTTTAAAAACTTTATCACACGTCAAGCATACCAAATGTATAGTGTCGATATGAAGACATTTTTATTAGTTTTCCTAGTATTTTCTCTAAATTGTGCTAGGTCTTTCCAAGGAGATACAAGGACTTTCAGTACCGACGCTAGTAGTGGTGAATCATTTGGAGGATCATTAACTAAGATAGACTCGCAAGAAGTTGGTGGATATAAGTCAACTGATCATAGAGATGATGCTAAGTCTGGTGGGAAATTTTATGATATACAAGATGCGGAGGGCAATACTGTTTCATCAGTATTTTACAAAGTTACCCAGCCCGTCAGCAAGAGGTCAAATTTTAATGAGTCTAAGCCTTATCAAAGTGAAGATGTGAATGATGTGACTGAGTGTGTTGTGGGGCAGTTGTGTTATGGAGGCGATAAAGTCGTTACCACCCTAAAGAATGGAGCTTACAACATCGCTATGTCAGCCTATAACCAATTTTTAGAAGTTAATAATAACGCTAATTATTTACATATTCTGGGAGGAGCAGTAGTTGATTTTTCAGTTCAGGTTGGAAGTGGCCAGGTTAATAACTGGTTGAACGTTCGACACCAAGTACATAAAACACCTTCATCGCACCAGGACGCTTGTATAAATCAAAATGAGATCAAGCAAGGTCAAGAAGCCCAGACAGAATTATTAAGGGAAATACTTAAGGTGTTGCAGGATAGAGGTGGTATAGAAGAGCAAGTAAGGTAGTTGCAAGCTTTCCAGGACCAAAAGCAAACCATGGTTGGAGATTATAGGCAGGCTCACAAATTGGCGGACGAACCTACAGAGCATAACGATGCTAATTGCTAATTTTCTAACTGTTATATAACCTGACATTAGAGCAATAGTTGGAAACTATTGTTCCTTTGGTCTTAATATTTCATTCCTTTGGTCTCAATATTTCATTTCATAAATTCGAACCATAAATTTAAACTATAAAACATATTAGAAAAACATATATAAACAGAAAACAAAAAATTATAAAACGAAATAAAGATTATAAAATATAATATGAAATGTATAAAATATGTGTCATATACATATACAGTAGAAACACATATAAGAACATATAGATATAAAATAAGAATACGTAAGACAAGGTATGGAAACATGGCACTATATGACTGTAAAGGAATAATACTACATAAAGACATCAAAGGACATGTGGACGCAGATTATGCTGGGTGTTGGGACACGGCAAGATCAACTAGCGGTTGTGTATTTACATACTCAGGAGGAGCAATAGCATGGACCAGCAAAAGACAGAAATGCGTGGCAACAAGTACAAGTGAGGCTGAAAATATGGCAATCAAACACGGCTCCGATATAGCTATTTGGCTCAGAAACGTTATGGATTATCTCGGAAGAAACTTATAATCACCAATACCAGTCAAAAGTGACAACACCGCTGCCTTAACAAATATCCTCAATCCCGGATCCATCACTGGCCTCAAACACATAAGAGTACAATATCATGCAGGTAAGGAAAGACACGAACTGAAAGAAATAGAAGTAAAAGGAATCCAGACCCATGATCAATTGGCCGACATTTTCACTAAGGCATTAAATGGAAATCAATTAAGGTTATTATGTAAAAGAATGGGTATCAACGTATCCAATGGCAACATAGTAGAAGATAAATCAATAATAAATGACTCGCAGTATACACAGCAGGAGAAGTGTCAGAATACAGATACAGGGCTGAACATACAGCATCATTTAGTGATTAAGGATAGAAGGAACAAGGTGTTACACCAAGAACAGGAGGAACAGTGAGGCACAGTTAAGGACAAGAGGACAACAAGGAACATGAGGACAGTAGAGACTATATAAGGAAACATATCTTGTACATAAACCATCATCTTAAATGATCATTCTATAACGTACTTATACTTTCACAACCAATAATAAAGCGTGTCTGATATTTACGTTCCAACAGGTTCTTAATTTTGCTTTTGGAAGGCATCTGTTCGGAAGAAAATCTTAACAAGAACGTTGGGCGTAAAGGTTGTATTAAGGAAGGCAATTTAGCAAAATGTATATTAGAGATGTAACGAATGGTTTAAAAAATAATTATATATTAGTGTCGATTTGGGTCACAATGACATCTGCTTGGCACCGACTGATGCAGGACCCATAATACGTGAAATAATGCGATTGTATCATCAAAATAACAGACATTCAAACCATTTAACGTATCATATAATTTATTAATACAGTTTCGTTGTAATTACGCGCAGCAGAGAAATCGGTAACTGCATTATGATGAACGTTTGTTAAGTTTATTAAAGATCTTCTAGTAAATTTAGGAGAAGCAATCAAAGGATGAATACAACATTTAAATCTATAATTAATCATGTACATCAAAGGTTCTGTTTTGTGACTTTCTGTGTTAAAGTAACCAGCTTATTTCAGTAGAGAAGACACAAAATCCGTATTTAGTATAGTATCTGCTTGAAGAACGAGAATTGACGAGATATAGATAATGATACAAAGACTAATCCAAAACTAGAATGCAGTGTACTAGCTTGAACTTGAACTGTTATTATTCAGACTGCAGGCGAGGAGGGCAGCCCTCTGTTCATCCCTCCAGCTAACTCTATTAAGTGCTTCACCAAATGAACACCAACATCTATCGCGTTCATTCTGAAAAGTTTAGAGCATCAAATAGAATGTTATAAAACTTACAGATTCTGGCCATTGAGTACTAAGCTCGTCAACTGATATCCTGTACACTATGAACATATAGATCTCCTGAGATAAAAAGACGTACTCGAAGAAGTGATAGCGTGCTCTGGGTATGAATGGATCGTTATCAGTCAGTGTTTTGATCGGCCGCTTGTCGTCGATAGATAGCACCAAATTCCTGACCTGACCAATCACGCCAGCTGTAATCTACATCAAAGATAGTCACGGCTACGTGCATAAGACACACCCTCCTCAAAAGCTTCCCTAGATGCAGCAGTCTCAAGCCGTACATCAGACAGCTCGTATCCACCCTTTGGAAGCACCCAGTTTCCCTTATGTTTTCTAGACGAGATGAGCAATATCTGATTCGTGAGATAGTTGATAGGTACAGCACCACAGACTATCCGAGGGTGTGTATTAGATCTGTGTGCTTCTTTATCTGAATTGCTTGAAGACATTTTTCTTGCTCGTACGATGTTGGAAGGGCTGAAGAAAGCCTTATCGAGAGACAACTCTACAATATTTTTATTTATTAGGCATCATCAGGGTGATTCAGGTTGTATTTAGTTCGGTATGTAAGCGTATGCAGATTCAATTCATTGGTATGAAGGTGGACTCTTCGAAGACATTGGCCTATATGGCTTTATTGAATAAAATCAGCAGCCTGGGATGTCAAATAACGTAGATAGAAGGAAACCGCCACCTTTGCAGCTCAATAACTACACTACACAATCTGCTCACACGACTCGATATCCACAGCTCTATTCGGACGATATCAAATCGCCGAGAGAATCACATTCATCTGTTAATTTGTTAGATTCAGATAGCGCATCTTCAATCTTTGATGCTAGTAGTGGAGCGCACGCATCTACGCCTCCGTCACTTACCAACACACCACCCTCGATTAGTGCATCTTTGAAACCTGAGAAGGGTGATAGAGCTTTCAATGAGACTAAGCTAGCGGATCTTATTAGTATTGGCGATGAAGAGGAGAACCGTGGTTTACAATTGGAGAAAGATAATAGGGGCAATGCACCACCACCAACACCAGAGCCTGCACATACTTCACCACCTTTATCGGTTCCTGCGAAGCTCTCACAAGTTTCACCATCTGTTGAACGCTTATACTACATACCACCGCCTACACCACCGAAATTTAGGACGAGTAGCACTCCTGTTTTACATCCTATGAGCCCTGGTAATACACATAGGACCCCAAGGACTCTCAAGAATGCTCGCAATACAGAACTTATGAATAATGATTCGAGGATTGAGGAAGTACCTGAAGATGAAGATGAAGACGAGGATGACGGACCACGTTCACCAACACCAGCAAGCTCACGCAATGCCAGTAATGAGGTGGACCGTAGAAGACCCTCACTGGGTGCGAACGTTAAATTTAAGGAAGAGGAAGCCGAACCGAAGTCTGCTTTTGAAGATAGCAGCTTCGAAGATAGACAAGATACCACTATGTCACGCCAGCGGATGCCTTCTTTTTGGGAGAAGATGAGGAAGAGTAGTACGTAATGTATAACTCATAATAGGATACCCTAACGACGTTGTCAGATATTCTATCTCCTTCTGCATCGACCAATATTGGCGACGATGCCAGCTCAGACTCTGGCAGCCACATATCGATCCACATTTATGACTCTGACTTGCAGGACATAGATAACATTCAGGCGTCATCTTCACATTCAGTTGCTAGAGCACTTGCTACTCTCCCATCAGATGCCATAAAAAATGTTAAAGATGTTCCAGATCTGGGACTGGAAAGAAAGCCCTTCTTGGCCCGTATTTTTGATGCTGATGATTCTAGCGCCGCATCCAATTGTTTCTTCTTGGGCTTCATCTTTGGTCCAGCTATTTGGTTGATCGGTGGATGGACTCTCGACGCACGCGACGGCACAGCTGTACAGAGAGTGAAAGCAGATGACAGAAGAAGAGATTGGGCGAGTGAATGGAATGAGATCAGTTTAGCTTTCAAAATTAGAGAAAGAGAGAAAGGATCTAAAGACAAGGAAAAGGTCTTGTTATCAGAAAAGCGCACTCATAGTAAGAATAGTTCAAATGGCAGTTCAAGCTTTGCTAGAAGCGATAGCGGCGCACCCATGGAAGCTCATCCTTCGCAATCATCTATCGCAGCCAGTTGGGGTAATCAAGGTGTGACCAATCGACCACCTTTGAATAATTATCTATTTAACCATGGCGTCAAACCACGCAAGTTCGTTTCTAGCGAGCCGGAAATGAGTATTTTACCACCGCTCACACGCGATTCTCCTGACAGATGGGTTTTGAGATGTCGTATTGCTGCTATCGTCACTGTACCGTTAGCTATTGGCTGTTTAATAGCTGCTATTGTTGGTATTGCTGTATCATTTTAATGACACTACAAGAAATTATGACATTCCGATGTATAAGGATATACCCTACATGATTGATTTATTTTTACACGCACAGTACTATTCTACATACACTCATTAATTTTCTTATCAATGCAGTATTATAATTACAATATATAATAATTTATGATTTTATTTCGTGCGTTTGTGCTTTTCAAATGGGTCTGATTTGTGTTTTTTATGTGACTTAGTGGGAGGTGTCGGGTTGTTTGCGATGAATGTTATTTCTTGTTGTGTGAGGCAGTCATCGAGACTGGACAATAGTTAGAATTATGTTGAAATTGTTACAGACTTACTGATTGTTGAATTCGTCATTAGACAACTTGAGTTCCTTCAAGCACACTGGACATTCAAGGGTGTCGTCACTTGTAGTATCAAGAACATCCTTATCTGTCTCTTTACGTTTGAATTTGGAATTGGGGAGTATTATTTCAATATCATCGTCTGACTCTTCAACACTTTCAGAATCTTCATCAATGTCATCGAAAAATGGTTTAGTTGTATCAACATTTTGTTGAAAAAGCACGTTCTTGTCGTTTTCATGAGCTTTCGGTTGGTCCTTCTCGATTATCTCTACATCACTATCATCCTGTGGATCATAGCTTGTGCTAGTGGTTCGCTGTTGTTGTTTAGAAAAAAACTGACGGTGATTAGCGCTTCAAGGTAACAATTTCGTAACTCACTTTAGTGATATCATTTGCTGTTCCACCAATATGTCGTAGGTTTGTCAATCGGACACCCATTAAGCGTAATGTCAGAGGTAGCTCCCTCTCAAGCAGCCCCTTCGCAACTGGCCATATCTCTTCACTCTGGCTGAGAAACTTATGGACAGACGTAGAACGAGTAAAATTCTCGAAAGTGTCTTTTTTATACTTCAAAGTAACTGTTCTACCTTCGAACTGTGTTCGCTTGAGGTCACCTTCAAGTTCTTTGCAAAGGATTTTCAATTTTTCCATTAGAACCTTCGTATCAAAGATTGGTTGGAAGGTCTTTTCAATTCCGACGCTTTTTCTGTCTTCTCTACAGACATGTTAGCTTGATAACTTTGCAGTACACATCATACTTTTTTGCAGGTGCAACCGTATTACTAAATATACCCAAATTGGCCCTCAATAATCCGTCCGATTGTAATTCCTTGCGAAGCAGGTATAATTCCACTTTGTGGTTTAGGATATCGCCGCAAGTTTCGATCCCTAGGGACTGAACAAGGCGTTCGTTGATTCTACCTATACCTGGAACCTTTTGGAGTTCTTTAAGAAAAAACAACAATTGCAGATTTCACTCACCTTTCTAATAGGTAGATCTTTCATAAAGCTTACAACAGTATCTTTGTAGAACTGCATTGTGAATTCACCATTTGGTTTATTCTGATTCTATTGTAAGAGATGTCCTGACGCAAAAAGATACCAACCCACCTTATCTGAACAAATCTATATTTGTCAAAAAAGCATATTCACACATATTCTTCGACATACCTTCGCCAGCGTCTTATTTGGGGCAATACCAGTTGACACAGTAAGTCCAGTTTCGCATTCTACCATTTTACGTAGCTGTTGAGACACTTCCTCTGGTGTCAACCCGTGCTCGTTCATATACGATGTGACACTAGAGAAGTAAAAATCCAAAACTATAAATATATAATATTTCACTTACTTGAGATATGCTTCATCTAATGATGCAGCCGCCATGTTTTCGTCAAAACGGGAGAAAATCTCCATCACTTGTCGGGACTGACATTGTTAGGCTGCCGTAATACCAAACACGATCGCTTACCTTCTCAACATATCGATCCATACGCATGGGTACCTCAATAAAATGGTCGCAAAGCTTATGAGCAATGAAACATGGCATCGCAGATCTTATACCGAACTTTCGAGCTTCATAAGACGCGGTAGTGAGAATCCCCTTACCAACACCAAAAGCCTTGCCTTTCAAGCTGGGATTATCAAGTACCTCAACCGCTGCATAGAACATATCCATATCGCAATGCATTATATACTGACTAAGATCACGTTCAGTTTCAATTTTACGTAAGATGTTGTCAACGGTATGTTCAATAGAGCTATGGTTTGCATTTTCTAACCTCTTCTTTAAAATGGCTTTCAGTGCGTCTATTTTGGCTGTCGTATGGTGATCCCTCTTTACTTCATTGTTGTAGAACTTTCCACCTTTGCTGGCGTCGTGTATAACTTTATTTATTTTATCCTGATTACTGCTATTCAAACCTGCTTTACCAGCTGAAGGTCCGGCAAGCCTCCTAAGTAAAGTAGTATCATCATTAGATGACGGCATAGAGTAAGATGGTAAATGCGATGTATGTGAACTAAATGCAAAATATCAACAAAGGTCTCATTAATCAATTTCAATCGGCGTTTTGTCATACACTTTTTGCTTTTTCTTTGGTTGACGAGATTCCTCTGGTTCGTCGTCGTCATCTATACTGATAGTCTCTTTCTCTTTTTGATCAGATGATTCATTCTTCGATGATATAATCTTCTTCTTCTTTGGTAGAGCGTACTCTCTCGTCATTTTGCGAGCAGTCCATTAGGTGTTTTAGTATTGCGAAGTACAACTTAACAGACACTCACTTCATCATGACTTTCTTTGTTATCTTTGTAATGCTTAGCTATTTGTATATCCAAAGGATCGTCTATGATTGTCAGACGTTACTTTAATTGGAAATATCAAGACGCACCTGTATTGCAATCTGTGAGCAAACTTGATAAGCTCAGCATAACCTTCTGTAAGCTAAGAGCTGGTGACCACCTACATAACATAAGCTGCATATCCCAGATAAGATAAGGTATATCATACTCACTTGTTTTTAAGAATATCTAAGCAAATACTGCCCATTTTGTTTATATTGCAATGATATATTGTAGTAAGGAATCGCATCTGCGGTGGCGAAAATGGATAGTCATTAGGTATGCTGATAGCGACTTGACTGCTTTCGTCAGACTGAGAATTTATAGGGATAGGACTAACAATCTACCATCTTCATAAGGGCTACCTTCTGGTCCATCAATTATTGCGTCCCAATCGTATGGCTTATCTGGATTCTTTGGTTCTAGAGAGATACCGACTAAAGGTTCTTTTTCGAGATCTCTTATCTGGTTCAATATATAAGCACATTTGTATATTATACAGCCATACTGACCTCCTTATGTAGGCGCTTTAACAAAACCGACATCTCTGATGATAGTAGAGATACAAGATATTTCTGAGATATGTAGGCGTATAGAATATCAATAATGCTCTAATAAAGATTGTAAGGTTTATAACGATCACACGCTCCATCGACCAGCTTGTTTTAGTTTGCAGCTCACTCACAAACCATTTTAACCGATAAGGTTAAGTAACGTTGAATACAAGCGATTTTATATATTAATTACAAACGCCTTTTAACAATTCTCTATTAAAATCCTTTTGCGGTGTTCAAAAACGCGTCTCACTCTTGACTTTTGATAAACAACTCAAGAATGGACGAAGACGAAGATGAAATCATATTATTCGAGCCATCGAAACTAAATAAAGTTGGTCCTCTATATATTTATATCCACCACTCATCTAGTCGTTAGAACGCAGCACAACCCACACCACCTCGGGGTGCACTACCTACAGGTAGAAAGAAACAGATTGGTAGATCTACGCGCTCAGCTGTACAGCCCTCATCTCAGCAATCACCTAATCCACGTGAAAGGAAGCAGCTTAGATCGTCGTCTAGAGATGATGGCGTTTCTCTCATTCCAGCGAGCACCAGTAAATCAACACGTTACAGTAGAAGAATAAAATTGCAGAAACATGTTAGTTTATCTGATGATGAGCAGGAAATCCCTTCATCTACGCGACCACATTCAGACCCACTCGATAAGAGCTTTGAAAAGAATCTGAATATAGAGAACTCTAGTGATGAATCCTGGGAGAGAGATAATATGAAGGATCTCAGCTGGAATGTTCCTCCTATACCAGATTCTCCAGATAATCCACCTCCATCACCAACTTCGCATCTTAGGAAAGGAAATACGAGTGAAAGGATGTCAGTATCACCTGCACCTATAAAACCGGGTCGTAGTGGTCATGATAATAAGAAAGGTCCGACCACTAACTTCGAAACTACGCGAGATTATGACGACAATGAGGATCAGAATGCGCATGTAGAACAAGGAGTTTCATATATGCATATCGATAATAGAACAGAAGACCTCAAAGAACCATCAAATGATCAATCTCAGTCATTTTTGGATGCCCTCGAAACACAACAGAAGGGTACACCTCCACAGAACATCTCAGTTTTATCAAAGATCAGTAAAATTCCAGCAGAATTGGAATCAACTCAAATTCTTCGTGATCTTAAGCAACTAGAAGCTGAAGATGAAGATTTAGACAAGACAAATAGTTTTGATTTTGAAACCGAGCTTTCAGAATTTGATAAGCATATCGAGGAATTAAGAGAATCTAAAAATTATTTGAGAAGGCGTGAAAAGCAGCGGGAAGCAGAAAGAGATAAAGCAAACGAATTGAATAAACCGCATCTCCACACAGCGGAAGGCACTCCGCTGCGAAAGATAAAAAACAAAGACAAATATGATAGAAGATATTCTTACATGAGGGGTCCGCCTGGTCATACACCTCGTAAACTTGCAGATTCTAGCTGGTTGGAGGATGAGCCTTCTTTGGCTGTTAGATCTAGGACTCAAACTATGGACGATATGAGTGGGAATGACCATGATGGCAGTGATGACATAAATACTGAAACTAATAACAATGATGTGTTAGAAGATTATGAAAGTGATAATGAGCGACTGGAGAATAGTGAGAGGAATGTCGTTTCTGAAGAGAATCGTAACAATCAGACTACCGAGCACAAACGTGTTTTTGAAGACAGTGCTGATCAAAGCCATTCATCTGTGCAAGAACCAAAATTACCTCAAGAGGTGGTGGACCCGCTTTCGAATAATATTGAGTCAGATCAGAAAAGGGTTTCGCCTCAACCACAGTTGGATGAAATTCAACAAGATCATCACTTACCACCTGCAATTGCTACTGGCGAGACTGCACGTCTACCAGTAGCATCCATGAATCAAAATGTAGACAATGAAGTACCAGTACATGTCAAACAAGAGCCAAGTCTACCCGATATAGAGGTTTCTGCTCATACTGAAGAGTCAATTGCACAGAAATCTGTAGAACCATCACTAGATCAATCATCTGATCACCCTATACAAGAGCCGCAAACTTCTCAAAAGCAACCGTCGCCACAAACACAAAGAAATCAAGCACATCATTCCATACCAGAGCAGTCAGAAGTACATTCGCATAGAGACCATGCTTCAACTACGCTCGATTTGCAGGAAAAGCGTGATTTATTGCGACACGTTGACCGCGTCCTAGCACCAAACAATGAAGCAATCGTGGAGGTATATAGTAAAGACCCAGAAGTTGCAACACGCGCAAGTAATATATTACAATTGGTGAGTGTAGCTTGAATCTTAACACAACGCTAACAATATCCAAGTTGAATAGTTATATTGAAACTGGCGAGCATCCTCAACTAACGTACGAAGAAAAGATGCAAAAAGCTGAAAAAGAAGTTAAAGCAGTTATGCCTCACTTATTTACTCAAAAAAGCTTTTCAAAAACAGCGCCTTCAGCAGCAATATCGCGACAATCAACTGATGTATTCTCACCGCAGCTATCTACGAAATTACCATCTGCACCTGATTTCAGAAAGAAATTAACACCAGAATGGGGTAGAGATAATTGGAAAGCACTCGAAAAAACATTTAATAAGTGTAAAAACGAGGGTGTTGAAGATGTCGAGACTATCGTGAGTGAGTTCCTAGATGAATGGGGCATTACACATAAGAAAGCTGTTGGAGATCTCAATCCGTGGGTTGTTTTCGTTCAAACATTTTAATATTATTGACTCTCACATAGTGACAAAATTTTCAATAGAGTACGTGCACTTGAAATAAAAGAAGTAGAGAGGCGTAAGAGAAGACTAATGAGACGATCACAATCACGAAGATCTATGTCATTGGCGACATCTAGAGCAACATTTTCACCTAGTGAATCACTTATGAATGCTGATTATACTAATGCACCTAAATATACATCAATATACCCACAAAATAGATTACAAAAATCTCAAACTAATACTCCATCATCGGGCAATAAAACTAGCACACATAAAACACCTCTAACGAGGTTGAACAATGAACATTCCCGTCAAACACCTTCATCACTTCAAAAATTAATGAACTTTGGCTTGAATCCATTGAAGAATTTATTCAATGATCAAAATAAGCTCAAACCAGTGATGGAATCTTCGAAAGATGAGACTGATAGGAGTGTTAGCGACGAATCACGGAGCATTGGTGATCAATCAAGAAGTATGAGTGATCATTCAATTAATACTTCTAGTACAGGCGCATCTATATGGCGTGAAGACAAACACAAATTGAGAGGTATCCCACCTAGACGTTTAGATAACAATCCATCAATAAGTGGTATCATTAGAACTAGGTCAACACCATTGTCAAGTATGCATCAAACTGTTCGGGGTATGCAAGGAAATGACAAGCGAAGCAACGATACACACGAACATAAACGTCACAAACAATCACCTAGAAGATCTATCAGTAGACGCTTGTCGAACACAAGTCAACGGTCATCCAGTCTACGAAATGATGTGACACAGGACGTTTTAGATAACAGTTTGTTAAAGTAAACCAATCTTTTGAAACTTAATTGTATTTATAATATAATAATATACGATAATATATAATAATGGGTAATGAATAACACTATCAAGTATATGTTACGTACAATTACTCTTCCATGTCTTCATCAACTTCACCTTGTAACCAAGTGTCGAAGTATTTGCATTGACTGGCGTTAGTAGGGCCCCCTTGCGAGCAGAATTCGAATACTGGGCAACGACCGCAAGGCGCTTCAGTCCAACCTACAACAGGGCCAACATCATCACTGTCTGTATTCTTAATAGCTCTATATACACTGCTAGAGTATGGATCCGACATTTTATCTTCCAATTTGCGTTCATCTTCTGAATCACCACCGACTGAGACTAAATCTTCATCTTCCTCTTCTGAGCTGGACTCCTTTTTCGATTTTTTGGACTTTGTCTTCTTCTTTTTCTTCTTTTTCTTGGTATCTTCTTCGCTGCTGCTGCTGTCATCCTTTTTCTTTTCTTTTTCATTCTCACTGTCAGTTGAGTCTATTGCTTTACTTTCTTTCTTCTTTTTCTTCTTTGAATCTTCTTCGCTCTCGCTTTCACTATCACTTTCACTCTCACTCGCACTATCATCGTCACTATCGGAATGTTTCTTGCTCTTACTTCTACTCCTGCTTCTACTTCTGCTTTTGCTTTTGCTCCGACTCTTGGACTTTTTCTTTTTACGCCTGTCGTCATCGGAAGACTCACTTTCAGATTCACTTTCACTACTTTCGCTATCACTGCTGTCACGACGTTTCGATTTCTTTCTAGATTTGGATTTAGATTTGGACTTGGATTTCGATCTAGATTTAGATTTAGATTTAGACTGCTTGTTCTTCTTCCTTTTCTTTCTAGAATTACTATCGCTATCGCTCGAACTTGATGATTCGCTCTCACTGTAATCTTCATCATCACTGCTAAATGAAGCTCTTAATGCAGGTAACCTTTCAACTTCACCATCGAACATCAAAACTTCCAAGAGAGATTGAATATGTTCCAGTCCTAATTCTACCTGTGTAAGACCTGATTTTGATAACCATTTGTGTACCTTCCTTACGTTTGGATAATCAACTTTCGATATCGCATAGATGGGTTTAATGTTATCCTTTATCTTCGGATATGTGCAGCCTCGAACGTATGACAAAACAGCTGATTTTAATTGACCGACGAATTCTGTGTCTAATTCGTTATCGGTATACCAAGGACCACCTGTTAACTCTACAGAGGGACTTATTGAGGCCAACATGTATATCTTTCTAGTTGGATGTTTCACTGATTTGACGGCTTTTATACTACCCCTTGATTCTAAAGATTTAAGTACTCTATTAACGACAGTCTGGTGTAGATTTGTCTTCATTTTGAGTGTCTTCGTCCATATACCTGGGCTTTATCAGAAGAATATAACAATGAGCAGGTTTACATACCCTCGTTACCTGCTGCATCAATATATTGATATGCCAACTGCTCATCACTATCCATTTCTTTGTATCTGATAAGCACATCAGTATTTCAGTTATCAAATAAAGATATAATCTCACTTCTTCGCTGATTCCTTACTAACTGCCTTGTAACCAGTACCACCGGTACTGAGATTAACAAGTTGGAGAAGATTCTTCTTCAACAGTTTATTGATAGCTTCTAGCTTCTCAGTGACATCAAAATCGGTGAATAACTTCTCCGTAAGTTCTGTATTTGGTAATGTCTATGCAAAGTTCAGCGTTTATCACGCTATGATAGATAACCCACTTGATCATCAGCTTGAAGGGCTGCATTATATATTTTCGTATCTAGCGTAACTTTCTTTGAAGATTTTGGCATTTTTTACAATTCACTTAATTCGTAGTGAATGATAGAAAGCAAACCAATGGAAATTCTTATGATGCAAATCTTATAATCACATTTTGTCTACAAATTTACTTAATCTCTGTATTTATTCATAAATTCTTTATGAAATTTCTCTATCGTGTTTATGTAATCTTCTGTACCTGGAACTAAACACGTCGTTCTAAAGTGAAGCGTATCAGGGCTATTAAAATATATGAGCTTAAAGTTCAATTATTTTGTATTATATAACTCACGCTTGACCAAATCCGCTACCTGGTACTACACAAATACCAGTGTTATCCAATAATTCTAAACAATAGAAACTATCTGGGGATTTACCCTGCTTTTTAGCAGCGTCGATCGCTTTTTGTGGTAACCTTATTTGTGGGAATGCATACATTGCTCCCTATAGAGTAATCAATAATTGTCTCATTTTGATTAACATTACCACTTACTTCAGAATTGTTACATGAAACGCCTTCCATTTGGTTAAACCTTTCAGCTAACAGCTTTGACCTACTAGCATAGCTAGCAAGTACTTCATCCTTTTCTTTTCTATACTGCTCATAACTTTCTTCGCCTTCTTTAGGTGGTCTTATCATCAGATCGACCGCAATTTGACCTTGTAAAGGTGGACAGAGTGAAATAGATGCCAACTTTGTTGCTTCAGTTAGGAAATCCTCTGAAAAGTTGACATATTCAACGAATCCACCCCTTCTACCACATTCTCCACTGAAACCTTTACTTATACTGTGGAAAGAAGCGAGTTGTAGATCGTCAAGCTTTAAATCTTTAATGACTTTCTTAAATGAAACAAATGGTTTGTTTTTGTCGTAAATATTCGATTGATAAACTTCATCTGCAAGTAAAACTAATTCATGCTTTTGTGCAAATCTTGCAATATCTCTCATATTTTCTTCACTTAAAATGGCACCAGTTGGGTTACCTGGATTGATAATAACGAGTGCCTTCACCTCTGTACCTTGCGATTGTGCATCGTTGAATGACTTCTCAAGTAAATTCATATTCAGTTCCCATCCACGGTTTTCATCAAGGTGATACTGAATCGTGCGTGAACCAGCTAATGCTAAGCTGGCGGAGTAAAGAGGGTATTGAGGAATTGGAATCATGACGCCATCAGGATCACCAGAGAGAAGTAAATGGAATAACAAGCTGACACCTCCGGATGCACCTGCTGTTAAAAATATATTCTCTGGATCTGAAGGGTAACCATCTCGTGCTTCAAGGAATTTTGCAACTTGTTCTCTGATGAAAGGTACACCTTTACTATGAGAGTAAGCACCAACAGAGCCAATTTCATTGAGTAATTCACGTGCACGATCCCTGACATCCTTTGGGAAAAGTTGAGTATTATCTATCAGTTCCGGACATTCGGTGAGTGCAGCGACCTGAACTATATTGTTAGAAATCATTGGGTAAGAGATGTTATATCCCACCTGTCTCCAGAAAGTTAATGGCTTTTGATTCAAACCTTGTTGTTGTGGGTTACCAATCTATTGATTTGTGAGTCACAAAAGTGCGATTAAACAGTGAATACCTACATTACAAGGCATTATAGCCTTAAAGGGCAGTTTGTCACCATTCCCATCTCTAATTTGTTGTCCATAAATATCTGCTTTAACAGGTATTTCACCTCGTACTGCATATTGAGCGTTTATTACTTTAGAATTTATAGTACTATTATCTAATCTGATACTATTGACAGAGGAAGTCGTTATTGATCTATTTATCGTTCTATTTACTCTAATTGATCTTGTTATCATCTTGATTGTTAATTGTATACGCCTTCTGGTGACTCGATAACCGCATTCAAACGAAAAGATTTAATTAGCCGACATTTCTAATTAACCGATGTCAGCTGTTATCTCATGCTCTCTCCTACCGCGCAGGGTCTCTCTCTAGAAAACTTAATCGTTTATCTCATCTTTAATGAAATGATAAGATAATGTAAATAAAAAGATATTTGATAATAATATATTATTACAGAAAACTATTATTGATATCTATAAATACACTGTCCTCTTCAAATAGTCGCTGTCATTACATGTCCGTGACTGGGATCTTTGAGTGAGACTCTTGTAGTATAGATCTATACGCATCCTTTTCTACTATAATTTTGTGCTTTATCTCTCTGTCTTTGCTATACTGTACTGTCTGTGCCATAATCTCTTCTATCTCAACGACCATCTTCTAAATTTACAAGACAAAAAACTAACACAGTCACTCGTTTATAATACTCTAGAATGAAATTCACAGCCTGTACATTAATTGCAGCTGCCCTTTTTAACTTTGCAGCTGCGGGTGTTGTGAGTATAACTCAGAATTATCAATAAACTTTGTACTGACTTTACTAGTACATTACAGCACCAATTGGTTCAACTAAAGCAACAGGTGGACAACCTTTTAGCGTTGTATGGGATGACGATGGCCAGTCACCTACACTCGCAGAACTAGGAAATGCGGATGTCTCTTTAATGACTGGAAGTGACGCAGAGCAAACTGAATTGCAAACCCTTCAAAAGGATGTACCATTGTCTACTACAGCTAGCACAATAAACTTGATCGATAGCAATGTTGGTCCAGATGGAAACGTCTATTTCATTAGAGTAATGAGTCAATCACTCAAGAATGATGAAGGTTATCCATACTCCTTCTACTCAGCTAGATTCTTGCTTGAGGGTATGCATGGTACTTTCACTGACGAGATCAAAGCACAATTAGATCAACTTATGCAACAAACTAATGTTCAAAGGCGCACGCTCACAGACGAGGATGTGAATGTAGAGGATAACGATTCCGCTGCACGTACAAACTCATTTCAAACCTTGGCCATAGCTACTATCGCTGTTATTGTTGGAGCTTCACTTTCAACTCTCTAAGAAATAAATTATAGACGGACGGATGACTTTTTTCAACTTTTATTTACACAATTACTATGTTTCCGAATTCTTTTTTTTTACGATACATACATCTATACCCATATAATACAAATTAAATTTAGTAACCAGCCAAAACACCCTTAGTTGAAGGTATCTCGTTTGAGCCTGTATAACTAATTGCATCCTTGATTGCTAAAGCGAGTGCTTTGAATGCAGATTCAGATCTGTGATGATCATTGTTACCTCTCAAACAATCAACGTGGAGTGTAATAGCTGCTGTGTCTGCGAACGAGTGGAAAATGTGAGGAATCATTTCACAACTCAAGTCGCCAATCTTTTCCCTCTTGAGATCTAATTCTGCTACACAGTATGATCTACCTGAAATATCTAAAACTGCTCTAGAGAGTGCTTCATCTAATGGTGCATATGCAGATCCGTATCTTTTTATACCTTTAATATCACCTAATGCTTGCTTAAATGCTGTACCCAACGCTAATGCTGAATCTTCTGCGGTATGATGATCATCTATCCATAAATCACCCTTACAGTGCATTTCTAAGGACATTCCACCATGTTTTGCGAGTGCACTATACATCTATATGACATATTAAGTGTCTTCTCTTTTGAGTGATGAATCAACTTACGTGATCTAAGAATCCAATACCTGTGTGTACATCAATCACTTGCTTTTGTTTATTAAATACGGCGTCAATTGTTAAATTAACTTTTATTTGTGTTTCTCCGGTATTTCTCTCTACTTGGGCTGATCTGACCATTATTGATAGCTATCAACCTATGAGCAAGCGAGAATAACAAATTTATTATAAAATAAATGAATGGACTAAAGTACATAAATGAATGGTAACATAATAGAGAAATCCTTGAAATTTTTTTCCTTATAATTGAAGAAGATCAAAATTTTATCAAATTTATTTAATGCGATGAAGACAATTTGCTATGTCTGCTATATCCTTGTAAATAATGTTCATCATCGGCAGCCGCAAATCTCTTTGCCATCTTTGCGAAAGGTGATTTCATTGTTTTAAGGCTTAAAGGTGTAATCTTCTCCAGAAGATCATGTGCAACCTTTTCCCATGCGTGATAAGTGAATTGAGCTGTTAAATCAAAGTTAAATGATTCTGGATCTTTTGAATGAACCATCTCTAAAGCATCTTCTGTATGTAATGGCCAGAATAATCCCAACCTGTTCAAAACTGTAACATAAGATGGATTTAAACGTGCAAATTTCCAAGGAACTTCGAGTGAGTGTTTAGCAGGTTCAGATTGATTAAATGTACCATAACTATTGTACCAATCTCTAATGAATCTTGAATTTGGTTCAGCGAGAATAACAGCGTTGTTCAAACCGGTTGGATCTAATTCGTGCTTTGTCATATCAGTTTGACTTTCCATTCCCATTACAACTGGTTCATTGAGTAAACCTGCTGATAAGAAATCTCTAATAACGAAGACATCAGGTTCCAAGAAGACACCACCCCATCTCAATAAAGCTTCTAATCTAATAACATCAGATTTAGACTCCTCATTATCAACTGGTTGATGGAAGATATGCGTCATATTTCTTGCCATAACGTGAACTGCTTCTGGGAGTTCTTTAAGTCTATCCCACCAAGGACCATATGGTTCATTTATATAGTGGAATAAAACTGCTTTTGGTTTAAGAACAATCAACGCAGATCTGATAGCGAGGTACTATAAAGATGTTATTAAAAATCAACTAAAAAGTGATTCACTTACCTGATAATACTCTAATTCCTCTGAATCATCACCCAAACCGAAGGTGTAATGAACGACACTAGGAATTTTTTGGTGAAGAGTGTTTGTCTCACTAGCCTTCTGCACAGCGACATCAGCTTTGGCCATAGATCTATCCATAGCAGCTTCAACTGGGAAGGCCTCAGTCGGAATAATTCCAGGTACATGTTCAGGCCAAACGACGAATGGGATATGTGGATTGTTGAGATGATAATCTGCTGGTAAAAATTGTGCGGGATCTGGCTGTACCATCGGTGGTGTATGACAAGTTACTTGTGCTTGTGCTTCAGCCAAAATATCCGCAGTACGCCAGTGAACTTTCTCAACTTTCTCTACATTATGTTCACCTAACCAATATCCGATACCTAATAAACCAAGTCCTGCTAAGAGTAAAGGTATTCTCAGACGTGGTTGGACACCTGCCAGAGGTGTACTATTCTCCTTATTAAACGAATTTGACATTTTTAACTTTTTAGTATAAGAATATACGTTGAAAAAGAACCCTTGGATGAAGCCTCTTTATGGAGAGATTCTAGATTCTGATCAATTGTGAAGAAGGCGGAAGTTACGCAGCAGCTGCTATCGGTAAATTTTTAATTATTTAATTTACAGAAAATGGCATTGTAAAATGTTATTAATTATAGTATATACTATCTTTATACTACTTCTAGCGTTTGCTTCCGAGATGTCAATATAAGGTAAGTCACAATTAGTGCTAATAGTCAGACATCGAATGAGTCTTTGATGTTGCCATTTTTACCTAACAGCACATCTAATTACTTTACTTTTGTACTCTTAAACGTTTCAACTACATCATGTTTTAACTAATTACAAGAAATTATTCAACTCTAGTCAATTCAACCCTTCTCTTCTTCTTGACTGGGAGCTGGTTGACTACAGTTTGATTCTCAACTTGCTTCTCAGCTTGTATGTCAACGTGTGTATTTGTATGGCTTTGAGATGGTGTTACCTGTACATTCTCAGCTATTGCGCTCATCTGTAATTGATGTTGTTGTTCCTTATAAGGTGTACCGAGTTCTTCTGGATCAAATACAATAATTGAACAATAACCATCCAAACTAGCAAGCATTAAAGATTGTCCATCAGGAGACCTAATGTCGTTAGCTTAAAGGATCTTATTTAAACGACAACTCACCATGTAACATCTGTAAATGCTGCCCAATGTAAATTAGAAAGGATAGAAATTGGTGATAATTGTTGAGTGTCGTAAATTATTATACTTTCTTTACTAACAACTGCATAGATCATCCTATATGGTAGATCAAATGCAGGTTTTTCACTACGTTGACGAAGATTAAAAAGAATAGGATTAAATCGTACACCAACAGTAGCAGACTTATGGCCTGGTAATACTGCAAGTGGGTTATTGAGGTTGCTTCGACCATAAATTAAAACAGAAGATTTAGCAATACTCTTCTTTTTGCCATCTTCACTGGGTATATCATCGCTTTGTGCGGATGGAGTTACTAAAATAGAGCCATCAGGTGAGAATGACAATCTTCTAAAGAATTGTGTGAAACCTTCATCACCATAACTTATCCTTTCATTTAATTTATTAGATGGTGTTTTAATTGCTGGTAATGGACTTGGACTTCTCTTTACAGGCGTTAGTGGTGATGAAGCTGCACTTGAAGGTATATTAGATTGTGATTGTTGTTGGGATAATGATGAACGGCGTGAAGGTGGTTGCATAGGAGTTTGTAAACCAGGTTCTTGTGATAGTGATTGTGAGTGATCATTTTCAGATGTAGCACTAGCAACACTAAGTCTCCTCCTTCCATTATTATTCATTGTGCTACTACTGCTCCGTTTGTGTGTTAGTTGTTTAGGTGTATGTGCGTGTACGTCTGATTTCGAGAATTTTGATATAGAATGTACACTGAGACCGCCTTTCTCATAGTTTTTAACGGAATGAACGTTCAGACTTCTATCAGAACTCTGTGTTGCGATTAAACTACCAAAAGGGTCCCAACTAACACCCTGAACATAGTGGTTATGTTCTGTTATCTGATGTAAACAAACACCATCGATTGCAGAGAATATTCTAGCTGTGTTGTCTGTACTACCAGCAACAAAGTATTCACCAGTTGGACTCCACGCTAAATCGTATACTTCTGCGTCTCGAGCGCATCTGCAAGTTGTGTTGGACGGTTACTGTAGTCATTATGTACAATACCCACCTAGCCATAATCCTAACGCGCCAGAATTCTTTCTCAAATTGCAAATCTTCTGAAGATGATTCACCGTATGATGCTGTCTTCTGATCACTTGGTATCCAAAGTAACACGTTTCCATCTGCATAATTATATTAGAAGTAAGATACTAAATCAAGTAATGAACTTACCATCGCCTGCTGATGCTAAAGTCTCACCTAATGTGACTGTGTGAAAAACTAGAATATAAATCAAGAAAAATTCGCACCTTTTGGACAAAATCTAACAACATTGACCGGATTTGTGTGTCTTGATAATGTACATAGATATTCTGCTCGTGGTTGATGTGGATTCTGTAAAATGGTGTTCGCGTTACTATCACGTATGTTTTGTTGCGGATGAATGAGCCAAAGCTATATAAGTAGTGAGATAAAGAATATTAAAGCTAAAGTTATACACACTCTAACTTGATGATCTGCACCACCTGTCGCCAGTCTATAAGTCTGATGTTGGGAAATCTCAGCGCTATTCAGAACCTTCTTTAAAGCATTACTGGAATAAGGCTGTATATCCATGGAATAAATAGGCAATTGATTATGCCAACGTATTTCTAATGTTTTCGTGCGCATCCTATCTTGAGTGCAATTGAAGAGAGGCATTTCCTTGAATTCATACCACCAATGACAACAGAAATAAATAGACATCATTTATTAGCGCTCTATAGAGCTTTACAAAGATCTGCTACTAAGTTTAGTAGCTACAACTTCAGACATTACTTCCTTCGTAGAAATAGATTAGCCTTTAGGGAATTTTTGGGCGTTCATCCAGTTGGTCAACCAAGCAGCGACAGTAAAGCAAGCAATCCAGCAAATTTGAATGCTTTCTACAAAGAGCAACGTGATCAACTTGATATAGTCAGCAGAGCTGCTGCTGTAAATAGAATGTTTGAAGGCGAACGTTTAGTTGTTGAGAGACCAAGGATTATAACATCTGGTGGCGGTGCTGGTATGGAAGCAAGTGCAGTGAGTAATATAATATATCTTCTTTCGTAATTAACTAACTTCTCAGGGAGGCGCTGGTCAGCCAGTCGATCCTCAACACCCTCGCGCCACAGAAGGTGGTGAACCTGGTGAAACAGTCAACAAGGCTGCTTATAAAGACGCTCCATTGAACAAAAACTAATGCATTTCTCACAAATCATCTTCATAATCACTTGGTATATCAAATTGTTGACGTAAATTAAATTGAGATAGATCAAATCGTTCAGATATTTTTGAAATCGCTGAAATAGTGGCATCTGTTAACTTTTCAACTTCGAGTTTAGATATTCTGATATAATTCATCTTCTGATCTAATGCCGCACTACCACCCTTTCTTACAGTATACAGCTCTTCTTCCCTTTCTTTTACTGAGTAGTTGAGCTTCAGATATTCAGCGATCAAGTCTTGACGCTCAGTCTAATTATTATTAGCAATATAAGTGATTGCCATAGACATACTGTGTCTTCGTATCCATTAGCTTGGAGTTCTTCGAAAGCTACGGTTGCTGACTTCAAGTTTTTTTGAAGCGCTGCTACTTTGGTCTTGAGTGCTGCATTCTCATTCTGGACATTCTTTGTGGCGTCTATCGGGAGTGAGAATGTTGGGTCGTATGCATGAGTGCTTTAGCTCACCACTTGGGAATGACCAATAGTCTATTTAAGATAAGAGGTGAGCGTAATTAAAGTATGGTCCCACAGTTTGATATGCCTATCTTGTCCATCGAGACCAAATTATCACTACACAAATCCTGCAGTATATCCTTGATACTTTGACTAACTGTGGTCTTTTAAAATAGAAGGACATTAAAGATATGGCATCTTAACTAATTCCCTTCGCTTTCGGTACGTTCTTCTCTAATTCTTTAAGCTGCAACTTTTAGTTCCGTGTCTTGCTAAGCTATCGCTCAAACCTGGAAAAAATCTCTCTATATAAGCTTTAATATTGTATTCCAATAAATACAAGAGCCCACAGTCTCATAAAAGTAATTGAGAAGCCTCTAGAATTTAGTATACATTCGCATCTCTCAGGATGCTGTTATCTCTCACCTTTTCTTCTTCTCATCTGCTGAAAGACGTTGCTTTGACTGTAGTTTCATCTCAGTCGGTTCTATTAGGAAGATAGCATCCCTTAAATACCATATCTCTTTGTATCTTGTGTAATTTTATATCTCACTCGTGATGGTAGAAAAGAGCGAAAATATATGGAGATAAGTAATAGAAAAGTTGGTATATTACTAAGACAGCTCCAGAAAAATATTACACAGAAATATTAGAATAAAACTTGTCAGATACAGTATCTTAAAATTTGCATTAACAATTATATGTAATGAGCATAAAGCATTCTATACGAAATCTTCTACATTATAATACTACCAATGACACAATAACGTATAAAAATTCGCCAAAATCAGTGATAACCGAGCATGCATCGAATGCACATTGATTACATTCCAGTGTAATATAACGATCGATCGTGAAATATAGTTCTAAAAAAATTAAAACGATAGAAAAGTCTACAATGTATGTGTTAAATTTGACCTTTTCAAGTCTGATTTATAACTTGTCGCTGATTGGGGGACGCTAAACCTCAGAGAGATCACTAAGGGCAGCATGACTCAGACTAAGAGAAAGATTACATGTGACAAATATGAGCCTCTTGATAATAGCAAAACTGCGACCTTGAAGGTCCAATCACTTATCCTGTATCCGCTGTCAATGTTTCAGCGCTATGAACTCGGGTTGTGATGATAGCAAAATTATAGTTGACATGCCGAGGGCAACCAAATAAAATCCCGTGATAGCGTGCAACTCATTAATCGTGATATATATTTTTGTACAGACACCCGATCGTCGCCAATCATTCTTGGCTTATCCTTGACGAAATGGGTAAGAATTAGAGTGATAATATACATAGTGTACGTAGTTTAGATTGAACATACTATTCCGATGGATTTTAACAGTGTATTATTGCTTTCGCTCATAGCGGTTATATCGTACCTTGATCTCTTGAGCAGTGCAGCTCACCTCCACCCAATAAGTAAACTGCAAATGTGTCCGACGAGTTGGAAACGGTGTATTCACGCGCATGAAAAGTCAAAGTATATGTATACAGGCTCGTTCATTTAGATGAGACAAATTTGATATCTTGTGGTTCGTGATTATATAAATAAATTGCTTACCCGGTATGAATGTACGGAAATGAATGAGGAAATGAAGATTAATAAAAAGATATATACATTGAATACATTATTTTTATTCTATGGAATCTTCCTATTGGATGCATCCCAACTCCACTGCGTTGCGGATCTTTTCATCTAAGTGATTAGGTCAATTTGGGTAAATTAAAGGGTGCACATGCATAGCAAATATAATATATACGCGTAAAATGCAATAATCTGTGATATACATGTGATATTTAGAGCTCATTTCGCCCCTTATAAAGTGATAAAGGTGAGAGTTGAGTGACTAAACAAAGGAAGGTACGATCAGATGTCAAGATTTTAAGAGCATATGGGCCTATAAAAGATAGTTTTTAATTTATAATATAGATTATACATCTTTATTAGTGTAGTCTGACCTCTCGGTCTTTGTTGTCTCCCAAGCAAGGTACGATCTCTGACAGCTACTCCAAAGTACCCTTGCAGAATTCTACTATCATCACTTTCTTCAAAACACTCTTGACCAAAAATTTAAATGTCAAAATTGGTATTGCATATCTAAATCGTAGGTTTGGCTGGCATGAATAGTGCTAGTTGCCTTTTATAGAACCGACTAACGTTTTTAGTAGACACTCTTTATTTTATACAACAATGCCAACGACTACACGTTCACTCAGATATAAGATCTCTTCGAAATCGCTCAAGCACAAGTCCAGCAATGGCCGCATCTCTAAACCCAAGACTACACAACCACGCAAGAAACTTACAATCAGTCTAACCACACAAAATAACCCACTCAAAGAATCTGAATACTTTGAGGATATCTGCTACTACATGCACCTCATGGAATTACAAACCCTTGGCGATCTCAGCCTGATAGACTCACAGCCTGAGCTTGACTGGAGGATGAGAAGCTACCTTATTGACTTCTTGATTGAAGTGCATGCCCACGCTAGGCTGCGTCCCGAAACTCTCTACTTAGCCGTCAACATCATCGACAGGTATGTCTCTAGGAGGGTTGTTTTGAAAAAGCACTATCAGTTGGTAGGATGTGCTGCTTTATGGATCGCCGCAAAATTTGAAGACGCCAAACATGCTATACCCTGTCTCTCTGATTTGGTTGTCAGTTGCTGTGGTATCTACGACGAATCTGCATTTGTTCAAATGGAATCACATATTCTTACTACCCTTGGGTGGGTTTTAGGTCATCCAACAGCTGAGGTACGTTTCACTTCTGTTTCCTTTATTTATTCTAACAAAGAAGCAGTCATGGTTACGCATTTTTACTCTCGCTATGGGAACGGACGATATGCAGACACAACATATCGCTAGATGTGTTATGGAACTCTCCCTCTATAGACGCGAATTTATAGACATACCCTCTTCCTCAATTGCGGCAGGATCCCTTTTACTCGCAAGGACTATAGTCGGACGGGCACGTAAAATAGTAGATGAAGACCAACAATCAATACAAGTCGCAGAATTGCTTGATAGTTTCCTTGGGGAGCACCTCGACCAACTTTCAGAAATCATTTCCGCAAAATACGCACCACATTATTACTCTAGAGCATCCATTATAGTTAGAGAATGGTATTTGGCAGGGAAAAGATTCTACTTTTACGCTCCAGTTTTATCACCTTCTTATGTGCATAATACTCCACCCCCAACACCACCATTCAGTCAATCATCTATGGAGACGGGGATGTACTCACCTGGTAGCTCAAGTTCAGAAGATGATGCTCCACTCACACCTTACTCACAAGCTGCACCAATTCCATCACTAAATGTCGATTATAAGGAAAACAAGCAGATTATTAAGCCAAGACCGTCAATACAATCATTCACTTCTTTACAAATTAGTAACAAAGGTGTTTAAATGATAGTATAGCCATGATTTGTTCAATAGTTAATTAGTAGTAATCCGTTAATAATAATCAGAGCACACAACCTCATTATCTTCATTTGGGCGTTTTAAACAAATTGTCAATAATGAACGACGAAATATCAAACGACATTTAATTAAATTAATACAAACGATAATCAGTAAGAAAGGACAGTCAAAGTTTCACTTATCTTTACAATTCTAGCATTTTTCATCATTACTTTCCTTCTAGATACCCAACCATTTAAACAAAGTAAATGAAAAACACGCATTGATAATATAACCATTATTATACGTTAATAATCAAGAGTATACAAGTAGTCAAGATTTTTTACTCATTCAACGCTCTTTTACATAAATCCAAACTTATTTATTATACATGATCCAACCGCCTTATTGCACTCACTTATATATATTTTCATTCATTGGCATTTTTTTCTTATATCATTTTTACCTGTCTGCTTTGTTCACGTTCGTCCTCTTATCGGCCCATGTTTTAGTTGGCCAAATTGACTTGTCTTAGGAACGTCTAATTTGAGTTGTCAATTGAGGGCAACATGTGACTGTATGATGTGCTGGCATTAATTGCATGTATAATATTTTCTCGAGATTAGCGAAAAGAGATATTTGTGGTATACATCTCTCTTTGGTTTCACTCAATAACTAACTAATTGACAATATGATAAATTACGTGATCGATATGCATTATAATGATCTTTCTGTTGGAAAACTCAATTGGAGCATAATGGAAGTCATTTAGTGTGTCTTATTTTGGCTTTACCGTTGAAAGCAACTAAGGAAACATTCAAGGAACCGTTAGTCAAACTGAGGAGGTATCAATAGATATCCACACAGACAATGATTGCAATAAAATCATTGTTTATGATATTGAGTGCAAAGTGTTGTCCTATCACTCTCGAGAGAAAAATCAAGCGATGAGAAGACGACGTACATAGACTTATATACGTACTTATATAAATATAAATGTGTAAGGTTGATTATCACGACCGTTGATTGCTCTTCCAGTACCTCCAATAAAAGATCGTCTCAGACTAGGACATTTCAAGCTCAAGCTTAAAAACAAATATGTGAGTTCTGTAGAGTATCTCTAGCATCAATTCAAACCTCAACCAAACTACTTTGATGGTGAGGGTTGAGTAGATGAAAATTTGCGCAATAGTCGATAATCTCAAAGTATGTATCAATCAATTTTTATTCTATTAGAGAACCATGCCATTTGTGGTTATATAACATGATTGAGCAGTAAGGATTGATGTTACAACGCATTCATTCAATTACAGGATTTTGCTCAACCTTCTCAAGTGCAAGTGCAACAATAGTAGTACACAAAAGTCTAAATGTAAGGCTAAAGATACGTAAGGATTATATGAAAACGTCAAAGAACTATAGATATATCTGATATCACATACATATACTTAATACAGATGAAATGCAATGTAGTTATAAGAAAAGTATAGTATAAGACGATCTAATGACATTAATAATGTATATTTCATACTAAGCTAGCTATTTTTGATATGCTCATGTGTCTTCTCTCTTCACTTCGCTCTATCATTATCTAAGTAAGATATATGGGGAAATCTCGTGGGTATCAACTTAAATTCCTTTTTCCACTAACGATTTATTAGAGAAACAACAAAAGCGTCAGTTTCTATGCTATCATGTAGTATCTCTCTAATCAATCGAATAGCTACTACGAAGAGTACCAAAGGTGCTCCTAGAATGCATATTTCTAAATCTAAGCATGATAAGCAATTATCTAGAACGCAGGTAGGTGCTTAAATAGCTAAAGTCGCTAATCTTATACACCCAGCAGTCCCGTCAATCAAAATCTTTGGTGATAGAGGATGATAATGTCATGCAGAGTGAACCGACGGGAAGTAGCAGCTCATTTGCTGCATTAGCTGCATCAGCAGCCACTCAATCTACCAACTTTGAAGAGCATTCAGTAGAAAATCAATCAACAACCCACGCAGACAAAGATTATTCACATAGAGCTTACATGAGAGAATTGAAACGTGTTATTGATTTATCAGATGTCATTCTAATGGTATTAGACGCTAGAGATCCTTTGGGATGTCGTTCATCAACAATTGAGAGAGAAATTAGAAGGAGAGACGGTGAAGGAAAGAAACTAGTATTCGTACTCAATAAGATAGATTTGGTACCAAAGAGTAATGTCGAAGACTGGTTATCATTCTTAAGAAATCATTACCCAACTGTAGCATTCAAAGCTAGTACACAACAACAAAGGCAGAACCTCTCACAAAAGAAAACAACAGCTGGTGGTTCAACCTCTAGTTCAGACTGCTTTGGTGCTGATGCATTGGTCAATCTATTGAAAAATTACACTAGAAATGCTAATCTTAAAACATCAATCGTTTGTGGTATCATTGGTTTCCCAAATGTTGGTAAATCGTCTGTCGTTAACTCATTAAAACGTAGTAGAGCATGTGGTGTTGGTGCAACTCCTGGTTTTACAAAGGTTGCACAAGAAGTTGTTCTCGATAAGAACATAAAAATTTTAGACTCACCTGGTGTTGTTTTCGCTGACGAAGATACTAATGATAAAGATGCTATTAATGATAGTGAGAAGCTCAAAAAAAGACAAGCAGAAATTACCCTAAGAAATGTTATCAAAGTTGAGAATATAGACGATCCTCAACCATCAATTGAACTAATTTTAGAGAGATGCTCGGTAAATCACCTCTCACAATTATACGAGATACCAGAGTTCAACGGAGTAACCGATTTCTTAGTCAAGATTGCTTTAACCAGGGGTAGATTAGGTAAGGGAGGTGTACCAGATTTGTTGGCAACAGCTAGATCAGTTTTGAGAGATTACACCTGTGGAAAAATACCATACTATACACAACCGCCTAGATCAACGATGGGTGCACCAGTAATACAATCAAAACAATCAACATTATCATCTGGATTTTATCCACCATCAGACGCAAAACCTAGTGAAAACACTTCATCTGCAGAAGGTGCCGCGATCGTTACTGAATTCAGTCAAGCGTTTGATCTTGCAAGTTTGCTAGGTGAAAGCGATGCACAAACACTCAGTGGTGCTGGTACAGCTTCATTTGATACACTGAAAAAGAGAGGTAGAGAAGAAGAAGTACCAACTAAGGAGAACAACAGTGATGATGTTAATATGGAAGCTCAAAGTCATCCAGCTGGAATAGTATCTTTACCGCCAAAGAAGAAGACAAAACAACAAGCAATCAATGATCTTGATCAACAGAAAAAGCTCTTTGGTTCTGCTGAAATCGATCAATTTAGTCAAGCGAACCCAATGTCTAGACAAGCACAAAAGAAGGCCCGTAAAGCAGAAGCTAAAGCTAGATTGAAGTCAGGTGCGTTGCCAATGTCTGGACCTGGTGGTGAAGGAGAGTTAATGAAGGCATTGAATGGATTAGATGTCAAAATGTATGACGACTCCGTTCAAGATGATCAAGGAATGCAGGACAGCGACGATGATGAGGAGGAAGCAGATGAAGGCTATGATGGTGGTAGAAGTGGATATGGTATGTCTATGTTCAACGTCGCACCTGCGCCTATTCCTATGGCTCAACCAGCCGCACCACCACCTCAAATGATAGATGAAGACGAGGAACTATAAGTGTCTTCTTTTGTAACAATCATCAACTATAGAAATAAATTATGGATCATAATAAACTAATTGATTTAATTGAAGCTATTGGTGTTTTATTGAATGTTTATTATACACCTGTAGCGTTTGTAGATAAGGAAGGTATTGATACAGATCAATCACCAGAATCTCAGCCGACGTATGATTTCATAATACCCTGGGCCAATAATCCAGCGTTGACTAGTACATTTATTGCTATTGGAGCGTTTATTGTTGTTGCTAGCATAAATATAATAAGAGTGTTATTAAGTCAGAAACGAGAAGAACGCAAACAATTCGTAGGTTTCAATATCACTTTAGATGCATCTCATTAAGAGTCTGATAGATGAACCCTCAAAGCGCGTTACTTTATGTAGTTTCAGTAGTTGGCATTTTCATAGTTCTCATTCTGGGAGGTGCACCATTAAACCATGGCTATCAACGTACAGGTAGCTTAGCAATACTATTGTCCGTGTATACAACACTACCTATTGTTATTCAATCCGGTAGTTTTAATGAGGACATCTTACGTAATAACAAGCGTACACTTTCTTTAACAGCGATTGGCGCATGGATTGCAATAATCCCAATAGGTTTAGATTGGGAGAGACCTTGGCAAGTATATCCACTAACAATCGCAGTTGGTAGTACTATCGGCTATGCTACCGCTAGATTGACTGATGTGGTATCACGACCTTAAAGGTTGTTTATCGACACTCGAATTTTGATATCCTTGTTTTGAATTTCTAGATATAACAATAATAAAATACATTAAAATGTTTCTTATTAGTCTGCTGTCATGACAACCCCTACTAAGCACCTCGCAAGCTGCATTTTCTGCAAGATTATCGCAGGTGAAATTCCATCATTTACTTTGTTATCAAATGATAAAGTACATGCATTTATGGATATTGGCCCAATCGCTAAAAATCACGCACTCGTCATTCCAAAATACCGTAAGTGTGGGAATATCATACATAATATATGACTCTAATATATGATCAGATGCACCTAGATTTGGTGACGTTCCAGATGAGTATGCATCTGAGATACTTTTAGCTGCTAAGAAAGTAGCAAAAGCAATTGGTTGTGAGGAATACAACATTTTACAGAACAACGGTAAGAATGCACACCAAGTCGTTGATCACGTCCACTTCCACATCATTCCAAAGGAAGGTGCAACAGATGATTCCGGACTTGTTATTGGTTGGCCAGCTCAAGGATTATCTATGGACCAAATTAAGGAGGAATTCGAGAAAGTAAAAGCTCGCATTTAAAATTGAAAAGAAAATAAACTGAAAAATTCATGAAATTGTAACGTATAACGTCATTAATGTGATTATACTCCTGTTGAAATCATTGCTATCTTGATGGGGTCAGCTGCTAATCCTAATACACATGCGAGAAGGTATGCGACAGTTAGTACTAAAATTGCAGTAATTGGGTTAAAGTTTTCAATCAAACCTTGAACCTCTTTACTAGCTTTAAGTGAAGCAATTATAGCTTCATTCTCACGTTGTTGTTCACGTAATGTTTCCATTTGAATGCGTAACAAAGATGAATCATTTTGAGCACTTTCAAGGTGATTACGTGCGATAGCTAACTGACCATCACTCTCGTTTAGTTTTCCATCAAGATGATATATTGTATCGAGGTATTCTGCATTCTTTCCTTTCGTTTCGTTGAGTTCATCGTTGAGAGGTTGGATGCTAGCGTGATGTGCAGCTAATCTATCTTCGGCTTCATGTATATGTAAACGCAAGACTTGAATATCCTGAATCATTTATTTAGTTCTGTCTTACTTTGGGCATAAATTTACTCACATCTTCTGAAGTCTTCTTGAGCAAATCGTAATCGCTAATCAATCTGTGATACTTCTGAGAGAGAACTTTGTAGTCTTCTTCAGATTTCTACAATTCCAGTTGTAAGTTTTGTATATATAAAACATTATTGTCTCACCTTTCTAAGACTCCTCTGTGCCTTTGCGACCTGGTGTAGAAAAGTCAATCAACTTGTGAATAAAATGGTCAATAAAAACGCACCTGCTTGAACATTAGAGCTTTAGCATCCCACTTTTTATCTAAATCGTTCAAAATAACGTTAAGTAGCTTTTTAGCATCCTTATTTGACTTATAATCGATATAACTTGACATACCGCCAACTTTACCAACGTTTACTTTACGTATATACTTTGATGTAGTACCTGATAAAACGCTAGAATTTGTATTATCCTTTATTTGTTCATTCACATTCTCGTGATATTCAGGCTGTGACTGCTCAATAGTTTGAGGTTGCATAGGACTTTCATCTTCAATTAAATTGGGAATATCCTCTAAATTCTCTACAAATTGATGCTCTTTTGATTTCTCTTTTTTCGTTGTTGTCGTTGGCGTCATCGACGTTCGTTCGAAACATTCAAGATGGGACCACCAACGAAGAAGAGAAGCAACTCTTTCATAGAGAATTCAGATGAAGAGCTTGAGAATAAACCAAAGAATAAAGTACAAAAAGAAAATACTCAAGATAACATCCCAGAGGAGGGTTTAGATATACAAGAGAACGCTGATGGTGAGAAGTACTTTGAAATTGGTCGTTCACGTAGAGTTACTATGAGAACTTTCAAGAATACACCTTTGATTGACGTCCGTGAATTCTGGACGAAAGAGGATGGTACACCTGCACCGGGAAAGAAAGGTATATCACTAAAACCAGAGGAGGTGAGTATCTAGTTGTTCATGGATATATACACTAACAAACCATACAGCTTCAACTTATCGTAGATAACTACTCCTCTATCAAAGAAATAGTCGACGATCTTAGTAGCAGCACTGGTAGCAAGAAGCGCAAATAATTTAATTCTAATTTATGACAAGAGGATAAGTTATGCAATTCGTGTATATTATAAATAATTCTTCTATTGTTTTGCCTTCTTGTTAGGGCTTGGATAATCATCATTAGTATTAGCTCGTTTGCCTGTATTACTTTGTTGTTGTAACATAGCAATCAACGCTAATGAATCCGCATCCTCTGAATTATCTATATTGGTATTTGAGTGTTGTCCGTTATTATTGCTATTAGCAAGCATATTGAAAAGGTTATTCAGGTTATTCTGTTGTTGCTGTTGCTCTTCTAACTTCTTTTTCTCTGCTTCTGCTTTTTGCTGAGCTTGTATTCTAGCCGCTGAAGTAGATGATTTCGATTGTTGTTGTTGTATAGCAGCAAAACCACTACCTAAACCCTTACCATTGCTCAGTCTCTCAAATGCTTTTGATGATATAGTGTTGTGCAAGAATGTCAAAACATTAGTGAATGGAACAACACTCAATCCTTGTAATTGTTCTTTACTGACACTACCAAATATATCAGGATGGAGTAGTAAAGTACCCTGATTATTCATAGTTATTGGCATTTGTGGTTGCTTCAAATTCTGCACCTTCATATTGACATTCATATCAGGACTAAGAGAGCTAATTGAAGCTGTTGATTGCGTCGCCATAGCTTTAGCTGCTTTCGCGATATCGTTCTTATTATTACTAGATTGCGTTTTATTGGCAGCCAAACTGAGTTGAATTGAACGTGGTGATAATTGCTTATTCGCTAATGATGTCTCAAATATCGATGTAAGTGTCCACTTTGTATGGAATTGATTAGAATGGTTCTCCATTTTATGAAATTGATTCCCACTTGTAAGATTGAGCAAGATTGCGGTCTAGAGTGGCATGAGCGGGTATGAAAGCCATCGATAAAAACTCACCTGCCAGCCAGAATCCTTATTTATGGCAAACCAATCGTATTTTTGCATTAATAGTATGCAAATTTCATTAACTGTAAGTTTAACTCCTGCATTTTGCAACTCTGCAGCGATAAGGGTTGTATATGCAACATTCGGCCTTCTATGATTATTGATCGTATGCTCAGTAACTTGAGGGTATACAGGTATACCGTTGTTAACGCTAGGTTTCGTTGATGTAGCAGTTTTCTGTGCCTTCTTAGTTGACGTTGGGTTCTTAGTTGAAGCAGGTATAATATCCTTCTCAGACGGCATAACAAACCAGAATACTTTAGTTGCTATTTGTATTTTAGTCTTTCGACCTAATTCAATACGTGCACCTTTGCCGTACCACAATCCTTCAACCCAGAGACCATTTATCGAATCAACGTTGAGATTAAAAAGCTCACGTTCAAAATCGTAACTTATAGAAGCATGGAGTCTGCTAATTGACTTTGATGAACCCAAATCAACATCAATTGGTATATCTGAAGTTGTAGATCTTCTTCCTATATTGACAGACAAGCATTGTAGATAATAGGCGTAGTGTTCTTGCTTAAAATGTAATTTAGCGTATGCAGCTATCGTCTCATATCCAGGTCTTTTTACTGCTTTCATTTGGGTTGAGGAAGATGGCCGTCAAAAGACAAGCGGAAAGGTGTAGGGAGATGTATAGATTATTGTAGAGATTGTCAATGTGTGATAACTCATCTCATATTATTTTTAATTGCATTTTCCACAATCACCTTTGAATTAACTGATAAGAATAGTTCAGATTGTATCAGTAGATAAGATATTGTATACATTAATGTATTTTAGTATAATGAAGATAACATCGTGAATACATCAAAGATAAGCTCATGCGCTGTATATCAGTCTATCAATAGCTTTTTGTCGAGATTGGCGTCCGCAAGTACCTATTATTGTTGAGTACCTGTACTAGCACCTCCACAGTAGATTGTGCCTCAATTCGAATATCACTCAGGCATAGCTGTAGAATGGTAGCATATTTGATGACTTCAGCCGTCTAGATGCATAGATTAGCTGACATATCCGCAGAGGCATACCAGTTGACGTATAATTTAATAATCTACAACATGTCATTGTATCCAATACATAGATTCTTAGAACACCAACTTTGTCTCCAATTCTCTTTAAAGATCCCTTCGAATCTACTGAGACTGCGTTATGATGAAATATAGAATCACAAATCACGCGATCAATGTCGTTAATTTGTATGTTTCAATAAATAGAATGATTAATTAGACAATTTATCTTATAATGGCTTCTGTGCATGGCTAGACACCTTCATTTTTTCCAAATTAAGCAAGTGCAAGAATGTGAAAATTTTTGACATTCAGTAAAGATCGAATGGCCGAACGTACACCGATAAGATCAGGGAATTTTTCTCTATAAGGTGGTATATTTAACTTGTTAATTTAACCAGAAGAGGACAAATCCTAGTCTGGAATTTTTCAAATATTTAGACTGCTGCGCTTTACGTCATAGAGAGTAGTCGAGCCCAAATAGGCAAGATTTCGAAGAAAGAACTCTCATACCTTGGAAATAAACTACCATCAATAAAATACACAGTAAGTATATAGATAGTGGAATATAGAGCCACAGCTAACAGTGCATACAGTGCTTTTACGCGTTGATCCTGCAGACAACTTACCACCAGTCATTTACCAACTTGCGTTCAGTCACAGTGTCGCCTATCCTAGCAGCTGGCTTGTTAGATCTTTAGAGGCTCAATCACTCGCACTTGAACACAACAAACCAAATGTAGCAGACAAGTCATCTTGGTTGATTCACTTGGTAAATCAAGTTTGTTTCGACTTAGCGGCAAAATCAGTTAGAGTTGAATTAACAGAGGAGGCATACCACGAGCCAATCCACATCGCACTTAGTGATGATAGCTTTGAAAAAGTTTCATCCATCGTCAGGGACGTACAAGACGCATGTGCTTTAGCACGCGAGGAGCAAGAACAAGCCCACGAGTTTAAGAACCGCTCCTTGGAACTCTCAAGAAGTTCATCTAGAAGCTCGACTGACTCCAACCAGTCAAACAACTTCATCGCGTCAGTGTTCTCAATCTTTTCATCTGGACGTAGCGACGCCAGCATCTCACCACCACCTTCACCATCACCATCTAACGAAAGTGGTAAGATCAATAACACTCAATCACCTTCACGTGTATTGCGCTCCAGAGCACGTGCTAAGCTTGCGGATGCTTTCAGAAGATACGTCTTGCCAGCACTCAAAGCTCAGCTCGTTGGTGTCGCAGAGGAGTTACCAGAAGGTAGATCAAACGTTGACTACTACGAGTTCCTTGCTCAAGCAAAGATCACCGCACATGAGCGTGAAGTAGCAAAGTGTATCGTTGAAGGAAAGCTCATCCAACATCAAATTGAGACAATCGGTGATAACTCTCACCGTTCACGTAAAGGTGCACTCGCAGTTTTACAAGAGAGTTTAATTTCAAACAATCAAGCACCTTCACTTCGTCAATTGAAAGCACAAGCTGATGCACTCAACAAGCGCCGTGTAAAGTTGGAAAACAAGACTATGTCACTTAAGAGCACCCTTGAGAATCTTCAGCAATATACAGCAAAGCGCGAAGCTATTTCAAAAGAACACGCTGCTGAATTAGAAGCAGCTTCATTGCGTAGAAATGGTTTATTGATGGCTTCACAAGTCGCTCCAAAGCCAACTTCATTCGCTCCACGCCGTTCTTCACCATTGAAGGAAGTTTTAGTTGGATAAACTAGCTGTCCTTGAATTTAGTTTTAAAATCCCACTCTTCTGCTTTCTTTTAGCAAAAGACAGGTAGATTTTGATCTTACAAGTTCAAAACACCTAATCAGTCTACAATAATTTGCGTTGATAGTGTTTATTCTTTAATAACCGTTCCGCATTTATTGATTGAACGTCAGGCCCTTGTCAAATTTAGTGTCACTCGTTTTAACTTTATTTCTTTCAACTTTTGACAAGCGTTGATCTTGACTTTATTCGTATTCCTCTGGTTGATTTGTTCCCATTGGCTTCGCTTACGAATATCTTAGTATTTTATACTAACCTTCTTTGGTTTTTTTTTTTATATTTATTTTACACAACATTGTCTATCCTTATTTATGTTTTCTTTTTCTTTTTAACTTTTTTTTCCATTTTGGGTTTTGCTATCATTTTCTTTCCTCTTAATTATGACCTCAGTTATAAGTAATATCCCAAAATCACTTTTTATACAATCAACTGTTACACCAGTTGGGAAATTAAACTACAGACTTAAGCATTTAATAACTGTTATTAGATTTTATCTTTACGTTGCTCCACTTACTGTTGTGAACACTATTAAGAATGCTAGTAAACGTCCACAACCTGCTACAAAATGGAGTTTACTTAGATTAGTTGGTACAGCATTAGCTAGACAGTATGCTTCATCAACATTCAAATGGTCTTTACAGCCACCCGCATCAAACCCAGTTAGGAGGAGAGTAATTGATACTTTCTTAGGCGATGATTTGAAATCACATTGCACAGAAATAAAGAAAGTTGATGATAAATATTACACTGGCGAATGTGAGCGTGCAAGAAGGTTCGTACAACCAGCTTCAAGTGTACCCTCATTTTGGATTTATCCGAAAGATAAGCCATTTCATTTGGACGACATACATGATGAGAAAGTTGTGAGTATATTATTTTCAATTTGGATATTTGTTAAACTATCACATTAGTTACTTTTCTTACACGGTGGTGGATATATTAGTGAAAATCCACTTAGTCTCCCAAGCGGCGCTTATGCAGTCAGAGAAACTGGATATAAATGTCTCGCAGTTCATTATCGTCTTTCAGATGGTATAAACGCACACCCTGCTCCGCTTCAAGATTGCACCACTGCGTATATCTATTTAACACACAAACTTGGTGTCAAACCATCAAATATCGCAATAATGGGTGACAGTGCTGGTGCAAATGCTGCCAATGCTTTATTATTCCACCTTCTTGATTTGAAAGAAAGACAAGTTGACGTAGATTTACCTAGCTTCGTTAGTTTAGTTAGCCCATGGGGTGATATGACAAGTACCTTCCCTTCAATCACCACAAACAGAGAATGTGATGTTTTACCACCATTCTCATCACAATCAGAACTTGTTAGATCTCATTTGAAATATGCGCCTGAGAGTATTTCAAACAAGTATAACTCACCAGCACTTCAAGAATCGTCTACATTCAAACCATGGAAAGAAAACAACTTGAAAGTTCACATTCAAATTGGTGAAGCTGAAATTCTTCGCGACGAGGGTTTAGCATTTGCACTTAAACTGATTGAAGCGGGTGTAGATGTTGAATTCAGCATGATTGAAGGTGAAGTTCACGATGCAGTTAATATTGATCAGAAGGCAGAAATTGCAAAGAGTGACTTCTTGAGAGGATTAAGTGGTTTTAATAGTTAGATATTTTTGTACTATGTATCATAATTACAGTTATTTTCCTTATTTACTCTGCTGTACCCTTCTCTAATGCTTCAATATGACCTGCCTTTGAGTTGAGGAATTCGTGCTTTGTGGTAGCCCAGTAGTAAATACCGTAGCCTATATGAATTGAGATTTATATTCTGTCACAGTAAGTATCACCCACCCAAAGCAAATGGAATACCTGAGTATGGGAGTTGCTTAGCAAGTCTCTTGTATCCGTTGAAAATGTAACCTTGAAGGGCACCAGCGAATGGACGTTGAGTGAATGCAGATACACCTTTTTATTGTGAGTTCAATAGACATATAGTGAGGATAAAATTACCGTATTGAGTGATACCGCGTTGCTTTGGTGAGCCTATACGAAGTGATTAGAGGGTATATGATTGCTATATAGAATAATAAATACCTATAGCACCCCACCAACCCATGTAGGTTTTACCTTGTGAGTTATTAGCATATATAAGTAGAAGGTGATATTGAATTACCTGTTGGCATACTATATACTATATAAATATCTGTACTGGAATGAATTTTAAAAACTCACCCGCCATATTGAACACCTGAAGTTCTCATTTTATCGTTGTCGTGGTATAAGATCTATCAGCGAGGACACTTCCTTCGACTCGCCAATCAGAATTTATGTAATTTTATGATATTTATTTAGCTATTAGTTTATCTATTTATCTATATAATTTTTGTATTATTATTATTATTAAAAGTAGCCTTCTTGCAAAAAAGTACTGTAGCGATTTTTATTTAGTTATAGGATGGGTAGATTACAATAGAGGATATATTCGTTACGTTTGTATATTCTGCTTATGGTATTTATTTCTCTCCATCTGCCTCATGCACTTATCTCTGCCGTATTCAACTTGTACAACTTATTTTGGAAAAATTATATATGAGTATGCGTGTACTCGTTTTCAGTTTAACTCCAATGACACAAAGATCATGCTATCACAGCATCCTCAACAAAGTTCAGATGACGACACAAACCTCGGGTAGCTTTAACGACTGTCTGTATTCTTTTCATAGACGAGTATACAAAATATACAGCCTCGTTTAACCATAAAATCATATCCCGGTTGCTTTATCTTCATCATTTGGTATTCTGCAAATTTATTACCAAATATCAAACCCTCTTTGGTGTGCCGATATTGACAAAAATAAAACATTCAGGCTATTAAATAAATATTCACGCGTTTGACACGTCAATTCAGTCATCGCCAAGGTAGATAAGCTTTAAGATCGTCATTGGTGCTTCCCGGAAATAATCGTAGATAATGCACGAGAATCGTTGAGTAATTATGAATTGTTTAGGCTCAGGTAGTATTTTATATGCTTTAATTTAGTTTTCTACTTATCCGGTCGACTCCAGATTTTGAATTTAAAAACTGATTTATGCGCCAATCACTCTTTCCTTGTAATTATTCAGAAAATGTGAGGTAAAAATTAAGTAAATAGTTGAAATTAACAAATAAACAGAAAAATGGTTGAAGCTACTAAGCCACAAACTCCACAAGGTGCAGACTTGTTAGGCAGAGTGAGTTTTTCCTACCTTCACGGTTACACTTTTTTGACAACTCAATAGTTCGCTTTAGCTGGGTAAGCTCTTATATTAGCCTACGAACTAACATCTAACACCCCACGAGTGCTCTCTGTGTCAGTACGCTCTTGTCTTCTTAACCTCGCTAACAGCCGCAAAGTGCGCTATCACCCACGGTGGTGCTACCCCAATTGATGTCGTTAAGACTAGAATCCAACTCGAGCCAGAAACCTACAGAGGCGGTATGCTCAAGTCCTTCCGTCAAATCGCTTCAACCGAAGTCAGTTTTTTTCTTCCTCCAAAAATCAATTCTAACAGCAATATAGGGTCCAGGTGCTCTCCTTACCGGTGCTGGTCCAACTTTCGCTGGTTACTTCCTTCAAGGTGCATTCAAGTTCGGTGGTTACGAATTCTTCAAGAAGCAAGCCGTCGACTACGTCGGTCTTGAAAACGCAAAGGACAACAGAACCGCTATCTACCTCGGTTCATCAGCTCTCGCTGAATTCTTTGCTGACATTGCCCTCTGTCCATTAGAAGCTACCCGTATTCGTTTAGTTTCAAACCCACAATTCGCATCCGGTTTAGTTTCTGGATTCACCAAGATTGTCGGTCAAGAAGGTGTTGGTGCCTTATACGCCGGTTTCGGTCCAATCTGTTTCAAGCAAATTCCATACACTATGGCTAAGTTCGCTGTTTACGAAACTGTCTCAGAACAAGCTATCCACGCATACGGTAAGCCAAAGTCTGAACTTTCAGGTGCTGAAGCAAACACCATCAACCTTGGTTGTGGTTTGATTGCTGGTATGGCCTCAGCTGTCATCTCCCAACCAGCCGACACCTTGCTTTCAAAGATCAACAAGACTGAAGCTAAGGCTGGTGAGAGCACCACCCAAAGATTGGCTGGTCTCGCTAAGCAACTCGGTGTTGGTGGTATGTTCTCCGGTATTGGTACACGTCTTGTTATGGTTGGGTGAGTAGTTATATGATCTTAAACGATAAATACTAATACAAACCTCACAGTGGTATCACCGCTGGTCAATTTGCCCTCTACGGCTCTATCAAGTCCTCCCTTAACGCAACTGGTGGTACTGAAATTGCCAAGTAAGACAACTTTAGACATAATACATTTAAGATACATTTTCCATTTGATCCCTATGCATTGATTGGTATGATGGCGAGAAAATTGAAACGGTTTTTATTTTACATAATGGCATAGATACAGTCCCTCCATCGTTCCATTTGCTGATAAATATTAGTAGTTATGGAGTACTAGCACCTGCGATATTGAATGTCTGTTTTGATCATTCTAAAAATTTTTAGATATATAAATCAACAATTCAGCTAATATTATTAAATAGAGACCCATTTATTATATAAATCAGTTTCATTTTCTCATTCAATCACTAGAGAATACTATATATGTGTGTAATAATATCCTTTGTCTTACACGTGAACGTCTTCAAGGGGGAATACGATTATCAGTTAATTATGAAGCTGTACCATAGACTTTTATCCGTCGATAATAATTTGCAGATCCACAATACAAAACTGAGATCAGTGAATGATATCATCAGAAAGACATACAATTTTAGGAATACCTTCCCGTGTATGGTCTTGGTCCTGAGAACGGCAACTAATCACGTCCAGCTTTAGTAATAAAGCTGCCAATAAATTCACCTCAGGGGAGAAGCTCGTGCATTATCAAGAAGACTTTGCACATCGATCCTCAATCTCGAAAGACGAAAAGATTCTATCAAATACCCAAAATGAATCATAAGATTCATTCAGTTTTACTTTTTATTCCACTTAATCTCGAAGTGATATATTAAGCACATTTTCTTTCATATATTGTATTACTTTAACATTCATGATGATTAATTTATGATGATTATAATTATTATGCTTGCAGTAGTATAATGCGTGTATTTTCACCGCTTTTAATCTGTCAGAGGACTATCATCGTATGGAAGCAACATACCTTATATTCTGGAGTTGAGTCACGGTCGAGGCGGCGCATTGGCGGTGTTTCTGAACCCCTACGATACTTTGCTATGTTAGATTAGTATCGTAAACCACAATACACTTACCTCTGGTGTTGGTGAGCGATAATGCCTTGATGGTGGAGGTGATCTCTGCTACAACTAATGAGTTTATCAACTTATGGAAAGACTGAAATACTTACTCTTCTAGTGTTGTAGTCAGGTGTTGAAGAACGATAGCGGGTGCGTGGTGGGGATGCTGAGTAGTCGCGCTGATTGGATTTACTGTAAGATCAATACAATTAAAATAAGTGAAACCCACTCTAAGAGAGTTCCTGTAGTCAGGTGTGGCTGATCTATCACGATTCTGTGGAGATATTTAACAAGAACCATTGAGCAATCTATGAAACTCACTCTATCGGGTGTTGGAGACCTACGACGGTAGCGTTGAGGAGAAGGTGACCGTCTACGATAGTCAGGTGACCTGCTTTGTCTATCATACTTCCTAGGACCACCACCACCACCTCTGCCTCTACCTCTACCCCTACCTCTCCCACGATCACCGCGATCACCTCTCCTATGGTCAGCATCTCTATAACTCTGCCTAATTTGGTCTCGTTCGCGGGCTCTAGCCTGATCGTGTTCCTGTTTAGCGAGAATTTCCTTCCTCTTGGCTTCAAGCCACTCTGGTGGGATACCAAGTTCACTATCTTGAGCGCTAAGCAACTTTTGCCATAACTCTTCCATAAAAACAGGGGTATGCTTCTCTAAAAAGCCAGTTAAAGCTATTTGTAATTTACGGGGATCTGGTTGAGCGTTATCAGGCGCTTCTAAAAGATCGGTAACGTATTCGATAACGATATCATCCTCAAATCCTAATAAAGATGTAACTCTTTCACTAATCCACGGTCTGAAAACAGTTGCGTTGATCTTACGCATATCAACTTTATCATTGAAAATTGAAGGGAATTTTGAATTCTTTATTAATAAAGCATCCTTATCTTTATATTTCCTATCCTGATCTGCAGCTACACCACGTAAACCTGCGTCAGGCATCTTGATAGTCTACAACCAAGAAGAGATATGCCACACAAAAGAGCTAAAAAGAGTGTTAGAGATAAGAATACAAAAGAAAGGTAGAATAGTTTATATTTTCATTAAGAAATCTAATAATCTCATCAGTGGATTCAATAACGCACCATCTGGGTATAGAATTGATAATGAACAGCTACCAAAAGGTGCTATGAGGATATTAATGGGTGGAAAGATACAAGAGCAGTTTAGAGAGCGTAAAAGACAAAGGACAGATGAATCAGATAATAAAGAAGACAAAGATGTAGGATCTTCATTATTACACTCTGTGATGATTAGATTAACGAATAATTTAGTTGAAAATCAGACCAGATGAGCGTCTAAAAGATTTCAATAGACGTATAGACAACAAAATGCGTAAAGATATCAACACTTCAATCAAGTCTAACACATCTGAGAAGGCAGCGAAGAGAATGAACAAGATAATTGAGAAGGAACAAGAAAAGGAGAAACAAAAGAAAAGAGCTGCAGAGGAGCTAAAGGCCCACCAGGAAGCTCAAGCGGAGGAGGATGATTCTGAGGAGGAACGCCCAGAGAGAGACTTTGAAGTTGCTGATCAAAGGCGAAGCTTGAATGATGTTGCACAAGCACCACCTACATTACCACGTATGAAGAGACAAGCGAAAAGGTTTGGCGTTGAGGATTCAAGTGCAGGATCAAGAGTCGGTGCCCCATTGATGCGTCAAATGGAGTTAGAGAAGGAAAGAGATAGGGTTATTAACCTCTATCGCCAGCAGAAGGGTAAGAGACTCGAAAGTTGGGTCACAAATCGAGAAAAGGATGAGCAGTAAGGGTGTCAACGGATAATAGCAACTCAACGCGACTTTTAATGTTCATTTATCGTTAACAATATCATCAACTTCACTTGTAGCCTTATTTATGAAATTATAGAAATCTTTTTGAAGGAATTCACCTTCACTGTTGAATAAATCTGGGTATGGTATTGAAGATAACGTCTTCTTAGCGTTTATGAGTGACTTTCCACCATTAGCTGTTCTCCTGTAGCTCAACTTCACTTCATACTTTGGTTGTACTGTCTTGTCTTTTGTTGATGATGCAGGTATTGTTGTTGATCGTATTTGAACGGAAGATGTTTCAATCTGGTGTAAGGTTAGGAGTGTCCATGATGACAAGCGAGTACATACTCTTCCCTGCAGCGTCTTACGCTTTCCTGTGAATATCTTGTTTGAGATAATAAAGCGTGAGTGGAGGTAAAGCAAACCGCTCAAAACAGCGTATCTGTGAATGCTTAAGTTGAGGATACCTTTCCATAAGTCAATACCCACAATGCTACGGCTAAACCAACCAAATTCTTGGATTCCTCGAATGGTACCGTGTATGACCATCCACATACACCTCCAGCAACGATACAAGCGATCCAACCAAAAATTAACTGTATATCTGTGTGTTTAAATGACTGCTTATATCCGTGAGATGTAGTCAGTATCTGGATATTGCTGTTAGCATATTCCGTCTGTCAGCCAGCACACACCTTCTTCACAGCATCGTCACAAGTGTGCTTAGCTGCAACTATATCTAAAGGGTTTATGATAATCTTCTCCTCCTCTGGCTGATCATCCTTAGGTGGTGGTGTTGGCGGTTTCATATCCTGATAGTCGAGTATAAAGAATGAATTTATGAGTACATCACATTTATGGGATAAAATGGTAAAAAAGAATCAATCTACGACATCACTTAGTACCGTTAACGGTTTGTTTTACATTCTCAACTAAACCAGCTGCCGCGTTCTTGATTGCGTCAGTCGTTGCCAGTGGTTTAACTTCTGGGAAGACGTCATCTTGGCAAGCTTGTGATGCTGCACTAAGAACAGCCTTCAATCCTGATGCTGCTGCGTCAGGGTCAATACCGACACCCCAGTATTCCCTTTCTGATTGATCAGTAAGGTTAACGTAAGATGCGGCTTGTACGTAAGAACCTTTACCGATCGCGTGTTCTTCGTAGCTCTTGACATTCAGTTTGGCACCAAATTGTTCCTTGAGACCATCAAGTAAGGCGGTGATTGCACCATTACCAGCACCCTCAACAACCCTTGGTTCACCATCAACTGCTATCCTTCCCTTAAATGTACGGCTGTTCTCTTCAATGCCAGATGGTGTCTTTTCACCCGGGCCAGCTCTTGCATCTTCAAGTGTGAAATTTCTCAATGCTAATCTACCCTTTGTTGAGAACTCCTCGAGGTAGTACTGTTTCTTGAATGTTGTTATGATATCATCTACACTGATTTCAGTACCAGTTGCATCTGAAAATTGTTGAATGACTTGATAGAATGAAATTTGCATGCGTCTTGGTAAATCCATACCAAGAATTTGCTTGATAAGATAAGCAATACCACCTTTACCTGATTGTGAGTTGACTCTAATAACAGCCTCATATGAGCTGCCAATGTCTGCAGGATCGATTGGCAAGTATGGCATACTCCAAATATGATCGCCATTCTCCTTTCTTTTTTGCTGAGCTTCGAAACCCTTCTTGATGGCATCTTGGTGGGATCCTGAGAAGGCTGTGAAGACAAGTTCACCAGCGTATGGGTGACGTGGGTGTACAGGTAAACCGGTACATTGAGTGACGGTGTCGATCACACTTAACATATCATTAAATTGCAATCCTGGGTTAATACCCTGACTGTAGAGGTTCATTGCTAAAGTGACCAAGTCAACATTTCCTGTACGCTCTCCGTTTCCGAACACGCATCCTTCAACTCTATCAGCACCTGCTAATTGACCGAGTTCCGCAGCAGCAACACCAGAACCTCTGTCATTGTGTGGGTGGAGTGAAACGTGAACTTTTTCCCTTTCGCCGATGTGTCTACAGAAGTACTCTATTTGATCAGCGTAGGTGTTTGGTGTACCAACTTCGACGGTAGCTGGAAGGTTGAAAATAATTGGAACTTCAGCAGTTGGCTTCCAAATGCTCTTCACAACTTGACAGATTTCAACAGCGAATTCAGTTTCAGTTTGAGTAAAAGTTTCAGGGGAATATTCGAAAGCGAAGATAGTACCATATTTGCTTGAATATTCATCAGCAAGTGATCTAACCAACTCTGAGTGTTCTCTGGCCAACTTGATTGTCTCCTCGCGTGAGTTTCTGAAAACAACATCTCTAAAGAGTGGAGAGGTGGCGTTGTACATGTGAATGACAGCTCTCTTAGCACCTGCGATAGATTCAAAAGATCTCTTTATTAAATCGGCTCTTGCTGGGGTCAATACTTGGACCCAAACATCATCGGGTGTTAATCCTGGAGTTTCGATCACGGATCTGACAAAGTTGAAGTCTGTATCGCTAGCAGCAGGGAATGCGGCTTCAATTTGCTTAACACCGATTTTTACAAGCATTTTCCAGAATCTAGTTTTACTACGGAAGTGTTAGCTGATGTGTATATATCAAGCAAATTCGACTAACGCTTCGATAGACATTGGATTAGCGAGTGATTGGTTACCGTCTCTTAAATCAGTCGATAACCAAATAGGTGCCTTCTCTAATGTCTTTGAAGGCCAAGTCCTATCATCAAGTTTGATTGTCGGAGTAAATTTCTTGTATTTTGTGGATGGATCTTGTCTATAGAGCGTTATAGAATGCAAAAACCAACGCAGTCTTTACTCACAACATCGGCATTTTTATATATTTTTGGTGGTACAAAACGAGGAGAAGAAGAAGACTATCAGAGTAGTTGAGTCATAAGTTCAGAATTATAGAAATACTAAATCAAACCGGATTTAGGTCTTATTTTATATATTTTCTGCCTTATGGGCTATAAATATATATTATACTTCCTATCGCTCTACTGTACCTCTCCTGTTACCCCATGATATCTCAATACGCCGAGAGGTACAGAAGTGATTAAGATACCTAGTTATAATATGCATCCTATCAGTACACAATGAATGAGACTCTCAATCTAATCTCGATAACTTTATCTGATGATGATCTTTAGTCGATCGTCTCCAATAAATTTTCATTAGTAATAACTACATAACCTTATCGAAATAGACATTATATAAATACTGAAGCATCAGCTGAAGATTGAAGGTATCCTCAGCATACATACATACTGAGTGACTCTGACGTTCTACAGTTGACCGCAGTATCAGTGAAATGTACAGCTATACAATACAACTTGCTTGTACTTTCTCTTTGTACATTCCGCCCGGGAATATCAGCTGCAATCGATACGACTACTGTAGTTTATGTAGTACCTTATCATGTAAAAGTTACTGTTACTTGTACTTGTCGCGAGACTGTAGAATGAGAATTTACTAAATGCAGTGTCGCCATTATCTTGCTCCCTCATACATGCTTAATTTGCTTTCTTGAGTAAATAGGCTTTGTTCAAACAAAAAGAGGTAAAAGTCAAGATTACGGGATTGCTATAATAAACTAGCGGACGAGGAAGCAATACAGAGATAATATATTATGTATTACCCTTCTCTCAGTCCGATTCAACCCCGAAGTTCAAGCTGAGTCTGTGAGGAAATATAGAACAGCATAGATGGAATAGCATTTCTAGTTGTACAGCAGTATGCTATCCTTATAGTATATACTAACCTTACTTCCTCATCAATGGGTGTACTTGTCAAGGCGAATGCAAGTCTGGCAGCTCTTGAGTTAATGGAGAATGGATATATTATTTCGATAATATTGCAAAGTACTATAAGATACATATCATAAATTTAATTTCCTATTTTTGACCCCCATTTTGAATTTTCGTCCTCGTCTTTCACAAAAATCTGAAAGATTCTTCTTTCAGCAGCTACTAACACCTTGCAGAAATGTGAGTAAGAAAATAAGCGGCGTCGATTAGAATGACTGTTATCATCACCAACTGGCTTTGTTTTCTGTCAATTTTATGCTCTGGCTCGTGTGAGTGCAAAAATGATTTTGGTAGTCTTAGTCTCCAGGATGGTAGCTAGTTCAGTTATTCTAATACAACATATACGCCGCTGTTATTATCCTCCGCCAATCAGAAACTAATATCGTCGCTCCCAGGGGTGCCTACAAATACGTCCAAAGCATCAACCAACACAAGCAAAGTGACTTGGTTCAGTTCAGACTCCGTGTCATGGCATGGTACTTGAGACAACTTACCGTCATCTCAAGAGCTCCAGGTCCATCAAACGTTGTCAGAGCTAGACAATTGGGCTACAAGCGTAAGCAAGGTTACGTCATCTACAGGGTTAGAGTCCGTCGTGGTAACCGTAAGAGACAAGCTCCAAAGGGTGCTACCTACGGTAAGCCTGTTCGTCAAGGTGTTAACCACTTGAAGCCAAGCCGTGGTCACCGCGCCATTGCCGAAGAACGCGTTGGTCGCCGCTGCTCAAACCTCCGTGTTCTCAACTCATACTGGATCAACCAAGACGGTGTCTACAAGTTCTACGAAGTCATCCTTGTCGATCCATCCCACAAGGCTATCCGTCGTGACGCTCGTATCAACTGGATCTGCAACCCAGTCCACAAGCACCGTGAATCACGTGGTTTGACTGCTGAGGGTAAGAAGAACCGTGGTCTCGGCAAGGGCCACAGATTCAACCACGCCCCACGTCGTGCTACATGGCGCAAGCACAACACCCTCTCACTTCCACGTTACCGTTAAGTGTGAGGCGTGTATATCTTTTGTTGTACGCACATTCATGCCGTTTTTTTAATATTTCTCATTTTAGTGAAATTTTTCTTAGCATTGTTTCATATAGTTGTCTCTCGAAAAGCTTTCATTGTATGCATGTGTATCGTATGGGGGATCTTAATACGTCTTTCAATGATGTGAGCTGTAGTTGGAGCCATATAAAATTGAAACCGCACATGTCACACTCAAATAATTTGCGTTTCGAGTATTTCTACTTTGAGACATACCAATATACAGCAAAATCATAGTGTGATCTTTGTATATTTAGATAGATCTAATGTGTGGTTTTTTGAATATCCATCTCAAAATTTTTCTTTTCTAAATCATTATTCTATAGGGTCACATACAGCTTTGCAAATTAGGTTCCTGGATAACGTTCACATTTTCACAATGACAAGTCGGACTATATAAAAAGCTTGAAACCATTCATCAAGATTTTTGTTCTACTTATGGTGACTGGTAAACTCCCGTCGCCAAGCCACACCGGTGGATGGTCTTAAGCTGAGACTAAAGTTAGAGATGCCATTATTAATGATAGACTTGATATTAGCGTTTTTCTAGAAAAGCCTGATTTATAGGCACTAGAATCACCGTCCTCCTCATCATCTCCACTAGAAAGGCTAACTTTTGAAACCCAACCATTAGCATTGTTTTTTGATAGACACAATTCAGTCTCTCTACTATAAGGCGTACTCAAGTACGCGGTGTCTCCATAACCCGTCATATTAATGTTAGGCTTCCAGCAATCATCACCGATATCGTAACATGATGAAGCTACAAAAGTGTCATTGATGTGTGTTGTTTTGAAAGAGAAAAAACCACAATCATTGTTAGCTGTATAACTCATAATATGGCTGTGACTTTACTTGAAACATAATCCGATCCGATTTGTGAACATGGTTTTTATTATTATAAAAAAATTACATATATATTCTTCTGAGACCTATGTCATTGGGAAATTTCACAATTATGATTTAGGAAATCTACTCCTACCAATAATTTAGCCTTATCTATATTTATGCGGTAACACCACAAAACCAAAGTCAGGTACTCTACTTAACATCCAATCACTGTAAAACTGTTTCGGAACAACAAACAGCGATGAGAAATAACTTTGCTAAATGTCCTCACAACTAGAAAAAGCGTTGACGTCCTAATGTGTCATATCTCACATATTAGTATCACAGTCCAACTACAGAGTAGTTTTGACAATTACGTTATAGCGTATCTAGTTTACTGGGATATCTGGGAATGTTTTGATTTATCACACGCTAGGTTATTCTATCCGCATTCTGTAGTTTTCCGCCACATTCTGGAGGAGTATAGAAGTTGAATTTACCAGAACTCTCGAGGAGATGAAGACGGTTATATAAGCAGGGGTATCTTCTTAGTCGTCTACCATCAACAGAACACTACAGCAACTAGCCAACTTTCATATATCAATTATCAAACATACAACAATGTCATCAATCTTCTGCAATCAACCAAAAGACTTTGGATTCCCAATTGAATTCCTAATTGAAGAGGCTGCACCAAAGAAACACATCAATTCTACTCTCTCAACCCACAAACCACATCTTGATCTGTTAGAATACGAGAACTCATATGAGGCTAGACTGAACCTGGCAGGATACAAGAAAGAGGAGTTGGATATCTCAATACACTCCCACAAGATCACTGTAAAAGCAACTCATCCAACTGAAGAAAACCAAGACAACAAATTTAGCTACTTGATTAATGAGTGCAGGTCATCTCCAACTGTTAGTCGGACATGGAAGATCCCAGAACATGTCACAGAAGATAACGTTCACGCCTCTTACACCGATGGATTGCTCACTTTGAGATATTCAAGACATGCACCAGAATCTGAACCAAAGAGAATCAACATTAATTAAACTAGAAATTTGTATGAGTATATTTATTGTTATTAGTGAGTTTTATTCGGTTGTGTTTGTGTTAATAAATGGACAGGTAGAGATGTCTGAAACACGCTTTCTAGGTCGATTAGGAATTTGAATCTGAAAACAGCAAATACAACAAGTTGATGCATATCTACATTATAATCAGCTCAGCTATACACTCCTTCACAGTACATCACTTAGAACTTTTAGCAAGGTACGTATTTTACGGAGATAAAATAAACTGCGGTAAACATAACACACACCATAGTATTTGCACGCTTGTATGTTTCTTTTTTTGGATTGCTTTATGTGGTAAGATTTTCCACCATCAGTTGTCTCAATTGTTGGTTCCACATGATGATATTAGTAATTAAGTTATCATACAATATAGGGATTCGCATTCGACTATTTCATGGATTATGATGAAAATATATACAGTTTTATTTCTTTAATACATTGAACATTTCATCTATAGACAAAAATTTTTCCCTAATTTTGTCCAACTGCTTACCATTTGCAACTTCAGCATCATTGATACGTCTCCAATCTTCCCATTTAATAGCACCTTGGTCGACTACGGGTGGTACACCTTCCTTTGGTGACTTGATTGATGGAGCCCAGTTGAGTTCAGTGGATGGAGCTGGATCATCTCCGTTGTGAATATCCTGAAGAATGGTGTCTGCAACACTATATGAATCGTACATTGTGGATGCGATTACGCCGACTGGTCCTCTACTTGCCCAGCCTGTGGAATATACGTTTGGAATCTATATGCTTCGTTAGCGTTGGCGTTTTATTTTAAGCGTACTCACATTTATACCGTTTTCGTCGATCACTCTGCCGCCGGTGTTGAGAATTACACCCTTCCTACTATCGAATGGTATATCACCCAATTGCTCTGATCTATATCCAATACTCTCGATAACCAAATCATAATCTTCTTCATAACTTTGGTCAGTTGGTGTTGCAAGAATGCGAGGTGGAGATTGAGTAGCAGGCTTAGAGCCGAGAACCTCCGTAGATGGCGCACTCTTAGTCAGCTTGTTTACGCCAAATTTGATGCTGCTAAGGGTGTCATTCTTGCCAATATATTCTGCTGGAGAAAGAAGGAACTTGAGTGCCCAAGAGCGATCAGCGTCTTCGAGTTTGCATTCGCTGCCATCTCTAAGCAGACCAAGTATGCGCTTTTTTGCTCTCCACTCTTTATCTCCAGATGCGTCACCTTCTTTCATAACTTCATCCATTGTGTTACTATCGACGCTCTTCATAGCTACGTGAGGGAGATGCATCATCTCTCGTGTTTCCTTGGCAGTGAATGCAACCTGACTGAGACCTCTTCTGCCGATTAAATCGACATGTTTTACTGTGCTATTCTTAAGTGCGTCAAGCACACCAATTGGTATATCTGTTGTTGATAACTTCGAATAGTCTGTTGTGACTAACATCCTTGCTATATCTAAACCGACATTTCCTTGTCCAATTATAGCTACCTTTTTTGCTCTTTTCAAATCGCTGACTATCTTATCATGGAGATGCATATAATCTGGATGACCATTATACCAGCCGACGAATTCAGATGCTGAATAAACACCACTAGATAGCTTATCAGATGAACCAGATGATCCTTTAACATTCGCGAGGTGTGTGGGCCGAGAAGCGCCATAACTGAAAGCTAAATGTGTATAATGTTTAGCGATATCTTCTAATGGAACATTTAATATTTTTGGATGCTCTTCTATCTTTCTATGGCTTCCCACACTTATACCGCCAAAGAATTGGAATCTACTATCTTCTGCGGCTCTAGAGAATGAATTTATACAATTCTTAACATCTGGGTGATCAGGTGCTACACCATATCTAACTAACCCAAATGGTACGGGTAATCTCTCATACATGTGTATACTGTCATCTACACCCTTGTCTAGCTGATTAAGGAGCCTTTGTGAGAGATAAAAAGCAGATGGACCAGAACCAAATACTGCAAGTTTAATGGGCTGCCTCAATAGTACTTTACTAACAAAAACCATCTAGACTTCTCTTAAAGAAGGACGACGATGCCAACAATCTCTGTAGACAAGGCTGAATTATTCAAAAGGCTTGGAAGGGAATACAGTGGGTCTTTATTTATTATATAATAGATTTTATTAAAAGTATGTAGCTACCAAGGAATTTGACGAACTTTGCTTTGAGTTTGGTATAGAACTTGATGAGGATACCACAGAGGAAGTCTTGGAATTGCAAAAGCAAGGCCAACAAACTGAAGCTCCACAATTAAAGATTGAAATTCCAGCAAACCGTTACGATTTACTTTGTATTGAGGGTATTGCCAGGGCACTTAACGTCTTCCTCGGTAGAGCCGATCCACCAGCTTACAAACCAGCGGATACACAAAATAGAAGACAATTAAAGATCACGGGTGAAACTAAGGACGTCAGACCATACGCTGCAGCAGCGATACTCAGAGGTGTCAAATTCACAGAAGAGTCATACGCTTCTTTCATTGATTTACAAGATAAATTACACAACAACCTCTGTCGTAAGCGTCAATTTGTTGCTATTGGTACACACGACTACGACACCGTTGCCAGTGATGGCCCATTCACCTACGAAGGTAGAAAACCAGAGAATATCCATTTCGTACCTCTCAACAAAGACAAAGAAGTAGATGGTAATGGTGTTATGGAATTATACTCACAAGATAAGCATATCGGTAAATTCTTACACCTTATCGATAAATCACCTGTTTATCCAACTATCTACGATAGCAATGGTACACTTCTCTCACTTCCACCTCTCATTAATGGTGATCACTCAAAGATTAAAATTAGCACCACAAATGTGTTCATTGAATGCACTGCTACTGATGCTACAAAGTTAGATATGGTTTTAGATATCATGTGCGCAATGTTCAGCGAATACACTGAAAAGCCATTCGAGATTGAACAAGTTGAGGTTATTAACCCAGACAACAGCAAACGTTTAACACCAGTACTTGATAAGCGTCTAATGAAAGCTAGATCAACTTACATCAACTCATGTACTGGTTTATCCTCAAGTGCAGCAGATTTAACAAAGTTACTCACAAAGATGGGATTACCTTCAAAACCATCAGGTGAAACTGAGTATGATCTTTTAGTTGAAATTCCTATCACACGTCCAGATATTCTTCACGAATGTGATATTATGGAAGATGCAGCTATCGCATTTGGTTTCAATAAATTACCAAGAACATTCCCAACTGCATACACAGTTGCAGCACCATTACCAATCAACAAACTCAGTGATATAATTAGAAAAGAAACAGCTATGGCTGGATGGACCGAAGTTTTACCACTCATTCTCTGCTCAAGAGATGAGAATTGTCAATATCTAAACAAAGATGAAAGCGAATTAAAGAAAGCTGTACATCTTGAAAATCCAAAGACATTGGAATACCAAGTCGTTAGAACATCTTTACTTCCTGGTTTACTCAAGACTATCAGAGAGAACAAACATCATGCACTCCCAATTAAGGTTTTCGAAACATCTGATATTGCATTCGTCGATACTTCACTTGAGAGGAAATCAAAGAACCAAAGAAGAGTTGCAGCAATCTACAATGACAAAAAGGGTTCATTCGAAGTTGCACATGGTTTGTTAGATAGATTATTAAACATGTTAGGTATTGAATTCCTCCCATCCACAACTCGCAGAGGCGCTGAAAAGGGTTATTACATTGTTGAAAGTGACGACAAAACTTACTTCCCTGGACGTGCTGCATCAATTGTTTACAGACCACCACCAACACACAAAGAACCAGAGAGTACATTCGATAACCTCAAATCTAAACTCACTGAGGCTCTTCCAGATGGTTTGAAAGATCTAGTCGAATCTAGAGACAGAGTTATTGGTACATTGGGTATACTTCACCCTGAAGTTTTAGAGAAATTCGAAATTAAGAACCCATGTTCTGCCTTTGAATTCAACTTGGAAGAATTTTTGTAGACTTGCACAAAATTTAGATTCATACTTTTTATTATTACAATGAATTTCATTATATACATTAACTTGCTGATTGGGAAAGGGAACGAAATCTTAGGAACGAGAAATTGCGAGAAAACAAATAAAAAACAAGTAATTATAAGTAGATTGGAGTTGTACCTATCTACGCAGTGGGAGAATTCAACAGTTGTCAAGACGACTGGAGATGCTTCCTACTTTCGCTTCTGTTGTCTGGTTGCCGAGCGCGTTTGGTGTTTCACGGACGCGTCTGCTGGTTTATCTTCTTCTGATTGCTGATATTGAGTATCGTGAGTGTTTTCGTCTGTCACGTCCGGTTCGTTCTTTGGCTGTTGATCAGAGTCCTCCAGATCCGTAAGATCTGATTCTTCATGCTCTTCTGAATTGCCATCTATCTTCCTACTTCTGCCTTCTCCCTTTGTCTTTCTGCTACCTTTCCTGCCTCTTGGTTTATCCATTTCCTTCTTCGATGATACTGGTTTAGAATCTATACCAATTGGTTCTTCATCAGTATAATCAGACTCAAGCTCAAATCCTTCATGATTGGCAACATCGCGATCCTTATTGTTTCTCTTTCTTTTGGCTTTTGGATCTGCCGGTATCTATGAATGATTAGAAGCGACGATTCGTAGATATTCCAACCCACTTTGTACGAAGGCACTGGGATTCTGTCAGTAAAAAATGTCAGACTTAGACGGTCTTACCTTCAAAGTTCTCAAATGTGTCTAGGACAGCCTTCTTATGTTCGTCGCAAAGCTCCTTGAAACCAGGTATCCTGATTCAGATTAGATGACATCATAAGTAGAACGCCAAAGCTTACTCTTCCGGACCAGAGTACACATTGAGAATATTATTCATTTGAGTTTGTGTAACGCACTTCCAGTGGCGACTTAGCGGTTGTCAATTTGTTGGATCATGGCTGATAACAAGCTTACAAGATATACTGAGGGTGACTTAGACATCGAACTGTGGTACTAACTTTCACCTACGCTATACCTTTCGTGGAACTTAACGTCGACACCTAAACGCAATTCACCAAAGCCTATTAAACTACCTATTTGTTTGTCAATTTGGTAGATTTCCTAGTACATTACAACCAACCATTACATGGCTTTGGACCTCTACAGTGTGCCCTGTTACTTGGTGCTGCTTCAATTTTATATGCCATTGTTTGTTCGATTCGATGACGATTGTTGTAAGTTACGATTATTGAAATTTGCTAAAGCTTCTTTAAATTTATCGGAGTCTGGATTAAGTTTGTCTTTGTAAGATACTGGATTTTCTCTCCTATTTGATAGTTCGGGTTGTGATATAAGATCGTTATCGTCGAATACTTCTGATAAACGGCTTTTGAGTTTATTGATAACTTCTTTTGGTACCAAGTCATATAATTCTATCAAACGTATCATATGTTTATAATCCATTGGCTTCTTAGCGCCATGTACTGGCTTCACGATAGCTAATAAGTCGAGAAGACGGTTCAAATCGCGTGTTGCACCTTCCGAATCACCCAAAGGAAGCGCAGATGGAATAGATTCCTTTGGCCATACGAATGATAGATCATTTATGTTGTTAGTCTCGCTTATTTCGCGTATAAGTTGTTCTGCGTCCTTTACATTCATCGTTGGTTGAAAACAAGAGTAAATGTGTGAGCTTTGTAGGATATTTTAAAATATTTTAATGTCAATATGTATAAATAATGTATATATCTAAGTTCGATTCTTTAATCTTGCTTCTATGTGTTGTTTAATAGAGATAATGTGAGTACATCTAAAGTGAATATCAACATATAGATATATCATTCTTATAATACACCACACCTTGATTAGATACTACCAAGATGTCAGAAGTTGAAGAATACCAGCAAGTTGCACAGAAGCTTGATAATTTGATAGAAGTGAGGCAGAAATTACAAATACAATACAATGAGAACAATCAAGTTAAGGAAGTGCGTTATATAGATGTATAAATACACAACCTCTAATCAAATTGTAGGAATTCAGCAAACTTACGCCTAACAACACTGTATACAAAATAATAGGACCTGCATTAGTGGAACAATCGCAACAAGAGTCAAAACTCAACGTAGACAAGCGTATTGAGTTCATCCAATCCGAAATAGACCGTACCGAGAATGAGATTAGCACAACGCAACAAAAAATGCAAACATTGCAGCAAACTATTTCCAAACTTCAACAGGCCCAGGTTGAAGCAGCTGAGAAGGCGCAACCAGCAGCTGCCGCTTAAAGAATAATATACACATATATAGCATCACTTATAATTCATATCAATTCTGTCTACATATATATAGCTAGATCCTTTTACTTGCTAGCAAAAATAGCACTGAGGTTCTCCCATACTAATTTTGGAGATTGTGATGCATCAATTGGACGGTGCTTGTTTTGCTTTCTATAGTACTCAACGACTGGAGTAGTTTGCTGGTGGTAAGTGTTGAGTCTCTTTCTGAGTGCCTCTACGTTGTCGTCTGAGCGCTGGATTAAAGGTTCCCCAGTGAGGTCATCAGTCATTGGCTTCTTAGGTGGGTTGAATTCCTTGTGGTAGGATCTACCTGATGCAGGGTGTACCAATCTACCTGTGATACGTGAAATGAGGAGCTGATCAGCGATTTGAAGTTCAACGGCGTGATCAACCGATTGCTTCTTAGAGCTCAACATATCGTCTAACTTCTCAGCTTGTGGGACGGTACGTGGGAATCCATCGAGGATGAAACTAGTACGCGTCAGTTACGTGTCTATTTTGTTGTACTGTCTACTTACCCAAGTTTACATTTTTCGTTTGTCTCTAATTGGTTCTTAATCATACCAACAACGATTTCATCGCTAATTAAACCACCAGCATCCATGATTTGTTTTGCTTCGACACCGAGTGCAGTCTTCTTTCCAACTTCGGAACGCAACATGTCACCAGTAGCCAAGTGACATACGTTGTACTTGTTGACGATGTTTGGTGCTTGTGTACCCTTACCTGCACCTGGTGGACCAATGAGGATCATACGCAATTCCTCTGATGGTGTTCTACCGGATGGCAGTACAGCAGCTTTAGAACGCTGTTCGAGGTCTACAATTTTATCACTCAAGTCTTTTACTAACGACTTCAAGTGTTCTAATTCTTGTTGTGCACTTTCTTTTATTCCAGACATAATCGTTTTGAAGAAAGACCATCAAGCGTTCACGCCCGAATTTGATAAATGACGATGAAATACTCAAACTTCAATTTATTACAAGTTGAAGATACAGAGGATTCTGAGGATGTACAGTCTAAACATATTAAACCTCAGAATAAGTCACAAAAGAAGAAGAAATCTGAGAATAAGCCAGCTAAGCAGGAAGTGAAGGCAGTTGATAGTAATATTACTAAAGAACATCATTCTGATTCCCAGCCCGTACAACAACCACAACAACCACAGCAACCACAGCAACCACAACAGAAAACACCTCCTCCATCGAATGACCATACAGGCGGCTCAAAAGCCAAAAAGCAAGCAATCGTTACACGTACAATATGGACATTTATCATGGTATTCGGCTTCTTTGGCTGTTTGATGGCCGGCCATGCTTGGTTGATCATGCTCGTTATGCTTTGTCAATCGCTCTCATATCGCGAAGTTACTGCACTTTTCGGTTTTAAGACTGAATATGGCTTGAAAGCTGAAAATAGTGAGAGAGATAGATGGTCTACTATCCTTAATTGGTGGGTATGCACTGATATTTATCGTTATATTGACCCCCATAGGTACTTCTTTATAGTCACCAACTATTTCCTCTACGGAGAATCAATAATTTATTACTTGAAGGTCTGTTATTCATTATTTGAGTGACACAAACTAACATCTCACAGCACATCATCTTCGCAGATGTTTACTTTATCCAGTTAGCTAAACACCACAGATTCATATCTTTCATGCTCTATGTTATTGGTTTCATGGGCTTTGTCGCAAATCTCAAGCGCACTTTCCTTAAACGCCAATTCGTACTCTTCTGTTGGGTACACATGTCACTCCTTCTCATCGTACTTTCATCACACTTTATCGTCAACAATATCCTCGAAGGTATCATATGGTTCTGGGTGCCAGCATCTTTAGTTATCTGTAATGATATCTTTGCCTATGTCTTCGGTATGGCGTTCGGTAGAACACCACTGATCGCTCTCTCACCAAAGAAAACTGTCGAAGGCTTCGTTGGTGGTGGTATTGCTACCGTATTATTTGCTTGGGGTTGGGGTACGCTCTTCCAACAGTGGAAATATATGATCTGTCCAGTTCACGACCTCGGTACTTCGATCTTTTCAAACGTCGACTGCGTTCCAAACCCAGTATTCATTTGGCGTGACTTTGAGATTCCAAGTGTTATATCAGGATTGTTGAGTTCATTAGTGAGTATATTCAACTATCGAGCTGTTTTATATTGACGTAATAGGCTCAACAGGAAATAACCAAGATCCCATACACTCCTTTCCAAATCCATTGCTTGTTCATGGCAACATTCGCATCAGTGGTAGCTCCATTCGGTGGCTTCTTCGCTTCTGGATTCAAGAGAGCCTTCGACATTAAGGACTTCGGTGATTCAATCCCTGGACATGGTGGATTGACAGATAGAATGGACTGCCAATTCTTAATGGGATTGTTTGCCTATGTTTATTATAGCTCACTTATTAGAGAAGCTCACGTTTCTTCTGGACAAGTACTTCAAACAATTGTCTCGTCTTTACGACCTGATGAACAAATTGAGTTATTTAGAGATTTTAAGAAATATTTAGAATCACAAAATTATTTGTCATAAATTTGCGTTTTTTATCTTTTTTCTTCGCGTTTTTCGTCTTCCTTGATAAAAAACCACAATGGAACAAGTAGCACAGTTATTAACGCAATCTTTGCAACTTGGACCTGAGCGTAAACAAGCTGAGCAGCAATTACAGCAAGCTGAATCACAGCCTGGCTTCCTACTCGTTTTGCTCCAACTGGTGGCTCAGGAATCTGCACCAAATGAAATACGCTTGGCTGCTGCAGTTTTACTCAAAAATAATATAAGAAAGAACTGGGTGAGTAGTGAGTCTACGATTGTATTATACTAACACCAGCGTAGCCAGAAGATGGTCCTATTAGCTTGGAAGATAGAAACACAGTGAAAGCACAAATTGTTCCTGCGATGATTGCTTTATCATCTAGACCGCCATTGCAAACTCAAATGGGTGAAGCTGTCGCAATCATCGCAGAATACGATTTCCCAGCTAATTGGGAGGGTCTGATTGATGTGAGTGACGCGCTGCAGTGAAGTAACCTTCCTAACATCTCCTAGCAACTCGTATCTGCTCTCACAGAATCTGACTACTCTATAAACAACGGTGTACTTACGACCGCACACTCGATATTCAAAAGATGGCGCTCACAATTCCGCTCAGATGAACTCTTCAAAGAGATCATTTTCGTTTTAGAACGCTTCTGTGACCCATTCTTGGGTATCTTTAGACGTACAGATCAACTCCTCAGCGATCCTTCATACCACAGTCTTCCTGAAGCACAACGCGTACAACTTGCTCAAGCAATGATTTTACTCACCCAAATCTATCACGATCTTAACTCACAGGATTTACCACCATTCTTTGAAGATAATAATAACGAATTTATGGGATATTTCGCTAAATATCTCGTTGAATGGAACGCTCAATTCGATGACGGTGCCGGCGAAGATCCAACACCTTTGGAGAAGATTAGAGCAAGCATTTGTGAAATCGTCGAACTTTATTCACAAAGATACCTCGATGCATTCCCACAAATGGGTGCATTCGTCGAACGCGTTTGGACTTTAGTAATTGGATTAGGATTGTCTACCAAGTATGATGTTTTAATTAGCAAAGCACTCAAGTTCTTGAGTACTGTCGTTAGAAATCCTGACCAACGCGGTGCCATTGACAATGAAGCAACTCTTAACCAATTTTGTGAAAAGATCATTTTACCAAACATGCAAATGCGTGAACATGAGGAAGAAATGTTCGAAGATGATCCACTCGAATACGTTCGTAGAGATCTTGAACCAACTTCAGATTCAGACACCCGTAGATCTGCAGCTACAGAATTTACACGCGCATTAATGGAACAATTTGAAGGAACTGTCACGAACATTATTAAAGGTTATATTGCTAGTTGTTTACAAGCATTTAGCGAACAAAACTGGAAATCTAAAGATACCGCAATATACCTACTCACTTCGATCGCAAGTAAGGGATCAACATCTACACATGGTGTTTCATCAACTAATCAATTAATTGACGTTATTTCATTCTTCTCTGAACATGTTTTCCAACACCTTCAAACCCCTTCACACGCAATTCTAGAAGTTGACGCTATTAAATTCTTATACACATTCCGTAATCAACTCAGCAAAGAACAAATTTTATCTGTTTTACCACTCTTAGTTCGTCATTTAGCCAGTGAGAATTATGTCGTTTACTCATATGCTGCTATCACCCTTGAAAGAACACTCGCTTTGAGAAGAGACGGTAAACAAGTTATAGAAAAGGATGATGTTAAGCCATTCGCTCAAGATATCTTGATTGCAATTTTCAATAAGATTGGTGAAGCACCAACACCTGAGAAGAAAGCAGAGAATGAATACCTCGCTCGTGCAGCTATGCGTATCATTTTGGTTGCTCAGGATAGTTTGACAGATGTTCATGAAGCTATCTTAGATTACCTTGTTGGTATTACAGCAGAAATCGCTAAAAATCCTTCAAATCCACGTTTCTCTCAATATATCTTCGAAGCAATCGCTGCATTGATTAGATTCGTTGGTGGTGCAAACAAGCAATTCTTGCCAAATATAACCAACAAATTACTTTATGGACCTTTCCAAATGATTTTAGGTCAAGATGTTCAAGAATTCCAACCATTTGTCTTCCAAATTGTTGCACAACTTTTGGAGATCCAAGGTGAGGGTACACCAGATGCCTTTAAACCATTGTTACCTCCATTAATGCAACCAACATTATGGGAACAACGTGGAAATGTTCCACCTTTAGTTAGACTCTTGAAAGCATTTTTGATGAGAGTTTCATCTGACATTGTTGCAAACAATCAAATTAGTAACATTTTGGGTGTTTTCCAAAAACTCATCGGTAGTAAGGTTCAAGATGTCTATGGATTTGACCTGTTGGAGGGTTTAATTGAGTTTGTTCCTGCTGTCACTATGCAAGAATACATTGCACCAATTTTAACTCTTCTCCTCACTCGTCTTCAAGCTAGCAAGACAGATCAGTTTACACGTGCATTCATTCACTTCTTCATGTTTGCGGCTGCACTCGATGATAGAGGATACGGAATTCCATTCCTCGTTAATGGTTTCGATAAAGTACAACCAGGGTGAGTAATTGATTATGAAAGTGTAACACGTCTCATTAAACTATTCAGACTCCTTCCACAGGTACTCGCATCAGTTCTCCTTCCGGAAGTGCAGAAGGTTACACCACGTGATCGCAAAGTCGTCTACATCGGTCTCGTCAAGCTTTTGACAAACCCACAAACACTCCAAATGGGTAAAGTTTGGCCAACCGCCTTGGAAGCAATTTTGAAGTTGTTTGTCAACCCACAAGATCTCAAGGCAGCAGGTACGAATGAGATACTTGTTGATGAAGAATCTGGTTATCAAACTACATACGCAAAGTTAGCTTCATCTGAATACCCACCAGCTGATAGATTCGCTAATGTCACTGATGAGCGCTTATTCATGAGCACCAGCTTGGATGCTTTCAGTAAGAGCGTACCTGGTCAGATCCCTGCTCTCTTGCAAGCCGTACCACAGGAGTTACTCAACCCACTCATACAATTCATGCAATCTAATGGTCAAACTATCGTTTAGATAATTTTTATAATCTAATGCATTTATTATATATTTAATATTATAATTATAAGTATCTCGAAATTATTAAGATGTAGACGTTTGGAATGGATTGTATTTGATTACTATTTGTTCAACAACGTGCTCAGAATCTGCAAATCCTAGTATGTCTGCTATCAACGAACTGTAGCCTTTGTTAGAATATCTTTCGAAACAAGAGACACATCACCTTTTATGCCCTTTAACACGATCTATGTCTGTTGAATTGTAATTAGCCAATCCTCTGCCAAATTCCAAATTCTCCGTCGAATCAACAGTCGTGAATCCACCAGCAATGCTTGTTTCAAGTGATGAGACACTACTGCTAATATTCTGGGGAGCAAGGTTTGGCGTTGGTGGATAACTCTCATCGCTCATTTTGATAGCAGCTAGTGACAATGGGGATATACTTGGGAAAGAATTCTTCTCAGTTTGATTAGCAATAGTTATACTAACGGCTTGGCCAATTGCAAAAGCGCCTTTAACAGCTACGACACCAGCTGGTAGAAGTCTACCGCCACCTTTTATCAGTGCTTTTGCTGCACCTAAATCAACTACTATCTCACCCGCTGGATGCAAACCATTAAGGATCCACCACTTACGATCACGCAACGGGTTTCTCTTTGCAAGGAAAGCTGTGTGTGGGGGAGCAGCCAATGATCCACCTTCTTCACCACCTGGTGCAGTGATAATGTCAAATATACGCTCTGGGTGTGCGCCATGACAAACTACAGTTGTGACACCCGCACCTGTTGCTAACTCTGCTGCAATAATCTTGGTTTCCATTCCACCAGTACCGAGAGAGCTACCCATTGTTGAAGTTGATACAGTCTTACGTATCTCAGCTATATCATTGACAACGCTAATTGGTCTCGCGTCGGGGTTCTTGCGTGGGTTATCTGTGTATAGACAATCAACGTCTGTCATTAAAAAGAGGTAATCGGCGTGTACCATCGCAGCTGTGATTGCTGATAGTGTGTCGTTATCACCGAACTTTATTTCGGAGACGCTTATCGTGTCGTTTTCATTGACGATCGGTACTACGCCCATATCGAGCAACTCAGAGAAGGTATTTACAGCGTTAAGATATCGCGTGCGCTGAATATGAAGTTAGATGCCATGATCATATTTTAGAAAGACAAGACGCACATCCGATATGTCACCCCTGGTAAGCAATATCTGCGAAATTGGTTGTGATAACTGTGAAAAGAGGTTATCCCATAATGCAATAAGTCTTCCTTGACCAATAGCTGCTAGGGCCTGCGATTGTGAGCTCCCATGAGTCATAAAATCTACAATCTGACACACCTGTTTCTTCGCTAATCCCTTTGGACGTCTAGCCATATCCATTCTCTTTAAACCAACGCCAATAGCACCGGAAGATACAATGACAACCCTGTGACCGGCCCTTATCAAACTTACTGCAGTCTCAACGATACTCGATAAGAGTGCTATTTTTGGAAGATGGGTTGCATCGTCGTTTACTATAGAACTTGTACCGAGCTTTATGACAATTGTTAAATGCTCTTTAGGTCCTGCATGTCGTGGATTCGTCCTAAAGTCTGAGTCTATCATTTTGTATGATGGAAGTTAGAAGTCAAGAAGTTTTAGACTGTATTTTATGTGTGTTTTGACTATCTGATATATTATAATGTGATAGCTCGCTAATTATTTCAGACAAGCGATATCAGCTGTTCAGATTTCAAACTATCATCATGTTCAGATATTTTAACAGAGGATTAACAGGCGCGATTAGACAAACTGGAATACACGGCAGAAGGGTTGCATATGCTGGTGCTATTTCTGGCGTTGTAAGTTCTTTGATTCCGTCATTCTCCTCTGATCTGATCTCATCTAGGCTGGCTATCTTTATTTCAACAATATGAGTTCACTCGGTAGAGCTCAGATCCATAATGATGCTATCATACCACCAGTGAAAGCCGTATCAACGAAATACAACACAGTGACAACCGACGTCATCGACAAACTTCGCAGCGCATTGGGAGAAGAAAATGTTATAACTGATAAGGAAGTCATACAAGGCAGTGTCAATTCTCAATGGTCTTATCTCGTTGATTTACCACCGAGTGTTATAGTCACCCCCTCGAATACGGAAGATGTGGTTAAAATTGTTAATGTCGCACGTGATAACCATATACCAATAATCAGTAGAAGCGCTGGAACAAGTTTAGAAGGCCACTGTAGTGCTGAATCTGGTGGTATAATGATCGATTTCGAACAACGTATGGCAAATGTCTTGGAAGTTTATCCTGATGATTTGCAAGTACGCGTTCAACCGGGTGTCAAATGGGTAGAGCTCAATGAACACCTCGAGGAAATTGGCTTGAATTTGTTCTTCCCCCTTGATCCATCTCCTGGTGCGGCAATTGGAGGTATGCTCTCGACCGGATGTAGTGGTACAAATGCCTGCATGTATGGTACAGCCAGGGGTGAGTGGTTTGTAAATATCACTGTCGTCATGCGTGCGTTACCTTCTTCTTCTTCATGATCGATTTCTAAAACACAACAGCTAATGGCAAAGTCATGAAAACAAGACAGCGAGCTAAGAAAAGTTCTGCTGGTATTGACATGACAAAGTTATTCGTCGGTGCTGAAGGTACCCTCGGGGTGATAACAGAGCTGACACTCCGTTTGGCGCCAAAAGTGCCAACTTCAGTTGCTGTTGCTCCTTTTGATTCTATCGAGGATGCAGCAAAAGGTGTTGCGAAGGTAATACAAAGTGGAATTTCCGTAAACTGTGCTGAATTGTTAGACGATCTAGCTATTATCGCTAATAACAACAGTGGCAGCACGTATAAAAAATATGAAGAAAAACCACATATTTTCTTCAAGTTTGCTGGTACCCAAGCACACATGGCTGAAGATGCTGAGCGTACCGCCGCGATTGTTAAGGAATTTGGCAGTAAATTAGAGTATGCAGAGAATGATGATGAAGCTAAGAACCTCTGGGAAGCGCGTAAATGGGGTTTGGCTAATATAGCCTCTATGGTTCCAAACAGTAGAATTTGGACAACCGATGTGTGTGTACCGCAATCGAAGTTACCTACTCTCGTCAAACAAATCAAATCAGATGCAGTCGAAGCTGGTATCTATGCCCCATTATTGTCGCACTGCGCAGATGGCAATGCGCACTTCTTGTTAGCATTCAAAGATGACAAAGAGCGTGAAGTTGTCGAGCACCTCGTCGAAAAAATGGTGGAAAGGGCACAGGCACTCGATGGTACCTGCACTGGTGAGCACTCTGTAGGTGTTGGTAAGAAACATCATCTGGTGCATGAATTAGGGGAGGAAACTGTGAGAGCACTCTGGACGTTAAAGAACGCTTTTGATCCTGATAATATAATGAAGTGAGTAAGACTTGTATGCTAAATAATTGCTGACTTGTTCATAGCCCTGGAAAGCTATATCCAGATATTGATACTAGACATTAGACAATAGACAAATTTTACTGAGATATATTACAGTTTACTTCTACCTCACGCCAAAGTACGGTGGCTCTGTCCTGTGTGAAATGTGCTATTTGATATAGTAAAATAGCAAACTGCTATTAATTGCTCTCCTTGACCAGGAAAAGCAAAGTTTCACAAAACATACGATTATATGCATGCATGATGCGAGTGTATGATATGCATTTGAAAGTATTATAATATTGTTTTTTGAGTCTGTAATTTCTGCTTTTACTTTATGTCTCAAAATTGTTTCTTCATCTACATTACTTGGATGTATTCAAAATATAATCACTTTACACAAATGATTAATTTTTACACATCATTATAATTATACTTATTCTACAAATTACAAAACTGTCCTCAGATGTCTAGAAGCTGTTCCTATCCTATCTAATAAAACCCCTTAGTAGAGGTGAATATTTCAAAGAGAAGGATTAAATAGGTGATATGAACCTCGCTAATTCAAGAAATGATATTAACATCTTAATGTAATGCATTTTACCGATTTTCTGTGTATATATTAGCCTCTTTATCTCATTGTAACATGCAGTATGGAAACTTTCGAGAGATATCTGAAAATTGCACTGTGGTACGACTAATGATAATAGTATCCTGAAGACGGACTACATATGATTAAGTTCCTAGCGAGCATTTACATCACCAATGTCGATAATGATCGAAATGAGGTAAATGCGTATGATGAACATAGAATAAACATATTAGTATAGGATAAGCCAACTGGTATAAATTTATTGTATGTTAGCTTCAAATTCGAATCTGATGGAGCTAGCCGTGCAGTAATGATGTAGTAGTATTTACATATGAATGAGTTGTGTTTTGTTGTAAAATTCGAATTATTGCATAGACCTATAATGGTGAGATAATTAAACGTCAAGCGTATTTGCTTCAGAAACTCTCAAAGATTTTTTACCTACTCAATTGTCATTTTAAAGACCTTACATATGGTTTACTCTGGATCGACTTGAGATCAATAGCTCTAGAACAGTGTTGATACATGTGATTAGTTGATTACTCTTTGAATTATAATGATATAAATGATAGTTTCGTAGTCCTAGAAAGATCCTACTTATTACACTAGTCGTTTGAAAAATTTCACGAATTACAATCTCAATCTGTTTGACTTATTCGACTTACCAAGCAGCATTGTATGCATAGCGAATGTAATCTATAAAATATATAACTCAACACGGTTTGCCTACCTACACACCATAACTCAAAACTCTCACAATGCAGTTCTTAGATTGCTTGTATGTCATGCTTCTCAATGTAAACATTATTTCGGGCTACAAGCGAATAGCTTAAGCTGAAGCTGGAGCCTTCTTAGCGACGGTACCTTCACCTGAAAATTTCAGTTAGCATATTATAGGGTTGGAAAATATAATGAACGTACGGAAACCGTTCTTGAAGCGTCTTGAGACATACTTGAGGCTTCTCATTCTACCAGTACCAGTTGTTGTACGTCTCTTGGCCTTAGCACCCCAGTTGAATGAACCTAGACAAAAAATGAGCAAGCGGACTATGAAAAGAAGAGAAAGCCGTACGGGTCTTAGCAAGAGGGAAACCGCAGCTTGCGCAAGACTGAAGGAATGTGTCAATTTTGTCTGGAAAATCCTAGTTCTGACGAACCTGCTTTTGGTAGTGCCATGATCTCTTGTTGCATCTGCGGCAAAGTCCGTGAGACTTCACGGACTGTCTCTTACCCATGGAGGTAGTACCCTTAGTCATCTTGCTGGTCTGAAGAGCGAGTTAGCAGATTCTTCTTGCTAGGAAGACGGATAGCGCATACCTAAAGAAGCGGTAAGCGTGGAGGCGAGGAGAGTAGCTTAGTAGCTTACCTATGCGGCTGTCAGTCGTGCAAAATATCTTATTTCAGAATACCCACCTTTAGTTGAGGTTGCCCAAGAAGCAGCCTTCAAAATTACGACGAGTTGATCAAAAATTAAAAATTTAATTCTCTGCCCCAGAGAGCGTGATAATAAATAGATAAATAAATATATGGCTCTAGAGTAATTATGTATATGTATTCTCTCTATCTCTTTGCATTTTAGTGTATGTGTGTGTGCAGATAGCGTGGAAACGGATGTGTGTGTAGGGGCGTATAGAAAGGATAATAACAACTAGCATCTCTCTATTATATAGACAGATCCATCTAATATCTCCCTTCTTTTCGATATTTCGACTTAGCCGCGTCATCATCTTGTATCTAAACCACGACCATGAACAGTTTCGTAAATCAATTAAATGGCGCTACAAGCAGCCTAGACGATATGTTTGAGGGTAACAGCATAGAAAAGCATGGTATCCCTACCCTCGATCTCCCAAACACTGCTGATGTGGGTATGAAGCTATATCTCAGCATTCTCTGACAACACCAGCCAACTGGCTTCCTCCGCACTTATACCGACGACCAGCAAGATCCTAGCTGTAGAATCAAGATCAACCACGGTACAACAACACTCGCATTCAAGTTCAAGGGTGGTGTTATCGTAGCCGTCGATTCACGGGCGACTGCAGGCAGCTACGTCGCTAGTGGTACCGTCAAAAAGGGTTTGTATGCTACTACATAGTTTGACTTCCCCTCACGTCACCCACAGTTATTGAAATCAACCCATACCTACTTGGAACTATGGCTGGTGGTGCGGCAGACTGTCAGTATTGGGAAACATACCTTGGTATTCAATGTCGTTTGCATGAATTGCGTAACAAAGTGCGTTGATGATGTTCTTATGTGGTGATTTTTGACAGGAGAGTACAGGAGAGAATTAGTGTAGCAGCAGCTAGCAAATACCTGAGCAACATCACCTATTCTTACAAAGGAAAGGGTCTCTCAATGGTAGGTAATGATCTTATCGTACGTAATACGTTCTAAACACTTCCAGGGTACAATGATCTGTGGTTGGGACAAAGGTGGTCCAGCCATTTGGTACGTCGATAGTGATGGCTCAAGAACCTCAGGAAATGTTTTCTCTGTTGGTTCAGGTTCCACATTCGCATATGGTGTGCTCGATCAGGGTTACAAATACGATTTAAGCGATGATGAAGCGTTAGAGTTAGGTAGAAGAAGTATATGTAGGTCCATTACTTTCCGCGGGTAATTATCTAACTTTATTTAGATGCTGCCGGACATGTGCGTAATTTTGTCACATAAAATTTTGAATTAACAGGATACAGAGGGACGCATACTCAGGTAACACTATCAACCTTTACATCGTCAAAGAATCTGGATGGACACACAAAGGTACCATCGACATCAGTGAGCTGCGTAAGTGGATCAGTTAAGACAACTGTACCTTTCTGACGTGTAGATGTACAGACTATGGTGACTGGACGCCAAAGAGCGAGACAGAATTCAGAGCGCCTACTGAGCCATATGGGTACGATATTAGAAATGCAGCCGCCGCTTAAGCGAATAAATTGTTATGTAAAAATGAACAAGATATTTAATGATAAAGAAAGAATTGTGAGAGGAATAAGAAGTGTGAATAGAATGTAATTTAGATTAAACGTTCATAAAGCTCAAATTGTGCGTTCTTGTTATGCATAATACGTAAAGTAAAGCACGTGTTCTGGGCTAAGTGGAACGCACCGGATGTGTTCTGAGCAGCCTAGGCGGCGGTATATAACACTTGGAGTATCTATCCGCAGATATGCACGACATGGAGCATTTACGCTAACCCTAAACGCGCGGCCCTCCTTTTGAAGATCCGTGAGGGTCTTCTCTGGGGGGTTGGAAAATCGCAAAAGGGTGACCAAAGAGGGATGATTGTGTGATATGGGGATATATTGGTTAAAATGTTGTGTACAGTCTGATGAATAATTACATTGTAAAGCGTCAGCAAAATTCGCAAATTCTTACGAATGATGTAAACGGCCTAGAATTTCTTCAGCCGTGCAGTTCCAAGGAGTGTGTTTTAATGCCCAAAATATAGTTCTAGAGTTTTTACGCTTGTTTTCCCGTTATAATAATTTATAACTTCTCTTCTCCGAAGCCGAACCTTAGTGACTCGAGTACTATAGCGGTAATCTTCTGGTGATCGCTCTCAACTTAAAACTATCAAGTTGCTAAAAAACTAAATAATAATTCCTGGAGGAATATGTTTGACGAAGTAAGTCTCTCATTTATCAATAAAGTACCCCGCTCACTTATCTAGTCTGCATTCGACCCAGACGATATTGGCTCTGCAGCACCAAGTCCATCAATGTCAGCTGTTAGCGCTGTGCCTTCTCTATTCTATGGCACATCTTCTCCTAGTTCGTCGCTCTGTCCATCCCCAACGACTTATGCGCCGACGAACAACAACAGCGCACTCGCCAGTCCAGGCATACCATGCATTAGTCTACCACCAACTAGCAGTAGTAGCAAGGCTGGCAGTGATGAGATAAAATTCACAAGGAAACCATCCGCTCAAAACGCACCGGTTCCGACAACCTTCACAACTTCAACACCATATCAATCCAGGAGGAGGAGCTATCCAGTTATAAGACAATCTCAATTTGGTGCCACTTCAGCAAAACCAGCTAATCAGCCAGCTGAGCAGATCAATATCAATGGTATGGTACATCCGCATTCTCAAGCTTCTGCAGTAGATAGCCTGAGAAAACATACAAATGCGAGCTCATCTCTTATGAGCCATAGTACCAGTCAGACTCCAATTTCCAATTTTCTGAACGGTTGGTTCGGCGGCAGTCCGACGCAATCAATGACCAGCACCAATAGAGCTAGGAGTCAATCACATAGTCATTCACAATCCGTATTTAGCGATGGAAATATTTTTTACCCAGAGCAGGATGAGAGGACTAACAGGTGGTTTAATGACGACACCGAGGGCGAAAGAAGAGGAAGATCAGCTACGAGGAGTAATTCACGTGATGCATTAAGAAGGTCACCCCGGGCGTCTAGAAGTTCGAGGAAGGCTAACGCATCAAGATCAAAATCATCCGTTAGAATTCTCAGTCCACTTAAACAAGAACAAAGTGATGATACAATCAACTTAGAGGATGAAGTTTCTAATAAATTGATGATATCCACACATCATCGTCCAAGTGATAATGATAATTTCGATCTAGAAGCGACGCCCAAACTTGAAAAAAAGCAGGTAGTTTCACTTAATGATTAGGTTGAATTATTTAATCATAATGTTTTCTTGGTTTCAGTAACTTTTCCTTCTTCTCAAACTTGCATTGTCACAACATAACACTCACACATTGTCTCAACAGAAATAAATCATACTCATTGTCTCAACACAATCAAGACACGCAGAGTCGATCCCTACTCAATAGATCCTCTTTTGATAGGTAATCTTGTAATACACAAACCACCATTAAATATATAAATGTTTATAAAAATAAAATTTCATTACAATTTGTGTAATCCCATATCCCAGAAACCTGATTCCAATTGGCAGCATCTTGTGAATATGTCAGTAAGATGATTTAGGCGTTCTCTACTTGGTTGTTCTTCGACCGCTTTTCTTTCAAGTGTGGAAATACCTTCATCTACTGCAATTTGGAAATCAGATGAACCGTAATCTTCAATCCATCTAGTGGGTGTGTTATTAATGTACTCAAATATCTATACTACCACTCACTTCCAATAAGGATTGTTTTCTTTCTTACAAACCAGACCAGGGGCGAATTCTTCACCGGTGAGTGCGGATTTCTTTAGTCTTCTACCAATTTCACCATATCCCAATAAGCAACTAGCAACAGCGACGAGGAGTTCTAAAAGTGTACCACTATGTCCAACGTCTGTGAGATAGCGTGTGTAAGCAATATTATGAGCTGATTCAACAGTCTTGAGTAGATCAGAGGTGGATATACCCCAACTATTGCAATATTCTACATGCATAGCGCTCTCTTTGGCAATGTGTTGCGTGATGTTAGCGAACGCCTCAAGATCGGCAAAAGAATTGCTCTTATATCCAGCCAAACTGTGTATACGTGCATAATGAACGAGATATACGTAATCTTGTGTAATATAATGCAAGAAACTTTCTTTTGGTAGTGTACCATCCGCAAGTTGTTTTACGAATGGGTGATAGATGTAATCATCCCAATGTTCAGCTGCTGATTGAATAAGGTGTGTCGTGAAAGGTGCTGGTGAGGTCGACGTTGGTAAACTTAATGGGAGGATTTTTGTAGAGTGCATGTGATTTAGTGGTCCATTGCCTGATCCAAGTGGCATACTAGACTCTATCCCGAGACTAGTAAACTCGATAGCTGACTTTACAGCCATTGACATACTCATACCCTTTCCTAAATAGGCAGCCAACGCTGCTGAAAGTGTACATCCCGTACCATGCGTGTTGCTTGATTGAATGTATGGTTGGACGAACAATGTGAAGTGCTTCCTGTCGCTCTCCCAAAGGACGTCGATAACTAATTCATTGGATTTCTCACCGCTATGAGCATTTCTGTATTCTTCTAACACCTCAGCTGTGCTACCATAGCCAACGACAGTAACATTGGATAACTTCTCCATTTTACTCAGAGCCTCATCTATCGATTCATTTCCAATCAGGTCACGATACGGACGGTGACCTCCTTTAATTAGAGCGTTTTTACAACCGAGTGATTCAGCGATTTTCATCATGTCTGCCAATTCTCCTATTTTACCATCCTGAATGAGTTCAGCTTCTGGTATATTTGGCGTAATAATCGTAGTAGCTGGGATGAGCTTCTCTCTAAGCATGTTTAAAGCGTCTTCATTGAGTAGTCTATGTCCAGAGGTGCTAACCATTACTGGATCAACTACAATAGGGCATTTGACATTCAAATCATTAAGTGTTTCAACAACTGTCTCTATTACTTCCTTACTGTGTAACATTCCTGTCTTTATTGCGTCGACGCCTATGTCTGTAACAACATCATGTATCTAAACGTACTTAGGTTGATAGAGGCATATATATCATACTTACCTGACTACTAATGAAATCTGTAGGTATTGCATGTACGCCATTTACTTTGACGGTATTCTGTGACGTTACTGCAGTAATAGCGGACATTCCATATGTTTTTAAAGCTGTGAATGATTTTAAATCTGCCTTATATATGCGTGAGTATAACTATACATACACTCCTCATTCACCTACTTGTATACCCGCACCACCGCCTGATTATATCAGTATGAATATCACATCATACAATATGAACGCACCAGAATCTGAACCAGCGATTGTAAGTATCTTTGGGAGTACCACATTTTCAAACGTAGTGACTTCCCCTTTAGCCTCAGATAAACCAGCTATTTTGTCCATGAAAGAGTGAAAGCAAGAAATATGCGTGAATACATAAGAAATCATTGTAAGAATACAGCAGTTGGATTTATATACGCTAATTAGCTATTTAACGATCTTCAGCCCATTCATTCTCTTTACGGATTTGTGCTTCCTCTTCAGGGGTGAAGTCATTTTGGATATTGAAAAGCTTACGGATTTCTTCAGGTGTTTTGCCTTTAATCATGTTAGCGACAGTTTTGCAGCCGACGTCCCTGTATACTTTGTTAGCGAATATATTAATACTTTATGTACCCACAAAAGTGGCTTAATGTCAAGATAGTTTGCTGCTAAAATAATTTCAAAGAGCATCTCTTGGTCAACTTGAATAAACTTCTGGTCCCATTCGTTAATATCCGTCGTACGCTTACGGGAGTCGTCTGCACTCTCGTCTGAGGATGGTAATGGATCTTTACGATGGTGGTCACAGTACTCCAAAACCTTCTTAAATACGTTAGATGTGACATTTGGGAGTGGGATTGGGTGATCACTCTCTCCAATATCTGTCATACAGTGTGAGATATTCCACCGTCATAGTTAAGTGTACCCACCTTCAAGCATATTCTTAATAAGCACAGATCTCTCTGCGATATCTTTGTCTACTGTGAATTGTTCATTGTCGGATGTCAACAAGTTTACTCTAGCCTCGCTTTCTGCCATGCTTGTGGTTACTGTTCAAGGGGGTTTTAATAGAGAGATGAAGACTAATAAAGAAATCAAAACAAAGAGATCTCAAATTTATCTTATTCATTGAGTGAATAGATATTATTAATGTATGTTCATCTCCCTCGTGTACTCCCCAGACTGCTCCAGTGTCCTCAATGTGAAATTTACAATATAAAGAGATGATCAGATAGAGTTTTTTCACTCGATAGAGTATATGTATGATAAAATAGTATATATGCATGCCTATCTTCGTAAAAACACCTATGCTTTGACTAACTTGTCAGCCGATGTCAGTTACGCTGTATAGAGAATATATATCTTTTATATGATAGATATGGTATTTTCTAATACTACAATCGATCAAAAGCGCCTCGTTTGCACTCACATTGAGTAGGATATACAATGAAGGACATGCAGCGTAGATGAGGAAATCATGCATGAGAAATACAATAAACACGTACAAGCATGACTACGTTTGTATTTTCTATCCTCATCTAACACCATCTGCGTCTTCGTTTTTCACTCTCATCTAGAAACAAGAAAATGCTCTCCCTCTTTAGAAATACACTAAGATCAGATAGTATACCGTCTATGTTCAATACAGTAAGCGGTTTACTACAAGTCAGAACGTCCACAAAGCGCGGTGGTGGATCTACGAAGAACAACAAGAAGACAGCGGGTAAGCGCCTTGGACCAAAGAAGTATGGTGGTTAGTATATCATTAAGTGTATTTTTATGCCATCTTACAAATACACAGGTGAATACGTTATACCAGGAAATATCCTCATCAGACAGAGGGGTACAGTATGGCATCCAGGACAACATGTGAGTGACCTATAAAAGGTAAAATAATGCACTCACAATATCAGGTCGGTATTGGTCGTGATCATACACTCTTCGCACTTGAACCTGGCTGGGTTCGATACTACAAGCAGCCACGTAAAGTCCTGGATGGACATACACCAGCTGGCAACGGTGATTTCAAGCACCGCAATCAATACAAAGTCAGGAAAATGATTGGCATAGCATTAGATCAGACAGAACAGCTGCCTAGAGACGTAGAAAAGCTCGGTACAAGTAGAAGGTTTTCAAAGATAGACGTATCGACGACTAACAACTAAATTGGGCTTTCCTTTAGCTGTACCAACTCGCATTCAATAGTTTTATTATTATCATCACCGAATCTGACAATTCTCTTATCAAATCCGTCAAGTTTCACCTTACGTTTCTCGAAAAACGTCCTGCCTAAAATCAGGTCCCAATGCGATCCATCGTTTGTGTCTTGTGTGCTGGTCAATTCACTCAGAAAGACAGGTAATACTACCTTTTTTTCGGCGACTTCGATTGAGATCTCGCCGATGTTGATTATCTGCAGTCTATGTCAGCCTTACTTTATATAACAACAGTACTTGCGCCTAAATACCCGAAACTTCCAGGTACTAAAAATTTGTCAGTAAGTCTCGGCAAAATCGATCACAAATTATTGGTGGCCAAGTGAATATCTACTTACTAGTTGATTTACTAATATAACTTTGCTTGAGTGCATAATCCCTACTCATATATACCCCACTATAATCTTTATCAAGCAGCATGCGAGTAGCTACACTCATTCAGTTACGCTTTAAACCTCCACAATGCCAAACTCACGCCTAGAGCCAGCTTTGCCATCTATTATTCTCACCGTCTTATTTCCATGAAAGTCATCAAATGCTTTCTTCTTATCCGTAAATGACATCGTGGTAATGTATTAAGGGTATTCATTTACTCCGACAATCTAAACAATTAGGTTATAGTAAAAAAAATATCGGCTTTCATCCATTAATCCCCTAATTTTTTTACATAACACTTATAAGCGGTGGTGATTTTGCCGCGATGCTGCAACCAAGTAAGACCCCATTTTGGTTAATTGAGGTACACGGCACGGGCTTTTAAACTTGATTAATGATGTTTCTGGTTGACTGATCCAGTAACTTTCAAAATAAACAAAACTTATATAAGTAAAAGCTATAATGGCCGTATATGCCTGTAGACCATGTCAAATATCACACAGTAGCTGTGATAACTACCGGCCATGCCACAATTGCGTTAGAAAGGGTATACAAGATAACTGTATAACTATAGAAGTAAGTAAACTTCTTTCTAAGAATCTCCACTAAACGAATTAATTAGCATAGACGGAGGGGACGTCCAGGAAAGCACGAAAGAGAGCAACAAAAACCATCACTACCCTACCATAGAACTATACAACCACTGTCAGCAAATGTGATGCCAGAATATATAACTATGGTCGTAACACCTGATTTACAGAGGACAATACAGGTATCGCCTAATAGTACTTTCGCGGACGCGTCCACATTGCCTAGTCTGCACGACATCACATCGGTGTATCATGCACCCCGATTGGCCAGTCTTCAAGCAAAGCTATCTTTAGGAGAGATGTGTCCACGTGAAAATGTTAGTATTGTTGATAGATATGGCAGACATTTCGCTAGTACCCTCTCGCTAAGGTGGTTAATCAAAAATGAGACAGTCTCGGCTGAGATGAGGATCGTTGAGGAGATCACTCCAGTACCTACTTTACCTTTTACTCCCTCATCTGGAGAATCATCCCGGTCGCGTACTTCGATAAGCGCGCTCTGTGACATCTAGAGATACTTCGTCTTAATCGCTCGCACTCAGTAGCAAACTCAATACTAATACTTGTAACGCTATAAAAAGATTATCGGAACTTTTTAGGTAATAGAATTTTAATAATACTTTTATAGCACGTCTACCGATCGGGTGGGATAGATTGATAATCTAAGGCGATGCATGCATGCATGCATGCATATATGCATATATGCACGACTGGTAATGTACTCTTTTCACAATGATCAAAACGGGTATTAAATATGAAGATACATAGGTTCAGTCGAATGCCGCCACACTTAAGCACTTGTTCGTCATTTCAGATGAAAGATATGATAGAAGATATATATACACATAACACAGCAGAATATATACGAAAAATAATCATTGATTTAGATTAAGGTATATTATAGTGATGAATGTAAAAAAATGCTAAAAGTTTCTTTGCGATGATAAAATCTAAGTTGACTGGTGCTGTTCTAATGAAGTAATTCAAGAAAAAAAAGCCTTTCCTACACATTTGCATCCTACAAATGTGGTCCTTTATCCAGAAGGAGATATAACGTCTGATTGTGTTTTCTGCTCTTCCTGATCAATCTGATCCTGCTCGAGAGTTTCAATAACTGCCCTGACCGCGGAGTCAATATCGGGATGGAAGGAACGATCGACACCCAAAACAGGTAAATAACGCGCGTAACTATCTCTTCTAACTGCTTCAGCTTGTTCTTGCTCTCTCTGTGCATTTAATCCTGCTTCAATGTCCTCTGGTTTACTATTCACCGTCGCGTCGTTTGCTGATGAGAAATGGCCAACTTCAGCAACACTAAACAATGGTTTGGCATTGACAGTCGTCGTTTCGTGCATTTTAATAGCAGCTAATGCACGCTTGATCCACCTGTCTCTAATACCAGCGAAATGCCACATTACTTTGTCAGGATGTGCCCATCTGTCGAGTTGGTTTTTGACATCTACCAAGACTTGCGTGGAAGTTACATCGACGTGTGTTACGGATGATAAATCGAAGATGATTGCTTTCAGTGTCGGCCTGCCATCTTCGGCAACTGCGTCTGGATCGATCTTCCTTGGTCCTGGGTCATTCCATGGTCTATCACCTGGTTTACTAAATATATTGATCTCTGTTTTACGAGTAGCTTTCTTTATATATTCGACGACCTCATCAGTGTAATGATTTGCGTTGGCGTAAATGAACGATTCTGTGAATCTATAAACGAATACACCAGGATATGGTGATTGTACGCTCAGAAGTGGATTTGAGCCATCTTCATGGTTCTCTGGTAACCAGATATTACGTTGGTCTTGACCATCTACTGTTTGAACTTTAATACGACCAAGGAATTCACCATGTGCTTTTGCAATTCTAAACAATAAAACAGCTGCACTAACACAAACTGTGACGCTATAGAGTTGTTAGAAAGATTCAGCAAGATGGTCAGTTCACTTACTAAATACCAATTTCAATTGTTGTAAAGATGATAATTATAACACCACCAACGAAAATGATAGCATCAAGTGGCGATACCTTCCAGAAAGCATATAATTGACTAATTGGAAGAACAAGATCACCAACAGCGTGAATAATGACAGCCGCAAGTGCAGCTTTACTGATGTAGAAGAAAACGGCAGTGAGTGCGTAGATTGCTAGTAAAATAATGACACCAGTTATAACACCCGCGAATGGTGTTCTCACACCTGCCTTCGATTTGATAGCAGTTCTAGAGAATGAACCAGTAGCTGGATAAGCACCGAAGAATGGTCCAATGAGGTTAGATACACCAATTGCAATGAGTTCTTGTGATGGATTGATTGTATAGTTGTTAACTCTACCGAAGGACTTTGAGATAGCAATGTGTTCGATCAACAAAACGATAACGGCACCAGGCAAGTGGTTAGCATATGCTTTAATGACTTCTGCCTTGACGACCGGTACGTTCATATTTTGGAAACCTCTCGGAACAGTTCCTATAAGACTGAATTTTGGCGGTGGCTGACCATCTACACCTCTATGATGCATGTTTACGAGCCAACTGATCAACGTGTAGAGCAGAATGACGAAGACCGTACGGAGTGTGTTGGCGAAGAACCAGACTTTTTGATACCTTGGCCATTTCTTCGCGCAATAGTTGAATGTTTCTCTGAGGAAGTAGAGCAAAAAGAGTGCAGATACACCCATTGCAGCGTTGAGATTACTTTCAGGAAGGTGCTTGAGTGTGCTAATGATTACTTCGTAAGTTGCACCATCAGTATTCGTGGCCTTTTTGTTACCGAGAAGTGTAGGAACTTGTCCAGCTATGATATTGATAGAAGAACCTGTCATGAATGCTGCAATAGCTGGTAAAGGAATGAAATCGACAATCCAACCAACTCTAATCAAACCCATAAAACAGACAATGGCACCCGTAATAATAGCTAAACTTCCTGCTATTTGATAATCGGGTATATCTGGGAATTTCGGTGATACTTCCTCGAGAATTTCACCAACAAGGGTAGACATAACCGCAACTGGACCAATAGTGATGTCCTTCGACGTAGCAAAGAACCAATAGATTATAACACCAACAAAAGAAGAGTAGAGACCGAATTCTGGGGCTAAATTAGCCAAACCTGCATATGCCATACCCTGTGGGACGACGACTGCACCGACGGTGATACCAGCGATTAAATCACCAATTAACCATTGTACGTTGTATCTGTGTATCCAGCGAGTGAAAGGGACTAAATCCAAGCAGTATTGACCCAATTCATGACGATCTGGGAGCTTATCTTTGAACCATTCAGTGACCGTAGGATCTGGTTCAACGAATGGGTCTGCATACTGTAGAATGGTTGTCAGAAGTGATTTCTCTTAGAGTGGGATCTCACGTACGTTGCTAGCTATAGACTCTCCACGGGTTACACGATCCTCCTGACCTTCAGGCTTCTCTATACCGAGCTTCTTGAGGAAGCTCTCAAACTTACTTGACATTTTTATCCTTCGTGGCGGTGGAATAAGTGTATTGACTTCCAAATTCGATATTATGCGAGTCAATCACATCATCTTGTGTCTGAATTAATCATAGGTGAGACTTTTGGTTCCTTGCATAAAATCGATGGTCTAATATTTAAAAATCTTTAGAAATTACTAAGGAATGTTACTTACTCTTTTTGGCTAGAGTAAAATTTTCCTTGGGGCCTATCATTTGAAATTTTTTTAGACATCCCGGCATGTTTTTAAGTTATAGCTATTTCATTTGTGGTATATTTGGCATCTGGGGAATGTTTTTGAATATGAGAATACCTCCATTGAAATTTCCCTTCGATCTTGGTTCAGACAGGGATGATTTTTTTCTACTGGAAGCATCTAACTAATTTCCGATCACAACTGATAATAGATAACCCCATTTTTGAGATAAATAGTTTCGATGGCTATTAGCTCGCTCTTACACGCAGTCGCATTGTGATTACATCATTCACTCGGCTTCGACAGAAAATCTTAAGATTTCTATAGCTTAGGCTCAAACTTGCCGCGACAACGTCGATTTGTTACTCATACCAAGTTTATTCCCTGTAAGCGAGAGTCGCGTAAACATGTGTGCAGCTTACTCAGCAAAATTGCGCTTCAGCGGTATTATTTAGTAAGCTGTTCTCAGTAGCTTAAGTGTTGAAGACAACATCCAGTTGTCATTCTTGGTACATTTGGAAGATGATATCATAACACACTCAATAGCAGGATTGAGAAGTACGAGAGCGATATACATGACCGTGTACAAGGAATATTATGGTGAGGAAAAGGGTCTTTGCATTTTGTTACCGGAAATGCACAGTTACCAAGGGATATGGACGTTTTCAAATTGGGGGTTCAGCCTTGAGGGGCTGAAAGCGCTAAGTTAAGTGTTAGTGACACAAGCATTGCGGCTGCAAAGGAAGATCGAGGCTGGATTGACGGAAAGAGTTAAAGAAGAGCTCAAAGACACGTAAATTTATGCTAAAGTTAGTATCTCGAGGAACCTAAAAAATATTCCCAAGATTTGACTAGCGTTTACTTAGCGGGTTATCTAACTGTTGGATTCAACAGAAGCCGAGGAAATTGCTGGCATCGAATCCGAAGTCGTGCTGAATATGTTGTAATAGCTTAGAACTAATGTTTCAGAAAGTCTGCCGAGCAAAGACAAATGAAGTTGTTGGCATCTTCAAACTTCAATTTACGCGTCATTTTTGGGTCAGTGCTGAAAAGTTGGATTCAAGAAGCTGCATAACTAACGGCATGCGTATCATCATCGCTCATGATCTGATCGGCTCTTCTCAGCAGCAAGGGAACCGAGCTGATATGTGAGGCAAACTATCGCTACAGGTATGAAGCATTATTAGTATGAAATATGCTATATTAGTAATTGTTGTTTTCATTACTCGTTATCGTTCTATGTATAGTAAAATAGCTTTTTGTTATCCACCATGGTTATGTCATCCGAGGAAATGAATAAAGTAACACGCGTACCTTCAATCGCAGACTCCAGATCTTGCTCACCAATTAGCGCCACCCAGTCAACACGTGAAGACGTTGCTGATCAGACAACCGAGGAAACGGTTACAAAGAAACGCAAACAGGGATCTCTGGGTGAGCGCTCCCATAAGGCAATGAAAGTCTGTGAAGCTGTCTCTGCCGCTGCCAATATATCAGACACTGATTCTGATATCATTCACAAAATTCATACAGTCACAAATAAGGAGACAACAAAGTTAAACCATGACAAGCAAGATGCTGGAACTACTAGCACCTTAACGCAACAACAATTATCAATTCCATTTGAACGGTTATCCCAGGATACACTCACAACACGCGGCACAACCGATAAAATGTTACAAAAGCGTGTCACAGCCCTCGAAGAGACAGTTGCAGGTTATGACAACCTATTCACACAACTGCACACACTCCAGATGAGTAACAAAATGAAGACAATAGAATCAAATCAGAAGCGCAATATAGCTGCTATAGGTGAGCTCAAGAAAAAAGCAACCATCTTCAAGAAGAGAGGTGTTTCTCAGTTGCTTAGCACTCACATAAATGAGCGATTTGAAAATTTTGGCAAAGATCTCGATACAGTTAAAATTAATATTGAAGAAGCTGCTAATGATATCGATAGTATATACACTGAGTTCGAAGAAATAACTGACGCGATAAATGTACGTCTTGACGCAATCGAACACTCGCAATCGATAGACGAAGGGGTCCAAATCAGCATCCTCAAAGCACAAATAGAGCAACTAGAGAAAGATAAAGAAGATATTAAGAAAGATAAGAATTGGTTTAGGTTCCTCTTATCAAAGGAAATCCCAATTAGCCTTGATTGAGATAGAAATGACGTCATCAACAAGGGTACTTTGCGACAAAGAGAATGTAATTAGCTGTAACTTGCAGTACTTTGATATCTTGCTTTTTTTATTACATATACCATGTATCTATTTTCTACCTTCAACTGTTACAGACATCTTGAAAAAAGTCGTAGGATGAAAAAATGCAAAATTTCATATAGCTTAATCAATATATACAGAGAGAATACTCATCAAGCAGTATAAAAGCATATCCCCTGATAGTTCCCCAATTGCAAACAAACTCATTACGATAAATAAATCAATGTAGACATCCCAATACTTTGTATGAAGTCTGCCAGGCGATATAATTATCGATACGGAAGAGATGGAAGAGTATCCTCTAAAACTTCGAACATGTGACGCCAGTAACAATCTTAAAGATGGCTACTAAGGTAACAAGAGACCGTGATAGCAAAATATTTGTTATAAAGACATACTCTGACGCTTAAGCTAGCGATAGTGAGTCGACACTTGCTGGCATTATCGATCGAGGAGCTTTGGTATTACGCTACCGAAGATTACTAAGTCAAAACCATTAATCACTTAGTTTCCACTATTGAGGAACGTAGGTTATTATAGAATATGAAGAGGACACGAGCCTTCGAAGAGCAGTTGAGGATGAATCAGCAACTGAAGTAAGTAGCTAACGCATCCGCCTGCTATTTAACTAGAGAACAGGAACTCGCAAAAAATCATTCGCGATGACGTCTTGGAAGCATAATTCGAAGGGCTTGACGATTCCGATAAGACTGAATCATTATTATCAGGAATGATATGTTGAAAAAATTGATTTTCGTTAACATTTGAAGCACAAGTTGATCTTTTTAGCCTCTAAAGCCAACTTGCACGGCACATTAAGTTGACGATAATGTTTTGACAAGTACATGGACAGTTGTAAGCGTTTTCTACTCAATTTAGGCATCCATAATTGTAGGTTTCTAATGTCGTGTTAGAAAGTAGCGCAGAGTTTAATATAATGATGACATTATAGTGGTTAAAGTAAAAAAACCCTGGATGGAACGTGGATTGCGGAAAATGTAATATAATTGGACTAACTTGAAACGTTGTTACTTCGTGAATGCTTCTCATACATTCCTGCTAGTCAAACATCTATGCAAATACGTATAGCGCCAAAGAAATGTTCGATGCTTGGCGAATGAGCATATCGGTATTTGAAGACGAGATATTCGGCTGGCTGCGCTACTGCGTTAGTCTGACGCTAAGAAATATGACGTTGTAACCACCCTATAATCACAATCTAAAGACCAATCAACCCGCTATAGAGGCGAGATTTACGCGTGTTTTCTACCCTTAGGTCACTTTTACCGAGATAGTTCGGCGAATGTGACTGTGATGTAATTGTTCAAACTTCCATTATCGTCAATGAGCGTTTATTTCGACAAAATTAGAGACTTGAGAAATTACATAGGATTATTCGCCCGAATTAAATACCTATAGGAGAGATACCGTTGCACTAGCAATGGTCATACAGTGCGGTAACACACCGCTAGAACTCCAAAGTGTGCGATTTTAATGGTCTTTGGTCCGATTGCCGCTTCAATCGAGTGTAATTCGCTATGTATACATATGAAGCGTATATATCGGGTTTTGTTTGTGGTGATACACGCGTAATTTCCCGCCATAGAGATAAGAATACCTGTCCGTAGTATCCGGATTGGTTTATTGTAGCTTATTGCTTTTAAAAAAATTACCGGTATTCATATTACATTGTTTTCCGCTTTAGTTCGCTTATCAGCATCTCGCGGTTTTTGTGACTGAGCCTCGGCGATATAAGACGAACTTCCATCTTTCTTTCTTACAACCATCATCCACTCACAAACATTATGAATCCAGCATTCGCCTCAGAATTCAGAGAATCCAGCAGCGTACCCTCTACGCCTGGCCCTACGTCTATACATGACATACGTCAGAAGTCAGGACAGCCGCTCACAGGAAAGCGTCTGTTAGTCGCAAACAGAGGTGAAATCGCCGTCAGAATTATTAGATCCGTACACGAACTTTCTATGCAGACAGTATCAATTTACTCCCACGAAGACAGATTGTCTTCTCACCGCTACAAGTCAGACGAAGCATACCAAGTTGGAGCAGGTAAACCCCCTGTCAGCGCTTACTTAGACCAAGATGACATTGTTAGAATCGCCAAAGAACACAAAGTAGATCTCATCCACCCTGGTTACGGTTTCCTTTCTGAGAACGCCGAGTTCGCAAGAAAGTGTGCAGAGAATGGAATTACTTTCGTTGGTCCAACACCAGAGGCCATTGACGGCTTGGGTGACAAGGTGCGTGTTTTTTTATTCGCATTTTTGCTTTGTTAATTCTCGCTTAGACTAAGGCACGCAAGCTCGCAATGGAGAGCAACGTCCCTGTCGTACCTGGTACAAAAGGTGCAATCGATTCATATGATCAAGCAAATGCTTTCATTGAAGAGTACGGTTTCCCTGTTATCATCAAAGCTGCCATGGGTGGTGGTGGCCGTGGTATGCGTGTCGTCAGATCACAAGGCGAATTTGAGGAGGCTTTCGGTAGAGCTGTTTCTGAAGCTAAATCAGCTTTCGGTGATGGTACAGTGTTCGTTGAAAGATTCCTTGACCATCCACGTCACATTGAGGTTCAATTGCTCGCTGATAGTCATGGTAACGTCATCCACTTGTTCGAGCGTGACTGCTCTGTTCAGCGTCGTCACCAAAAGGTTGTAGAAATTGCTCCTGCACCTAACCTCTCCGATGAAGTACGTAACTCTATCCTCAATGATGCAAAGACTCTCGCAAAGGCTATCGGTTATCGCAACGCTGGTACAGCCGAGTTCCTTGTCGACCAAATGGGTAGACACTACTTCATTGAAATTAACCCACGTATCCAAGTCGAACACACTATCACTGAAGAAATTACCGGTATTGATATCGTAGCCGCACAAATCCAAATCGCATGCGGTGCCTCACTCGCTCAATTAGGCCTCACCCAAGACAAGATCACAAAGCGTGGTTCCGCAATCCAGTGTAGAATTACGACCGAAGATCCATCCGTCGGTTTCGCTCCTGATACTGGTAGGATTGAAGTATACAGATCAGCTGGTGGTAACGGTATTCGTTTGGATGCTTCTAATGGTTACGCTGGTGCAGTCATCACCCCTCACTATGATTCCCTTCTTGTCAAGGTTTCAGTTAGAGGTCAATCATATGACCTTGCTCGTAGAAAGATGCTTCGTGCATTGGTCGAGTTCCGTATTCGTGGTGTCAAGACCAACATCCCATTCTTGTTCCGTTTGCTCACCCACGAAGTCTTCGTTGCCGGTAACACGTGGACTACATTCATCGATGACAGCCCAGAATTATTCAAGTTGGTTACTTCCCAAAACAGAGCACAAAAACTCCTTACATACCTCGGTGATGTTGTCGTTAACGGTTCATCTATTAAGGGTCAAGTTGGTGAACCTGGTTTGAAGTCTGAAATTGTCGTACCAAAACTTCCTTCACGTGATGGTTCCGCCGATGCTCATGACACTAGCAAGCCATGTACATCTGGTTGGAGAAACGTTATCCTTGAGAAGGGTCCTGAAGGTTTCGCAAAGGCGATCCGTGACTACAAGGGTTGCTTAATTATGGATACCACATGGAGAGATGCTCACCAATCACTCTTGGCTACACGTTTGCGTACTGTTGATATGGCAAACATCGCAAAGGAAACTTCACATGCACTTGCAAACGCCTATTCACTCGAATGTTGGGGTGGTGCTACATTTGATGTTGCTATGCGTTTCCTTTATGAAGACCCATGGCAAAGACTCCGTACCCTTCGTCAGCTTGTTCCAAACATTCCATTCCAAGCTCTCGTTCGTGGTGCCAACGGTGTCGGTTACACATCATACCCAGACAACGTCATCTATGAGTACGTTTGTCAATTTCGGAATCTTACATGAATGCTAACAAGCCCGACAGCTTCTCAAAGAAGGCCGTTGAAAATGGTCTCGATATCTTCCGTGTTTTCGACTCACTTAACTACATTGAAAACATGAAGTTGGGTATTGATGCAGCTAAGAAGGCCGGTGGTGTTGTCGAAGCTACTGTCTGTTACACTGGTGATGTTGCTTCACCTAATGAGAAGAAGTATACTCTTGAATACTACGTCAACTTCGTCCAAGAACTTGTTGACTGTGGTATCCACGTACTCGGTATCAAGGACATGGCTGGTTTGCTTAAGCCACATGCAGCAACATTGCTCATTGGCGCTATCCGTCAACGCTTCCCAGAGCTTCCAATCCACGTTCACTCACATGACACAGCTGGTATCTCAGCAGCATCCATGCTCGCATGTGCTCAAGCAGGTGCTGATGTTGTCGATGTTGCTATTGACTCAATGTCTGGTTTGACATCACAACCATCAATGGGTGCAGTTGTCTCAGCACTTGAACAAACTGGTCTCGGTGCTGGTATTCGTCATGAAGACATCCAAGCACTTAATCTCTACTGGACTCAATGTAGAATTCTCTATCAATGCTTCGAAGCCAATGTCCGTTCATCTGACTCTGGTGTCTTCGATCACGAGATGCCTGGTGGTCAATACACCAACTTGATGTTCCAAGCACAACAATTAGGTTTGGGTACACAATGGACCGAGATCAAGCAAAAATACATTGAGGCCAATGAACTTTGTGGTAACATTGTTAAGGTCACACCTTCATCAAAGGTTGTCGGTGATCTTGCTCAATTCATGGTTTCAAATCAACTCTCAAAGAAGGATGTTGAGGAGAGAGCTGACAAGCTTGACTTCCCTAACTCAGTTATTGAATTCTTCCAAGGTTACCTCGGTCAACCAGTTGGTGGATTCCCTGAGCCATTGAGAACTAAGATTATTAGAGACAAACCACGTATTGATGGCAGACCAGGTATTGGTATGACTCCAGTTGACTTAAAGCAAGTTAAGAAGGACCTTGTTCAAAGATTTGGCAAACATATCACCGATGCTGATGTATCATCTTACTGCCTCTACCCTAAGGTCTTCGAGGAAGTGAGTGAAATGAGATCTTGACTATTTTATTTAATCTAACGATCCTAATAGTACCAAAACTTTGTAGAAAAGCATGGTGATCTCTCAGCTGTCCCAACTAGAGTCTTCTTGGCACCACCACAAATTGGTGAAGAAGTCAACGTTACCATCGACCAAGGTAAAACGCTTCTCATCAAGTTGTTGGCTGTTGGTGCACTTGACCAACAAAAGGGTGTAAGAGACGTCTTCTTCGAATTGAACGGTGAAGTTCGTGCTGTTTCAATCTTGGACAATTCAGCAGCAGTCGATCATGTACAAAGAGAGAAGGCAACAAGAGAACCAGGTTCAGTTGGTGCACCAATGGGTGGTGTCATTATCGAATTGAGAGTACATGAAGGTCAAGAAGTTAAAGAAGGTGACCCATTAGCTGTTATTTCAGCAATGAAGATGGAGAACTCAATTAGTGCGCCTGCGTCTGGTAAAATTGCCAGAGTTGTAGTTCACGAATCTGACTCTCTCTCCGCTGGTGACCTTATATGCGAAATTGCTAGATAATTTCACTGGATGTTTCTTCTCTTCTGTTTACTTTGTTGATCAAATTGTAATTAGGTGTAAAATTATGAATTTCTAATTAGGCTTTACAAAAATACTTAAATTGTGTGTGTGTGTTTATGAAATTGAAAATCGATAATGAATAATATTTACAAATTCAAACAAATATCAACGTAGAAGCTGCAAAGTAATTAAATCGCCAGAGGGGGTGTATTCTCGCATGAAAGATTCTTTATACTGTGACAATCTCTACATAGCTATTCCTTCATCAGTGGTAACATCATTATTTGCGTTATTGGTTTTGATCGACTGTGAACCATTATTTGAGGTGATTGATGATGCAAGGTTATATCATTTCCATGATATTGTTGTAAATTCTTTAATACACTCTCATAGTATGTCAAACTAGGTAAATTGGTGTTGTTGTGCTTTTCATCCCACAGGTCAAATTTTGATTCAACAGTACTGAGAGTTCCTATACAACGAAAACTTTCAGATACTCTAATGTAGTCAATATTGTTGTTTGTCTCTCGTTTGTATAATCTGAGAGGTCTCAATACTACAGTCTTTAGTTGCTTCCTGGCGTGCTAGTAACTTACATTTTCTGCAGATCCTTCCGATAGGTTTAAGCAACTTGTACATTCCTTGGTATCTTTCGCAACTTTACTGTTATTATAAAGGGGGATTTACGCGCTTGGGTGGCTCCTTTAGATTGATTTCGATTAAATAGGGGACACCAAACTGTTTTACTTTATAAATATTCATTAATAACAAGATCTTATAAAATATTCAATGTATTTTTTACTTATTTTGTATATTATTTCCGAGTCTAGTAGTTTTACGGAAGTAAAACAAACGGATGCGAAAAATTTCATCTTCATTCCTCGAATACACAATCGTAAAAGTTACTAAGTTAATAAATATTATAATTAAATATCCCTAGAAGCTAAACAAAAATCCACGTCTGGCTCCAATATTATAAACGAAAATAGTTGATAAGAATAAGCCAACGACTATACCGACAGCTGTTTGAAACATTCTCAAACCAATTACTAAACCTCTACTAAATGAAGTTTCATTATCGGGGCTTGGATTTGACATTGCTATACCACCTGCAGCTGATATACCAGACGGTACACTCAATAGAATTCCAGTAACTGTTACTGGAAATGCTGACTTTTTGAACATTTTTGAATAGGCGTTACCGAGGAACCCAACAGTGAAGCTTGATACTGAACTTATAATGTCTGACCTATCTGGTGTGAACATCGTCGTTGCGACATTGGATGCATACCCCGAGCAGCTGATTAAAACTCCAATCCACATTTCTTTAGAGCGCCAATCAGCGCGGTTGTACATTGACAACAAGGTTGCAAAAGCTGGTGCGCATATCAGTAGGTATATTTTTGGCACTTAGGGAGTTCGTCAGTATATGAAATATTAAGAGAAAGTAACTCACTAGCTTTTAAATAGAATGGATTGTCCGGATGTCTAATACACACCACATTACCCTTATGTGCAGGTGCAGAAGTGTTGGTAAATGTAAAGCTGCCCTCGTGCATAGGGTTAGAAATATCACCCAAGCTCGAATTTGGTAGAAATGTACCACTTAAGGTGACTGTATCAAGTTGATCATTTTGATCACCATCTGCTTCTGGTCCTAAAACACTTATGAAATCACTTCCAATAGATATAGCGAAACCGAGAAACATTGAATAACATAGAGCATAAACCACACGTATTGAGCCTGATACTATATTCCTAGATGCTAACTCCAGTGCTCCACAAGCAATGATCCATCCTGGTAAAATCAAAACAATTGCACTGGCTGCCACGGATTGGAAGCAGAAGTAATTGGTTTTATAAAGCGCCCTAGCGGCCATCTGTCATATTAGAGTTATCTATTTTCGCGTTTTAACACTTACTGCTATCAAACATGCGCAGGATATTTCGAGAATGAAACCAAATGATTCACGTTTGACGACACCGCTTACTTTCACGAAAGTGAGCATTGCACCAAGAATGAAAACAATGGGTATATCAAGCAAGCTTTAGCTAAGTCAGCATCAACAAACATAAAAACGCATAGGCTCACCTTGCACTGAATGCCATTGGAGCGACGGCTGCACTAGCACTAGCACCGATAAGTACCATCTGCCAGGCGTTGTATTGGTCAGGCTAAGTTTTGAGTGAGCAGAATCTTGAAGTTTCACTTTCACTCACACTCTTGACAATTTCACGGAGTCTTAAGGATCCCTCCATTGCATCCATTTTGCCACTAACAACATTCATATATACCTTGTGAGTTTTGCTGAGCCTCGACAGGTCTAATCCACCTGAGGATCTAATGTAAAAGTTTTCACCTGGTACTGCATTAAACCAGTTTACATTGTATAGCTAGAATACTTACATGTATGTGTTTCATAATCTGATAGCGTCACTAGAAGAATATTAGGGAGGTATAAAAAGGACGCTGATATCTAATGACCGTTAGTATGTCTAAGGGAGATATGAAATGCGCTCACATCTAAGTAATTGGCAGTAGCTATAAGTTGACTTTCAATACGGTGTGTTGGTGCACCATAAGTCATCAATGCTCTACCTAATCTAAGCAGAAAGTCATGTCTTTCAAGTGAATATGAAATGTTATGGATGCAATCTACTTCAAAGTTGTTGGTAGTCTTTGGCAATTCATCACCATTCAAAGTTTCAGATGGTTCCTCATTTAGTAGTGGATTCGTTATACTGTCTCGCCTACTTTCGACACTTGGTCTTGGTGACAAACCTTTCTTGAAAGCAAACTGATCTAAAGCAATGAGCTCCTCAGTATTCTCGTTATTATCATCGAAATCTATCACTCTGTGAAAGTTTGAGTGATTCGGGAATGATTTGAGCATTTGGTTGACAGATGTAAATGACGTATTAGAATCAACAGAGCTGCTTCTACTTCTAGATTTATGGGGTGTATCTTCATCAACTGGTGTGAGTGGTCCTCTTGCACCAGTAAACAGATTGCTGTAGTTTATTCTCAACCCCTGACTGCGACGTCTCTTTTGCCATGCTAACGACGGTTTTGGCGGGTATGTAACATTATTATCTGGCAGACTATTCGATCTGCTTCTTGCTGGTGGTATTGATGTCGGACTGGTTAGCGAACCTCTCTGTGTGTCTCCAGATTGGTTGTTTTGTCTATTGAGTGGTGATAATGGTATTCTAGCAGCTTCTGGTATTGCCGGTGCTATTGGTGGTGATTTAGATTGCACCGATGGGGGCGTCGATTGTGCGGGTCCGACGAGCTTTTGAGCATACAAATCGAGAAGATTTCCTAGTATAGACGTCTTCGGACGTGCTGTCACTGGTAATGGCAAAGCTGCATCCTCTTCGTCTGTGGTGGAATAATCTGAGTCAATCCTGTTGTCAACTATTCCATGATTGGCTTGATGAATGTTTTCACCGCTGGATGTCGTACTGCTTGTATTGCTCAATGTTGTTTCAGAGAGCCTTTGTGCATGATGTGATACAACTTCCTCAGCGTGCGCTTTTAGCTGTAGAATTGAATCTTCACTCCCAACTTGGCGTAGTGGTGAGTTGCGATTGGCGGATGTGGACGTACCGACGAGTGTGTTATCGTCAACGTCATCGCATGGTTCATTCTGCTTGCCTCCTAGATAAAACTTACTCATACGTTGCTTTCCTTTTGATTTTGGTCTTGGTGACGCATCTTCGTCATTTAATGAATAAAACTGCTTCTTATCTTTCATGCAGATGACTCAAATGACAAAATGACGATTAAATTTGGTATATTCTTCATGCATTCCGTAGACATTCCAAAGTTAAAAATTTTCATTCGTAACTATGAAACTATGGATTAAACAATATACATGAATGGTTTCAGCGAGTGTTAAAATTTACAAGAATTATCATATAATTATGGTATTCGCCTTAAAATTGTCGTTTCGTCCTCATTTCGGCAGCATTCCGCTGCATGGCCGAAGTATCCTCTGGAATGTAAGTAGATCTTATTAGAACTTGTCAATTGAAGTCTCATAATTGGTCTGAATGAGAGCGTCTAAAGTGAGAAGGTCATCGCAATTGGAAACGTTCTCTACTAAGTCATTTGGTACAGATTGCAAAGAACTCTGACCGAGTTTCTTAATCTTAGGTAATTGTGATGCCAATTTACCCTCCTGTAACTGTGATATAGATGCGGATAATGATGAGAAATTCTTATTCAGGCATTCACTTAGTATTTTCTTGAAGTCAGCAGTCTGTAAAGAATCACGGGTTTGTTGAACCAAATCTATGAAGAGTTCACCAGTATTCAGCTGATGGTTATTGTCTAAAGTAACCATAAGTGACTTATCTGTCATAGGGAATAAATCCTCAAGTAATTCTTCTATAGGACCACCTTCAATTGCATTTCTAACTTGATCGATCCATACATTGATTGAGTCGCCATCAACTAAATCTCTGAGCGTAGCTGGACCAATGATTTCATCAACAGCAGCCTTGACACGTTGAGAAAGTCTAGGAAGACCTGTGTAGATGAACCACCAAGTCAAGCTCAAGTATGTCTTGTCGTATGTATCGTTATCATCGACTGAATCGAATGGTACTGGTGCCCTCGATCTAGCTAAAGCGCGCAGTTGTGCGACGTATGCTTCTCTGCCCAGATGTGACAACTGAATGTGAGTAAGCAATGATAGTAAAGTGACAGCATAATGAATAGTAATTGACTGAGAAAATGTTCCAACTTTAAGGTCTTCCCATAGATCCTTCTTCGATTTTAACTTCAATTCTGAGATCTTGCTTGGACTCTTTGGTAAATCTGGGGAAGAATCGCCGTTTGACGATGCGGTAGTTGATTGGTCGTTAAATGATAAAGCTGAGGAATCTGTGGATAATGGGCCTGTCTGCATTGCTGGTGCGCTTCCTGTATCGTTATCAGAAGATGGTGCGAGTGACTTTTCTGAAATAACACCGGAACTCGATAAAGTAGAACTCTTTGAGCGTTCCTTAAGTTCTTCTGTTATTGTTTGTACTTTGAATGCTCTGTCTATTTCATTATCAACCGACGGTAATAACGCCATAACCGTGAATGTGCAGTCTTGCAACGTCTGATAGAACTTACGACGCAATCTAATTATATGAGATACTGCAGTAATAACAATAAGCTACTCACGTATCCCTTGCTGTTCTATCCCTCTCAGATTGATCCTGTATCTCGGATAACTTTGAACTGAGATATTGGCAGATGAAATATGTACCGGTAGCTACAGCAGCAGCTATACCGATACCTCTCCTCTTATCGTATAACGCTTTCCTAATTCTCTCCATCTTGGTTGGAATAGAAGATGCTCATCTCTTGAACCTCTACTATCACGCCGTAATAGAAAAAATGGTGAGACGAGCGTATATAATATTAAAACAGCCTTAATAAATTATATAGGGTGGTGGTGCTCAATTCCCTGTACCAAAAGATGTCTGGACACCAGCTGGTGAGTCTATCTCTCGATGAACTAACAATCTAACGCTATTCAGGTGGCTGGTGGACCAACCCACGTAACTGGAAGGCAAATACCGCCGTCGTCTTTACCGCTATCGGTTTCCTTACATACGGAGTATGGAACTACTCTGCAAGTAAAGAGAACAGAACTAGAGAGCCTTCGAGGTGGATTCCATCAATGATCTGGGCTAGAGAATTCAAAGAGGGTAAATTGGGTATCAGAAAGGAAGAATATACGCCTGCTCAACATCACTAATCACAGTTATTTGATTTGATGCATTTTTCTTAATTACAGTCAAACTCGTTAATCCACATATATCTACTAGTGAGGATATATAACACCCTAAACCATACCAATTGGGACTTATGTCGCATCATACCTCCTATTGAGCGGATGTAATCCCCAAAGCTGCTGAAGATCGTCAAACTAGACTTCTCTGGTGGGATACTAAACATTGAGTATTTCATTGGTATACTATGTGTTCTGAGGGTGCACTTCTCTAAGTCTACTCTCTTGGTGCCCCAGTGAATGCTCTTGTGGTTAGGATGTGAGGATACTCCCTCCTTATCGAATGTCAATATCCTATCTATATTGTGCACTTTCGCGTAGTCTACTACTACATTCGCTATTAATTCTTCAGGCCAGCTCTTATCCATGCCGTCTTGCAGATGTCTGTGCAAATAAGAAGTTATTCTTCTCTCTTACTTAACTTACGCATTTTCTATCAAGTTGACGTTATCAGGTTGCACTCCTAAGACGCTTAGGCTACTATAGAGCTCTTGCTCGCGAATGTTGCCCAATCCATCGGCGTTCCCTATCACATCATCAGTAATAGTATATAAACATAATATACAGACCACTTGAGAGACAGAGAACATGTAGATTTTCTCCTTTTCGTCTAAAATGATTGAGAGTAGGACCAAAGAACATTACTTCATCATCCGGGTGTGCGATAACCAGCAGAGTTCTCAATGAGCTCGATGTACTAGACATATTATCACTATTGAAATATATAGCTATTATAGCTAAATAACTTGCTATCAACAGAAGCCATTTCATCATTCCTTAGGAAATAACGTCGATGTTGAGGAAGACGTTTGTCAGATTGTCTCATGAAAATCCATTTGGATTACCGAAGAAGAAACCAGCGCCATTAACGAAGCGTGCGATTCCACATGTAAAGCATACGATTGTCGTCGCTAGCGGTAAAGGTGGTGTAGGAAAGTCATCAATAGCGAGTAAGTGAGGATATTTGATGGTCTACTCTTCTTATAACGGCTGAATAGCCAATATCGCACTCTCATTATCTCGTTTACCCTCTTCACCCCGGGTTGGACTCTTAGATTTGGATATCTTTGGTCCATCGACACCGAAACTTCTCGGTTTGGACAGAGAGGGTATGGAAGCTGAACTTACAGATTGTAAGCAGTCCTAATATAAACAAGCTCGGTTCTTATCATCCCCCACAGATGGTGCACTCAAACCGTTATCAAATCATGGCATTTCCTCGATGTCGATAGGATATTTACTTCCAAACGGTCCAAAAGCACAAGACACACCCGTTGTATGGCGTGGAATGATGGTTCAGAAAGCTACACAGCAGCTCTTATTCGATACAGATTGGCGAGGTGTCAATGAACGTCAATTGGATTATCTCATCATTGATATGCCACCTGGGACGGGCGATGTACCCTTAACAGTTGGTCAGCTTGTTCAGAGTAGTGGTGAGTGACAGTCATTTGCTTTCAGTTAAACTAACTTCCATCCAAGGCGCTGTCATTGTAACTTCTCCACAAGATGTTGCATTACTAGACACGCGGAAGGGTATGGCGACCTTCACAAAGCTCAACATTAAGGTGTGTGAGGATGTCTTGAACTGAACAAATCTAACAAATATACCCTAAAGATATTAGGTATGATGCTCAATATGTCGCACTTCCTTTGTGAGAATTGTTCACATCCTCATGAGATATTCGGTGATGTGAAGAATTACGATAGAGCATTGAAAGAACTCAACGTGGACGACCTCGGTAGGTTGCCATTGGCTAAGGAAGTTAGCAGTGGTGGCGATAGTGGACTTCCACTTATGGCAATGAGTGATAAGGTTTCACTCTCAAACGGTGCTAGTGAAGCACGGAAAATTTTCACTCAAACAGCTCAAGCACTCTTTAGTAAATTACCAGTATAAGAACAAAATTAGTAGCATTTTGCATTCATTAGAAGACGTGTCGCAATTTATAACATTTCATTACGCATTTACCATGATTCATTTCCATCTTTGCCAATAGCGGTGAACGTCTGCTTGATGTTGCCCTTGAAAGCAATCTCATATGGGCATACACTGTTAGTTTGCTTGGCTACTGCTGCAAGTGTAGCAATGTCCTGCTTTGTGTCTTCGATTTTCAAGTGGGTTGAGATGGTAAATGGTGATTCCTTGCTGTCGGTCTTGTTTAATGTGACATCAGCGAAGACCTTGGCAGCATCAGATGGGCCTGTCTTGCCAATTTGCTGGGCAGCAACTTTCATAGCGCCCAAGAAACAGGTTGAGTAGCCTCTGCAAAGTGTTAATGAATGTACTTGTGTTAATACATCTAGACTCACAATGCAACAAGTTCTTCTGGGTTGGTGTTGTTTTCTGAGCCTGGTGGCTGGATGCTGACTTTGAAGTTTGTTGTCTCGGACTTTGCTACACTGTGAATACGTCAATGGGAGTAATTTTGAGTGATTTTACGAACCCGTCAGCTCTACCACCACCGGTTGCAGATGCCTTAGCTGTGTAAAGGCCCTTCTGTGCTGTGAGCATAGTTCTGCGAGATGATACACCAGCGAGTTGTGCACGTGGTGCTCTTGCTGCTACTGTTGCGATTCTAGAGAACATTTTTTTGGTCTTGGTTGTTTATCGTTAAGAGAAGACAGCCTGATTTGGAGCACTATCCGATTAGGAATGATGTCAGACGGAATATTGAGGAATGAGAAGGTCTTTGGTGCGTCTACTAGTTATTGCTAGTCTAAATAGTATACTCTGCGTATACCATCACTGTTTTCATAATAAATACTTAAATAGAGAATAAATATATGATAAATTGATTACAATGGAGTGTAATATGTATTAGACACTTCCTAAACACTCTATAAATCTCCAAAAAGCCTTAAATTGATTTTATTTTTTATCTCGAATTTCGATATCTCGCGAGATTCTAAACCATCACCATCTCAAATGTCACAGCAAGAAGAAACTCCCCGCTCAAAATACGCGGGATTTGACCAAGAGCAAGATGTAGAGGGAGATGACTACTACGATGACGATGCAGATTTCGGGGGAGATGATTACCCAGACGAACAAGATCAAGGCGAAGAACAAGAACAAGAACAAGACGGAGATGAGGGAGATGAGAACGACGGAGAAGCTCCTGAAGGAGGTGAAGGAGATGACGGTGAAGAAGTCCCAGATACGCCAGCTCCTGGTGCGTATATCTTGATTATAGAGACTCAATTAACAACGGCGCAGATGCAGCTACCCCAGCTGGTGATGCCAACACTCCAGTAGCAGAGGGCACAGAAGTACCTGTTAAACGCGGTAGAGGTAGACCGAGAGGACGTCCAAAAGGTAGTGGAAGAGGACTTTCTACACCCAGAGGTACACCCTCTGGTAGACCGCGTGGTAGAGGTAGAGGTAGAGGGCGTGGATCCTCGCGTAACAAAGACCGCGCTAAAGGAATTGGTAGAATGGGAAATAGACGACGTGACGAAGACGGCACAGAAGAGATAAACTGTGGGTAGACGCAATTATGGAGTAACTATCTAACAATCCGTAGTTGGATACATCCCACCTGATAAACCAGCCCCTCGTGTGCTTAGAACTATCGGCGGTAATGAATATTGGTACACGGAAGACGAGCTTGAAATTGACGATGATGTCCGCGGTGATCAAAAAATAGACGAGCACGGTAATTTACAAGGTGGAAGATGCTACAAGATGCCAACATTCACGAGTTCACTCAGACACGACCGCGAGAAGGTTTACATGCTTTCTATCGATGCCGCGAGAGGTGCGGGATACAAGGACTCACTTTATATGTTTAGAAGGAATCTCTTACTTGTTAAGCTTACCCTCGAGCAAGAAGAGAAAGAGAGACTTATCACAGAGGGTAAACTCGCGGCCAACTCACGTTCGCGTTCAGTAACGATAGTTGCAGCGAGAAATGTATACAAACTCTTCGGTGCAAAGGTCTTAGTTAATGGTAAACACGTCGAAGATGACTACTATGAGGACAAAGCAAGAAAGTATTGTGCTGAAAAGAAGATTGAACCAGGTACTATATGTCAAGTTGAAGACGAAGGTCAATTCGAAGATGCTGATCTCGCAGCTTTGACAAGCCAAGGTCCAAACTTCGGTACAAAGTTCTTGAGCAGAGCAATTGGAGGTTGGGCCAGTGACATCGGTGCTGCACTCTTCTCACCCGCTACAACTTACGCCACTAAACGTGCATTACTGAGTCAAAATATAACACCGGAGAATTGGATGGATGTATACGCACGTGAGGTTCAAGGAACTAATGACGAGATAAATTATCTGAAGAGATTGCGAATGGAGGAGTCACATGCTATTTTAGTCAAAGCTGAGAACGCAGGTGTGAGGAAAAACAAACCAAAGCAGAATGCCTTGAAGAAGGAAGACGAAGATGTCAAGATGGAAGGTGTTGAGACGCCAGCTTATGCGTCGATTCCTCCAACACCTCAAGTTGATCCTACACCTTCAGGCAGTCAAACGCCGACAATTGAAACAAGCAAGAAGAAGAAGGAAAAGCATTTTATACCGATTGAACCAAAATTCCAAGATGTCGCAACCAAAGATCTTGGTAGGTTAGATCCATACACCAATACGCCGCACAGGTCAATGGCACACCAGCCAACAAACGCAGTCTGGGAGAAAGTATCAATCGGACCTCAAATTGAGGGTCTTGATCCAAACAAGCAATATATAGGTGGTTCCAAATTGGGAACCCAGGGTTTCTCATTAGCAAGTATATCTTGGGAATTGGACGGTATGACGCTCTCCAGTGATAAACACATGAGAAACAATGTCACGAACACGCCTATTAACTCGACCATACTTGACTTAGACATAACATATTAAAGAATGCAATATAAATGAACTGCTGTACATATATTAATAAATTAATCTACTTGTTCGAGGTATCCTTGTACTAATAATCTCTCTACATCTGACCTCCTGACCATGAACCTTTGTCCAACTCTGAAATCGACAGGGCCCCCTTGGGTTTCGATGAGACCAGCGTCGCGAACTACCCTGACACTGATGTGCAAATCTTTTGGAGGTTCTAAGCTACCTGAGGTAATATCAACGACGTCCAGAAATGGCGACTTGTATTGTGTTATCAAAGAGGAATATCCTCGCAGGAAATCAACCTCCGTAGGACTGAGTTCATCGCGTATACCACCATTATCATGTTCGTTGAGTAGGTGTGCCAATGCGGCGCCAGATTTCCAATATAAATCGCGTAACTTATTTAACCTGTGATGATGGTATCCCAATAAACACCTTTTATTCCGCTGTGCACAGAGGTTTAATATTGTAAGTTGTGCAAGTGTAGGTTTGTCACTCTCCATCAAGCTCTGATCAGCCTCGTTTGTCAGTCTTTCGACAGTGTCATTGATTTGACTATTGAGATATCGACATTCACGCGTAATTTCGCGCACCGATGCATCATCGTAAGCATACAAGCTGTCTGTGAGGTGCGACCGTCTCGACTGTTGTATCAGCCTGTGTGCTATGTCTGTGTATTGTTGACTCATCGATGGTGGTAGGATGTAAAGGGTGTATGTGTGTGGTGTACTTATACGTTTTGCCTTATGTAATTCTAGTAGAGATACTTATTCTGTGAACATTATGCACCATATACCTTCATACACATCCGTATGCACCCTTCGTTAATTACTATGAGCTTCAAACTTATCGACAGCTCAAATCCAGTCCAGGAGGAAAACGTTCATAAATTCGAAATACCAAAAGAGTTCTGCAAACCTACTGGTACTTCTGGAATGTGAGTGCACTATGAGCTGGAGGGGTGTGAGTATATATCAGATGAGCGTGTATATTTACATACATTATACACTTTATATATATATATATATATATAACACCTCTATTGCCTGTATATACTCTTCATACGCTAACACACCCATAGTGCCGATTCAGCTGGTAATTCCGTCATGTTCTTGAGTTTGCTCAGTGTATTCAGCAAGAACTGGGCTATTGCTATTCCAACTATCGTATCCTCTGCTATTTGCTACACTAACTACAGTCCATTGAAGTGTTCGGACGCCACATCACCACTCACTTCGCTCATTATGTGAGTTTTGGATTATTATAAAACAACATCTAACACTTTATAGGGGTACCGGTGCAGTAACAGCCTCTTACGTGGGTATAATTTATACAATCACTCAATACTAACATGCAACAGCTCCCACTTATCATGCGTCCTCAAAACTCATGAACTCTTTTGTACTTTTATTTAATTGAATTAATTGGATTAGATTTTATCTCTTATTACGTAAAGAATGCTCCCGATGTCTTCTCTTGGAGGTACAACGAGGATGTCTGAGGAAGTGGCACTAAAAGAAGAATCAAAGGAAATTAACGAAGAAGAAAATACTGTGACGCGTCCGACGCGTAATAAGCGTCCTACACAGACTCAGAAAGCCCAATTTAGTGACAGCGAGGGTGAATCTGAATCGAACGATGACGACAGCGGGGAGGAGGTATACGAAGATCAGAATGAGGAGCTTGAAGAGTCGGATGAGGATGTAGATGATATAGATGGTGTAGACGATCTTGAGGATGCCGATGATGTAAAGGATGACGACGAGGAGCTACTGAGTGAAGACGATGAAAAGAGCACAAACAAGAAGCGTAAGAAACCTACAAAGCAAGACAAACCAAAGGAGTCTAGCAAGAAAGCTAAGCAGGAGACGCCGAAAAATACTCATCAGGGTGTTCCAGCCTGTCCTGAACCGTACAAAGGTAAGTCGCTAGCGCTTGTAATGGTCTTCTAACATACACTCAAGCTCCACCTGGTCAGGTTTCTCAGAACACGCTTGATTTCCTCAATTGTCTCAGACATGAGCCATGTAACGATCGCGATTGGCTGAACGATGAACACAATAATGCAACCTACAAAATGCAGTATAAAGTGAGTTCCGCACAATTCTAAGATACATTTAACTAAAATTACCTAGGAGTTTAACGAGTTCACTCAGGAATTCGTCACCAGAACTATCGAGATAGACGACAACATGCCACCATACCCTAGCAAAGATTTGGTATATCGTCTATCGAGAGATCTCAGGTTTTCTAATGATAAGACACCTTACAGAAAACAGTTCATGATGACATTCTCCAAGACTGGTCGTAAAGGTGCATGCGCGGGCTATCATCTCATGATACAGCCAAACAATCGTACGATTTTCGCAGCTGGCAAATGGCAAGGTGAAAAAGAAGAATTACAAGCGTTAAGAGATAATATTGTCAGCAATTCAACGCCTTTGAAGAACATAATCGAGGGTGACGGGTTTGTCAAGTATTTTGGTTCTCCAGATCCAGCAAAACGCGCTAAAGGAGAACGGAAGAATCTCTTTGGGGTAAGAGGAACGTTCCTACGGTAGCTTACATTGCTAACGAAACGTAGATGGATGATGAATTAAAGGTCGCACCTAAAGGCTTCGCTAAGGATCATCAAGACATCGACCTACTCAAATTGCGCTCATTTATTGGTGAACATCGCTTTGATGATGCTGATGTCACTTCACCAGACTTCATGGATAAGTTGATGGATATCGTCAGAGTGTCCAAGCCTCTAGTCGATCTTCTAAACGATTGGATGGGGGTATAATGCTCATAATTGTAATTTATATATAAGAATGATCGTGACACTGTATATATGAAATTATACGATATTTTCATTGTCTGTTTCTTCTCTACTCTTCACTTGCCTCGGACCAACTTACCACACTTCAGATAACATTAAACATCATTAAACGTGTAATTAGTTGACAAATTTATTCTTTATTGCAATGGCGGATCTAGAATCGTTCAACGATAATGGGAATACTCCCGATAATGGAAGTAGAACATTACCAGGCGACACTAGCGGTGGATACTCGATGAAGAACTGGAAAGCATTCACACCATTTCTAGGAATGTATAGGGATGTTTCTAAGTGAGTTCTTTTGAAGCTCTGGTGGCGATAGCTGATCAATAAGCAGTCGGATACCATATTACATATCCGATTGGACAGACGCATGGAATTACAGGGTTATACCATCCACATTACTCATATTCTTTGCCAACATACTCCCTGCTCTCGCGTTTGCGTTTGAGTTACAAGAGAAGACAGGGCAATACGGTGTGAACGAAGTCCTAATATCAACATTCATGGCTGCTGCTGGCTTCTCAGTTTTGGGAGCTCAACCACTTACTGTCGTTGGTGTTACTGGTCCAATTACAGTACTTAATACATCAATATACACAATTCTCAATGAAAGTACAGGCCCTAATCCGAAACCAAATTACTTGCAATTTGTTGGATGGGTTTATATTATCGCAGCCATCATGCACTTTTTCATAGCAATATTCAACTTGAGCAATTGGTTACGGAGAACAACGAATTTCACTTGCCAGACATTCGGCTTTCTCGTTGCTTTTATCTACTTGACGTATGGATGTCAAATAATGGGACGTTCTTCTGAAGCTGACGATCCGATTGAAAGCTTAGTCTTGAGTGCTTTCCTCGCGGTTACATTTCTGGCGGTTTATCATGTTTTCATCTTCGGGAATATGTCCCCATATTTCTTCAGGCACGCAAGGCGATTTTTACTTGATTACGGTTTACCTATCACCGTCGTAGCCGTTTCAGCATTACCCTACTGGGGCAGATTCGTAGAGATTGACTGCATTAAACTACCTACAGTAGGTGGTTTTAGTTATACATCATCTGAACGAGATGGATGGATTATTGCTTTCTGGAATACACCACCTAAATGGGTCGCGATTGCTATTCCATTTGCTGCATTGTTGACATTATTGTTCTATTTTGATCATCAAGTCTCGGCTATTATTGGTCAAGGATCCGAATTCAAACTTAAAAAGCCACCCGGATTCCATTGGGATTTCTTCTTGCTCGGGGTTGCTACACTTCTGGCAGGGGTATTCGGTTTGGTAGCACCAAATGGGTAGGTTTATATGAATTCAGAAGTAAACTTTCTAAGAAATAAACAGACTAATTCCACAGACGCCTATTCACACTGAATCACTAGTCGTCAATGAGTCTAGGGTTGTAAATGAGACTGTCGTTGAGGAAGATCAAGTTAAGAATGAAGGACATTCACCAGAAAGCACAACAAAGCAGCGTAAAATTGAGGTACCTGTTGGCGTTGTCGAGCAGCGAGTTACAAACCTCGCACAAGGTGGACTTGCATTAGCCTTTGCGACAGGTCCTTTTCTCCAAGCTGTCAATAAGGTAAGTTTTATTCTCGTACGAAGTAGCAATTGCTAATTGTTTAGATACCAACAGGTGTTTTGGCTGGTGCGTTCATTATTTGACGTCACTTTATCTGATAAAAACTATAGGTCTATTCTGGTCGCTGGGACTACATGCTCTTTATGGTAATATCATCACAGAGCAGGCTAGTTATCTCTTAAAGGATAAGCATCGTACAGATTCTAATGACAAGTATCACAAAGTAAGGAAGAGTCGGATATGGCTGTTTTTATTATTCGAGCTGGTTGGATTTGGTGCTACATATGCAGTAACTATTATACCACGCTCTGCTATTGGTTTCCCCGTTATAATCATACTTCTCATTCCGTTCCGAAGCCATGTGATCCCAAGACTAGGATTCACTCAGGAAGAGTTAGACATATTGGACGGCCCTGCAGCATCTGACTTTACGATGGCCGGATTGACACTCTAGGCGATGGTGTATATTCTAAGACATGAGCATAAAAAATTTCTCTACATAAAGAGATCAAAGAGTTTTCATAATGCTAGCAATGGATTACAACATAATGGAAATGTACTAATAAATTAATTTTGATTGAAAGGAAACATGTTATAATGGTGTGTGAATCATAATCGTCATATGGACGAAGAATGAATGAATTGTTAAATTAGTACAGAAATAATCTCATAAAAGTCGAATTGGAAAGATTCCATCATAAAGGGCGCTGTCGGGAAGAACAGGAAGTGAATTCTCACAAGTGCACGACTTCATGTGACATTTTAAGTTTCCGTCTGCGATCCTTTCCGGCCATTAATATTCGATCGATTAAGAATTACTCTTGATTGAAAACCATGACGACCGTAACACATCCAATTCCAGTTAAATGTAAACCAGGCAACGGCTTGCCTACACCACACGTCGGACCTGATCTTGAGAGCTACAAGAAGGCACACGCACTCACAACAGGTGAACACAGGGAGTCTTTCTGGGCTAAAGTGCGTCAACCGTTTTGCATGTGTATCACATTCTAATAATACACAGGCTGCAAAGGAAACTCTTTATTGGCACAGACCATTCTCAACCGTCGTCACAGGTGGTTTCGAGTACGGTGACACTGCATGGTTCCAAGAGGGTGGCTTAAACGTACGCTTCCATCTTCTAGAAGTACTTATGCTTACCTACACTCTAGGCATCCTACAACTGCGTTGATAGATGGGCTATTCAAAACCCAGAGAAGGTATTTTGTCATACGTCATCAAGAAGTTTCTCACACCCCACTTTAGACTGCTATTATCTATGAAGCAGACGAACCAGGAAACCACCAAGAAATCAGCTATGGTGAACTTCTCAGAGAAGTTTGTAAGGTAGCCAATGTACTCAAATCAATGGGCGTCAAGAAGGGTGATGTTGTCTCAATTTATCTTCGTACGTATTTATTAATCACGTTTAAATTTAATATTAATGTATTTTTAGCAATGACATGGCACGCAGTCGTCGCTTTCTTAGCCGTCGCACGTCTTGGTGCCGTCCACTCCGTCATTTTCGCCGGTTTCTCGGCTGAGTCACTCAGGGATCGTGTCGTTGACTGTAAATCTAGAGTAATTATCACATCAGATGAAGGAAAGAGAGGTGGAAAGACTATCGCTACAAAGAACATCGTAGACGCTGCACTTAAGGAATGTCCTGACGTCACGAATGTCTTGGTTCTTCAACGCACCGGAAACCCAGTCAATATGCAACAAGGAAGAGATTTCTGGTGGCACGAAGAGTCCGCAAAGGTTGTTCCTTACTGCACACCTGAAATTGTCAACAGTGAAGACCCACTCTTCATTCTCTACACTTCAGGTTCAACCGGTAAACCTAAGGGTGTTGTTCACACAACCGGTGGATACCTTCTTGGAGCAGCACTCACTGTCAAGTACATCTTTGATGTTCACGAGAATGATAGATACGCATGTATGGCGGATGTCGGTTGGATTACAGGACACACTTACATCGTCTATGGTCCACTCTTGAACGGTGTCTCAACTACTGTCTTTGAATCAACTCCAGTCTATCCAAATGCTTCAAGATACTGGGATATCGTACAAAAGCACAAGCTTACACAATTCTACACCGCACCAACAGCTATCAGACTCCTTCGTAGATTGGGTAGGGAACACGTTCAAGGTTATGATTTGTCATCTTTACGTGTTATCGGATCAGTTGGTGAACCAATCAATCCAGAAGCATGGGATTGGTACAACGAAGAAGTTGGTAAAAAAGAATGTGCAGTCGTAGACACCTACTGGCAAACTGAGACAGGATCCATTATCATTTCGCCACTTCCAGGTGCAATTCCATGTAAACCAGGTGCAGCTACATTCCCATTCTGGGGTGTCGAACCAATCATCTTAGATGCAGTATCTGGTGAACCACTTGAAGGTAATGATGTCGAAGGTGTCTTGGCTGTTAAGCACCCATGGCCATCAATGGCAAGAACAGTTTATGGTGATCATGAAAGATTCTTGGACACTTATCTCAAACCATACCCTGGATACTACTTCACTGGTGATGGTGCTGGTAGAGATCATGATGGATATATTTTCATTAAGGGTCGTGTTGATGACGTTATTAACGTTTCAGGACACAGACTTTCAACCGCTGAGATTGAATCTGCATTGATTTTGCACTCTGGTGTAGCAGAAGCTGCAGTTGTTGGTGTACAAGATGAATTGACAGGACAAGCAATTAGCGCATGGGTGACGATGAAGCCAGAGTTCAAGGGTAGTGTTGATGAAAATCTCGTTAAGGAATTGACACTTCAAGTACGCAAAGTTATTGGACCATTTGCGGCACCAAAAGCACTCTATGTCGTTGGTGACCTTCCAAAGACACGCTCAGGAAAGATTATGAGAAGAGTCATTAGAAAGATTGTAGCAAGCGAGTCTGATCAACTTGGTGACCTCTCTACCTTGGCTGAACCATCAGTTGTTGAAGATATCAAAGCAAAGTTTGCAGAAGGACAACTTAAGTGAAAGAATTTAGTAACGAATTGAAAAGTGTAATGTAAAATTGAATAATAATCTTTGTGTTTTTATTATTTTCTGGCTGTCATGTACTATTTTACTATTTTGGCGGACAGTTCGTAGTCTTGATAAGCGACGTCGATGAGTAGCAGTGGAAGTGACAGCAATACGGCTAGCGATACTGGATCTAGCTCCTCTGGTTCATCTAGTAGCCAAACTACGTCTGTACCGTGAGTTTTATACGGGAATGTCAATGAATGCCACTAAGTGTTCTCTAGTGCTACGGCGGGCGTAGGTGGACTAACGTTCACAGAACCACCACAGACTAAAACTAGTTACTGTGCGTTTATTTATTTTACGATTGACTTAGTCTAACAGCATATCCAGACAAAGTAGCAGAAGGAAACGAAATAACATTTGGATGGAGTCTGACGTCTATATATAATACACCAGAAAGTTTGACATTCGATGCTGTCAATACAGATTCAGGGAATACTTACACTATGGGATCTGTCGCTGGTGGTGACACAACGTTTAAATGGGACCCTTATAAGCACTTTACAGATGGTAATGATCCTCCACTCGTATATTCAACTTATCAAGTGAGAGTCTACGATGACAATGGTCCATCAGCAGCTGCCAAACCTGGCGGTTTCATGCCAAATTCCAATTTAAGGTTTGCGTTATACAAACCAGAAAAATATACACCATTAGATGGTAAGCGTAACGCGCTCTTTTGGTTTTTCTTTAACTTACTCCTTTTACAGAATGGGTCTGTCCAAATTGTTCATCAGCGGTGCGTAACATCCCTATAGCGAGTCTGGCATGGCTTGTTACTATCACTCTTATGCTTCTATCTGGTTACTCTTTGGCTAGATCACATCGTTGATTTTTCCCCTTTTCACTTATTTATGGTATACCAGGCGGTTTACAAATTACTTTTAGCAGAGAACAATTTCTATTTATTTGAATCTGCATATTTATTATAACGGACACTACATGTAACATACGCTATTTGACGTCATGTTTAAACTATTGCCTGAAATTGAGTGGTAAGATGAATGTTATCGAAGGTCCCTAGCAGACCAGGAAGTATCACCTCAGCTTTGCTGCAACTGAAATATAGGTGCCTAATATACAGCATCTCCGGTTGGCCACGAGCGAAAATATCAGCGAGCACAACATATAAATGCGTAGCGTCGAACGACTGATTCGGAGCGACTAAAAAAAAAAATACAAGCCCAATGGGCAGTGCAAAAAGCAAAAAGATCATCCCATACTAGTGTTGCGCTACTACCGCTGAGCTACAGATGCTGTGTGCATCTACCAGGAATCGAACCTGGGACCTCAACATAGCATGTGAAATTCTTCACTTGATAACCCGCTGGGCTACCCGGATGATCTGACAGCGGTTTCGTCAGGTATGGTGTGTATCGGTTAAGCTTAAACTGCAAATTTTACATCCCTACCAAATTACGAGCTACAAAGACGAGGCAAATGTATATTCCTGAGAATATGATACAGAAGCTAGGAGTTGATTCGCGTCGTATTTACGTGGCTTATTGTCTTCGTAGTAAGATGTCAGATATGCAGACTCTAAAATTTTTGGGTTCCATTGTGAAATGAAAGTCATCTGGTGAGAGCAAATGGCATTCAACAACTATTACAATATAACATTGGCGTGTACGTCACGTCTGTTCGTCTTCATATGCTTTCATTACATGAAGGACGTCAACTCTCGTGACTTACAAAAAAGTATAAAGACTTATAATGATTACGGACACATGCGGCAAACCATAGGGCACACATCGTCATTCGGTCATTCCAGGTCTTCCAATGGGTAGTCAAAGCTTTGAAATCTATGGAGGTAATTTCATTGATATAGAGCTAGAGAAGGGTACGATACTAAGCTACAAAAGATAAAGTATATTAATATCAGTCACCAGTATAACCCCGTGTTCTTGCTTCAGTCGACATATTCGTAAGATCACGAAAGCAACTAACGCGATCTGGATGACGGGTCAAATACACCATTATAAATACAGCGCTATTAATACAAAATAATAATAATTTACCTGGCTTTCTCCTTATAAAAGACCATCATGTCATTTGGAGGTGAGTTCTCAACAAAATGGCGTGAGACAACTAAACAGGGTCAGGATTCTCATTTGGGGGTGGTGCTAACACGAACACGAATACCAGCGCCGGTGGAAGTCAACCTGGCGGTCTGTTCGGTCAGAGTAACCAACAGCAGCCATCTGGTGGTTTATTTGGGAGCACGACGACACCAGCAGCAGCTCCACCAAAGCCAGCTGGTGGTTTGTTTGGACAGGCACCTAGCGCACAACCTCAGCAAGCTTCAGGTGGACTTTTTGGCAGCACGTCCACAGCGCAACCACAACAGCAGCAACAGCAGCAGCAGCCAAGCGGTGGATTATTTGGGAATACCCAGCAGCAGAATACCCAACCACAGGGTGGTTTATTCGGCTCAACCACTCAATCGACTACGGGCGGTGGTTTGTTCGGTGGTACTAGCAATAACAACAGCAACACACAGTCTGGCGGCTTATTTGGCCAGCCAGCACCAAGTACTAATACTGGTGGCTTGTTTGGTAGCACAAATACGAATACGCAACAACCAGCCCAGACGGGTGGCCTATTTGGACAAAAGCCAGCAAACTCTCTGTTTGGAAGCACACAGCAGCAACCACAGCAACAGCAACAAGGTGGATTGTTCGGCAGTAGTACTGCTCCTTCTGGTGGCTTGTTTGGCCAATCTCAACAACAACCACAGCAACAAAGTCTTTTTGGACAGCCACAGCAACAACAACAACCACAGCAGCCACAACAAAGTACACTTTCTCAGAGTGTAGGTAAACCACCCGAGACGAACAAGGATATCGGTGCAGTAATTGAAGACATAAAAAACAGTTGGGATGTCACCCACCCTGCTTGCAAATTCCAATTTTTCTTCTACAATCTCGTACCACCTGAGCAAGTCAACCAATACGGTAGACCAGCATCAGTGAGTGAAGCAGCTTGGACTCGGGCATGTCAAGAGAATCCAGACCAGAGTCGCCTCGTACCAGCTCCGGCGTTTGGTTTTGATGACGTACAGAAGAGAGTACATGCTCAAGGCAGACAGGCTACCGCACATCTCGTGCGTCTCAGTGAGCTCCAAGAGAAATTGCGTAAAATGATGTTGAACACTTCTTTATCACATCACCCACGTTTGCAACGTGCTGCTCAAATGCATGCGCAGATTTCAGCCCGTATTTTGCGTATTGTCAAACATTTACATGTTTTATTGCCGACTGTCCGCGCTAGTTCAGTCAGAGCGGATGAGGAGAAGCTCGCTGTGGAGTACGAGAATATCAACAACACTGTACAAAAGGCCAGAATAGCCGGTCGGGTGAATGAACTCTGGGCACTCGTAGGTGCACTCAAAAGTAGGAAAGAGGAAGGTGCAGCATCAGTGACTGGATCATGGACAGTCGTCGACCAAGATGGAATGAATGAACTACAAGATATCCTTCGTAATCAACAAACAGGTCTTAGCCACCTCACATCCACATTACAGAAAGTAGAATCCGATTTAAATGTTGTCAGGAGTGGTTTTGGTTTAGAAAATCTATCAATTTGATTTGTTAAAAAAAGTGAATAATATACAATAACTTATTTTTTATGCCTTTTCAATTCCGTCTGCGTATTGGAATTGCCCACTTTGTTCGTAGGCTAACATATCGAGCGCTACTATACAGCTATCTCTGATAACTTTTGGTGCAGATTGGTTGTTTGCGAAATCAATGAGAGCATCCTTGGCTGTCTTGCTGTCTGCGCCTAAACCACCTAATGTTTCTGCGGCTTCGTGTCTAACCATTTCATGCTCGTTCTCATCGTATAAAACTTTAAGAAGACATGGTATAGCAGCTGGAGAATCAATTTGACCGAAAACATAAGCAACTTCGTGTCTGAATAAGGCTGATTTGTCTGTAAATCCATCAGCAATTGCGTTTAAAGCTTCTGTGTGGATGTCTTGACTCGATGTACTATTTAAGACGATATTTCTCAAACCGAACATAGCTCTGTATCTTTCGAACAATGGGAGACCATCATTGAGATAGATGTCGCGTAAATTTTTAACATCTTTTGCGTTCGAGTCTGATGATTTAGTTGCAGGTGCTGGATCGATAACTGGTATCTGGTTCTCTTCATTGTCATTATCTGTGTCTTTACCAGGACGATGATCGAATTCAATCTTCTTTATTGAAATATCGCAAGTTTCTCTGATACTGACATCTAATGATTGATCAGCGGAGTACTTTTTGAGTATATCCAATGAATCAAGGTTTGAAATAGCACCTAAACTTTCAGCCGCTTCATGTCTAACCATAACATCCTGACTTTCATCAGCTAAGATTGTGTTCAAGTGTGGTAAAGCGTAGCTATCATTGATCTGTCCTAAAACATAAGCTAATTCATGCTTCAATAAAGCACTTGATGATTTCTGTATAGCTTCATATATAGCTTCTATAGCTCTTCTGTCACCTTTCTGTCCAATTGCTTTCAAAGTGAACAAAGCTCTATATTGATCAGCCAAGTTATCATCATTCAATAATCTAGCCTTTATACTGTCAAAAACTTGCTCTGATTGCATTTTTTCTTTTATCTAGCCCTGATTGATTAGGATCTACCCCCTAGAGACGGCCTTCTCTCTTGAACTGATACAAAATTTAAAAAATGCCAAAATCACGCAGGAATAAACTCGTTAGTTTAACAGAGACTGAGAAGAAGACAAGAGAGCATAAGGAAGCTTTAGTCGATTTGGTAGGCTTTTCTTCGCGTTTTTTTGCACACTTTGCTGACGATATGCGCACAGATTAGACAGGCTGCAGATGAAAACAAATATTGTTGGATTATTGAAGCTGGTGATATGCGTAACTCAAGTTTGAAAGACGTTCGCGCCGCTTGGAAGGGTACAGGTAGACTATTCTTTGGTAGACTGAAAGTAATGGCTATTGCATTGGGTACAACACCGGAAACATCACACAAACCTGAACTTTATAAGTTATCTGAGCACCTCTCAGGTAGCGCAGGTTTATTCTTCACGAATTGGGATGAAAATGAGGTTAAAGAGTGGTTTGATAGTTTCAGTAAACCTGATTTCGCAAGAACTGGTAACGTCGCAACCCAAACGATAGAATTAGAAGAAGGTCCAATCATACATAGACCAAGTGGCGATACTTTACCACATACGCTTGAACCTTCACTTCGTAAACTTGGATTGAGTACAAGTTTGTTGAAGGGTGTACCAACATTGTTATCAGCACATACAGTTTGTAAAGAAGGACAGACATTATCTGCAGAACAGGCACAGATAATCAAGCATTTGGGTGTAATGATGTCAAATTTTAAGCTGCAAGTTAAAGCATTATGGACAGAAGGGAATGCTAATGAGGGAGAGATTAAATTATTTTAGATTATAAATTAAGGTCGTCAATATCTGCACCGTCGTCGTCGCCAATAAAAGAGGCCATATCTTGTGCCAAAATTGATGCATATTCATGTCTTTGTTCGATGTTGTCTATTTGACTTAACTGTGACTTATAATAGTTAAGTTTCGAGAGGAGTTGATCAAACGATTCATAGCTGTCATTAGTGCTGTCTTCATTAGTATCCTGTATGGTATCTTCTGCGTCTCCTTTATTTCTATCATCGCTCTTCAATTGAAGGGATTGCCAACCAACTGATGATAATGCGTCGAGTAATCTTTCATTGCTGGTGATATACTCGACATCATAGTTGATAAAATGGTTGTCCAGCTCGTCATCGTTGCTATTGTTATCCAAACAGAGCGCTAACTTGGAGTCGATTTGTATTTCTTTTACTTTCTTCAGGAAATCAACTGATAGATTATCGAACGATCTAAAAACTACCAAAAGTGCGTCTAAATCGGTGTAGTCAATATCCATATATTCTTCCACATTTGCCACTCTAATATCTACATCAGCCGTGAAATACTTATTGTTTAAATTCAATTTATCATTGAGGATATCCACTGATATTGTCAGCTGACGGTCCAGAAATTGCACAAATAAACTAACAATTTAAATCACTAATTGTAGTATTTTCTAATATAACGCCTAATAAATTATTTTTAAGCATTTTTAATATCGATAGTGACGTGTTTATTCAAATATCCTTTCCAACTCCAGCGAGTGAATGTCTCTTATTGATTTTCAACCAAAATGGCAGACAATTTAAAAAGGACGCAATCTAGTGGTGGAAACAGCACAACTAACAGTTCAAACTCACCTGCTGGACAATCACCAACGCCTATCACTCCAGGCGCCAGAATGGAGAGAAAGCCTTCATGGCATGAGAATGCATTATTTAGACGTCCTTCAATGCAAAATAGACCCTCACTCGCTATGTCTGTATCAGACGTCTCTACACCTCCAGTTACTTCCGGTCCACCTTCACCAACTGATGTCGACTTGCTAACAATCGAAGAGGTCTTCACACATTGGCATGTAAGAGAGATTTTGGGTGCAGCATTCACATCTGTCGTCGAGGAAATTCAGAAGGAGGTTCCAACGGATTGTGACGCAAAGACAAAGAGAGAAGCTTTATGTAACAAATCACAAAAGTACAGAGAGACTGCTTTAGAGAGACTCAAGGATGTCGCTAGAAGTAGAGGTGGAAATGCCGTCATTGGTGTTAAGGTGGAGTATTCTCCATCTTTGGAAATGGATGGCCATCGTTATTACGAATGGGTAGCATCTGGTGTAAGTTCCAGTCATTTTATGCGTATTTTATTTTCTAATATTTCCCTTTAGACAGTTGTAACACTCCAAAAACGCCCACAATTTGCCCGTTTAGATAGCCGTTAATCGCAGTCAATATTAGGCACACTCAGCATATCCAATATCTCAAACCCTGAAACTCTCTATTGTCTTTTTTAAACTTTATATTGATGCATTCCCCTTCTCTCGCTACTACAATTATGTCATCCATTTTGATAATCGGGACATTCGCCATATTTGGTTTGATAAACAATTTAGTCTATGTCATAATATTGTCAGCTGCGTTAGATATGAATACAACTCCGGGTTTGACCGCTCTCGCAAACATTCTACCGAGCTTGATCGTCAAGATTTTAGTGCCATATTTGAATAGCACGAAAGCAAAATTTGGAAAGCGTGTTTTATTTATTTCAATAACTACATCAATTGGTATGCTCATAGTAGCATTATCGTCTACTGTACCACTTAAATTGATCGGTATCGCTCTGACAAGTACAGCAAGTTCAGGTGTAGGTGATATGACATTCCTACAATTAGCTGCTCAATATCGGGCACTAGCTTATTACGCCTCAGGTACTGGTCTCGCTGGAGTTATCGGTAGCAGTGCTTGGCTCATACTACGTAAGATGGGTGTAGTCGAGGGTTTGCTACTTAGCGCAACTTTCCCAACTTTACAGCTAATTACTTACTTCTTTATGCTTCCCCAAGCACCATCGAATGACGATACCGAGGATGGCACCTTCAATCGTTTATCAATAGAAGAGAAGAAGGAGGTAGGAAAGGATCTCCTACGCCCTTATATGTTGCCTTTGTTTACCGTTTATCTCTTTGAATATTCCATCAACCAGGGTGTTGCACCAGCACTCAGCTACGATAACAGAACAAATCGTGATACCTACCCCGTTTATCAACTTTTATACCAAATTGGCGTGTTCCTCAGTCGCTCTTCTCATTTATTCAACGTTGGTCACCTTTCTCGAAAACAATTAGCCCTACCAAGCGTGATACAAGGTTGTATTTTTCTACTTCTGCTTATTGAATCAGTAGTTAAGCAGATCGGATACTATGTAGTATGTACAATTATCCTAGTCGAAGGACTCATGGGAGGTTTAAGCTACGTCAATGTCTTCCACCATACCAGCACGGAATATAAAAATGCAGCTGCACACACTCGCGAATACGCTATTGGATTGGTAAGTCTAAGTGATGGCGTTGGAATCGTTCTCGCATCATTACTCTCAATCGGATTGGGTAAATTGTTAACATAAAAAGCATGTATATTCTCTAAAACCAAATAATAAAACCTAGTAGACTTCGAGAACGTATCTCTCATCTTCCTTCATATCTTCAATGGAGTTCTCTGCATCCTCGCGTGTCTTTCCACCAGCCTCAATGTAACTTCCACAAAGGGCTTCATAGACATCTGGAACTGGCCATGTTGGACCACAAAGGAAGAATGAACCTTCATCACCACCTTCCGATTTCCTTGAAAGCATCTTGTGAAGAATCTTCTTATCTTCCATCATCTTGTGTTGGATGTACACCTTTCCTTTACCATCACGTGAGAATGCAAGACCCATGTGGGTAAGTACACCAGCGGAAAGGTAGGCTTCGAGTTCTTCTCCGTAAAGATACTCAGCTGATCTGTATCTGCTACCAAAGTAGTAAACGAGTGGACCAACATCAATACCTTGCTCGCGTTGCCATGCACGGTATTGAATGAAGGCTCTGAATGGTGCAGCACCAGTACCCAAACCAGCCATAATAATTGGTGCATCATCTCTTTCTGGAAGTTTCATAACTGATGGTTTGATAGATACTGCAACCTTTGTTCCAACTTCCAAACCTGCGAGATAACGAGTACATTGACCGTAACGTGGTGATCCTAAGCATTTAAATTAGCACGCAAATATGCATTAGAACTGTACTCACCTGATGGTGTTGCCCATTCAACAGTAACGATGAGAAGGTCTACTTGGTTACCAACGACGGCGTTCGCTGAAGCAATAGAGTAATGCCTTGGATGAATTTCACCGATGAGGTGGATGAGTTCTTCTACTGGTGGCTTAGCAGTTGGGAACTTTCTGAGAACATCTGCATATGTAAGTGTATCAATTTCAGACAACTTCTTGAATGTAGATGATCCTTCTGCTGAGCTAATGAACCTCAATGCGCGTTGCTCCTCTCTGCTAGTAGCGTACTCTTCAAGTGAAGCAAGGAATGATTTTGGTGGTTTACCGAAAATGTCTATATCTTGTTGGAAAACTTGTAAGACGGATCTTGTTTCAACCTTTCCATTGTCATGTTGGACGTTGATAACACCATTCTCTGGTAAGCCATACCAACTAAGGAAGTCCTTGACTTCATTGATGTCGTTGTGTCCGTATACACCTAAAGCTTCACCAATTTCGTACTTCAAATCGGTGCCATTGGTGTCAAATGAGATGTGGAAGACATTTCTGTCGTAGTCATCTGGAGTTAATCTGCGTGTTTCTTTGACTGTAACTAAGTAGGTGTCTTCTGGAAGGGACGGCTTGAGAGTTGCCAACGGTCTCTCATAAACGTCTTCACCAGTAGTGAAAGACTCATTGAAGAGTAATTGCCAGGCTGGTTCAACCCAGCTACCCTTGATTGCTTTAACCTTGTCATTAAGTTGTTCCTCTTTCGTGCCGACGGCAGTCTGAGAAAGTCCGTTGAAGCTGATACCGACTAATCTGTTGTCTGGCTTGATTTCTTTGCCTGGTTGAAGAGCTAACCATGATGATTCATCGACAATGGCTTCATAAAGTGATTCCTCGGTGTTTTCGATGATTGAATCAAGATTAGTAACGTCTGGAAGGAAGGCTCTAACGAGACTCTTGATAGATTCTGGTAATCTTGGTACAGAGGATGTGAATAACAATAAGAATGCTATCAAAGTTGCAACTGATTGGTGCTCTTCTGAAATTGCGGCTGAATCAACAGCCCAAACTCTGATACCCTTCTCAATGATTGTCTTCTTGTCAGCATACGGCAATTTAGCTGGCACTTCCTCAGGTGATTGAAGTGGACCATCGAGCAAGACGATACCACCTTTCTTAACATATTCGAAAACGTTTGTTGCCTTCAATGAAGAAATATTAACGTTGAGGAAGTCAACTGAAGACTCCGTTGGTAAAGTTAAAGCAGACTCCTGTACTTCTTTGCCAATTTTAATGTGTGACAAAGCTAATCCAGTTTGGCCAATGAAATGATCATAAGCTGTTTGAATTTTAGTTGAGAGTTGCTTGTTTTGAGAGAATAATGAGCCAACCAAATCAGCACTAACTTGATCAGGCTGTTCAACAAATACGCAAGACTTTGATGTAGCTTCTTGTGAACTCAAAAACGGAGTGATATCACTGAATGCATTAACCTTGATCTTACGTTGAGCATTGAAAACAGCAGAGACGACATCGTTAAGTAAAACGCCTTGAGCTTTCTCTTCATTGTAAACCAAAAGATTCTCAATTGACGATGGGATACTGTCGCTAAGAGCTTTCATACTGAGTGGACGAAGCTTGTGAATGACGACCAAACCGTATGAGCTGTCTAAACTACTGAGTAAGGCGTTTGAAATGTCAGAAGCTGGAACAACCAATGCCTTTGTGACTGGTGATGCGCTGTGGAAAGTAACAGCAGTGCTTGGTGGTTTGACTTGATCAAGCGCTGATTTCTCTCTGGCTGCATAAATACCATCGAAAGCATGAATGACATTTCCAGGAATCTCGTAAGCGAGTTGAGAGTTGTTGACAATGTCTTGAGCTGTAGCTGATAACAAAATTGTGTAGTTCTCAAGTTGATTAGCAGCATCAAGGATTGAAGTGAAGCCACTCTTGAGGTTAAGCTCAGAGTCTCTTTCATAAGTGTTCACTTGCAAGACCAACTTTGACTTTTCTTTGTATGTCTTGAGAGTTGGAATGAAGTTTTTCAAAGATTGACTGTTGATCAAGACTGAGATGGTGGCAACCTGGCTGGCTCTTGAGTAACCGGACACTGCTGCACCTGAGCCTGGTCTATCCTGCATTAATTGCACTCTATCGTCCGAGAGGTCCTGACCGAAACCGTCGTATCTAGCTGAATCGTAGAGGAAGATACTGTTGCTGTTGGCTGAAACGTTGTATTCTACTGCGTTTAAAGCTGATTTTAAGATGGATTGACCAGCTTTGTTTGAATTCTGAGGAGAAAGTGACTGCTCAGATGAAACTGGTGTACCGATACCTGAATCGACGATTGATGGCATCTTTTCGAACTTGTCGCGTTGTTGACTAATCGGTTGGGCAATAGCTGATGGACCTTCTGAACTGATTGGTGGGTTGAGTGAACCTGGCATTTCTAGATGAGCGATGTTTAGTTTTGATAGTAGAAGCTATAAAAACTTACTTTTCTGTCCTACTCAAGAATTCACCGATGATCGTAGGAAATCAAGGATCGATCACGAATGCTTATATCAGAGGGCAATTTTTATTTTTTTTATTCTAAATTATAAGAGAGCGTATAGTAACGATAAGTTTCTAGACTATTTAATGCGTCGCTCGCCACTCTCTCCCTCAGCTTCGTATTTAGATAGCCAATAAAATGAGACATTTTGCCGCTTATCAATCTACACAGCTTTCATTGCTTTACTACACCCACTATGGAGAAGAAGGAGGTCGAGAGCATCCCCGAAAGAAGTCAGACACCGCCACCGGAATACGAGCAATACGCTGGTCCATCCACTTCGCAGCCGAACAACAGTCAGAGCAGCACAGGGGACGTGGGTTTTAGGAGTGCTCTAGGAAATTCCGTGAAAGACAACTTTGTATCTCGTCTGCGAACACCTCAAGAAGCTGGTTTGATCGGTAGTGCGCTCAGTTTGACTAGCGCTACCGTGGGCACCACTCTCGGACTTACAACAGCCGCCATCGGTGGTGTACTCTCTTTACCGGCCGTTGCCGTAGGCGCTGGCGTCAAACATCATAAAAATAAGCAGAAACAGAAGCAGAGAGAGAGCTCTTCTCCTTCCTCTTCCTCCTCTTCTTTAGACAACAGCAACCGAGATGGCAGCGAAGAGGATCTCAAAAGGAAGCAAGCTAGAGAACTCAAGGAGTTCAAAGAGAGCCAGAAAAGGGAGAAGGAAGAATGGAAACGCAAAGGTAAAGGTAAAGATAGTATTAGTTAGAAATTGAAATGTATGCTATTTTACGCTAATGTGTTATTATATCCCTTTTTTGTAATTAAGAAAATACTTTTTTCGTTCATCAACAACCCCATCTATCCCATCAGATCACCCATAGAAGCCATCTCAGGGCTGAGATTCTCCCTTGATGAGATTTCAAAGTATGAGTAAATGATAGTGGTAGCGAGTAGGATACCAGTACCAGAACCGAAAGCACCAATCAAGTCAGCGATAACGGATAATGCACCGATAGTTGCACCACCGAATGCGGCGGCAGTTGGTATAACCCTCTTCAATTCCTTGTACATGCTGCCTTCTCTGTGACCAGCCATAACCATTTGTTGGTCTTTCAATTGCTTTGCTACCTCTCTTGGACCTGATCCAGATACTTCAATCCAAGTCTTTGAGAAGATTGCACAGACTGAAAGCATGAAGGTGACGTAAATGATTGTGTGGATTGGGTCGACTAAAGCTGCATGAAGAGTGTGAGGTGGAGACATGTAGTAAGCGATACCGGATGTTGCAAACAATTGTGGAGATTCCTCTAATGGCTCCCAAACACCAATGAGCTTGACGAATAAGTTATCTGGGAATCTGTTGTAAAGCATTTGTGAAATGATGAAAACGTTTGAGCTCAATGCTGATTCCAACATGATTGGCATGTTTGATGTGTAGAACAATTTAACTGGGTATGTACCACGTTGGCCTCTGAATCTGTTTGATTTTACAGGAATTTCAATTCTGAAACCTTGCAAGTAGATAACAGCTGCGAAGATAGCAAGAGTAGCAAGTAAGTTTGATACATTTGGTAATCTGTCTCTGTAGAAAGCTTCCTTGAGTGCTCTGGTCTTGTCATTCCAGGTGAAAAGCAAGTGAACGAGAGCGAGTAAAGCACCTTCAAATTCAGGACCACGGCCAGTGTTTATCGTTGTTGGTGAAAATGCCTTCCAGACGATAGATTCACAGATGTTCGTGGCAATAAAGAGTGAGATACCACTGCCTAAACCATAGCCTTTTTGAAGCAGTTCATCAAGGAGGATGACAATGAGGGCAGCAGCGACAAGTTGTACGACCAAGAGAAGACAGACACCAGCTCCTAAGTCTGATGGCTGACCGTATAAGCCGGTGAGAACGTATACGGTAGCTTGACCGAGTGAGATGATCAAGGCGAACACTATAGGACGTTAGACGCGTAATCTAATATAAAGCAATCTTACACTTCTGAGCAGCACCGAAAAGAGCTCTGTCTTCTTTTAAGGAGAAATCGACGTCGATGAGGTTTGCACCAGCGAGAAGCTGCATAATCATACCAGAAGTAACGATAGGAGAAATACCGAGTTCCATGAGAGTACCACGATTGGATGCCAAAATAACTCTCATCCAGTAGAGCGGATCTGAGCTATCACTAGAAACGATACCATAGAGAGGTACTTGAGAGCAGACCAAGAAAATCAATAAGGTGACGGCTGTCCAGGCTACCTTCTGGTTGAATGGTACTTTGCGTTCTGGGGCTGATACCTCTGGGAGGATCTGGGGTGTGTTAGTATGAGAAGCTGGAGTCTACTATCTACAAACCTGTTGGAATGGCTTGACGAGTTGAAGGAAACGGACTATAGCGCGTTAATAAAGCTATCTCATAGCATTTTATACTCACACGACGACATGCCGTTGATGCTGGTTTGCTATTAAGAAGCTGGCAGCGCCAGCACAGAATGTTGAAAATCCAAAAACTAATTTATAGCAGATTGTTTCTAACAATTTGAAATGATTTATGTAATCTCCTATTAGTTTTATATACTCTACTCTCCTCCTCCTTGAGTTCTTGCTACTCTGGGTGCTGCCGCTCAGAAATAGCTCCTGAGAGCGTCCATAGCTGTAATAGAAACCTGTTACATCCTATGATTGTATTCATCTCAATAAACGCGTTATCTGTAGTATAACCACTTGACACGTCTACTGTTCCAGTTTTGGACAATTGTGCGAAAATGGATAATTAGAGTGTATATTACAGCTGAATACTGTTATTACAATACTAACACCCATTTACATCCTCCCAAAGGCACATCTTGGCAGCATCCCGCTGACAAATGTTTCTGACTACTCTCGTACGCTTGTATATTCCGCTTTCATGTAATTATTGCACAGATTACCTATTTTTACACTACTACCGGCGATCGCGAGAGCTCAATCAGGACCACATCAACTGGAGTGCCTTGCATACGGACTTTGGTGGATTTCCTTATCTTTGACTGCTTTGATTGGTTGACTTACATCACATAAGCACTAAAATATACACAAAGTGCATATCCCTACCTGAGACATGTATACCCTGTCTTCTTTTGAAAATCAGGAGATAGAAAAGAAAATTTTATGCTGTTTGAGCATAGAGAGAATTTGTTTTATAGAGCATATACGCGTTATCGTATAATATCCCTCATCTGGATATACAATTCCGCGGAGTTGAGCGTCATAGAACGAGCATTGCTTCACTCTTCTTTTCCCACGACCAAGAACGATGCCTGAAAAGGTTAGTACACAAAACCAGCTAAGGTGTTGTCTCTGGTACTATCCTAGTAAAATGCCGAACGTTTGGCGGATTCTGGATACTCCACGATGACATTCCGCAACTGGGATAACAAAATGGTGCTAACGAAATCTACAGCAACAAAGACGCCAATCTAGCAGTGTACCAAGAAAGGAAGTCGCTAGCGCTATCCTCGGTGCATCAGCTGCATCACACACTCGCTCAAATGAAACTGGTGATGTTCCACACGCTATCCCATCCGAATTGGAGGATCACTATCAAGGATTATGCGAACAACTCACCGTTTCACCTGCTCGCCTCCGTTTGATCACAAACGCCTTTGTCAAAACACTCAGAAAAGGTTTGGCTGAACCTGGACAGACAGTACCAATGATCCCAACTTACGTATTTGGTTACCCAACTGGTGAAGAAAAGGGTAACTTTATTGCCTTGGATTTGGGTGGTACCAACTTACGTGTTTGTCACGTAGAACTCAAGGGAGGCGGTAAATTCGAAGTCACACAGTCGAAATACCGTTTGACTGAGGAGCAGAAGCAAGAGGATGGTCAATCACTCTTTGACTTCTGTGCACAATGTCTTATGACATTCTTGAAGGACAACTTCCCTAACGGTACACCAGAGGGTATGGCTTTGGGTTTCACTTTCTCGTACCCAACCCTCCAAGACCGTATTGATCAAGGTGTTCTCGTTAGATGGACTAAAGGTTTCGGTAACAAAGGTGTAGAGGGTAAGGATGTCACCGAGATTTTCAACAGATCCCTCAAGAAGTACGAATGCCCACTCTCCGTTACAGCTATCATCAATGACACCACCGGTACAATGATTGCTTCAAGATACACCCACCCTAACACCCGCATTGGTTTGATTTTGGGTACCGGTTGCAACGCAGCCTTCATGGACAGAATGTCAAACATCACCAAGCTTAATATCAACGGATGTCCAGGCGATGAGAAGATGGCCATTAACTGTGAATATGGTGCATTCGATTCATTTGAGCACAAGCACCTCCCACGTACCAAGTACGATGAGGTCATCGATCTTACCTCCAACAAGCCACACGAGCAAGCTTACGAGAAGGTGAATGAAAACTTATTTACCTATGATATTGCTAACACAGGTGATAGATGATTGCTGGTCTTTACCTCGGTGAAGTTTTCAGATTAATCATTTGTGAAATGGTCGATGAGGGTGTCATTTTCCTCGGTCAAGAAACCTACAAGATTGAGCAGCCATTTATTTTCCAAACTGCGTTCTTATCATTGATGGAATCAGATACAACCGATGAGCAACTCCTCAGCGCAGGTTTATTCCTTCATTTCTTCGATCTCACAACAACTCAAGAAGAGCGTCACTTCTTCAAGAAGCTCGCTGGTTTGATTGGTTTGCGTGCTGCTAGACTCTCAGCATGTGGTATTGCTGCTATTGTAACCCACAAGGGTATTGAAGATGACGGTTGTGATGTCGCTGTCGATGGTTCACTTTACGAGAAGTACCCTGGCTACGCTGACAAAATGCACGCGGCATTGGTAGATATCCTCGGTGAGAGAGGTAGAAAGGTCGTTTCTAGACACGCAGAAGATGGTTCAGGTGTCGGTTGTGCAATTATCGCAGCTATGACTAAAGCCAGAAAGGACGCAGGAAAGTATGCAGACTTTTAGGATGCTTGATGCAACTAATGAATATTTCACTATATATTGTGCTTTTGTTTTATGCGATAGATTGAAACGTTAAATTTTATTTCTTGTTTTCAAAACGTCATCGGTATGCCAATCAATCAGCCATCTAATCAGAGTGAGTGTCTGGCTGCTTAGATAACCTTTTCCTGATAGTTTATAAGTAAAGCTCACAAATGTCTCTGTTGTACGTCTCAAAAAGGCCGGTAAGAGGTTTGAAGTGGGTGTATTCTGAGACCTAGAATAAGCTTCTTACTCGATAATTTAGATAGCTTGCTACAAGAATAAAGTTGGTGAATGGAGGAATGGATCGTTCGTCTAGTTATTAACTACAAAGCACACTCTAATGCATCCACAGCGAGACTGATATCGATAACGTTGTGCAGATTTCCTCTGTTTTCACAAACGTTTCAAAAGGCGCGGTATGCAATAATGATGAGCTCCAGAAAGCTTTCGGTACTTCAGATAATGATGAAATCATAAAGCAAATTCTCAAGAAGGGTGAGCTCCAAGTAGGCGAGAAGGAGCGGGGACATGATTTGTCAAACAAGTGGAGAGAAATTGCTACGATTGTCGCCGAACGCTGCGTTGATCCAGCAACAGGCAGACCAGTCACCGTGTCGATGATTGAAAAGGCTATGCACGACGTGCACTACAGTGTGAACGCTAACAAGAATGCTAAATCTCAAAGTGGTGAGGTTATCAAACAAATTCAAGAGAAGGGTGTTCTTCCATTGGCGAGAGCACAGATGAGAGTTCGTATAACGGCAGCCTCAAAAGATGGCAAGAATGTCAAGGAACGTATAAAAGAATACGTGAATAAAGCTGAAGATGAAGATTGGAGTGATGAATGGGAATATATCTGTCTCATCGATCCATCATCGTTCAAAGCCCTCAATGATTTGAAGTTGAACGCTCGCGTAGAAGTCTTAGAGAATAGCGTAAAAGGATAGGTTCTATACATGCATATATCTACATCTATCTCTGCGATCTTTCAAGCATTTGTTCAGATAACGAGCGTGGTTCTACAAGCCAGAAAGTTGCCTTTGAGTCGTCACTATTTACGTGGGTATGCCACCCTTGCACTAACGCTCTTATTGACTGTCTATTGGATGTCAAGGTTGTCCAGCCTCGCTCTAATCCCGCTATAACAGTGCGCAAAGTGTGTGGTGTCAATTTACTCGCTGAACCTGCATAATCGTCCAGATCGAGTGCTTTTTTTGCTCTCCTTAATACGAAATCATCGAAAGTTGCCTTGACTACATGATCGCAGGAACCACGAATGACTTTGACTGGGAATCCGGTGATTGGTTGTTCACAATGTCTGCTTCCAACCCAAAAGAGACCCTGTCCGTCCTCAAAAAGACTCTCAAGTCGGCGTTTTTCGCTCTCTCCACCAATTTTCTCTAATATATTGAAAGTTCTATCTTTATTCTCCTCTGTCGTCCAGAATTGGAGCTGTTGACCATCGCATCGCTTTTTAATCAAGTCAATCAAGGGACATAGACCTGACTCTTGTTGTAGTTGATTGGAGATAGCCCTTATATGTTCATTCGAAGGGTCGGGTTTCAATGATGCAGTAGCCGGATCTTCAATGTGCGTAGTGAGTGAAATGAATGCTATAAGTATTGAGACATCTAAGTTGATATTGGATGTTGGTCGCAGAGGTTCTTTTGGTTTACATGGGCCCGTCTCTAGTGTGTAATCCGGTATTCCGTAGTGTACATTAATTCCATAGCTAACAAGTGCTTCAATTTGGGCTGATATACGAGGGTCCGAGTGTTTGATTTCTTCTTCGGTTAGACGGGTGAAATAAAGATGAATATCCGGTCGCTGATCGTGTATGTAATGCCTCAAGGAGGCCTCCGAGAGCTCGTGGCCGAGTTTAAGTAACATGGGTGTCGTGAATGCGTGATCGTATAACAAATGTTCATCTTCTGAGGAAGTTAACAAAGAATCCATTTCAGCCAGTTCGGCGAGGATAGAGAACATTTTTAAACTGAGAAGGTAAGAATGAAGATAGGAACTAGCTGTTATAGCGCCCACCTCGATAGTCTAATCCATGATCTTCCTGCATCGGCTACGACATCAACCTTGACAGACTTTGGTTTGCCTTTCTGACCTTTCACTTTTGGGAGTAAGAAATACTTGTTTACTGCAGTTATCGGATGCTTAGAAACGTCTGGGTTTATTAAAGCCTTAAAAGTTGAGGAGTGGGCTATCAAATTAGACGCCTGGAGTACGTCGTCAGCGTCTGCCGTCTTTGAGAGCTCCTCTGTAGCATCCATTTCAGATTTTATTAGAGATCGCCAGCGTTGATAGCCTTCTATACCGGAGCACTTCCAATCGTTGGTAGCGTCTATCCAATCGTCTATAACGAGCATTCTATCATCGTTGCTAGTAAATTTACTTGAACTGTAATAAATATCTCTATAGGAATTTAAACTCTCATTTATGGACGTCATAACTTAAAGTCAGACGATGACGACGGAAAATGGAAAGTACAGAAATTTGGAGTCGCAGATCAGCACAGACGTAGAACCAGACGATCTCGTCACTGATGATGAGGATGATCTCCCCTCGGAATCCTCCCCTCTACTTCCAAACGCTAAACCGTTGAAAAAACCGCGTAGGCCTTCACGATGGGCGATAATCATCTGGTCAGCATCATTGGTAGTATCAATTATCATGCTACTATTCGTTTTATTGTTCAAGTACGACACAGAGGTATTATCAGGTCGTGAGACAGCTATCCCTTTTAGTGACAACGCGATACGCAACGCAGTAACCTTCGATTTACCCTCAAACCTGACTTTCGAGGAAGACCAACCTGTTGTATTCAAAACCAGCGTTCCATTTGGTTTGGATTTCGACCAGGCGTTGGGTGTTGACGGATTAGGACCGCATGGGATTGTAGACCCTATTGGTGGTCCTTTACAGCGCTCGAGACTAGCCATTGGCAGGTCTTTAGCCAGATCCATCAGTCCCCTCGAGGTCGTTATCAATTATCCTATTTCAATTGAGGCAAAATCATCGAACGAGTCTGTAGAAATGTTTAATATAACTCTACTAGACACTCTCAGCGTACCTATCACCCCTGGTTTACAAAAATCTAACAGCGAAATCAAACATTCGAAAGATTGGCTGAGTGATTTGGAAATTAAAGCTTCAATTACTCCTACAAAGGGATCAGAATTCGATTTAGAAGGCTTGCAGACCTTTTTGGAACATGTATGGGTTGCTGAGAAGGGTGTCATGGATGTTTCCATCGTCGTACCTCAAGTAGATATACATATATGGAATGGTACAGCTTTGCATACACAATTTCAGAAAAACAACATTCACATCCAGGATAGACTCGCTAGTAAGTGCTTTTTGGTAATCTTTCAGATTAACTCTAACAGCCATTAGTACCAAATCTCGAGCCTTGGCCTAAACCTGGAACACCAATAGTAGAAACTTACCAACAAATGCTTAAATTGCTCAACCTCAAGCACTTAAACATCGGTATGAGCAATAACACGGATAAAACGGAACAAGTTGAGGTAGATGCAAGTGCTTCATTTCCCCTACCTCAACTAGATATCATTAAATCACTCAAAAATGTTATCTTTCCTTATGAGATACCAATTGATGCTGAGTTACCCCTCACCGGTGATGAAGGATCTGGTGCCCTATCGTTAGCGACTATCACATCGAAGCCAGTTACGGTAGCTGATGATGAACTTTCATTCGGTGGTAAAGCTGCAACATCTTTACAGCTTAAAACACTGAAAAAATCGCCAACTATTAAGAAGGCTTTGTCGAGGTTCTTGAGCAACTTCCTTAATAATACACCGACACCATTCATGATTAGAGGAGGTGCTGTTAAGGATATTAATACTCCAGACTGGCTTAGGGAGCTTCTTGCGAAGTTCGAGTATAGCTTCAAATTGCCAGGAGTACCACCAATGCCTGACATTGTCAGGAATGTGCATATGGAGAATCTACACGTGCGTAGGCAGAGTGGATTTCCATGGCCTAACCCATTACCTGGACAACCGGGTGGTCCAGGTCAGGTTCTTGTTAGCGGTACGTTAATTGCAGATATTGCACTGCCTCATCAATTACGCGCTTTGCCAATCAACGTGAATAGCATTCTACCAGATTTAGTGAGTCGTTGCTATTGCTATATGAAACCAAACTAATTTCATCAAGGTGATCTTTAACGGCGCACCTCCACCGCTTAATTCGAGTGTCTCGATGGCTTATCCAAGCAATGCATTTGCGGTGTTATCTCCAGAAGAGCCATTCGAAGCCTACACTGAGTTTGCAGATGATCCAGAAGATGAAGATGCACCCCAAGTGACAAGGTTGTACGCTGAAGTACGCAATGCGCCGATCAAGTTACTCGAAGGCAGAGACGGCGAGTTCAGGTCATTCATGGGTAAGATGCTCTTCGGGAAGGCTACCGTTGGTGTAGATGGTCTCGCGACTGCTAATGGCGGACTGAAGAATGTCAAAGACTTCGAGGCTGTTGATATCAAGAAGATCAAAGTCAATGGCGAGTTTAGTGCCAGTGGCTGAAGACTTGCTTAGTAATTGTATTATAAATCATGTATCCCGTGTATTTCTAGACTTGAAATTCTAAGACCTCCCTTCGTTATCAACATCCATGACGGCAGATGGTGTGAATCAAGATTTTTTGTTTGGAAACCACAATTACGGTGATCTGCCACTAAAAGCAGACCACGCTAATCGTCCACTATGGGTTTCACCAGAAGATGGTCACATTATCCTAGAAGGTTTCTCACCCATCGCAGAACAAGCCCAGGATTTCTTGGTCGCAATAGCAGAGCCAGTCAGTAGAACGAGCTTGATGGAGGAGTACAAGGTTACTCCTTACTCTCTCTACGGTATGTTTTTCAGTGGCGTCAGTCCATTACTAACAAACTATAGCCGCGGTCTCAGTCGGTTTAGAGACAGCAGACATTATCGAAGTACTGAATAGACTGTCGAAAGTACCAGTGCCTCAATCTATCATTGACTTCATCAAGGATTGTACGATGTCATACGGTAAAGTCAAGCTCGTCTTGAAGCACAACAGGTACTTTGTTGAATCGGCAGACCCAGAGACATTACAAATGCTTCTAAGGGATCAGATTATCAAGAACGCACGTGTAGATTCAAACGCTTACCTCGAAACGAGCACAGCACCGACAAAGGGCAATCTCGTTATACCCGGTACAAAAGAAGCCCACAGTACTAACAATGCTAACACAATCGAGGCTGCACCTGTAGACGAAGAACAGGCTGACAAGCAGAAGAAACAACAGGAGAAGGAACACGGCGATGATTACTTTACTGCACTGATTGATATCGAGAAACAAGATGAAATGGAAGACGACGAGGAGGTTCATTCGTTCGAGATCAAATCAGAGGAGATTGAAACTGTTAAGAGACGTTGTAATGAGCTAGAATATCCGATGTTGGAAGAATACGACTTCCACAACGACACTCGGAATCCAAACTTAGACATTGATCTCAAACCAGTAACTGTTATTAGACCTTATCAGGAGAAGTCCCTCAGTAAAATGTTTGGTAATGGTAGAGCAAGATCCGGTATCATTGTTTTGCCATGTGGTGCTGGTAAAACTCTCGTTGGTATCACTGCCGCATGCACAATCAAGAAATCTGTGCTTGTCTTGTGTACTTCTTCAGTTTCAGTCATGCAATGGAAGCAACAATTCATGCAGTGGTCGAATGTCAATGATAGTCAAATATCTGTTTTCACAGCCGACCAAAAGGAGAAGTTTGGTGGTGAGAGTGGTATTGTCGTTTCTACCTACTCCATGGTTGCAAACACCAGAAATCGTTCTCATGAATCACAAAAAATGATGGATTTCCTGACTTCCCGTGAATGGGGTTTCATCTTGTTGGATGAAGTACACGTCGTTCCAGCCGCAATGTTCAGAAGAGTCGTCACTACTATCAAAGCACATAGTAAATTAGGTTTAACAGCAACATTAGTTAGAGAAGATGATAAGATCGACGATTTAAATTTCCTTATTGGTCCGAAGCTCTATGAAGCAAATTGGATGGATTTAGCTGCCAAAGGTCATATAGCTAATGTTCAATGTGCAGAAGTCTGGTGTCCGATGGTACCATGTTTCTATAGAGAATACTTGCGAGAGAAGAGCAGAAAGAGAATGTTACTTTACTCAATGAATCCACACAAATTTCAAGCATGTCAATTCTTGATCGATTTCCATGAAGATAGAGGTGACAAGATTATCGTATTTAGTGATTGCGTTTACAGTCTCGAACAATATGCTCGTAAACTCAAGAAACCGTATATTCATGGAGGTACTTCGCAAGTAGAAAGAATGAGAGTTCTGCAGAGATTCCAGTATGATAGCAATGTCAACACCATCTTCCTATCTAAAGTTGGTGATACGTCTATCGATTTGCCGGAAGCTACCTGTTTGATTCAAATAAGTAGTCATTTTGGTTCACGTAGACAAGAAGCGCAGAGATTAGGTGAGTGTTTTTCTTAAATATAACTTTTCACCTAAATGTACCCCATAGGTCGTATCTTACGTGCTAAACGTCGTAATGATGAAGGTTTCAATGCGTTCTTCTACTCGCTCGTTTCGACCGACACTCAGGAAATGTTCTACTCCACAAAGAGACAAGGTTTCTTGGTCGACCAGGGTTATGCCTTCAAAGTGATAACGCACTTGTTCGGTATAGAAAGGCTACCTGATTTGGTGTATAGATCAGAGAAGGAACAAATTGAATTGCTGGAATCAGTACTGTTGGCGAATGAATCAGCAGCTGATATCGGATCTGATATCAAGGCAAGCGAGGACGATTTGGCAGGCACAATACATGGTGTGACGAAACGTATGACGGGCAATACGTCAGCCTTGGCGGGTGGCCAAGCGATGTCCTATATCGAGAAAAACAAATCGGCTAATAAACAAATTACTAATGATTCCAGGCACTCACTCTTTAAGAAACGTGATAAGGAAGCTGCCGATAGGGCAAAGAAGAAGAGACAGAGACTGACTGGCGAGGCTTAGTAAGATAGTGATATAGTGTCTATGCTGTGTACTTTTATAAATTTTTAATTTATTTATTTGATTGACTCAGTGCTGTGACTATGACGTTCTATCCGAACGATAATGACATTACAACAGTGCCAGTATAAAACTGGTGAGTATATAGTATAAATAACTAATCCTCTAATACTTTATCAGGTGAGGTACTAGGTTCAGGCAGCTATAGCTCTGTCAAGTTAGCAGTACACATCAAAACAGGCGAGAAGTACGCCGTTAAAGTGATTAATAAGAAAATGATGGAGGGTTTGTATATATCACTAGTGCTTGTGACTCTCTGATGTACTCTAGGACGCGAGGATCTCATACGTAACGAGATTGCAGTACTCAAACGAGCTTCAACTGGACATCATAACATCGTACGATTGATTGATTACTTTGAAACGATGAACAATCTCTATCTTGGTGAGTGTACTTATATTTCATCAACCTACAAGCTCACAGGAAGGCAATAGTTATGGATCTTTGTACAGGAGGTGAACTATTCGATGAAATATGTCAGCGTGGACACTTCTTCGAAAAGGATGCGAAAGATATCATAGCTGTGATCGCAGATTCAGTCAGTTACCTACACAGCACCGGTATCGTACACCGAGACCTCAAACCAGAGAATTTACTCTTTAGGAATGATAAAGCAACGCCCAATGATTTGTGCGTAGCTGATTTCGGTTTATCAAAGATAATAGAATCAGGTAAATTCACACAACTATATCAAATATGCGGTACTGTGGGGTATATGGCACCAGAAGTCTTTATGAGAGTTGGTCATGGATTCCCTGTTGATATTTGGGCTATTGGTGTTATCACATTCTTCCTACTTTCCGGTACAACACCATTCGATCGCGGAAATCAAAAGGAGGAAATAAATGCAATACTCGACGGTAATTACAAGTTTGAGCCTGCCGAATATTGGAATGCGGTTTCAGAGACCGCCAAGGATTTCATCAAAGGATGTATGAACACAGATCCAGCGAAGAGGTTGACTGCGAAACAAGTTTTAGAACATCCATGGTTGAAGGGACTTGGTGAAAAGGATGAAGATCTGCTGCCGAATGTTAGAAGAGCGTTTGACGCCAAGAGAAGCTGTCAGTTGTGTGTTTTCTGTGATAATTTTACTAACGACTCAACAGTTAGAGCTGCAGTTCGCTCAGTGCAATGGATCAACAGATTACGCAGCTTGGATAGTTCAGAAGAGGAGAAAGAAGAATATCGCCAACAGGTATTTGCGTTACAGCAGGAAGCTGAGAAAGAAGTACTCGGTCCAGAGAGCGAAGTCACTATGCACGCGATACCCCCAAACTAGAATAATATATTGATTTGTATCGAAAATAGATAATAACATTCCTATAATAGCATCCGCCATGACGGCAGATGATGAGGATTTCATAGTCTGGGAAATAACAGACGCTCACGATTTCTGGAATGGTGCGTAGCTCATTGAGTCTTCCTATCGCTACTAAATTGCGACACTCTAGAGCTATCCGAATATGGACATGCGCCAGATGATGTGACAGTACTAGAGCTCGACGGAAGACTGAAAATGTTCCTCAGATTGTGTGGACAGTACCACAGTGAGTTGCTTTATAGTCCTCAGATAACTTTCTGACAGCTCACCAGCCAGATACCTCACAGATAGTTTACAATTTAGAACAGCACTGGAGTTAATGGTGAATTCGGATTTATTCAGATTCCATTACGTCAGAATGGAGAGAGTTTTGATAGATTTCATTTTAATAGTGCGTACGATTAGCTATCCATCGAGCTCTCGCTCATATGGATTATCAGACACCGGACCCTCATCAGCTGTTCGTTGCATATGAATTGTTACTCCGATATGGTCAGTCTAGCGATAAATTCTTCAAGGATTGCACCTCATGGAGGAAATTACTGCCATACTGGCTTGACGTCATTCGAAATGTACAAGACGGCTACTTTGGAGAAGACGACGATGGAACTGGAATCGCTCCTATAGAAATAAGACTACGATATACAGTCATTTGCTTACTCTATGAGATAAGCCGAGCACAAAAATTATCAGATGAAGATCTAGGTATGTCATCTATCACAAAATTGATTTACTAACGAGATGAGAAGCTACCTTTAATTCTTCCTTTCTCGATCATTTATTTGATTTAGTCGAGCTCACACGGGATGAAGCTGACGAATGTTTCAATTATACCATTATTAAGCTCCTCACTTCGCTTAATGAGCAATACATGATACGCAATCTTGATAGTAATAGTGTAAGATCACAACATTTACAGATATCCAATAATCTCGTACTTAATGTACTCACACGCCGGTTGGGAACTTCCAAGACATTTGGCGAGAACTTGATATTCATTTTGAATAGAGCGAGTGATTGTAGAGAAGACATATGCGTTAAGCTACTCGTATTGAAGATTCTCTTTTTGTTGTTTACCACTGTGGGCACTGAAAATTACTTCTATACGAATGACTTGAAGGTTTTGGTGGATGTCTTCATACGTGAACTTGCAGATTTACCTGATGAGCAGGAAGGAGTGAGTTTTGGTATTAATCTTATGTAGTGCTAACATTGTGAGTAGTTGAGGCATACATATTTGCGTGTTCTCTATCCGCTGCTTAACAAGACCGTGATTAAGGACGCCGACTACAAGACTCTCGAAGTTCATAGCTCACTCTGCGCATTAGTTAATCAAACAAGGCTGCGCGACGTATCGGCAACAACCGCCAGACTAGTAACGAGGTGTTTGTCCAGCAACTGCTTCGAGAATCTACCAATGCCATCGAGCTTTTCAACGGAGTGCGGTCCAACGACACCCAATATGGTTGCTCTCGCAAACGACTTCACGACAGCGAGAAGAGAATTGCGAGCTACACATTCTACAAGTGATTTAATAGCAGGTTTGAGGCCAGAGACTTTGCCAGTCATATCAACGGATGTGGATATTCTCCGTGAAAGCAGTCCTAGCGTTTTACAAGAGGTGAACGGAAAAAGTCAGAGTCCTATATCTGCGCCAGCTTCAACGACTGAACTTAGCCGAGCTAGCGTAGATTTTGGTACCGTCAGGCGAAGAGCGCCACCACCGCCTCGGCCTTCGAGTTTGAATAAACCAAGAAGACGTTTTGTGTATGATTGAATTAGATTGAATTTGTTTCTGCATACAAGCCTTTGAATTATTTTTTATTTTTTATTTTTATTTTTTATTTTTGTTGTTGGAGCTAAAGTCTACTTTATCGCTAATTACCAGACTTTTGGATTTGAGCGTGACAGCAATAATACACTGAATAGCTGACTTAGCGAAAGTCCATAAATTATTATTTATTCTTTGAACTTCAAGTGAACATTCAAGAGCAGAAAAGCAATAATATTCTTCATTCTCCCACATCATGTCGGCAGAAGATAGCAAAATGAAGCTAGAAGAAATGGCTAAGGCTAGAACAAATGGAGTTGAAGTCAATCCATTTGAGAAATCATTTATACAATACAATACCCCTGCTTCAGCTACAGCAGCGACAGCAACGACAAATGGAGGTCCATTGTTCAGTAAGTGGCGAAAGTACTATAAGATGAAATCATATCTGATAAATACTTCAGCACCAGGTTTGAATAGTTTTTTGGAATCTTTTGGTAGCGACAACTCGTCATTTAATCCATATGTACCACAACAACAGCCTCAGAGGAGCATCCACAGTGGGATCGAAAGAGAAGTAGATAGAAATGATCACAATTATGTCAGTCCATCGAAGAGGAAGTCTAATAAGAAACCATGGCGTGAAGTAGATTTAGATGACACACCAGAGCTTATGAAACCTGTCGGTAGAGCAGGTAATCCCAATCTACATGTATCTCAAGATGGTCGGGAACTCTCAACTGAGGAGCGTAAGAAACTCATGTTAGACCGCAACAGAGAGGCTGCCTCGAGGTGCAGACAAAGGAAGAAAAATTGGATCAATCAAGTACAGGACCAGGCTGACTTGTTACAGAAAGAAAACGCACAATTGAGAGATGAGATACTGAAATACAGGCATTTGGTACTAGAATTGAGAGAACAGTGTACTGAATTGAAAGCATCGCTGGCCAATAAGGAATATAAAAATGGTAGTATCGTTATTTAATACACCGGTATTATAGGTGTATTAACTTTCTTGTCGGTGTATTTGCGTATTTGGTTAAAATCTTCACTCTGGGGTCTTATTAATGAATTGGATATCTACAAGAGAGAAAAAAGAAGCAATAGAAAGATGTGAGCTTCAGATCGAATGTATGATGGCACTAGTCAATCTAACTTTCGCCATATCAATAAAAGGTCTCTCTCATCAAACTGAGATTCATTCTCATCAAGTTGAGTGCCTCTTCAATTACGCGATCTTTTTCTGCGACTATCTTTCTCCATTCTTTATCTCTCTTCTTGTAGTCTCTAATTTTTAGGTTCTTTTTAGTGTCTGAATTGAATTTAAGTTTGCAGATCGTCATGTCCTAAAATGTTATGAGTGTTCACCGGAAGCAAAATTGAGAATTACATTATACATCGTACCCTTGGCATTTGCTTGGCGTTTTTGTGTAACGATAGTAGCCGTTTTCTTGACAGCTTTTGGCTGAGTGAGTCCAGCAGTTTCTGCATTTCTCTTCTTGCTGATCAAAGCAGGTACGATTGATGGTTGAGCAATTGAAGTTGCATCCCATGAAGCTGGAGCATTGGTCCCATTGTAGTGTTCTTCGAGCCTTGGAAGTGCAAAGAAATTGTGGTTGAGCTCTTCAGGGTCTATTATGTTAGTAAACAAGGGTAAGGCATCTGACAGTGGCATTTCTGGTATGTATTGCATTTCTAGAAGCGTTGCTTGCATTGTACTTCTTCAAATTAAGCGATATTTGCCTGTCGTTTTTGAGTTCGCGGATAAAGAGTGAAAACCTTTACAAACGCGCCATTTAAGTGGTCTAAGGAAAGACCAAGAAAGAAAAATACGGGGTTATATTTATTTATATGTAAGCGCTACATGTACTGTTAATAAATATTTCTTATATCCCTTAGTTATTTCCTCAGATGTTTGCTTTTCCATATATAGTAATATAACAAACGTCTTTTCAGAGCAGCACCATGCCAGGGACTAAAAAGTGCTGCTTATTGCTGTTTTATGCGTGTAGATATTCGTATTACTTTGTGCACCTTGATACATCCGGCATGCAACACCCCTTAAAATGGTACTACCGATCACCGACCAACTGCTTTCTCTTGGGCGTTGCTTAGGCGTTGAAAGTAAACTTCTCCAGTTGACGACTTAACATGACTTCTCCTAGATGTCACATCTGACATTGATCATCGCATCTATTGAGAAAATCACTGGAATGTCAACTATCCATACTCCAAATAGCTAATATTAGCCTAATTAATTCGTACTTTGTAGCTGCTATGTACTTGATTCTAATTACAACTCGCTAATGACCTCCCAAATCACATCTGATAGTGCATCAAGTATTGTACCGAAATGGGCATAGTATTGGGCAAAGCTCCACCCGTATGATTCCATAAGAGGTACTTTGTAACTGCAAAGGTATATAGTAAATTACTGCTCTCCTTAGCTGATTTTATGTGCATTTCTATGGTCCAGAATGATGTCACTTCGAGCTGGTTGTCATTTGCAGTTCTAAAGACTATGATGCCTGCAATTAGATTCAAGCATTCCACCTCCTGTTGAACGCAGCTCGATTCATTCGTAGTCGTTGCATGATTGTTTAACCTTCCGTTTAACCATTTGAATAATAGGATGCCGAGTAACTTGGCCTTCTTATGTCTTATCTGTATATAAACTTTCTATAGCACTTTTATTATCATCTAACTCCTTCCGTTCTCTCTATAACTCGTATTACTTTGAAAAACAAACCAGAGGTTTTTACCAGATTTGGAAATCAATGAATATTACAGATTAATAGGCAGTTTCTGTGTATTGTTCCTCTAATTCATATTTTCGCTTCTCGATAGCCCATGTGCTTCAGTGTCTAACTGGACAATATATGTTATGACGTTTGACACAAGCATGGTTGAAAGAGGTTGAACCAAGGCAGGATATATATAATCGCTTTCTCTCCATAGCTCTCTTAAGTTTGTTATTCTGTTTATCACTAAAACTCTCCTCAAAAGCTCTCATAATAGGTAAAATATTCCCTTAAATAGAGGCAAAGCTTACTAAGTAGCAGCTAAGCCTACTTGAATGTATACACAGGATTGTGGTATCATTGTGTATATTATGTCTTGGTTAGGGCTCCACAAGGGTGCTTTTAAAAGTACTCGCGCGGTCAAAAACACGTATTTCTTGCATTAATATGCTCGCAAATTCCTTAATCAGGTTGATATAGTGATAAGGTATGATATAGATACGTGCAGTCCACGTGATAAGCTCTTTGAGACTACCTTCCCGTACACTGTCGAGTAAAAGACAGTGAAGCTGGTCAGAGAGCCGACAGAAACCATCTGTAAGAAAGCGAGATGTAAATTGAGGTTTATCCTCAATATATGGTAGTCTAAATCATGCCTATTTATTGGTATATCTTTACTCCTTTGGATTTTGTGGGCTTTTTTGTGCTTTTCTTACCTTACCATCATCATTGAAAGCTATTTTACGTCTTACATACCTCAAATATTATAACAATATCAGGAGTCTTAATAACATTGTTTAACTCCATGGTGTATTTGTCTCGGGCAACAAAATTGATGTATGTAATGCCAATATATGCCCTATCAACTTGGGAATGTTACAGCGATTGACAATGGTCTGATTATCTATAACATGAATAGCTTAGGTTTGTCAAGTGTCGTTATTGTTTAAAAGTGACATTATGCGACCTACATTCCCGTGATTGAGATTGTAGATCGAGGGAGGAAGCAATAAACGATAGGCCTTTTCTACTTTTCAAAATACTCTCCACTAACGTACAGTAATTTGGTCTAAACATCGGTACGCTAGTGATGTCACGTAGGCTAACCCAAAAAATGTACTATCGGGAGAAGGGAATGAGCAAAATAGTGATGCGTAATTGATGAATCACATAATTATGGATATGATATCGATCCCGGCTGTTGAAGACTAGGATGCGGTGTTGGTTCGTGTGATTAGATCAAACGTATGCAACTTGTTGTATTCTACGTGTGCTAACAGCAGACCTGAAAGTGTCCATGGATATGAAGATATCAGTATTAGGCTTCTTATAGCTTTCGAGTGCATATGCCGTCTGTTCTGTACCCTAGTTCGCTATATTAGAAGCGCGATACAGCCCCAGAATACGCGAACTAGGTAGTTATCTATCCGGGAGTGTTTTTAGACAGTAGGAAGAAAACACATCATGACAGTCGTCAATCTAGACAGATCGGTTACGAGTGGTAATTGGTATTTTGAGCGAACAAATTCCTACTGGTCGATATTTGCTGCAAGATTAGCAGCCAGAAAGAAACATTTGTGTATGGATTCAATAAAATAAAACATTTGATGTATTTACAAACTTATAAATCAACGTCGATGTCGTCATTCAGAAGATTTCGGCCAATCTATAGAAATATCAGCAAAGATACGAATTCTCGGCACACGATCTACGCAACAGTTGGTGGTGTAGGTGTGACTGGTTACTACCTCTATCATTTAGAAGAGAATGCAGCTGGACGCTGGCGATTTCTAGACGTAACGCCCTCACAGGAGCGTCAAGCAGGTGAAGCAGCCTATAGAGACATGCTGCGACAGTATCGCCGACATATTCTCCCTTCCTACCATCCAACTGCTCGATACGTGAGCGATGTCGCATCGCGGATTATACAAGCGTCACCTTACACTATTGATGGACGCTGGGAAGTTTTCGTCATACACTCACCAGTGAAGAATGCGATGGTCTTGCCAGGCGGGAAAATATTCGTCTTTGATGGCATCCTCCCAATGACGGCCAACAAAGACGGCTTGGCAGCTGTAATTGGACATGAAGCAGCACATCAGTTTCTCCGTCATGCAGGAGAACGTATGAGTTTTGGTAAGATCTTCGTCGCACTTGGTCTCGGTTTGCAGGCTATGGGCATTGATTTCGGTATCAGTCACGCATTATTTAAGCTCATATTGGAGTTACCTAACTCACGGAAAGCTGAACATGAAGGTATGTGAGATATAATCTACATTGTTGCTCTGACATTAGAATAAAGCTGACAAAATTGGTATGGATGTCGCTGCTCGAGCGTGCTTCGATCCCAGCGAGGCGATAAGGTGTGTTCTCAATGATATGGTTATATGACTGACAAGCAGCAGAGTGTGGCAGAGAATGTCCGCTTCAGACAACGGTGATAGAGCTTTAGATTTCCTTTCCACACACCCAGGGCATCAAGATAGAATAGAAAAACTCCGAGAGTACCTCCCACATGTGAGTAATACTACATGTTCTTATAACATCTAACAAAAGGAAGGCTCGAAAAATATACGACAGCAGTGAATGCTCACAGATGTCAGACTTTTCGACGTTATCAAACACAATTGCAAATACTGTTAAATGGTAAAACGGCCATAAAAAAGTTAAATTGATAAAATCTACAATCACTGTTGTTGTTCCTTGAGTGCGAGAAGGACAGGTTGGATATGATTCCGAGCAACGACGGCGGCAAGCATGAATAAAAGTGACGCGATAAGTGGTCCATACATACTGAAGAAGGTCTCTGGTACCTTGTGTTTAGGATTCTTGATGGACATCTCCACTACGTCATTTGATGATTCTGTCTTCCAATAAACCGTTTGATCTGATTTTACATACTCGTAAGAACCCCCGTCGATTACGACTTCAACTGCATCGAAGAATGCGGCAGGGATGAATATTTCAGACACACCCTCACGTGGACGCATCCTGAGCGTGTACTTCTTTTCACCACGGTTGTACGCCATCTCGAGGGGCTCACCGCTTACTTTGCTAGCATATGGACGTATCCATACTTCCGGTATGCGGAGTCCGTCTGTAACACTATCGTCGCCCTTGATTGCGTCCTTGGAGAACAGACTGAAGTTCTCGCCGCTTGGGTAGGTTAGTTATATGATTACTATAATGATTATTTGACTCACTTCCATACATCACCGCCATCGTTAATGTTATCTGGGTTGTAATTCCATAACGTGAAAGAAGTAGCATGTTTTTCGAGTGCGCAAATGAGGGCGTCGAGCGACCATTCGTGATACTGTACATATTATTAGTATGTGAGATGTATTGAGAGCTCTCCTACCTTCCACATCCCTTTCTTCTGACCTTCTCCGTCGTTGAGATCCATTGGGATGCCAGTTTCGCCAAAGAAGACGGGTACATCACCTAAGTTTTTCTTGGCCTCATGAACCAATCGGCCAATCTGCTTGGCGTAGTTCTTTTTAAGACCTCCGTATCCGATATAAAGTGCATTCCAGATCATCATACCCCTCGCTAGACCTTGCACGTTGACAGACCACCATGTGCCCTCCTTTTTGAAGAGTGCATTAAGATCATACCAATGAGGACTAGCAATGAGCTTCTTAGGTTGCTCTTCCGCGGGTATATTTGGAAAGAATTCATTGGGTATTGGCTCAACGACACACCAGCGACCATTTGCGCATTTTTCATAAAACTTCTTCGCAAAAGGCATATAGAAGTCGTGATACCATTCGACAGTCTTGCCTGTGAGAGGGTGTTTTTTGAAGTAGTCCTGACGCAAGACAACTGGCTTGCTTTTATCTGTGCTATATGCCCATACACCTTCGCGTAGCCAAGGACAGACCGCATCATTTTTGTAAGCTTTCCGTACTGGACTTATCTTCCTCACGCCCGATTTGCGCGTTGGGAATGGGAATGTGCGAGTGTAGTAGTCGACAGTAACAGCATGACCCATCGCGAGTGCCATACCTTGTACAGGTGTCGGCATATGCGCTATGTGTAGATCAGTATTGTAATTCCAGCACTCGAAGTTGTCGAGCTCGATGTAGCCTCTATGCGGCTCATTCATGAGTTCGAAAGCGACGATAGCAGGAGATTCAAGTCTCTTCGAAAGCTCTGCGAAGGCGTTCAGATAGGCTTCTTGAAGTATATCCTGGATATTTTTTCCATCAATGACAAACGACGGTGCAAACGTTGAACCACCCCAGAAGAGGGTACTGAGTGTCGCAGCGCTATTCTTCTGATACCCACTCGGCCAGACTCCATGTTCAAGGCCATCACCTGGTTGAGCTGACCAGTTTGGCCCTTTCTGTGAGCGGATTGGGTAGAGGTAGGCAGCTGCTGTGTCGTCTAATGCACGCACATCATAGCCTGCGAGTTCGACTGTCCATCCTGGCGCACCGCTGCCGCCTGTCATCCTAGACCAAATATCTTGGTGTGCGTCTATAACGATCTTAAATCCGTGCTTCTCCATGAGGCTGCAGAGCGTAGCTAGATAGTCCATATATTCATAATCGTAGATACCACATCCAGAATGCTCTAGTGCCTCCCAAGTGACGATAAGACGTATAAATGTCATACCAGCATTTTTGAGTTTGTTGAGGTGATACTCAGCGTTTTCGATAGGGAATGGCTTGTTAACAAAGCTGACAGCTTTCCAGTTGTAGAAATCCTCGTGGTTTGTAGCTGATTGGTTGCTTGGGAGTTTTGAACCACCGCTGAGGTTGACACCGCGCGGATAGCAGTTTCTATGATGTTGATCTACAAAAGTACCGTTCTTAGCGTCTATTCGGATGTCAGACCAATCAGCAGCGACCATGGAAGTATAGTTGAAAAATGACATAATGCATAAATTTACAATATAACTTCTCTGACACCGTCCTGAGTTATTATTCTAGCTTTCCAACCGCCTGGATTTACAATAAGACGCTTTTCAACCTCGTTTGTTGCTCTCTTCATCAATTCCAACCCTTCTTCTAAGCTCATATCTGGCCTGTGATATCTGTCGAATGTAGATGTAGCAAAGAAGGCTGTATTGTCAGTTATTTCATGGTCAAAGTAGTGCACACACCTGCGTAACCGTGACATGCGTATGGTACGTGTGCGAGTGTACCGAGATAATCAATCCAGTAGAGCTCTGGTGTACCCTTTGGTACATCCCAACCACCGAGCAACAAATTGACAGCGTAAGGTTTCCTCGATCTTAAGCTGTCTGCAAGCTGTCTTCGTATCCAGGATGCACTGGCTTTTGGCTGAAGCTCGATGTCATGGCGAAGAGAATGGAGACGTAGATTTCTCTCTACGTACTCAGCAAACTGTATAGTGTCACCTGCTTCACCGTTGTAGGCCATAACGAGATGCTCGCCGAGTTGCTTCATCTTGTCCTCGTCATCCTTCATTCTGATGATTGACATTGCGGCGTTTGTATCTGATACGATGAGAGTGTAGTCTTTACCCGTCAGTGCGAGTTGTGATTCCATGATGGGTGTACTTAATAGAGAGTGTTATGACGCGTACGTTTCTCCATTAGCTACGATGAGTGTTGATAGGACGAAATGTATTATGATTGCATTAGAGGAAGCTAACAAAGCACCAATAGCACAGGGTGCTTTCAGTGTTGGCTGTGTCCTCACACATCAGAATGAAATACTCTCAACGGGATATTCACGTGAATTAGAGGGTAACACACACGCAGAGGCAAACGCTATAGCGAAAGTACAAGACAAGAGTATTCTCAGCCAGGTTGAACTCTACACTACACTCGAACCATGCACTGTACGAACATCTGGTCTGCGAGCCTGCACCGATACAATCATAGAATATGGAATCAAAAAGGTTTTTATAGGCGTAGAGGAGCCACCAGACTTTGTCAACTGCCAGGGCGTTTCAAAACTCAAAGAAGCAGGTGTGGACGTCATCTTCCTCAGTAGTGAAGAATACACTCGCCAGACAGGCCGCAATTTGTCCGAAGACTGCCTTATAGCAGCCAGGAGAAGCTAATTTATACTATATTACACTGGATTAAATGCATTTCAATTTCTGTTACCAGATAAGAGACTTCGCTCATTATCGTCATCGTCTATTTCGTCATATTCGTTAAATATCCCATTCGAACTACCTCCCGTGAATGTAGTTGAGGTTCGAAGGTTGTCATGTGATGCATATGTGTTGAGCGCCTGATTGAATTGTCTATCAACACCTTCGGACTCGCTGCTAAGTTCGCTGAGCGCACTATCGATAGACGTACGTGAAGTCCGCGATTCTTGTGTCATTGTTGCGCCATGGTTTGCGATCATGTTATCCGGCGTCTCGACCACATTCTTCCGCTGATCGAGGTTAAAATCAACGAGGAAGCGACTAGCAATGATAGGTATGAGAGAGAGCAAACTAGCTGGTATAATCAACAATTTCATGTTGTTTGAGAATGCTTTTATCATCAAATCGCGCGCCGGAGTACCTACGGCACCTAATAGACGTGATTTGGAAGGGTCTCCGACATATGACTGTATTTGCTCTTGGCTAAAATGTGGGAAAAGCTCTTGGATTTTCTGAGGAAGATATTGGACATTGATCGCAGACGCTGCTGATGAGCCCGCTACGTTACCTATTTCAGCAACCAATAGAACAGCAGCTGTGGCTAATGCCAAATCCGTGGCTTGGACTGCACCTTGTGCTCCCACCTGTGTCGCAACAGCAACTATACCCCCGCCAGCGCCTTGGAGAACTTGAGTCAAAACCATAACCGATGTTGAACGGTGGCCGCTAGTATAGAGCATGAGAGCAATACCAAACAGCCTATAACAAGATCGTCAGATGTAAAAACTCCTCATGAGCATACTCACCTGACGAATAAAGCAACTGTTACTGAAAATTTCCACCTAATTTGATATATGAAAGCGACGACGGACCAAGATATCGCAAAAATTGTCATACACAGTGCCTGCGTATATATGTAATAATTGATATGATTTGTCGTCCAATCTGTTGCAACTTGGGTGAAGTAGAGCAATTGCGAGAACGCCAGATTGAAACTTGTGAAGTCGAAGTAGTTTATTACGCATACGATCGCGATTGTTTTGTTCTTGAGTAGTCGGAGAGGGAGTACAGGGTGTACAGCGCAATATATTTCCCAATAGAGGAAAGCTGGTAGGATCATACCCAATCCAGCAGTCAGCATCGCAGGGATAGTGGGTGAACCCCAACTTATGAAACCGATCTGGTTTGCGAGTATTATAGGTACGAATGTGTAAATCAACAGGTTGAATAGGAGATATAATCCGAGTAAGTCAACTTCAGATGCAAACTGAATAATACGTTGACTCAGTGTTGGTTTCACTTTGAATAGCAAACTCGTTGATGAGTTCTTGTGTCGTGGTTTCTTAACTGTGCGCCTCTGTTTATAGTGCAAGACGAGAATAATCGGGAGTATTGAAGGTATGTAGCATAATGCGTAAATGTAGAAACCGGATCGCCAGCTTAAGTTGTTAACGAAGTGGTTGGAAATCTTTCCGTTGAGGTAGAATAACACGAAGAACCAGCCGGAATTTGTCAATACGCTGAAGAATGATCTATAACGTAAGTTCGTTGAGTCGGCTATCAGTATCTGGAGGATGATCTGGAAACCAGAGAAGCCGACCTGCCAAATACACAATCCAACGCCGAGTGTGTATATAGACGGGCTGACTGAGCAAATAAGGTAACCTGTAGTAAGGCAAACCAGACATATAACGAGACTAATGACGGTACCCAGGACCTTTACGAGCTTACCAAAAATGGGCTTGCTAGTGGCCAATAATATGGCGGTTATAGCGTTGATAGCGTTCAAACTCTCGGCTTTATTGAAACTCGAGGCTGCTTTTGTTGATATCAGGATATTCGTGCCATTATCTAAGCTGAACATGAAACTAGAGATCACTATAGAAAGACAAAAGAAATATTTTAACATTTTATTTTTTCTAATTCATCAATTGCTTTCGTAAGTCTCTGCTCGGTATCGATGACGAGTTTCTTGGATTCCTCTATTAATTTAGACTGAGGGGTGTTAGATTTTTTATTTTTTCTATTTAATACACACTTGGTTATTCTTCTTCCACTGACCATTCTCGTCGTCTAAAGATATTTTATTCATAGTTTCTTCACCGTCGACGACTTCTTGCTTGTACATCTCTAGTTCCTTTGTTAATCTCTTAACGACGCCTTCTCTGATCTTTATTTGCCTCTCTTTCTCTTTGTTTTCCATGCTTGATGATGACTGTTGTGGGTATAAAGAGAAGAGTGTGTGATAATCAGCGAGATATCTTCTATAGAGCTATATAGATATATACTAGATCTATTAACTCATAAAAGCAAACCAACGACAGACGTTAAAAATGAGCTGAAAAATTTTCATGGCGAACAAAGGTGTACAATAACCTCAACATTTTACTTGCCGGTAGATTGCTTAATGACTCTCTTGACAATCTTGGCTTCCTCTGTAAGTGGTATATTAAAAACTGACACTTTAGACTAGCATACTGGTACTTACCAAGCAAGAATGCTCTAACGACACGCTCTCTAACGCAGTGAGCACAACGGCTACCACCGTAGGCACGAGTGACGGACTTTTGACGCTTTGAGATGGTAGCGTAGCGTCTTGGGCGAAGAGCTGGAACCTGATGATTTATTAGTAAATGCAATATAGTTATTGAAATATAAACCTACACCAGAAAGTGCTAATCCACAGTCACCACACTTTGGAACGGATGGCTTCTTGTGGATGTGCAAGTAACGCAATTGACCACCTGGGGTCTTGATGACACGACGCTTGTTTGAACGTACGTTGTATGGGTTCTTAGTTCTAAGCTGTACACGTCTTTGGTCGACCATCCTTGCTGCTCTTCAACGTCGCTAAGAACGATTGAGAGCTTAAGACGGCATTTTTTCGACTATCAAATTTAAAATTTATAATGGTATTTTTGAGAAAATATAATTATTTCTTGTTTAATATATTATATTCATTCTATTATTAATCATTCATCTCTTCTCCTTGCTCTATTCTATCCTCCTCGCTGTCTTCCTCCCAGATAGAGAGATGAGCGCATGGGGAGCTATGAAATGAAGAGCTATATTATCTAAACATATCCATCTCTCAATTCATTCTGTTCCATCTGGATTTCATTCCTTTCCCCCCTTGATCCAACACCGTCAAGATATGAGTGATCCAAATGACCTCAAACCACCAGAATCTGAGGTGAGTACTAATTTATATCCACATATACACCCACTGAATATAGCAGACAAGTAGCAGATCATCATCTCCGAAACCGACTGTCGGTATGTCAATAAAGGAGAGAATGGCACTTTTCAATAAGCAAGCCGAACAAACCAGCGCTCCAGCACCTAAGCAGCCACCTCCTGCGATAGGTAGGAAACCAGCTCAATGGCAACCTACAAACGAACGTAAAGTCTCCGCAGGAGAGGGTAGAAGTGGCCTCAGCGCAAATGACGCGGCATCTTCAATATCCAGACCAGGCGGCAGCTTAAAAGATCGCATGGCTGCACTTCAGGGTGCTTTCGGCTCAGCTTCTGCACCTTCCCCAGTGACGAAACCCGACGTCAAGCCAAAACCACTGAGACAGTCTGATGACGTGAAAGCGCCAATAGAGCAGTCGATTGTCCAGCCATCTGAAGATAAGCAGGATAGTGTTACAGATGAGCGCGCGCCAGAGGAGTCTGAAAATGCGAAGGAAGACGGCGAAGAGACAGACGATGCAGAACAGGAACGTGTGAAACGTCAAGAAATTGCAGCACGTATGGCCAAGCTTGGTGGTATGCGTCTTGGTGGTCCACCAATGGCTGTACCTCCAAAGAAGACAGAAGAAACAGCTGAAGAGACATCAGAAGCACCACAAGATGTGTCGGAAGCAGGCGAAGAAGACAAGAAAGAGAAGCAAGATGGGGATATCCCTAACACCGTCGATACCAATGTTGAGCAAACAAATGAGCCAGCAGCGGCTCCAGAGCAACCACCGGCTTCACCTCAGAAGGAGTCCAAAGAACCAATAGAGGAGCTTGACGATCAGCCAGTCTCAATGAAGGCACCACCACTCGCTCGCAGGGCTAAACCACCACGTCGTCGCACGCCACAAACTCAAGTCAATACAACTGAAGTTGACACGGCGTCGGCTACCCCACTTCCAGATACTCCAGTCTCAGAAACACCAGCTGAAAAGACTGACGAGAAAGCTGTAGAGTCAGAGACTGCATCGATTGAAGAGCCACAGACTGTGGCAGCTGAGGAACCGGTCCCAGAACCTGTCGTGGAACCAGTTCAAGGCAACTCACAAGAAGAAGTCCAAGAGGAAGAGGAGGAAGAAGCAAAACTCAGCGAAAAGCCTAAAGAGACTACCACTTCCCTCAAGGATGAAGACCACCCGGGAAGTGACCACCTCCACCGCTTCGACCCACAAGAAGACACTACTGGATTCGCTGACAAGACTATTGAAGACCGCCGTATCTCTATAGCTACAGCACTAGTTGACAAGCCAGACTCGCTCAACAATGCTATTGAGCATTTCCACAGTCCCTTAGATAAGAATGAAACACAAGCTGAGTCTCCTAAAGAGGAAATCGACCCTCTGTCTCCGTTGCCTATTTCCCAGCCAGCTATCCCTGTTATGGAAGAAAGCAAGGATCAGGCCAGCGCTATAGCAGTGGATGATGGTAGCAGCTCAGAACGTAAGTAATTTATTAATGTACACATGCATGCATTGAATTTCGTGACGTTAGTCAGTGAGGATTACGAACCTGTCGACAAAAAGGGTAAAGGACGAGAGGTGTCTTCCGCATCAGCCTTTTTGGGAGTTATGAATAAGCCACTCTCGACGCCTGGTGTTGAAATTGATGATGTGGGCGTTCCTCAACACATTGAAAATTTAGTTGAGCATGGCCGAGAAGAGCAACTTATTAAGGGTGCTGTAACTGATGAACCCGTCGAGACTGAAGAACATGTTGATGAAGGTAGAAATACCGTTAATGGACAAACTATTGAAGTTAAGAATAGCAATGAATATGAATCTATTGTTGAAGATGAACATATCGCAAATAAACCTGGTATCGCGCAGGCTCAAGATACTAATGTAAATGACGAAATTAATGATAAGATACCTGGCAATGATGAGCCCGTTATCGCTACCACAGAGGAATCAGCCCCTATCTCAGAAGAAACATCTCGCTCGGACAATACAAAGAACAGTATATCTGAGCGCATGGCGAAAATCTCGATGGCTGGGGGTTTCAAATTTGGACCTGTGCCGCCTATCCCTGCACGACCAGTGCAGCGTGAAGCCGAAGATGAAGAAGTTGAGGAAACTCCTCAAGTTGAAAAGGAAGATGTTGCACCCGAAGAACCAGTCGAGAATGTACATGAGGTTAAGGAAGATGTTGCACAGCCAGAAGAAGCGCAACCTGAAGAGCAGCCTGAAGAGACCGATGCTGAACGCCGCAGTAGAATTGCAAAGAAGCTGGCTGCGTCTGGTGCTCTCAGACCTGTACTTGGTGGCGATCCTGCTCCAGCTGTTCCAGCTGTGCAGCCACACAATGAAGAAGAGGTTCACGAAGAGGATGGCAATGAGGTTGAAGAGGTTGATAATGATGCCATGAAGGATGTTGCTGATAACGTTCAAAAAGATTTGAAATCAGACAATACAAGTAATGGTGCGTACTGTCTTCAGTATTCAGCTGTTTTAATTCATTAACATTCATTAACAGTAGGTGATTCTATCACACAAGAAAAGGAAGTCAGAGACGACGAGGATGAACCTTCACCTCCTCCAGTGCCTTCACGAGACTTCACTAATGCACAAGACGATAAAAGGAAATCTATTCCGATGCCCTCAAGGGAACTACCATCTCTTGGTACGGCTGAGCAGCCAAGCGGAGATGAAAAGAAGGAAGTAATTGAGTCTGAGCCCGAGGTCGAGGAAAATGAGGATGCGCCACCGCCAATGCCAACTCGCTCGAGTATCGTCTCTCCACCAGCACCCGTCAGATCGGTACCAGACCTCCCTCAAGCACCGCCAGCAAGGGCTATGCCAGCACCTCCTCCAATTAGCACCAATTTCGAATCTACTGAATCAAAGTCCGTCGAGACAAGTCCAGTACTCGCTAGTCCGCCGGCTCGTGTTGTCCCAGCACCACCGAGCGCTACAGATACGTCTCCTCCAAGACCACCCATCCCAAAGAAGAGAACATCTATCAGTAGTCAGCATTCTACCCATAGATCATCAATCGGGAGTGTTCTAGATCACAATATACCACCGATCCCTAGATCACCTTCGATTAAAAATAGTCCAATTGAGCAACATCAGAGATCCTCAATTGCCAGCTCAATTGAAGTGCCAGCTTTTCCTGAAGTACCGCAGACGGTAGAGACTGAAGAAGATGCAGATAGTGCTGCTGAGAGACGTCGACATATCACCGAAAGATTGGCTGCCTCAGGTGGTATAAGGCCACTTGTTGGTGGTTTACCACAGCCTCCTAGTCGTTCAATTCCTCAACCAGACACATCTGGAGAGACACCTGAACCTACTGAGGAACTCTCAGAAAAGCCTGAAACAGTTGTTGACGAGGAGAACCCAGAATCTGAAGCTGAGAGAAGGGCAAGGATCGCTAAAAAGTTGGCTATGCAGGGCTCAATTAGACCTATCTTCGGTAGCGTTGAAGAACAACCAAAGGAAGAGAAAGCGCAAGATGAATCTGAAGAAGAAGCTAAGCAGAGTGGATCTCCGGTGATGGAAGTAGAAGAACAACCTCACTTGGAGACATCACCACAGCAAAGTCTCCCACCACCAATTCCAAAGCAGCGTCCAAGGTCATTCATCGTCCCAGCCACTTCAATTCCTCCACCAAAAAGTCCTCCACCTACCAGTCCACCTCCAAATCCACCACCACCTGCTCCACCATCTCGCCAGCTTCCACGGTTGCAATCGCCACCATCGCCTCAGTCAAGTAAGCACGATGAGGTAACTGACGAAGACAGGCGTGATAGTACAGAATTTGTCAAGGTACCTTCAAGCAGCCTTTCTGTTACGACTCCTCAAGCAGAGCGTGAGTCATTCGAATTTGTTGCATCGCCTAAAGATAAAGGCATACCACCATCGCCTAGATCTCCAGGTAAGAGTCCAATTGGGCCGCGTCCGGTCGGTAAGCACATCTACACACATGAGGAATTAGTGCAGCTTGCCCAACAAGTCGGTAAAAAGATACATGAATTCACAAAAGCGCAGTATGAATTATCCAAGAACATGCCAATTGCTGATGGTACAGCCATTGGATTTGTTACTGAGACATTAGCATTATGTAACGCTGCTAATGACCCTGTTAATTGGAATTTCGGACATTTGGTGCACGCGCAAACGACTCAGGGACTGGCCAAACGCCTTGACGACCCTAGACCAGGTGACGTTCTCGTCCTTAGACATGCGGAATTCAAAGGCAGAAAAGCGCTCGGAAATTACAAAGCGAGTTTCGGAGCACATGGTCCACAAGTGGCGTTTGTGACAGAGTATGACCTCAAGAAAGGAAAAGTTACTGCAATTCAAACATCAGGCACGCCAAATAATTACCCATCTGTAAGTATTATTCTAACTTATGCAGCCCAATTGACAAACTTTATAGCTCGAGTATATATCGATCAAATTTGGTGATTTGAAAGAAGGTTCGTTCGAAATATTCAGACCTGTTCCACTATCATGAAGAAATAATTTTGGATGATTGTTTTATGAATTTAATTTTACGAGTTTTATTGTTTTTCTATGTATTTCCAATTTTATTCTGACTAATTACGATTTTTGCGTGACTAAATGTATGGTCAAATTTGCAACACTAAAATATAACCAGGGGAAGGAGTGGAGATATTGGAGATAGTGGAGAAATATTATAATATCTATACAGGGCGATTGTTATATATTTTAGAAGTTTCACTTATGAGACTACCTTCTAATCAACTTTACTAAGTGGAAACCCTCGGCGTGCAGTAATGCACCGTAACATAAAGTCCGCATTTTAAAAACGCGGGTTCTCCACTATTCCCCCATAACGATGACAAAAGTACATCCAGTTGAGGAGAGGAAGCCTCATGAGGACTCTACACTCACTGAGAGCTCCCAAGCATACTTTGATAAGACGTCTGCAGATGGCAAAATAGAACTCACTGAGGATGCTGCCCCGGAAGTTTTAGGATATTCTTGGTCTACAGCTAAGAAGTGGTACATCCTCTCTGTTATTGTCGTCATTCAGATTTCTATGAACTTGAATGCATCGATTTATGCAAACAGTGTCGAGGGAATGACTGAAGAATGGGGAATATCCGCACAAGCTGCTAGAGTTGGACAATGCGTTTTCCTTGTTGCATACGGTTTCGGTTGTGAATTCTGTAAGTATTGCGAATATTTTGGTATCATATTCTAACGAATTGAAGGGGCACCGCAAGTAGAATATTAAGTTGATGGACGCAGCTAACAAAATTACAGATGGTCAGAAGAACTTGGTCGTTGGAGTGTTCTCCAAATTTCGCTCTTCTTTGTTAATAGTGAGCGAGATTTTCCGATTATAAGACAAATCGCTAATGTAATGCAGTTTGGGCACTGATGTGTAGTCTTGCACCAAATTTCGGTACCATGGTTGTTGGTCGTTTCCTTGGTGGCCTGTCGAGCGCCGGTGGATCTGTCACACTCGGTCTTGTCGCTGATTTCTACAATGTTGATACGCACCAGTATGCAATCGCCTACGTCGTATGGAGTTCCTGTTCAGGAAGTGTCGTCGGTGCTATTGTTGGTGGTTTCATCCATTCGTTCAGTACGTGGAGATGGGTCTTTTGGATTCAACTTATCTTCGGTGGTTTCGCACAAGCTATCCATTGGGCAATTCCAGAGACAAGATCATCCGTCTTGCTTGATAGAGAAGCTAAGAGACGTCGTAAGGAAGCCGCAAAAGAGGGCAAAGAACTCAATATTTGGGGACCAGGTGAAATTCGTCCTTACAAGTTTAACTTAAAGGAGACAGCTATTATTTGGATGAGACCATTCGAGATGTTCGTCAGAGAACCAATTGTTTTGTCTTGCTCCCTCCTTTCTGGTTTCAGTGATATGCTTATATTCATCTTCTTGGAGAGTTATGGAGCCGTTTTGAGTCAATGGGGCTTTAAGCCATGGGCTAGTGGTCTTGGTTTCGTTCCTATTCTTATTGGTTACTTCATCGGATGGTTCTCTTTCTTCCCTACTTTCAGATCACAAACTATCAGAAGAAAGCAAGATCCATTCTCGGTTTCCCCAGAAAACAGACTCTGGTGGTTGCTATGGACGGCTCCTTTGCTTCCAATTGGTATGTTAATGTTTGCCTGGACATCACTTGAAGAACGCGGTATCCACTGGATTGGTGTTATGATCAGTTCAGCAGTCGTAGCTATTGCTAACTACAACATTTATCTCGCAACAGTTGATTACATGGTTGCTGCATACGGTCCATACTCTTCTTCCGCTACTGGTGGTAATGCTTTAGCTAGAGATGTCTTGGCTGGTATCTCTGCGATGTTTGCTACACCATTCTACAGTCATTTCCCTAACTACACATTGGAACTTCCAACTACCATTCTGGCTTGCATCGCATTAGTTCTGATCATTCCGGTCTTCCTGTTATACTTCTACGGACCACAAGTTCGTAATAAATCAAAATTCGCTCAACTTTTGGCTGAAAATAGAGAAACAAGCCATCTGAAGAGTCAAGTACGTGAAGAAAAACAATCACGCTTTGAGCACGTCGAAAAAGCATAGCTTGGATATATAGACTATAGAATACCATTTATAGACTTTCTTGTAGATTAATAATTTTCATAGATTCCTGAAATAGCGAAAACAAACCGGGCTACTTCCTATCAAATGACGTCCATTAAGCGTTTGATTCAGATCACAGAGAAGGGTCTGAGAGTAAATAATAAGAATATTTCATGGCCTTTAATAAGGGATGCAGATTTGAGTGGACTTCATCCGTCTACGACGCAGAAAACATGGGCTACTACTAACGTACCATTTGAGTCAAAACCTCTGGAGGCTAATATCGATGAGAAGGCCCAGACATTGAATGTTAAATGGGACTACGCAGAGGGATTCCCAGAGAGAAGCACTTATAGTATTAAGACACTCTCGGATGCATTTAGCAGTGATCCATGGAAGACATTCCCACCACATACGCCAGCAGCCGAGCCATGGACTACGGAGGAGTTCAAACAGAGCAGTCAAACTTACGATCTTGCAGAAATGCATAAATCACCATCTGTACTGCTCAAAGCACTCACACAGCTACATCAGCGTGGTTTGATCTTTGTCAAGAACGTACAGACGGAGGAAAAGACCGACGCGGGCTGTGGTCTTCGTGCAATGATTGAAGGCTTGTTTGGTGAGATAAGGAACACATTCTACGGACAGACTTGGGATGTCAGAGCTTTGGGAGGCCAGTCTCGGAACGTTGCGTATACTGGTTTAGATTTAAAATACCACATGGATTTACTGTGAGTTAGTATATATACTACTGTGTGTCTGATAGTTGTCAGATACTTCGAGTCGCCTCCACGATTTCAATTCTTGCATTCATTGAAGGCATTACCACGTGAGCAGTCTCCGCAAGGCCACTCACTCTTCCTTGATTCTTATAGGGCTGCCGAGGAGCTTTCGAAAGAATCTTACGATCTCCTCAAGTCTGTGCCGCTCGTTTACGAATATCACAACGACAACCATCATTACATACATGCACATCCTGTTCTGGAAGAGCAGACCGGGAAGCTGCGCTCAGTAAACTATTCACCCCCGTTTCAGTCTCCGTACCAGCCATACATTGCTGAGCTCGATGAGGATAGACAGATAGCATACCTGAAAGCGCTCAGAGAGTGGGATGGCATACTCGAGCGTGATCATCTCAACTTTGAGCTGCGCTTGAATGAAGGCGAATGTGTCGTCTTTGATAACAGGCGTGTCTTGCATGCTCGCAGGGCATTCGACGAACAGGGCGATAAAGGTGAGATCGTGCGCTGGCTCAAAGGAGCATACGTAGATGGAGATGCTATTTGGGATCGCTGGAGAGTAGTTAATGAGAGCCAGTGAATGTATCTTGAATAAATTAATTGATTTCCTACTTTGATTGTTACATCCATTATCCACTAAGACATGAGTGCATCAGAGAAGCTTGAGGAATTCCGTAAGCAAGGCGTCAGAAGATCGCAAGAGACCTACACACTTTCCAAGCAGATTTACGGTACAAGACACGAACGTACTCTCGGTGACGATAGTGGGTTTCTATCTCCCGATCTAGCGCATGTCTAATGAATAATACTAGGATGGGCATTTTATGAGCAATACGCTATTTCAGCGTTAGATGTTGGTGATCACTTATTGGCAGAGGTGCGTAGACCATGGTAGACGTTCGGAGAAGTATCTAATAATCAATTTACTAGGAACTTCTGCTACGCTTGGCTGAGAAATTCCCACAATCACCCCGTGTATCTGTCCTTGAAGGAATGCTATTAGAATCTAAAGGTGAATTCCGCTTAGCTGAGCGATTGTATACTTCTTTATTGGAGGAAGATCCAACAAATATTGTAGGTTTATACTACTATTAGCCTATCAGTTGCTTACATACACCACTCAGGCGATACAGAAACGTATGATAGTCTTGACAAAGCTGTTGCACCCGAAAGATCCATCGAAAGCCCTGGACAGACTGACGACATATTTGGATACATTCTACTCAGATCCTGAAGCTTGGATGGAACTCGCTGATATCTACACACAACAGCAAAGGTATGTCATGATCTGTGTTGTATAGCAACATCTCACAATAGTATAGCTACCAAAGAGCACTATTTGCAATCGAGGAGTGTTTACTCATGCAGCCAATAAATCCATTCTTTGTTCTGAAATACGCAGAAACTCAATATACATCCGGTGACATCCACGAAGCCTACAAATCATATTTACGTGTGGTCGAACTACAAGATAGCTTCCCTAGGGCTTGGTTAGGTTTGAAAATGTGCTGCAAAAAGCTCCTCAAGTATCCACGTAATGAGCAACCAGAACACCTTCAAAGCGTTGACGTATTATCGACAAAGAAAACATTAGATGTCTACACATCATCATCTAAGAAGAAAGTTGACGAAGATTCTCGTAAAGCAGTTTTGAAATTTGTAGAATAATTAGAAAGTATACCCTTGGAAAATTTATGATTGATTATACAACAAAAATGCATGAATAAGTTGGGTGGACTTGAAACGCGAGATGTTTATTAAAAGGCTACTTGAATACTTAATGATTGCTTATTGAAAGGACATTGAAAGTCATTAAAGTTCAACTTGAGGGTGAACGAGGTATGTAACTTGGTCATCAGCAGAAGATGATGGATCTTGACTATCTGGAGCCTCTTGATCAGCATTTCCGCGTAATTCAAGGAGATATTGATCCTTTGGGATGGTTAGATAAGTAGTGTAATACTATAATACTCACCTTTACAAGCTTCTTGAGGACCTTGGCCATCAATGCTTGCTCGGCTTCAAGCTGCTCAATTGAATCAATTTCTTCCTCTTTGGACTCAATGTAAGATTGAATAATCTCATCTTTAGTGACACCGGCACCGGTTGTATTCTCAACTGTTAACAAATGCTGAACGACGAGCGACATAAGTGACATATATTTGTCATACGTAATCGTAAGCTTGCTCTTCTCAGCTGATGGTTGAGGAGTTTGACCAGATGCTGTACCATCCGGTTGACCATCTGCAGATGATGACGGATGCATAGAAGATGATGGAATCTTGAGGTTTGGATCGGTTGATGAGGATGGATGTTGGGTGTTATTGTCCATCGCAAGAGGGTCGACTGATTGCTCATCATCGTCATCTAATCCAACATCATCTTGCTCAACGTGAATAATAGATTGACGTAACAACAAGTAGGCCTCTTTGACATATTGAGGAAGAATCTAATACTATCGTTAACATTATAGCCAATTTGTAACCGTATACATACCTCATTAGAGCAATTTGCACGTGCGATTGCTTCTGACAATCTAATCATAGATTCTAATTGTCTAACCGTGATTCTATAGCTGTTTCTACCAACACCTTGTGCATCATCTTGTCTCAATATCCTATATTTTTCGACTAAAAGATCGCTAGCTTCTGGTGTCATTCTAGGTTGGAATGTTCTACTATATCTAATGAATCTCTGCAATTGCTCAGTGTTGAATTCAGGTTCTAAAGCTTCATCTCTAAATCTGTGAATATTGACTATATGTCTTGCCAACATATCATCGACATTCTCATTACATTCATCAAGTACGACGAAAAAGAGATCAAATCTTGACATAATTGGAGCTGACATTGCAACATTTTGTCTAAGTGTTGCTTTACGATTGTAACGACCACCAATTGGATTAGCTGCTGCTAGAATTGAAGTTCTGGCGTTAAGTGTTGCTTGAAGACCTGCTTTTGCGATAGAGAGCGTTTGCTGTTCCATCGCTTCGTGAATTGCAACTTGATCTGCGATGTCCATCTTGTCGAATTCGTCAATTGCGCAAATACCGTTGTCAGCTAACATTAATGCACCAGCTTCGATTGTGAATTCGCCTGTTTCTTCGTCCTTTACGACGGCGGCTGTCAAACCAGCAGCTGATGAGGCTTTACCAGATGTGTAGACCGCTCTTGGAAGGAAGCTTGTAACATATCTGTATGGCGTCATTAGTTTTGCTCGTTGTAAAGTTGAATGCACTCACTTTAAGAATTGAGATTTGGATGTAGATGGATCACCTACTACACAGATGTTGATATCACCTCTCAAGTGAATACCTTCATGAGTGCGTTTATGTACACCACCCATGAGTTGCAAAAGCAGACCTTTCTTGACAATATCATGACCAAATACAGTAGGTGCGACACTCTTAACTAATCTGTGATAGATGTTTTCAGTGTTAACCATCGCTCTGAGTTCTTCAATTTCCTGTTGTGTCAAACTTCTAAGGAAGGTATCTTGGTCTTCTTCTTCTTCATAATCAGCTCGAACGTTGGTTGCTGAGGCTCTTCCATCAGCTGATTGTACCATACAAGCCAAGTAAGCTGTCTTATATTGAAGATCACGAACACCGAGGGCTTTCAAACCTGATACACCCTGATTTTCATTTCTACCGGTTGCTTCTCTCATTAATTCAGTTGTTGCGCCGGGTATACCTAATTGAGATACGTCTGGTACAACGATGAATGTACCGGTAAAGACGCATTTATCACCAGCCTTTGCCTTTTCGACGGTTTCACCTCGAAGGATGACATCTAAAGATCTAGGCATGGAACCTGTTGGTATCTCATTTGCGTTTTCTTGTATGCGAACTTTTTGCCAATCTGAGAATTTTGATTGTTCAATGATCAATCTCCAGGCGTTTTTGTTGTTGCAAGTTGGATTTGGACACATGCTAGGCTGTTTGAAGGGTTAAAGAAATGTAAATGAAGTAAAAAGAATTCACCTCTGTGAACTTGAATTGTTGTTCTATTTCGTGCATAACAACACCACATTCTTCACATGCGAAGCAACCACTAACTAATTCTGGTCTTACTTCAGAAGTACGGGTGACAGTACCACCAATAGACATCAAAGTACCAACTTTATCAGTTCTTAAATCTCTAATACCACTAACGATAGGTAAATCGTAGAAAGCTATTTGGAATTCTCTAATGATGTATGAACTAGCGGATTGCGTGCCAGTGACAGCTGATGCGTTCGAATAGAGATAACCAGGTTCATATTTGTGTACTAGGTTCTGTACTGCGCGTTTCAAAAATGGTAAGAAACGATAGTATTGGTCCGTAATCGCGCGTGCAAGAATGTCTTCTCTTTCCAACAAATGGGAGAAGGAAACGTATAAGGTTGTAAAGTTGTATTCTCTCATACCGTGTATCTGCTCAATGTAAAACTTTGACTCAGCCTCAGTCTGCATGCCATCTGGTCCAGGTGTTGGTGCCAAATCAACGATTTCGGTGTATGACTCTAAGAAATTCTCGAAACTCTCCATGACCTTCTCACCTGTGGCATCCTTGACCTTTGGTACCTCGGCAGGATCCTGTGGGTTACGTTTCGCTCTTCTACGAGCGTTAGATTCTTCGCCTGCCTCATCATCCTCCATATTGTGCTCCTTTATCGAAAGGTCCTGCATTGGACGCGCTGGTGGAGAAGTCTGCCTTTGTGTACCAATCTCAGACGTGATCGCTGGTGGTGGACTACTTGGTCCTATCGAAGTGCTCATCGTTGTTTTTAGTTGAGATACGCGTCTTCGCGTCACTTAGAAGAAGATAAAAATATTAAATAAAAAGAATTTAAAACATTATATTAAAGTCCATTAACTGGTAGATTAGAGTATTATATCATTACTTCTTTGGGTTGATGGTGCTACGACGTTGTACTGTACGTTCGCGCTATGGGCATGATTAGTATTATTCTTAGCTGAAACTAAAACTCACATCTAAGATAGCTTTACCGTTCTTGAGCTTTTCTACACGTTCCATACGTTCGTCAACGAGTGCGTCGATCTCGGCTTTGTGTTGCTTCTTCAACTCGAGTTCTTTGTGCATTTGCTCACGTTGACGCTCAGCTGCTTCATGGTCACTTTTCAGACGCTCAAGCTTCTTAGCGATGTCGTGGTGGTTCTTGATCGCCTTCTCCAATCGGCTATTCGCTTGTGTGATAGATTTATCAGCTTTTGCGCTCATTTTGTGGGCCTTTTCAGCATCCTTGAGTGCGTTCTTGAGTGCAGACGCGTCATTCTTAGCCTCTGATTCTAAGATTTTCGCGATTTGTTTCGCGTCTTTTCCTTCATTCATGAGAATAGTTCTGCGGTCTTCATTTTGCAATTGTGCGTCAGCATTTTGGAGACGCTCTGGATGATCATTTGAGACTCTATCAGCGCCTCTACCGGTTGGTGAAGGTGCCGTCTCGGCTTGTTCGCCATTGACTGCTCTATCGGCAGCATTTTGTGGCTTAGCCTCGGTCGGAGTATTTTGTATAGATGCAGGTGATTGTGCGACAGGTTCAGCTGCTGTTGTTGGCTCTGCATTCTTTGTGGCGCTGGATGATGTATCGACCTTTGGGGGAACTTGCTCAGAAGTTTGCGCAGGGGCAACTTTCTCGGCAATTTCTTGCGGTTGATTAGCTGGCTGGGTTGTCTCTGACATTGTCTTGAATTTTTCCGGTATTTATTCTTCGTAGTCTGAATTCAAGCGCGGGCGGACGTGCACAGAACGTTGGAGCTAGAACTCGTAATGGCACTCTGACATATTCTAGACATTGAATAGATACAATATTCTCACAAAAAGATACATTATGAAATAGCTTTGTAACAATAAGATGAATGCCGTATATTAATTAGGTTGATTGTTCAGTCTGTATAGGAATATTGGATGCAAGATATTATGTTGTTCTCTTCATTATTGCTGATAAATTGTCCCGAAATAAAGTTGAAACGAAGAGAATTGGAACTAGCTTTGTTTGTACGATGATGTAAAAGCCATATCAACTGGATTACTATCTCCTGAATAGCTTGGTGTTGGTAATGGCGAATCCGAATGTGATCTCTCGCTCGCGTTCAGTTGATGCTCCACTACTAACTTCTTATCATATGGCCGCGCATAGATGTACTGTTCAGGGCTCCCACCGAGCGAGCTATTTGAAGATTCTCCTAAGGGATCCGAACTTGATGAGTCTGAAGGTGCATGATGTCCTCCATAACTATTAATATACGAACTGTCGTTGTTCGTGTAAACATTGTACGAGGACTCAGACATAGTATGAGCTGGTACAAATGTCGATGCTTGCTTTTCTAGCGTAGACCTGGTATCCTTCGGTGACGATGATAACCTGAGATCTACGTTTGAGTCTTTCTCATTATCGAACTTGTATGGCGTGCTAAGGTGAGAGCTTTGGCTGGTTGTGGATGCCGGCATATTGTTGCTCGATGCTGCTGCTGCTGCAGTTGGCTTGTTATACATCATCGTGCTTCCCAAAACGGTGCTGGCACCCATAACAAATCCGGGTGTTATTGGGAAATCAAAGAGAACAACTGAGGCAACCGAAGAGATGACAATAGAGATCGAAGTAGCGAATCCTTTTAAAATCTGAATGTGTTGTTAGACAGCTTTTTTGGGGTACTCGCTTACTTACGTTATCAGAATACTTGATTACAAGTGCGGTAACCAAACCACCGAGAACCTGAGTAAGGACAGTGGCATATGCCCATCCACTAAAGTTGCGTACGAGATTTAAGCGCTCAAAGATACTTAAACCCTCAGCGGCTTTTCCGAACATGACTGGTAGGAGTGCCGGTGGGAAACTGAATAAAGATAATTGGACGTTTCTGACCCACAGGTCGACGTTTGATCCTTTCAAAACCAGTTCGAAGTATACGCCGGCCAATCCTGATGTTAAACAGGCCATGGCTACGGCCAAAAATCCTGTTAAGGGGTTGCCTGCGTGTACACCGCCTTGAGATGATGAAGTAGTGGTAGACTGAACTTGTACGATTCCAACTCCAATTGCGAGAAAAACGAGTGAGAGCCATTTTGACTTGCTAAGTTTTCTTCCTAATAAGAGAACGGAAAAGAGAGCAGTCGTAAGGATCTTCATCTGATAAGCTACCTAAGAAAGCTTATGAGCAATTAATTTGATGAAGCAGTAACTACTTACCTGGAAAGTTGCTACTTCCAAGTTACTAGCTGCGACAAAGGCCAGATTGTTCTGTATGACATAAAGTATCGCAGGTATACTCAACTTCCAGCTATCAGCGCTAAATATTTGACCAGCAAGAATCTTAGCCTTTAGTTTGCTCTCTGAAGGGCGTGTATCATCCTTCAGACTGAGTGAAATGCGTCTCTTGTAACTGTTCGGCGTTTTGACAGGCAGATTGCCGAGGAAGCTTTTTCTCTTCTTAGGGAAGAGAGGGCTGAGGTGATCTTCTCTATTAACATTTAATGTATGATCGTCTGTACGTTTGTAAGCTGTGTAGAGCGATATCGTGGCCTTGAGTATTTCAGTCAAAAGTACGGCAGAGGCTGGATTGTAAGCGTGATCCGGGTTTGATACGCGTGAATAACGCATTAGAATTGATAGCGTAGCGTTCTGCAATGCCAATGTGATCAAACTGAGATATTTGAGTGGGATACCATAAAGAGTCTGTTCAGCGACGGGCATAGTATCTGTGTTTAAATTCAACGCGGGCGCCCGCTTGGATAGGCTGGATTTCCTATTCACGACTGAAGACATTGTCTTTTATAAGCTCTTGGTAGGAAGTAAGAGGCAAGGTACAATGAAAATCGACTAAGAGAATTAATTAAATATCTATAAAATACTGCTAAGATTACAAAAATCGTGCGTTAGTCGAACCAGTAGCCCTGTTGTCTGCCTGGCTCTTGTCTTCTTCTATTCGCTCCCAGAGTGCCCGATTTTTGCTGGTTTCCGGGGGTGCGCAGAGAAGGCTGCTGAGATTCATAGCACCCCTCCCAGTTGGCTTTATGTCCTCTGGGAGCCTCTCTATTGGCGAAGGCGGTACTTTTTCAGATTTCGGTATCATCTGATTGGAGGACCTGGCAAGCGGCTGTGTGGTAACCTGTCTCGCGATGGTCTTACTCTTAAAGTAGTTCGTTGTGCGTCTGATCTTCGCCCCGCTGTCAAAACTCGTTTCCACAAACGTTAACGGCTCATTCTCGTTGTTGCTGGTCAGCCTACGCTTTTCGTTCTGACGCTTGTTCTGATACCAAACTTGTACATTCCGGGATGACCTGTTGAACGTCAGTGATCTACTCCCTTAAGGGTACATTTCACTTACATGCCAACCCTTTCGGCAATCTCAGCCCTCTTGGAGGCGCTCGGAAGTGGGTTTTTAACGTACTCCTCTTCAAGCACTTGTAGCTCATACGGTGTTGTCCTCCTTCTTCTTTTCTTAGATTCTGATCCTCGAAAATTTTCGAAATCCATGATTTACTTTCGTGTTGGTTTTCAAGACGTGAATGTAAATAAAAACCCTTTTGGAGTTTCCTCCTATGTCTTAATTAATTTTACTTGCCATTTTGAGCATATTTGATGGTCATTTACCGAATCCGGTACTTCTAAGATTACGCAGCTTGTGGGCTTACCCTTTTTGGAAGGCGTTAATCCTGGATTCACTTTTAACCACTATAGTACCTCAGTCTATATTTGTAAACTGACCGTGACCGAATCAGGGTATTTTCTGATGTTTTTTATAGTGGGTTTTTATACACATACGTCAAATTTTACACGATACCCGTTAGTTCCACACCCTCTAAGATCACTTGTAGAATTGATGGCGTAATTGTACGATTAGAGTATTAGATAGATAATTTTTTAAATGGTTTCTGTCATACAATGCAGTTTTGTTTCTCTAAGAGTCACGTCTGTCTTGATGTGATATGCCGTAATAGACTGCAAAGTAAAAATAGACTGCTTGGTGTTAATAATTACCAGAATATCACCGTTGTTATTTATACTGAATTGGATATTGTTGATTTTGCTAATGATGACATACGAAGGTAAATTGTAACTAAAAATGGTTAGCTTGTAGCCGAGCAGCTTTAAATATTCGGTTATTGTATGAACTTTTCCTTCAAATGGAGTCTACTAGGTAATCAAGTAGTTATTTATATGAGTTGGCGAGTTACAATACTCGCTCCCATTACTTTCTTCTGTAAAATACAATGTCAAAGGATATAAGGTATCGTTTTGATATTGATAGACGTTAGTTGCGCGATTTGTTTTATCCATCTTGAATAGTAACTAAGTTGTGTCGAATATCTGTCGCGTGATGAATGCATATGAGAGTAATAAGACACTATTCCTCTTGAGAATACCCTTAAGGCTATAACTGCGCCCGATTTAATGAATTGATAAAGTAACAATTATCTTCTACAACATATACCCTACATGGGTCATGGGAAGGTAACCTGTCATCCTTCACTTTACAGGCTGAGCCCTTCTTACTTTCAGCTTGACTTATACGCTAAAATTATGGATCTTAAGTGAAAGTTATAATTTAGATTGTATTGCTAGTGCAGATATGTTCCTCGTAGTTTAGTGAGAATTATGAAGACAAGTATAGTGGTCTACTGAGTGATTTGTGTAGGCTTCCTTTGATTAGATTGTACCATTCGGGTAGCTCTTTTGAGAATAAGGATCTAACTGATCTATTGTAAGGAAACTAGTAACCAGTAGATACTCCCATGAGGATGTGGTACTTCTAAAACACTAGTTGAGGAGTATTACATTTACTATGTTTCATAAGCACTTGTGCATATAGCGCTGTGCGCTGAGACTGAATTCCAAATTACCCCACCGGAAGTCCTGGTTATGAAATGACAGCTGCAGTAGTCTAGTATCCAGCTATTACAGAAGTAATAAACAGAAGTTTATAAGCTTGGGTACTACTTAATGGTGACCAGCCTACTTTAATTATTTACGCCGTCAGCATATATTTGTATTCCTTTAGTCTAAAATTAACAGAGCACATGGAAATAAGGCAAAGGAAAAACACAACTGTCTCGCATAAAACATTAGGCTACTTAAATTTTACATTGATTGTAAATTATATTGTCATGATCTTCACTGTCCTGAGACAAATTGAAACAGGTGTATTCACTAATGTCAATCAGATGTTCCGTACCCAAAACTGTTACCTGATCTTTCCTATAAAGTCATGACTATATACTGCACACTAGTTGTCTATATTTAGTCGGATACCTGTCCTATCTCGTCATTGCCCACCTGGCTTATGACATTCCTAGGCGTCTAACTGCCAGCATAACCCATTGCACGGTGGTAAAATAGAGACAATCTATCAACATTGTCATCGAATAGATGTCTTTTAGCAGGTGTATGATCATTAATCGATTATACACCATTGAACAATGAAACATCTCTAGCATCCTCTATACCGTAGTCATGTCAGACAAATGACATCTGTACCCTTGTCATAATTGTAAATCTCCATGCTAACGATTGTATTCTCCGTAGAGTGAAGCGCCCCAACTGGCAAATCCAACTACCGTTTGGACTGTTGCTATCATACATTCTTGGGAAGACTGTCCATTCCTAAAACACGTTGACCAAATCGCCAAAAAACCACTAGCAAATAACGCAACTGCTAAAATTTCTATCATCTGTGAGAATCTAATATTGTGGACTCCATTATTGGTCCAAATTGCATGAATAAATAGCGCTATGAATGCTATGATGGCTTGGGATATTGAAATATACATTTGCCGATTTTTCTTATTTAATGGCTTCGTGTAAATGATAAAAGGGCATAACGGAGACATATATTTATTAATAGTCAGGTACCTCGGCATATTAATAGCAGAATAATGAGGACATTGAAAACTATGAGATACCATGCTGTCAAAGAATGATAGTTGATATACGTGTTACATTTAGAAGGTAACAACAACCCGCCACTATGGGACAAGCTATTCGGCTTGACCAACCATGACAAATTTTAGTTATGAGATTATTTGTCTGAAGGAGTTAAAGTAAACGGGTTATTGTTTGGCATAAGTAATCTGGATAAAAGAGATGTATTAGCATAGAATAGCATAAGTAACAGGACTGAATCGTAAGGACGTGTGCCAAGTGAATGCATATATCACATATGAATAAAACAAAAGAAGAATGAAGAAAAGATTTCAATTGTTAAGACGATACTGTTGGTCTGTGAATATCAAACACGCTTTATTATTGGTTGAAAGAGTATTAAATATAACGTGATCTAAAGCAGATGGTGTTTTGGTACAAGATATGATTTCTTATATAGTTTTCATTGTTGCCCGAGTATCTATGCGTTATTGCCTGTCCCATTTTGTCCCTAGTTATTAAATGATGCTGTATGTCCAGCTCTTATCTGTATTCTGACACTCATCCTGCTGTGTATACTGAGATTCATTTACTGTTGATATCCTGTCTATTGTATTATTATTGGATTTTTTGACGCCCATTCCCTTACATAATGACCGTAATTGATTTCTGTTTTGTGCTTTGGTGAATATATCTGCCAATCGATCATAAGTACGGATTCCCTTTACTTCTATTTCCTTTCGTTCGTGTCTTTCTTTACTTGCGTGGTATTGTACTCTTACATGTTTAAGTCCAGTGATAGATCCAGGATTGATAATGTTTATCAGAGAGGCATTGTTGTCGGTTTTGATTGGTATTGGAGATTTTAGTTTTCTTCCGAGGTGTTCCATAACGTTTCTAAGTCAAATGGCGATATCAAAGCCTTGTTTGATTGTCATATATTCTGCTTCACCTGTGCTTGTTGCTACACATTTTTGTCTTTTGCTGGTCCATGCTATTGCTCCTCCTGAATATGTATATACGCAGCCGGTAGTTGATCTTTCTGTATCCCAGCATCCGGCGTAGTCTGCGTCTACATGACCTTTGATGTTCTTTTGTAGTATTACACCTTCAAAGTATCCGTTTAGTGGTTTCATTTGTTTCTTAAACTCTATCTTACTGTCTATGGTGTTCTTGAGGTAGCCGTATATTTGTCTTACAGCATTCCAGTGTTTGATGCCAGGATTTTGGGTGTATCCTCCACACATGCTGGTTGCGAAGGTTATATCTGGTCTTGAAGCTTGTACTATCCAATTTAGGTTTCCTATTGTTTGTGCATATGGTTTAGATTTCATTTCGTCTCTTTGGTCTTCCGTGTTAGGGGAGTCTTCATTGGATAGTGTGAGATTGGTGCTCATTGGAATGGTTTTCCTTTTTATGTTTTGTAAATTTAGGTCCTCTATGGCTTTGGCGATGTGTCCTGACTGGTCTAATGTAGCGATACCCATGTCTTGGTTGTAGTCTATTTTCATGCCAAGTATGTGGTTGATTTTTCCCAGGTCTTTCATTTAGGATTCATCTTCTAGCTTTGTTTTGATTTTGTTAGCTGTAGTGGTGGTCTTTGTGAGTATGAGTAAGTCGTCTACGTATACGCTGATGATTGCGTCCAGTTCTTCTAGGTGGTATAAACATGGTTCGAAGTATGACGATTTGAAACCCATTTGTTGTAATGCTTTGTTTAATACTTCATACCAGATTCGTCCGCTTCTTAGGCCGTAAAGTGCTTTGTTTAGTTTACATAGTTTCTTGTTTTTCTCGTTTTCGTATGTGATTTTTTTTTAAATTTAAAGTTAAATTTAGTCCACCTCGAAACCTTAGTAACACTGATTTCTGAAGTTTGGTATAATAATTAATAATGGTTAATTATTATTATCTATGTTATGTAGTGGTATTTTTACCTTTAGTGGCTTTGATGATTTTCCTACCCAGGTTTATGAAGCAGCCAGAAGACAACCCGAACAAAGTATAGTGCTTCGAACAGCAAGATCTCCGGTTATAACATTGACGACGGACGTCTTCGTAGTAGAGGAGCTTTGATCAATTAGGGACAGGGAAATGCTGTTGTTTTAGTCGCTTGGACAGGTGCAGTTTATACGGGAGTTTCAACTATGTGTAATTCGGCAGCCTTCATATGGGCTCCGCATGTATGTGTAGCATCTGTTGTTGGAGGACTATTCGCTGTAGGCCTTGCTGGGTTTTTACTAGAAGGAAAGGGAGGAGTTAACATTGTTTGGCACCACCCTCCACTAAGGATGGACATCCTTACGAAACCTGGTCTGCGAATTGGGAGGCACTGTTACCATGTACATTCGAGGGACCTTTACACGTTGCTGGTGTACATTCTGATTTTGGTATGATGGAAGTGCCTTATGGAAGAAGGGGTGTATCGTCATATGTTACATGCTGTACACAAGCATTATCCGGATAACAGAAGAAGTGACGATATCACACAGAATGATGTTCACATGTCATATGTGGCGTGATGAACAAGAGATAGCTTACAATAATTTGGATAAAAATGAAGCTGACTTAAACCAAGCCGCTAATGATTTTGGCTACAAGTGGGAGTACGATCACCCGGATAATGACAAGGCTTGTTTTGCTTTTGGAGCTAATCTCTTTGAAAGACTTAATAATGGACGCATAGTAGGAGGCAATTTAGCTGTACACCCTCAGCCCGGTCAGCTCCAGGTGTATGAAGATGAGTGTGATCAACACCTTAATAATCCTAGTGAAGACATGGGTTTACTACCTATACATTAAGGAAGTAGGTCTATAGATGGAGCTGATAACTTGTTGGTTTGTGGTTCTATAAAATAATGGTGTCTATATCTGATTGTTATTTTAATACGATATTTTGGTCTCATATATTTTTCACTGTCTCACTTATGGTGTTCCTTTATTACGGGATGTTTATGATTAATAAGCTACGTCCGTGCTATAACGCTTGTGCTTGATAATTATTGGTTTGTAAATATTAAACACGCTTATTATTGGTTGTGTAAATATGTTACGATCATTTAGGTTATAGTTTTTGTACAAGATGGTCTTCTTATATAGTCTTTACTGTCCTCATGTTCCTTGTCGTCCTCTTGATCTTACTGCGTCGCAGTGCTCCTCTTGTGCTTGATGTAACTTCTTGTTCCTTCTGTCCCTAGTTGTTAAATGATGCTGTATGTTCAGCCCTGTATCGTTATTCTGACAGGACCTAAGCCTTCACCGCCACCCCAGGGGCAGCGGCTTAGGGGAAAGGGTCTCGGTAAAATTTTCATGTCAAATTTTGAAAACTTTGGTTAAAATCATGCACAAACAGACAACTAACAGGTCATCCGGGTAGCCCAGTGGGTTATCAAGTGAAGAATTTCACATGCTATGTTGAGGTCCCAGGTTCGATTCCTGGTAGATGCACACGCATCTGTAGCTCAGCGGTAGTAGCGCAACACTAGTATGAGATGATCTTTTTGCACTTTTTGCGTCTTGTGATCACACCCGCAGGCTAGTTTTTGTAGTCGAGTGCATTTCTTACTGGTCCATTTTCGCGACTATGTATTTATCGGTGGCAAACCACCTTCTGTTACCAAGCTTAGGTATGGATCTACCTCTTGATGACCATTATTTTACAATAGTCATCGTATGTCTTTCCGTCGCCCTACCATCTCTAGCAGTGCGCTCAGAAGCGTTGTGACGCTACTTTCGTGCATGAACAATTATTGATGCGGCTTGTCGAGCATCCGTGTTTAGAACCACCCATCTTTGCACTCTCAAGGATAAGCTAACCGAGGAGCTTTATTACACTTCAACTATCGTAACGTAAAACAAAACAAAACAATGTCTAGATAATCTGCTAGCTTAAAATGTTACTGTGCGTCTCCAGCCTACCGACTGATGGTGCAATGATAATACTCATATGTCATATTAACAATGTGGCTTACCCTTGAGCTAAAGCCCTCTTTAAGTGTATTTTTGTTGTATTTTTGATAATTGCCGAACATTCAGCTTCAATTATTGGTCAGTGGCATAGAATCAGAAACATGGCTATAACAGGAAGAACAAATCAGCCAATGATTTCATATATAAATGCCAATGTTTTCTCGCTTGAGATCACAATAATGATTAAGAAATATAATCATCTGTTCTGAGTAACGGTAGTTATTGCAGTTGAAATGTACTGGCTTTATTTCAGACAGTAAGAGAAATGTGTCAATACCAGAAGAGAAATCTGAATCCTCTGGATACGATGCAATTCCACATCGTAAAAATGTATACGGCTACATCACACGCATGCTGGCAGTCTTCTGTGATGATGGCGATGATGAAATCGAGATACATCGTCTAAAAATTACAAAGTTTGGATACTTCCATCGAGATAACCTATAGTGTGAGGTTTTTAATTTAGTACTGTGCTAGCTGGAAGCGTTTCTCGACAGATGTTGTAAAATACTTGATGATTCGCGGCAACTCGCTTATTTTCGGCAGCGTATAACCACAAGAGTATTTTCATAAGTGTCTAAAAGTCCCCCGAAATGAAATTTTATGCTAAATTACCGACTATTTTGGTTATAAAGGTTTTAAGCAAACGTATTTGCAGATGTGAGTATAGTATAGAGGTTAGTATAGCTCGTTGTGGTTTCCGCAATTCCGAGCAGACGCAGGTTCGATTCCTGCTACTCACATTTTTTTGGTGGTATTTCTTTTGTGAATTATCTGAGCACCTTGAAACAAAGGTTTTCCTTTTACATAATAAATTTCTAGATCAAATAAGAAACGATGCAGTAAGCATCGAAAATTTTACGACTTGGTTATGAAATGCTTCCAATTAAGTCATAAAAAATCAAATAGAAATCTTCATATTATAGAAATTTATGGAAATAACTAAGTCTTTACTTCTCCAAAAGTTATATCAGATTACAAGCCCGCTCAAAGTGGGTGCATCATGCAATATTGACGTGCACAAGATTGGATCGCATAACTGATAAATTGATTTTTAATCGCAATATAAACTTGTCGGCAGGTTCTCCAAAAATGAGCAGATTTCTCTTTTTTTTTTTTTAAAAAAAAAAAGTAGAAACCCCTTTAACAAGACATTTTCTGCGCATTCATACGACATCGGGTGTTGTTAGATTTAAGGAGAGATATTTTAAGATTCAGAGTTTTAAATGGACTACAACACTAAGACTGCTTTCATAATAGTAATCCTGGCATATCTCGTTTACATTCTGAACCCTGCCACTTTAGTTATGGGAGGAGTCACTATATGTGACTATGTAGCTAAATATATGCACAGTAAAACAGATAATAGTGATTGTATGCCCGAATATAAGCAGACAGGCCCAGGTTCCTTTTTTTATTATAAACCTCATGGCAATTGCGACACTATAGCATCAGTACAGCAAATTAGGAATTCGCTTCAATTTGCCATCCGAAGTATCCCTGATCGAGCTCCCATCAATGGTGTTACATGTTTAAGATTAGACAAACGTGGTATATTCTGGGGGTATGCTGTTACACGTAGTATAGATAGTGGTTTAGATACTAGCGTCGCAGCCTGTAATAATGGCGATGAGACTGTCGCAAGAAAAACTGCTTTTGTCAAGAACAAGCTGTGAGTTCTAGAGCTCCTATGAACTTGTGGCCCCTTGAGCAGAAGACAGAGAACATTGATGACAATGAGAACTATATAAGAAATACTACGTTTTGAAAGAGACTGTCGGGAAACATAATCATTTTTTCGGAGAACTAAACTAACAGAGGATACGGGTTCGGCGTAATCGCGAGTAAACGGAGGACTACGAATTATCAAGATACCTTACGACACTAAATAAAAAGCACTTCTACTTAATTGTGGGATTCACTCAATCCTTACCATATAGGAGCATTGATGGACGCAGTCAAACTTAGTGTTTCAGACAGTATATCTCAATTTCATCAATATCATTATGGGTCTGAAGAAAAAGCAATCGACTAAGCAATATTAAATAGTCAAATGCGGCGCCAACTGTGAGATGACTATGGTGCACAAAACTCAGAAAACACTGCTACGCGAAAAATAATAGTAAAGACAAAGAATAATGCAACAATGGAAGTATATATGAGATACGATATGTATAAATAACAACTATCAAGGAAATCTTCATACTTTCATAATTGTAATAAGAAAATAAATGATTAGAAGTGTTGTTTGAGTTGGAACATGGGCTCAAGAAACGAAATAGCTTCCAGATGCATGTAAATACACTAATAGGTATGTCAAAGCTGGTAAAACACAATAAAACATTTTCCTGTATATTATAAACATACAAATAATCAAACATAGCTCAATTTAAGACATCCCCGTCTTTGGAATTCGGAAGTAAAACTACTGGAATGAATATGCACCTGCAAAGAAGGCAGCTAAAAGATGAGAGAAACTATGAGAGGGCTGGTATAGCTGTGACTATACGTCAATAATATGTGATATATACATACTTGCCAGCTATTTCTGGCTATTTCTGATTCGTCTCAGAAATGAGACAGGAGCGTTCGTTCGTAGTAGTTTGAAGTTGAGTGTATATCATCTCTCCAAGTAAATGGGGTACTTAAAAATAGCATATACTCTAATATCTTCGAATAATAAAGCTGTGTGCTGTCGCCGATGGTGTTTGTTTGTCAGTTTGAGACAACTACTAGCATCGCAGAATCGCAAGAATAAAAAATAACAACAACACAAATGCATGACAATACAGCAGATATTTCCAATGAGACATTCTGTTTGCTCACCATAGTTGAGATTACGTAGCCCGTATTTGTGACAGTGTAGTATACTATAACACACAGTGAGTCAATAAGAAAGTAAAGCTACAAAAAGCTTGAGAAAATATATGAGATTGTCACTCTCACCTCTCTCACTAAGAAACCATGACGGGGGGTGACTTGGACGATGTGCAGAAGCCAGAGATAAGAGGTCCATTCTACGATACAACGACGCCACGCGAGAGGGAGCCACATTTTGACACTCCAGGCGAGGATTTGAAGGCGAAGAAGGAATGGATGGATGACAAACTCGAGAAAAGGCTGAAGGGAGAGTATGAGAGTATGGGCAGGCGTCTACAGGAAATAGTGCGTCAAATATATACCACGATGTACACCACCTGACGTTCTCCAGGTCGAAGATAGCAGGGATGCACCCGCGAGGCTCTCCGCTATCCGTATAGACGGATCGACGCTCAGGTCAAGTTTCCTAGCGTCTATATTTAAACAGCATCTCGATGAAGACCCTGCAAGAACATTCACCGATGTTTTACGCAAGAGTCGGGATGTACATGCTAACTTGGCGGCCTTTGATTTGTTTTCTGCGATGGAGGCCAAATTAGAACCCGCACAGAGTCTGTTGGCTAGGCAGGGTGACGTTGATCTTGCACTCAAGGTCATAGAACGCGGCAGACTCTGGGCGAAGTCAAGCACCGATGTTGGTAACGGTGAGGGTAGCGCAAATATCAGCGTGCGTCTGAGGAACGTATTCGGTGGTGCGGAAAGTCTAGAGGCGCAGGCGAGTTATGGTACCAGGACGACTTCTGCATTCAACATCTCCTACTCTTCGCCAATACCCGAGTTTATAATGACGCCAAGCCCGACAACGAGGCTCACAGCACAAATATTCCAGGCGGATCGCGATCACTCAGCTTATGCAGGTGTCAAGGAGTTCCTATTTGGCGCAAGGGGGAGCATTAATGTGAGTGACATAATAAGATGCGCTTCTTTGTCTCACGAATCCAGTCATTGAAGAGCTACGGTGCTCATGAAGTTACCTACGAAGCGGTATCGCGGACGCTGGGTGCTTTACAACCAAACGCCTCTCTCAGTCTGCGCGAAGCCGCAGGCTCATCAATCAAGTCGTCGGTTGCCCATACATTTACACACGACAGTCGTGACGATGTGCATATGTCCACCCAAGGTGGCTACTTTAACACACTTCTCGAGTATGCTGGTCTCGGCGGTACAGTTAATTTCCTCAAGGCGCAGCTCCAAACATCGGTGTCGCGCCCAATTGATACCAAATTGCAAAACTACATTTCATTGACATTTAGAACGGGTGCACTCTTGCCATTAGGAGGGTCGATGAGTGAAGAGTATGCCTATGCGAAGCTCTTCAGCGATAGGTTCAGACTTGGTGGACCAACATCGGTGAGAATGTTTGGGATGAATCGCCTAGGACCGCGCGACCAGGAAGACCACATTGGCGGTGATCTATACTATAGTGGAGGGTTGTCCCTCACTACGCCATTCCCAACTAAGCCACACTGGAATCTGAAATGCCAGGCATTCCTCAACGCCGGACAGCTCGTGTCACTCAAGAATAGGGATGTTACAAACGCTCTTATGCACCCGTCTCTTAGTGCCGGTCTTGGTTTCGTCTATCGCTTCAATCCGATTAGGGTAGAGTTGAACTTTGGTGTACCCCTACTAGCGTCCGTTACGGATGTGGGGACAAGCAGACCGTTCCAGCTGGGCGTTGGATTGGAATTTTTGTAGATATAAATGTGCATTGCATTGTTAAGTTGTGACGTCGATCATGATACGCGGGTTTGTAACGAGTGCACGGCGGCTGATGGGGGAGGTGGACAAGAGAAGGCTGTATGTCCGGAGGATACCAGTGAGTGAGCGTTGTGCGGTGATGTCTTTCTAAGAAATGCCAGAAAGTGCTCACAGAGGAGTACCTCAGGAAATACTTCTCACAGTTTGGCGAGCTAAAGAGTATATACGTACAGAATAGAGTACCGACTTGGTCGAATAGCAAGTACGCCTTTGTTTGCTATGGCTATGCAGAAGATGCAGCCGAAGCGAAGGAGAAGGCGACTAGGATAGGAACTAGCAATCTGAATGTGGAATATGGCAGAGAGGATAGCGGGAGGAATGATATAGCGCCCTCCAATAGCCTTATAATACGGAATATCAATTCGCATCACACGACAAAAGCGGTCAGGGCTAGCCTGGAGAAGTATGGCAAGGTGGTTTATATGACGGCCCTACGTAGGCCAGTATACGGGGTGCGTGATAGTGTCTCCTGCACGTAAGACTAACAACGAATAGAATATGCGCTATTGTCAGGTTTGCTATCAGCGGCTGAGGGACGCAAAGAAAGCACACACAGCTATACGGAGCGGGAAGTTCTACAAGGGGGCGATAGTCGACTACGACAGTGAGGAGTATATCGCCAGCAAAATAGAAGCTCGCGGGCTGTCCTCAAGAAACTACCGAGCGGCGAAGGAGAGGGAAAGTAATAGATTCTCTAACAAATAGTTTATTCGTCCTGTGATTTCTGCTGAGAGAGCACCTTCATTCTACGCATCATATCGTCGTACTGGCATCTGTAGTATGTTAGCTGAGCTATTTAGTAGATAATGTGATGTACTTTTCGTAGCCGTGTCTGTAGAGTGTATGTTAGTCTAAAGCTAAGCTGATAGCAGCCTACGCACCTTTCGTCGGTACAAGCCCAAGGAGCGTACAAATTCTTGTGTCTGCAGACGTTGAGCGGTATGAGGAGACTGAGCGTCTGTTGGTATGTGTACTATCGACCTGCGCTCGCTACTCACCCGCTACACTGGTCTCTCCAGTTCAGAGGCACTCTGTTCTTCATACACTCCTCCTTTGATGCTACTGTGCTATTTTAGAGTTAGTGAATAATAAAGGGCGAGTAAAGCAACCCACTCTGCCATTTTTTAATTCACGCCTGAGATAGTATCTCCAAACGGCGTAAAGATACTCTCTCAGAAATACAGCCAAGTCAAAAATCTTAATAAAACGCGTGGAGTTTATAATATGTCTGCGCCACCGATATATAAGGTATTGCGCTTCGTTTATCCCTCTATAGCCCCTCTAACGCGTCAGACAGGCCTGCTACTCAGGCGTACCCGTATATGAGTTCAATTGCAAGAACGTAGCAGTCATGAAGCGGCGGTCTGATTCTTGGATGAACGCTACCCAAATACTCAAAGTTGCCAACTTCGACAAACCCCAGCGTACACGTATTCTCGAGAGGGAAGTACAGAAAGGCACCCACGAGAAGGTACAAGGTGGCTACGGCAAATATCAAGGTCTGTCCCGCTGCTAAACTGCTATTACCTTATTCATACCTCTACAGGTACCTGGATACCTATGGAGAGATCAGTCGAATTGGCCCGACAATATCGTATTGAATTGCTCCTAGATCCTATCATAAACTACCTCCCAGGCCCACAATCCCCTCCGCTTGCTCCAAAACACGCGACTAACGTCGGTTCACGCGCACGCAAGTCAACAGCACCAGCAGCTCAAACCCTTCCTTCTACTAGCAAGGTATTCCATCCTCTAAGTTCCACGAAGCATCCAGCGAAATTGGCTGCAGCCACGAATGCTAAGGCTGAGATTTCGGACGGTGAAGATGCCAGCATTCCATCCTCACCTTCCTTTAAATCGAATAGCTCGAGAACGCCCTCCCCTATTAGGATCAATGCACGCAAAAGGAAGCTTGAGGATGAAGCTACCATCCCTTCATCCGCCATCGATGGTTCAATAAGCTACGAGGACATTATTTTGGATTATTTCATTAGCGAGTCAACCCAAATTCCAGCATTATTAATACATCCTCCATCAGATTTCAACCCAAATATGTCTATCGATGATGAGGGCCACACCGCTATGCATTGGGCTTGCGCCATGGGCAAAGTTAGAGTCGTCAAGTTATTATTAAGTGCTGGTGCTGACATCTTCCGCGTTAATCACTCCGAGCAAACGGCTTTAATGAGAAGTGTAATGTTTAGCAATAATTATGATATACGCAAATTCCCACAACTCTACGAGCTTCTTCATAGATCCACACTCAACCTCGACAAACATGATAGGACCGTCCTTCACCATATTGTTGACCTCGCATTGACAAAATCCAAAACACATGCTGCAAGATATTATATGGAGTGTGTATTATCGAAACTCGCCAACTATCCTGATGAACTAGCGGATGTAATTAATTTCCAAGATGATGAGGGCGAATCTGCACTCACATTGGCTGCTAGAGCACGCTCGAAGAGATTGGTCAAGTTGCTTCTTGAGCATGGCGCTGACTCGAAGCTTCCTAACAAAGATGGTAAAACTGCAGAGGATTATATACTAGAAGATGAGAGGTTTAGACAATCACCTTTGTTAAACTCAAACCACCTTAGACTGCATCCACCAGACACTTCCATTTATGCACCACCTGCACATCTTTTCAATAGTGAAACGAGTCAAAATATCGCCAACACTTCGATGTCAAGTGTAGCGAACCTCTTGGAGAGCTTGGCTCAGTCATATGACAAGGAGATCACCCAGAAGGAGCGCGATTATCAACAAGCACAAGTTATTTTGAGAAATATCAAAACAGACATTGTCGAAGCGAAAAGCAATATCGAGAAGATGACGATCGATAGCAGCGAATTTGAGCATCTTAAACACAAGTTGAGAGAATTGGAAATGAAACTCGAAGAACACTCAAATGATGTATACAATAAAGGTTGGGAGGAGTACAGCAGGAATGTAGATGATCCAGCTATAGATGCCCCATCTGACAACGTTCAAGAGGAATGTGCTAGCCTTCGCAATAAGATCAAGGATTTACAAGAAAAGCGGATTTCATCTATGCAAGAACTCATTAAACGACAAAAAGAGGTCGGTACTGGTAAAAAGATGTCAGAGTATCGCAAATTAATCAGCGTCGGCTGTGGTATACCAACAACGGAGATTGATGCCGTTCTTGAGATGCTCTTGGAGAGCTTAGAAAGTGAAAATGCGAACAAGAAGGCTGCACTGGCGAGCGGAATTTCTGGTGCTCTTAGTAGCACATCGAGTGCACCAAGTCAAGCTACAACTTCGGCACCTACCGGGGTAGCCACGCCAGGTGCGCCTGTGCCAGCATCATCAGAAAAAGCAGGACTGTTACCACCAGCACCGGTAATGCAATAATATAACTAATTTAAATATGTATAATTGTACAATTTCTAACTATTTCTTCTTTTGTACGACTTCGAATCCATCATCGTCGATAATTTTCTCTGGTTTTGGCTGCTTTGGTTGGGCCGGTTGGGCTGGTTGAGTGTCTTGCATGTGTTCATCCTCGCCATCGCTCTCATCACTGTAATAAGGAATTTCCTCATCCTCACCGCGAGTGAAACCTGAAACCTTCTTGTTCTTCTCTTTCTCGTATTTTCCATATAACTCATTACTGTAGGACATATCACCTACAACAGCTTCTGCCCAGGCTTTGCGTAATTGTCCAGCGATATCTCTCGGGCTGCCATCCTCAAGATGTGCACCAAACTCATCGAAGAAAGCCTGACTGAGTATTTCCTCGGTGTCTATATAATCTAATCCACCTATACTACCATTTTGATTGTTTGGTGGACGCTCCTCGTACATATCAACTACTACACCAATCAACCAGATCCTTTTAGCTTCAGATTCTGGACCACCCCAGCTCTCAGCAACAGCCATTTTGAGTGCATGCCATAAATGTAGTATACTTATCGTCGAGCGTGCAAATATTCTCGTGTAGTCTGTCGGATCTGCAAAATTGTACATGACGTGCGAAAACGACGATGGTTGGGCTCTCTGCGATAGCAAAAAGGAAATTAGAGAGAACTAGGAGTGCGGAAGCGACGACGAGTAGTATACAGGATGATGTTGACGCAGAGGATATAGCGATAAATGCCTTCTTTGTTGATTCTGCTATAGTAGAAGAGCAGCAGGATATTGAGAGTAGAAGCGATACACCAAGGAAAACTAGAAAAAAATCTAAAGCTACATCCTCTACGACTAAACTTGGTGATAAAAGTGGTAGTGATTCCACTGAGGATGTCACACAGAGACGGAAACGCAAGCAGAAAGCCCAGCATTATGACTACAATTGCGTTTCTAACTTTGGTACCTCAGAGAGTACGACTTTGTTTGACAGTGAATCTATATATCTCGGTTTCGACAATCACGCTAGTCTCATCTTGGCCGGCAAGTTTCGACTTCAGGTTTTGAAAGGCTCACTTGATATATTTGGGACTACAATAAATGCATCAGAGGTCGTACATAGCGTTTATGCACCTACTTGCTATCCACTCCCGACGCTTTCTGCTGGTACTGACAATCCTACCACCCTTGAGGGCGTTCCACCTGCACTGGCACACAACAATGCTGTCGTTAGACTCTCAGAACTCAAGGATGGCTTGGAGACACTCGGTAATGCTCTCCCAGATTTCAAGAACACATTTGAGGCACCATACGAAGGTAGCTACGAAGGCTGGAACGCCGTCAAGGGTCTCTATCCGGTGAGTCGGGTTTATACAGGAATCACCGTATGTTTACAACCTTCCCAGATTCTAGAATCGACATCAAACGTCTACGCTTACCTTCTCCCACCATCCTGGACCAGTGCTGCCAATATTGCTCGCGAGAATTCATTCCGTTCGGCTGAGCCTTATATAGCTATAGTGAAAGGATGGAAGAACACAGGCAAGAGTGCTTTCTCGAGGTTACTATCTAATACACTCAAAAATTCCCACAAGAAGGTAGCATACCTCGAGTGCGACATTGGTCAGTCGGAATTCATGCCATCTGGCTGTGTTTCTCTGCACCTTCTGGATGAATATTTGCTAGGTGAGTTGATGTAGTTTGTATATAACACAACATCTGACATAATATCAGGCCCTGCATTTACTCACCCGCGTATACCCGCAAAAGCGCACTTTATTGGTGATGTGTCACCCGTAAATGACCCATCTAACTATGTAGATGCGATCAAGGACCTTATCGAGCATTATCATAGTCATATTGCTCATTCACTCAGCGAAGATGGCGATTATACCCCGATTCCGCTTGTTATCAACACACAAGGATGGATAAAAGGACTTGGAGCAGAATTGCTTGAGGGTATACTCGCAGCTGCAGGCACGTACAACCTTGTGGAGATGTCAGCATTCGTCGAACAACCATCTGAAGAAGATAACGAGCGTAAAGATGATGAGTCGACTATCAAGATAGATGCAATTGCAACAGCTGAGAATCCCATGTTGAACAGATACCATTCAGCTGACTATAGAAACCTGATGATGTCGACCTATTTCCATTCCAAGATCCAAGAGAATAATCTTAGTTGGGATTTCAGCTTGCCGTTGACGCATATGGTTCCACTCTGCGTTGACTACTGTGATGATCTGTCGTATGTTTCTATCATCGATGGCGAAGATGTCGCTCTGAAACACACATTAATGGCGTTGAATGCCACCGTTGTCGCACTCGTCGAAGGCGGCGAGAATGTAGATAACAATGGGGAGCTACTTCGACGAGATGATCTGACAACTTTCAAACAATCAAGGGTTTTGGGATATGGTCTCATACGTGCAATCGACAGTAATGCCAATCAATTACAAATATTAACACCACTAGATGTCACATTATGTCGCCGCGTGAACGTCCTAATGAAAGGTAAGGTCGATTTGCCAGTATGCAGCCTTATCGACTGGACCGACCGCGATATCGACTACGCGAATGTCCCCTACATCACAAATGAAGTCGCGGTGGGTGAGGGTGCTCAAAAGCGCAAAGTGCGAAAGGATATACAACGGAAAGCTGCTAATAACTAATAATACATGCATGAACTTAATACTTATAACGTGTCGAGTAGTCTTTAGGCGATACAACTAGACCACGTCCTTTAGAGGCGCCCCTGTAGACTGTCTCTATTATGTCTATCATTTCTTGCTTACTATCCATCGGCCAATTTATCTTGTTATTGTTACCGGTTCCAAGATCGATCATAATGTGTTTGTTTCTGTAGAAGAACATGACTGTTACATCGTCGTAGAGTTCATACATCTGTGAATGTTTAGAGTATAATCTTATAAGGGTTTGCTACCCACTTTATTAAAATCCGGTACGAGTGTGTTATCGCAGAGGTAAATCACACCAAAGTTTGCAACTCTCTCAGAAATATTATAGAGTGTCTCGTCCATGACCATACAATCAGGGTTTGAGTCCTTACCGAAGCGTATGACGACCACTCTGTCGTCTTCTGATAGTATCGCTTGATCGACGTGCCAGCCTGGTCTAAAGTGAGTGTCTGTCTAGTTTATAGAGGCTATTTTACTTACCAGTTGGTAGATGCGGCAGAAAATAGGACATTTTTTAGTTAAACCTTCGTCGTCGCGATTCAAGATGTTTGGCTTCTCACTTTCTTACTATCAGGAGCGTATAATGGCAGCACCACGGAATACAGCCGCTGCTAACAAGAGAATAAGGAAGCGTAAGCGCAGGACGCAGTTGGATGATAGCAGCAGCAGTAGTAGTAGTAGCGAGAGCAGTTCTTCAGAAGAGAGCGGAAACGAGGAAGAGAAGGAAGAGAAGGGAGAGAAAGTCGAAAAGCTTGCATTGGAGAAGTCATCATCTGATAGCGACAGCGATAGCGATAGTAGTGACAGTTCGAGCAGCTCAGATAGCAGCTCAGGAAGCAGCAGTGCACCATCAATTAGAGTTAAAGGAAAGAAGAAGACCCAGCATAGCGTTACACAACAACAGCAAAGACAGTCACTCTCCCCTCAGCCTTCTACCGCTAACGACGCTTTCATTCCTACATCAATTTTCAACGATAGCGGTGCATCGCTATCACTCGATGGCGATAAAAAGACTGAGAACCCAATTAGAACAGCTTTCAGATCTCACTGGATGGCTACCATAGCTGATAGCTTCTCGGGAGACCTCGAGAAATTGAGCACAGAACCACACATGAATGGTGATAAATTGAAGTTGCTTATTGGTGCATTAAGTACAAATAACACCGCTATACAGGATGATGAGGTCGATTTAGTCCTCTCGGAGACAAAGAATAGAGATCAAGATCAAGATGTAAAAATGGAAGAGTAAATTAATTATAATGCATTGTTCTTATTTTATTACAAATATTGTCTCAGGTGTAAAGACTAAGTTACTTCCATCTTGTTACTACCTTCTGCAAATACACTACTTGGAGGCGACAGTCTGTCTCCATTTCTGCTGCTTATCCATTCGAGAATATCGTCGTAATGTTTCTCAACTAATACCCAACTGCTTGATTCTGTACTGGCGAGTACCTTACCAAAACTCTTAAATGGTTTTCCATTTTCAACGTGATCATGAACAGATGGAATTATAACCAGTGTCTTAGACTCATACCAGTCTTTCATTATCTTTAGCACACGCGGTACATCCAACATACCAGGTATGTAGATACTCGCATGCACCCGTTTCTCCACAGTTGACCTTCGCATTTCGAAAAACTTCGTAATTGCCGCACAGGCACTACCAAAACCAACGAAGACTACCTTCAAATTAGGTTTAGAGAGATCAATGAAGTTGTCCCAAAGCCACACCAGGAGGTCCTTAACTGGGTCTATTTGGGTACGGAGTAGTCTCGTTTGACGAGATTGGTTCGCGAAATTGTGGAAAATGTTTACATCTATCACACCCCATTTCTTAGATTCGGCCATATCAAGTATCCGTTCAGTCGTATCAACAAGGAATGACTTATCAAGCTTGATTTCACCATTATTCTTGCTTTCAAAGAGAAGATTACCAAAGTCGTGGACATTCACGAGTAGAGTATCCACGCTGTATAGATCACTCGTAGCCATAACTTGGTTCTCGAACCTCCGTTTGATCTCTTCATCAGTGATATCCAAGCTGAACATGTTATACTTTTCGTATAAGAGTTGTTCGCGGTATTTCGATAATACTTCGTAGATAGATGTGACATTTTCTGATGATGGCTGCAAACTGCTGTTGACATTTGACTTTGGTGATACTGATTTCCAGTATTTCGACTGAACCATACAGACATCATGGAGTGTTTCCATTGCGGTCGTCTTCGCAACACTATTGAATGGGGCCTGTGGTGGTATTTCACCAAGGAGTGTTTGAGTGGTTGATGTTGCTGATGTTGCGATTGAGTCAAGGTTGTAACCTCCCTGAATGCTTTTAATGGGTGAAATGAATAGGTTATGAAACTCACCTCCAAAGCTACGACCATTTTCCCGCCCGCTAAGCTACTCAACTGGTGTGTCATCTGCGCATATCCAAGCGGTGTTATCAAATTTTCACCAAGGGGGTCATTTATAGCGGCATCATATCCCGCGGAAACTATAAAGGTTATTTGGTAATCCTGCAATTAATGATACCCACTTATGACCAAGTCTGGTGCGAATTCTTGCGATATTGGCATAACTACTTGGTTGAATGCTTGGAGATATTCAGGGTCACCCATGCCCGCATGAGGCCAAGGGATATTGACAGAACTGAATGATAGTTAGCTAAGTAGGTTAAACAGCAGCACACCTACAATCCTTCGCCAGCACCACTACCAGTCATATTCATACCACCGAAATCACTTCCAGGATAGAATGTCCCATTTTCATAACGATGGAGAGATATGTAAAGCACGCTAGGATCATCGTAGAATGCGCGTTGTGTGCCATTACCTGTGCTCTTGTTAATGGTAATCAGGGTGAGCAGCTGAGTACAGACCATGATGTACATCCCTGGTTGAGGCGTTAAAAGAGGCTAAAGATAAAGAGAAACCCACCAATCGAGAATAAGTACCCGCTTTACAGAATTTGGATAGTTCTTCTGTGCCCAACGAGCTGCTATACTGGCGTTGTTGAAGAAAGAGAAACCCATCATTTGCTCTGGCTCAGCATGGTGACCTGGTGGTCTCACGATGGCGAAACCATTACGAATGCGTTCATCACAGACGGCTTTTGTAAGTTCGAGCAAGCTACCAGCTGATAAGAGGGCTGCGTAGGTTGTCATAGGGTTGACGTAGATGGACATGCGCTCGTGCAACGGAATCAAAGCGCGCAGTTCGACTTCCGGGATAAAGGCCAGCATGTTAACTCTATCCCAGTGCTCTGGCGAGTGTACGAGAGTGACCTCTGCTCTAGTGACGTTTCGTGAATTGATTTTGAGCATTCGCTTGATACATTGTGAGTTGTTCAAAGATTCGTAAATAGACGTTATTCTCGCTGGCTGCTCTGGATGGTCGTCTTCGTCGAATGGAGCATGTCTCGTCATTTCGTAGTCGTATACGTATCCAGAACGGACGAGGCCGGAGAACGGCATCCGTATGAGCTCTGAGGGTGGCTCTAATAGCCCCGCGTGGCTCTCGCTGGGTGGATGGCGGTAGTACTTCCTGACGGTCGTCGTTACGGTCTCATAAAGCGGCGCAGGCTGATTGTTAGGAGATGTCGCTGTAGGGAGTGAATAGAGATTTTTTATTTTATAGCGCTCTCACTATCTTCTACCATCTCGGCCATCTCTTCAACCTCAACCTCGAAGATGGACTTGAACGAATTCAAGTCGACGATGCTGAAAGAAGACGAGGAAATATTTGAAGGCGAGTTCGAGGACGACGACGAGGACGAGCTCTCGTCACAGATGTCCATCCCAGAGGACAATATCGACTACAGCCTCGTCTACGCATTGCACACTTTCTTAGCAACCGTAGAGGGCCAAGCGAGCGTCGTCCGCGGAGACAGCCTGGTGCTTCTCGACGACAGCAACGCTTACTGGTGGCTGATCAGAGTTCTCAAAACCCAGGAATTGGGCTACATACCCGCAGAGAATATTGAAACGCCAGACGAGCGTCTTGCCAGGCTGAACAAGCACAGGAATATCGACGTACGTCTCTTCCCCTGGTTTCTTTTTTTGTCTAGACTAACTCCCCCAAGATCACATCTGCAAATCATTCCGATCTATCACATCAGCCTCCCTCTTCAGACACACACGCGCCGCTGAAGATCAAGAAGCAGAAGAACAACGACGGTAAGGCGAGCCGCAACGTCGCATTCACCGCTCCATCCTACAGAGAACTCGTTTTATACCCAGAAGAAATCGCCCAGGCTGAGCAGGAGGCAGCACAGAGGGCTTTGGAAGAACAGGACAGCTACGACGAGGAGAGCGATTCAGGCTCTGAATTGAGCTCACATGATGCTTCACTCTCTTCTCAGTCACATTCTGAGTCCTCTCACGGTCACCTCGTCGATGAACAACATCCAGCTGACAGCGAGAGCGATATCATCGCTCCCGCAGCTGCAGCTATCAACAGTAGCGATCCACCCGTTGATGCCTCCCAGAGACACAGTTATGGCTCTTCAGCTGATACCCACTCCTCAGAGAGCCTTGTACAATACATGCCAGAAGTCAAGAAGCACGAAGATAACACAACTACCAATTCAGGAATTGATAAAGATGCTCAAAATTCTACTGATATCAATGAAATTGCCTCAAAGACCGCTGATGAAACAGTACCAATACCTGATCAAACAGTAGAATCAGCACAGCCAGCACAAGCAACGCAACCAGCGCAAGCAGCCCAACCAGATATTGAGGGTTCCACTCAAGCTCCTTATAAGCCCCTCCAAGCTGATATTCGCCCTCTTTCCTTCAACTCTACTACGTCATCTGTTTACAGTTCAAATAGCAACAAGAATATTACTATACAACCTCCTCAATTGATTCAATCACAACCATCGGATTCATCACATACACAATCTACGCCTAACGTTAGCGTACAGAATGAACACAATGATGACGATCAGAATACTACCTACCTTACAACTAACGCTTCACCTTTGTTAGACCCTGCAACTTCACCGACCAGGAAAGTTACTATCACGCCGGACGTGGCTCAAAGTCCTGATCCTAACTTATTAATGAACGGTTTATCTTCACCTACGCAACAAATAGCACAAAATTACAATCACAAGACATCTTTCGATGATTTGATGACAATGGACAGTCAGTCATCTGAAGGTGGTGGCTCACAGAAAACTTCAATTTGGAAGAGCTCACCTTTGATGTCCGACCGTGGTAAAGATAAGAAACAATCGAAGGAGGATAAGAAGAAAGCCAAAAAGTTGCAGAAAGAAAGGTCATCACAAAGTCTCAATGAAATGGCCTCAAATGATTCAATTAAGAAGAAGGGCGGTGTATTCGGTAATCTTTTCAAGAAGAAAGAGAAGAAGTCTGTTGATTCAACTGGTGATGGCGTTGATAGTATCAAATCATCAGATAGCTTCGCCGGTAGTGATAACCTCAGTGATAGTTTACACAAATCTTCCAGCCAAGATCACCTCAACGGTAGAACTAGCGTTGAATCTAGAAATATTTCATCACCTATGGCCGTCAGACACTCACCGAATACTTTCACGCCACTTGCTCCTATCAGTCATCCATCACCTTCTATACGACCAAGGAATGAGTCACTTGCTAACTCTTCCTCACTCAATGATATGAAACGTAAGTTTAGGAGTGATATATTATTTATCTAACACATATATCAGCATCAACTTCAAATAACTCCCTTACGGTATCTCCAAATGCAAGCAAAGGGTTGGAGACTCCTAGTCCTGCACTCTCACAGCAATCCTGGACAAGTCCAAATAATAGCTTGAACGCTAGACCAGGGTCCTTGCTTGGTGTGAAACATCTAAACGTCTTGAGAATGTTCGCAGCTCCATCCCTCAAAGCCGAGGCTACATTCAAGACTGTCTTGCTTAATGGATCGACGACTGCTAATGAGCTCGTTAAGCAGGCAATGCAGAGATTTAGACTCTCAGCTAGTGAAGAAGAAAGTGACTACTTTATCACCATCAAGGAGCAAGACAGCGGAAATGAAACTGTTATAGAACCAAGTCAAAAGCCATTAGCGTTGTTTGAGATTACGAATCATGCCTTGGCTAGCAAACATCTCAGTGCACCAAATAGTGATCTTCCAAAGGTTAAGAGAAGCTCAGTTGGTAGTATAAGTAGTATAAGTAGCAATTTGTCAGCTTTACCTGCTATTTCGAAGCTTGGATTGGGAGATTATAGTGATGATAGTGCCGTCAAGATGTACATACACTGTCGCAAAACTTCATCAGTAGATTTACATGATAACGATGTCGATGGTGATGCTGAGGACGTCTATGCTGGTTATATGAATGATCCGAGTGTATCATCACCAATATTTGATGACTTCGAGGCATCTAAAGAAGATCAAGTGAATCATGAGATCAATGCAAGAAACAATGCATCCCTCTCCGCAAAAAAGAAGAGGGAAAGCCATATCCTTTCACAATTGCATCTTGAGAGTGATAAAATCAATTTGAGTGTTTTGATTAATGGTAAAGATGCGCCTGAAGGTGTAACGCTTGATAAGAGTATGAAGAGTACAAACGGATTTTACGAGAATAGATTGACTATACCAACCAATTCAACCGTTGCTGAAGTCATCGAGCAAGCTCTCAGTGGATTCGGAATTTACGAGGGAGTTGTCGATGGTGGAGATGATGTTGACTTGCGCGTAGATGGAAGAAAGAGCGCTGTCAAATACCGCTTGGCTGTTAAGCCACTCAATAAGAAAACAGTCGATGCTCGTAAGTGTTGATGTAACTAATTCGATTATACTAACAAATCACAGATTCCAGCCTTAATCCTAACAGCAGGGTTATTGATGCTAACAAGGAGAATATCCAGCTTTATTCAGGTAGTGAAGCTTCAGAGAGCCAGGCTCAGCGACTCAGTTATAGAGGTCATCCAGATAACGAATTACAATTTACCTTGATTAAAGCTGACAAATTGAGTCATCAGAATGAGGGTGCGAATATGGTCAAAGCTGCTGTAGATGACAGCACAGATGCCCCTTCATTGGCTGAAATCATTGCTCGTCAGAGATCTGAAAAGCAGCGCAGTAAAGGTGCCATTAGTCCTATTCCATATGATGTTGCGGATGCTGATCGCGGTATTGAATCAACTGATCAACATGAGCAACACGAGAAAATTGATGATACTGTTCAAACACCACGAGCAGAGTATGCAAATCAGGTCTTTTCACCTGCACCGTCATCTTCCTCACACTCACAATCAACCCCTCAGCAAACGGAAGAAACACCAATACAAGCACCACGTTCATTGGATGACCACGAGAGTAGCGTGCATAGTGAACACACAGTTGGTGAAGAAGGTGCTGTTTCTCATAAACGTTCAACTTCGAATACATCCGAGCAAGTTGAAGAACTCGCAGATGAGAAGGAAACGAAGGGATTAGGATTGAGAGATAGTGACAGTATGGAGAATTATCAAATTGGAGATTTCATGCATTCTCCGAATACGACAGCGACAAATAGCGTAGCTGATAGGTCAAGTCAGGCATCTTCGATGATGACAAGTTCGACAAACGATCGTATCACTTCTGGTGAAGGATTTGACGATCTCATTGAAAGAATCTGGCAGAGAGAGAATCAAGATGATTCGAATGGCTCCGATGATAAAGGACATCACAAAGATTTGATTAGAAGCCATAGCTCATTTAGTCTGAGAACTGCTCATACAGATATATCATCGTCTACGATTTCTACAATGAATGGTCAAGAATTTGCCGATGCTAGATCTACTCCGTTGTCCAGGCGTAGTATGTCCAATAGCAGTTTCAGCGATGATGACGAGAAAGCTATTCGTGATTTACAATCTGCTCCTGTTAACCTTGAAGGTACGAATAGCTCAACCGATTCTCACGAGACAAACAATAAAAACAAATCAAACGAGACGAGTACCTCAAAGGAAATAAAGATGAATGACAGCAGAAGAAGCGTTGATAGTAGCGATAACAGAAGCAGCATAGCAAAGAATAATATGACCTTCGGAGAGACTACAAAGGAGAAGCCAGAAAGCGGCGCACCAGTACAAACGAACAGAGGAAGCGTTGACAGCAGCGACAGTAGAAGCAGCATTGCAAAGAATAGCATCATGAGCATTGGCGAGAGTACAAAGGAAAGCGCAAAAACCATACCACCAACACAGGTTAACAGAAGGAGCGTTGATAGCAGCGACAGTAGAAGCAGCATTTCAAAGAATAACATCATGAGCACTGGCGAGAGTACGAAGGAAAATACAGAAAGCATACCACCAGTACAGATGAACAGGGGAAGCGTCGATAGTAGCGATAGCAGAAGCAGCATTTCAAAGAGTAACATCTTGAACCTCGGAGAGAATGCAAAGGAAAACACGGAGACCGTACCACAAATACAGATGAGAAGACAGTCAGCGTCGACGACATCCTCAAATAGTGAATCTGGTAGACGTTCAAACACGCCTTCTACAATAGCGACAACGAATCCAACTCCACCGTCCATTCTCTTCCATGGCAATAATGCTATCACGAATGGGGCAGCATCCACTGATGAAAGTCACGAGAATACCTACGAGAATATGAGAACTGTAGCAAGCTCAGCTAGTTCACGTTCATCGATTTCTACCCCAAATCAGTCAACTCCAGCAACAGGCGGTGCAGTTAATACAACGAATAGATTGACTCACGTTGAGAATATGGTACAAAGTATTAATATCAAGCATCTGCTTACTTTGTCTCAACATGCTAGACGACAACAAGCTCCAAAGACGCCAAGGAAGGGCGACTACGTCGACCAAACGTGGTTTGCGAAATCTAATCATGATCCTATCTATGATAGTGTTAGAAATGATTTAGATGGAATTGAAGGTGTAAGTCATATAAGACATTATGGTAAACAATCACTAATATATCATTATAGGAACTTGATAGACTCCTCCAACAGACCTTAGCCATGTGAACATCTGAACGTAAATTGTAATGTTCCCGAAAGAACCATAGAAAGTGTAACAACTGTAGAATGATTATCTTGATGTATATAAATTTATTAATTTACTATCCATTTAGTTTAAAAAAATTTGAAAAGTCGAGTTCATTCGTTGTAATCACACAGGGGAGGGAAATGAATAGGCTGTGCTACATTTTAATATGCTACAATAAAAAAATAAGTAATCACTTTTGCTGTTTAAAAATGATTTTATTTTCCATCCCGCTTACGTTTCTTTGTTTGAAGGCGCTCGTAATCGCACGACGAAGCGTGTTCCGAGGAGAAATGCATAAATTCCAGTCTCACGTGTTTTTGCCTTAACAGTAAACCATCATGTCAGTATCAAACGTACAAAAGCAACGTCGCAGTTCAATAGACCCGTCATTGTTGCAGCCAATGGTGAGTTTCTTTATTATTTAGAGATAATTTGCTCATCGTATTTTAGCACAGGTGAGTCTATAGCGAGCAACATCTCAGACAGCTAAACATGCTCAGCTTCGAGTCCCTCCCTGGACCGAAGTTTAACCTTTTGTTCATTGGTTCCGGCAATATCAACTTTGGTACGGATGAGGGTCCATGGAATCACTCAAAGAGAGCTGAAATGAAGTGGGGTACACGTTTAAACGTTGTTGGTATCGTCGATCCAAACAGCGCCAGAGCAGACCTCGAATTGGGCAAGAAGAGAGCAAGCTTTGTTGCACCAGCCTACTCTGATACCAAGTGGTTCCCTAACGTTGATGCAGCAAAGGAAGGCCTTACCGCCGATGAGCAACCACATGCTATCATCGTTGGTGCACCACCACAATTCAGAGGTGGTTTGGCACCTCCAGCAAACTTAGAGTTGGCTTTATTAGAGGCTTTCCCAGAAACAGCACTTTTCCTCGAGAAGCCAGTCACCACAGGTGACGCAGAGGATGCTAAGGAAGTCGGTAAAAGAATCGCAGCAAAAGGCAACGTCGTCTCAGTTGGCTACATGTTGCGTTACTCACGTGCTGTACAAACCATGATCAAGATAATTGAGGAGAAGGATCTCACTGTCATGTGCACTTCTGCAAGGTGAGACAGATGTTTTTATTTTTTCACTTTTAACATCGCGTAGATATATCTGTGCGTATGAGAAGATCGCAAAGGAAGACTGGTGGGATAAGGCACGTTCATGTGGTCCAATCGTCGAACAAGCCACTCACTTCTGTGACTTGTCGAGATATTTCGGTGGTGACGTTGCTTTAGACTCCGTACAAGCTCACTCTGTAGAGTGGAATGAGGAACCAGGAAAGCTCTCAAAGATGCCAATCGAGGAGAGCAAGATTCCAGCTGAACAGCGTATCCCAAGATTCACGACTTCCAGTTGGAAATACTCAAATGGTGCGGTAGGAAGTCTTGTCCATGGTGTTGCACTCCAAGACACTGACTACTACACTGAGTTGACGGTCTTCGCAGATGGATACCAATTGAGATTGGTCGACCCATACAACAACCCAACACTTTACATCAGAGCCCCAGGTAGTGATGCCGAGGTTATGCAAACATTTGCAAATGATGATCCATTCTTCTCTGAGCTCAGCAACTTTGGTGACTTGATTGAACGTGATAGTGAACACAACAAGGAAAAGCCACTTAACACCACCGTTTTGTCTAGTTATGAGGATGCTGTTCAAACATACCAATTATCCTGGGCTATTCGTCTTTCAAGTGAGAAGGGAAGAAAGTTCCCAGTTCAGTAGATCTTCTTTATATTTTATAGATTTTACGTCGCAACATGTAGTACACGTGCAAAATTGGTTCCATGCATTTCACTAATTTTCATCTTTTTTTTTCTCTTGTTTAAAACCACGAGGAGGATGAGTGTGGGTGTAAGAATAAGGAATATAGCCTTCAGCGCTGCTAGTATTGGGTTGATACTCTACGGTGATAAGCAATTAACGCTTATCGGAATAGAAGACTGGCTAGCTCAGCAGAATGTCGGAAGGTCACAATTCTTGACGATTGTAGCTGGTGTATATGGATCTATGTTAGCCCATTTGTCTATAATAGTTGATCAATTCTTTGGTACTCAAAGTGAGAGCTACTCAGCGCGTATGACTAGTCTGATGGTTTTGTAGCGACCGGTAGAATAGCTCGGTCATTGACGTTACTTGCATTACCGGCGAATATAACAATAACGTTGATTTACTGGCCACTATACCTCTTCCTGAGCCATCTTATTAGTTCGAATACAGAAGTAAAGCTGCCGTTACTAACGGATTTACTGATACACTTCATACCGGGTGTCAGTTTGCTGATATACACGATCTGTATTGAGGACTCACGACGGGTGCATCTATTCGGAAAGGATTTGGCCAAGTTTATAACAATGGCTTTGGTCTATATCAGCTGGGTCGAGTACAAGGCATTTGTAAACGCAGACAAATTGCTACGCTACCCATACCCATTCTTGAATATCGTCGGAAATACGGAGAGGATATCTATATATTTTCTCGCTACAGCTATCAGCTGGCTTATATTTGTATCGCTCAATCGATGGGCTTCTTAGATTATGACGTTCACTTTTAATTTATTGAGAAACATTCCGAGAGCGAGCCAAGTGGGTAGAGTTCAGCTCAGAGGTGCTACTAGTCAATTCGCTGCATTCAGAGGTTTAGCTAGTCCGTATACCCGCTTCTCCCGATACAAGCTCACAATTCACAGCTAAACGCTTCACCAAGCAGCATGAGTATGTTATATACGATGACGAAACCAACATTGGTACTATCGGTATTACAAACCACGCACAGGAGAGCCTCGGTGATGTCGTCTTTGTTGAGTTGCCAGCTCCAGGGAGCGTAGTCAAGCAGGGCGGTAGGTGTCTCATATCTAGAGTCTCTATATACTTATAGTGGCGCCCGTAGAACAAATTGGTGCTGTTGAAAGTGTAAAAGCTGCCTCAGATATCTACGCACCACTCGCTGGTCACGTCGAAGCCGTCAACGACGAACTGAGTGAGCAGCCAAATCTACTCAACAAGTCTCCAGAGGAAGATGGTAGGTGTCTCTTCATCTCACTCTCCTTCTAACAACTCCAGGATGGCTCTGTAAAGTTAGAGTAACCGCTCCTGAACAGTTCAACGAATTGCTCAACGAGGAGACATACACTTCTTTGTTCGCTGCTGAGGAATAAAAAATAATTCTTTTTACTTTCTTCCCTTCTCTCGTTTGCCTTATCTCGTCTGCCTTACCTCATCTCTCTGATTAGAACATCCATGAGCGCTGCACGATATCTCAAGAGATTAGAGAGAGATAAACCAGGCGCTGGACAGGCAGCAGCGCAGGCGAGCTCTAATGAAAATTTCTGCCTCGTTGGTACTCCCTTGCCCAGTTTAGTAGATAGCAAGAAAGATAAGAATGAATATCAGCCAATTTGGCAGCAAGAAGTGCTTGACGAACAGGGTAGACGTAGATTTCATGGTGCATTCACTGGTGGTTTCTCAGCAGGTTATTTCAACACCGTTGGCAGCAAAGAAGGCTGGACACCCTCTACTTGGCAGTCGAGCAGGTCTGGAAACACTGGAAAAAGGGCCAGACCAGAAGATTTCATGGATGAAGAAGATTTAGAGGCTCTCAAGGAAGCCAGAGTGTTAGAGACACGTCCAGATTATGATCTTCTGGCTGGTAGCGCATCAGATAACAAGCGACAGCGTGTTGACGATAATGATACGTTTTCAAACATTTTCAGACCGGCGAAGTCTGGTATTGGTACACTTCTCATGCGTAAAATGGGCTGGAGGGACGGTCAAGGTGTAGGTCCACGTATTAGCATTCATAAAGCTAAAGAGCAAAACCCAAATTTGAATGTCTTGGAAGAACACGGCGAGAAGCACACATTTGCACCACAGGATTCTTCTTTGATGATCCCACCCCGTCAGATCGGATCTCAAGGGCTGGGATATGCCTACACAGTCCATTCTCTCAGATCATCTGATCAAGGCGGGACAGAAAAACAGACAAAAGGTGATATATCTCATGGTTTCGGCTTGGGTATTGAAGATGCAGACGAGGATGACATTGATATTTACGGTGGTCCTTCGCTTAACATAGAAAGAGGGCAGAAGCTGAACCAGTTGGCATACGATGATAGTAAAGATTATAACGGAAGTGCAACAAGGCAGTTGGAAAAGCAACCACCACCTCGCAATTTGGTAGGAGTTGAATTTTTCAAAGACGGCAAGCCACTTTTAAAGGGCTTCGTATTACAGAAAAATAATCAAATAAGTGAGACTTGGTAAGTTATTATACATACTAGAAACTTGTGCTTATTACATATCTAGGTTTGACCAACCAGAGGTTCCCAAGAACTGGAAACCAGACCCAATGAGAGTGTTGAAAGTAAAGATAAACACTCAAGAAGATGCTGAAGGCACATCCAAACCGATCCCTCGGGATGCAAATGATGTATGTATTCTATTGTTCTAAGCACTTCAGACTAATCAAACAAACCATCAGCGCGCACGTATTTTGGGAGAAGAAGTACCCAAAAAGTCTGTTTTTGACTACGTCTCCGCTCAAGATAAGCAGCGACTAGAAAAGGAGCAGTCAGACTTTGAAGATGAGCAGGAGATCCGAATACCACCGATAGATAAAGCCACAGCTAGCAACGCTTTACGAGCAAGCATACCATTTCCAGAAGGTGATCCAAAGAGGGCCCGCTATACCGCCTATTTGCATTCTCAATCAGATCCTCAGAAGTACCCACCAGATGTAGTGAATTTACCAGACGATACTCAAACAAAAACGCAATTCAATATAGAGCTAGTAGAGTTCCAAAAAACTGCTAGTCTTTTTAAACCGATGACGGCCGCAATGGCTGGTAGGTTTACAACAGGATCGCGAACAAATGTGGGTACTACTGAGACACCGTCCTTTGAGCCTGGATTGCGTCCTGGTGTTACACCAAAAGCAAAGGAACCATCACCACCACCAAAACCAGTCGAAGAAGTTCGAGCAGAGCGTGATGCAGAAAGACAACGGAATGAAACTCCTCTCCAAAAAGCAGTACGTGAGGGTAACTTGGGTATAAAGACAGGTACACATACTTTCACATCGTGGAAACCTTCAAAGTTGCTTTGTAGAAGGTTTCAGGTACCGCCTCCGGCGATTACGCTTGAGAGTGATGATAGCGAAGCAGGATTTCAATTCGGAAAACAAACAGGTGGAGAAGCACCCCAGCATAAGCCATCTGCATGGGCAGCTGCGGGACTTGAAGACGTTTCATTACCGGAACCACCCAACGTTTTGGAGTTGGAAAGACACGCCGCAGCTAAAGATCGGAATCCAGGACTAAAGCAAGTGGGTCTAGGCGAGGATGAGAAGGCGATGGAAATGATAGCCAAACAGACGCGACCGCCAATGGATATTTTTAAGGCAATTTTTAATGAAAGTGATGATGAAGATGAAGAACGCGAGAAACCGGGAAGAGAGAAGAAAGCGGTGACGGAAAAGACAAGCGAGAAGAAGAAGAAGAAAGACGCGAAGAAACGTAACAACCTTCGAAGTAAACTGACGTTTGATGATGGCGAATCGGAAGAAATCCAAACGAGTGAAAAGCCAAAGAGGCGTTTAGCTGTAGATTTTATGTAAAAGAAGTTTTATTAAAAAGAATAATTGTTTGTATTTTTTACTTAGAAATCGACGTGCTCGCTACTTGAAGCTCGAACATCACCATCAATTAATGTCAAAGGAGAGGCGTTCAGACGCTTTTCAGAATATTTTTGGTAGGCCATCAGCCAGCCACCACCAGCAGGGATATATGCCCCACCAGCGCTATTACCAGCAGGCGGCCCAGCAACAGCAGCAGCAGCAGTACTATCAGCAGTATTATTACCAGCAGTACGGCTATGACTACGATCAATACTACCGCTCACAGTCTGCAATGGGTTACAATCAGCAGCAGCCATACTATAACCCCAGCGCTTACAACTACGGGAATGATGAACAGCTTCCGACGTCTGGATCAACGAATAGTCAATACTCTAGCAGCTCAGCCTATGCTCTACCACAGTCATCTAGTTCTCAAAGCTATTTGGGAAATTATCAGGGGATTCCTCGCGTACCAACCGCTCCACCTGATCGTCTGATGGAGGTAGAAGAAGAGACTCAAGCTCTACCACCGCCAGCCTATTCTCAAGGTTTGTCCTTTCCCTCTCTTTACTATTTTCCCTAACTTTCATACAGCGACGCACGAGAATTATGTTCCAAGAGTATCTCAAACGCCTACTCCAGTGGCCTATAATAGGCCTTCACAAACTCCGTTGAGCATCCCACAGTCGTACAATTACTCTCAACAACGTAGTGTCAGTGGTGGTCCAGCAACGACGATCGCGACACAGGCACCTCCATCTGTGATAACAGAACCAACACGCAGTGATACACTCAACACGCCATCAGTTACACCTGCGCAGCGCGCAAACTCTTTTCCATCAGCTGCACAAACTGGAGCTAGTCCTACCTTCCCTAAAATAACTGCGAGATCAGGTAGCAAAAACAGAAGAGAGGCTATTATTGCTCCGCGTAGGAGCGCACTTAATAAAATCTATCCTGCACTTCTATCACGCGTAGCCGAAGCTTTTAAATCTCAATTACCGCTTTCTGAAAAAGTGAAGGATGATTTGACCTACACGGAGGCATTCGATGGTTCACAAGCTGTTGACTTGTTATGTCAAATTATACGCACAACTGATCGTAACATCGCCTTACTCCTTGGTAGAAGTTTAGACGCACAGAAATTCTTCCATGATGTACACTGGGAACATAGATTGAGAGACAGTGATAAAGAGATTTATCGCTTCAAGGAAAGAATTCCATCACCTATTTTCGCAGATGGTGAAAATGCTCCTGTAGATATCGACGATGATGATGATTTGGATGATAGCGAATCACCTAAAGGATCAAACAATCTTGCTCCAGCTAAAGTAGCTATACCTTCACGTTCTGCTTCAATGCCTTCCAGATTTAAGAATAAGAAATCATCAGTTGATAGGAAGGATAAGTTAGCTACTTCTAATAAACAACCAAGATCATCTGCACCAATTGACTTCACCTACAATGAAGCAGATGGTAGTGAAGTTAAGGATTCATCTAGTTCAACATCTATTAATGAATTACCTACCGGTGTTTTCACTCTTCTTACTGCTTGTTATTCACCAACTTGCACAAAGGACAGACTTTGTTATAGTATAACATGTCCACGTCGAATTGAGCAACAACATCGTATGGCAAATCGTGGCACTATTAAAAACTCAGAAGGATCCCTCAAGCGCTCGACGACTAAGAAGGTTGCCAAGAACGTCTTAACTAGAGAAAGTATTGGTGAAGAACCAGTAATTGAAGAGACTATAACTGAAGGTCTTAATGAACTCAACGTTGGTGTTGGAGAAGAAGCCAGTGATGGTGTCGTCAAAGCTGAATTAGGAAGTAGCTCTAATATAGCCAGTGATAGAGCATCTGGACAGCTATGGGTGGAATCAGTTCCAAAGGAAGTCGTAGAATCTTGCTCTAGTGATGAAATCAAGAGACAAGAAGCTATCAACGAGGTTATATACACAGAGCAAGATTTCGTTCGTGACTTGGAGTATCTCCGCGATGTATGTCACGTGTGTTCCGCTTTCGATTATATACTAACAATAACACCAGTTCTGGATGGAGCCATTGAGCTCTGGAAATATAATACCTGAAGACCGTCGCATGGCGTTCTTGCAACAGGTTTTCTGGAATGTTTTAGAAATTCATGCGTCAAATGTACAGCTGCGTGATGCGCTAGCAAGAAGACAAAAAAGTAAACTTATAGTTGACCGTATTGGTGATGTTCTTCTTCCATTCGCTCAGAGCTTTGGTCCATTCGTCAATTATGGTTCACATCAATTATATGGAAAATACGAATTTGAGAAAGAAAAATCCTCAAATGCTGAGTTTGCCAAATTTGTGACGGAAGTTGAACGCAAAAAGGAGTCTAGAAAGCTGGAGTTGAATGGATACCTAACTAAACCTACTACAAGACTGGCTAGATATCCCCTCCTTCTTGATGTAGTGTTGAAATACACGCCGGATGACCATCCTGATAAGAAGGATATCCCAATAGTCGTTGATAGCATTCGCGCTTTCCTTAGAAGAGTCAATGTTGAAACTGGCAAGAGTGAAAATCGTTTCAATCTCGCGCAATTGGATTCTCAATTACAATATAAACCTGGCCAGGAGCGTACTGATTTACGTTTGACTGATGAATCCAGAGAACTGGTATTTAAAGGTGCGCTTAAAAAACGCGGTGGTGCACCACCAAGTGAAAGCGCTGAATTACAATTGTTCCTCTTTGACCATGCTATTTTGTTGGTCAAACCGAAGATTGTACACAAGCATGAAGTATTTAAGGTTCAACGTAAACCTATTCCTCTCGAAATGTTAGTCGTCACGTCCAATGATGAACAGTTCAACAGTCGGCAAAACAGTTACTCAGTTCCTGCATCATCAGGTCACAAACCACGCACACTTCTAAAGAGCCAAAGTCATGCCAAGATGAATGATCTTACACATAGTGAACGCGATAGCACACATTCGCTGCATGACACGATCAGCACTGATACACTCAGCACGACAGCACCACCAAAACCTGAGTCCAGATTGGGTTATTCTATGACTCTCCATCACCTTGGTCGTCGTGGCTATTCGGTCACACTTTGGGCATCTACTTTTATGAATAGACGTAAATGGCTCGAGCATATTCACAACAGACAGAAAGCCCTCAAGGAGACTAAGGCACCATTTGAGCTTGATATTATCAGTGATGGCTTCTTCATCGGTACAGATAAAGCTAATTGTGCAGTACCATACTCTCAAGGTAGAAAATTAGTTTATGGTACAGATAATGGTATTTATATGTCTGACAAACCGAATGAACCACCAAGGAAAGTTATTGGTATGCCATCAGTTACACAAATTGAAGTCTTAGAGGAAGATGAAATTATCGTCCTTTTAGCTGAACGCTCCATTTGGACTTTCGAATTGAGTGTTCTCAATGAGAATGATCCTGAAGGTAGCTTGAAGATGGGCAGGAAAATCTCTTCACATACGTCGTTCTTCAAGAGTGGCAAATGTCTTGGAAGGACTTTAGTTTGTATTGTCAAGAGTTCTAGTTTGTCATCGACTATAAAGGTACTCGAACCAATTGAGAAGGATCTGAGGAATAGCAAGAAACCTCCTACGTTGAAAAAGTTAGTCGGTGGTGGTAAAGAAGTCCTCAGAGTATTCAAAGTGAGTTTCTTACTTGAATTAAAGAATCATACTAATAGCATTAACCAGGAATTCTACATACCCACAGAATCCTCATCTATACACTTTTTACGGTCAAAATTGTGTGTTGGATGTACTAAAGGATTCGAAATTGTGGATCTTGAAACTCTAGATACTCAAGGTTTACTTGATCCAGCTGATACGTCGCTTGATTTTGTAGTGAAGAGAGAAGGCGTTAAGCCAATGGCTATTTATAGAGTTGAGGGAGACTTCCTCCTTTGTTATGATGGTAAGTTACCGTTTAATAATGTGACCTAACTAAATGACCACAGATCTCGCTTTCTATGTCAACAAAAACGGTTGGAGAGTACGCAAAGATTGGTTAATCAGATGGGAAGGTCAACCTAGAGGTTTCGCGTTCTATTACCCTTACATATTAGCATTCGATCCGAATTTCATAGAAGTTAGACATATCAGTAATGGTGAATTGGTACAAGTTATCGCAGGTCATGGTATTTCCTTGATGTATGCAGATTCATCAAACTCGACGCCATTATCCGTACAATCGCAATTGGAGTTAGAGGCCCAAGCACAGGCACAGACAGCCCAACAGGCCACTGTCGCAGCTATGCAAGCTGGCTATCCACCACATCAAGCAACTGCATACGGTCAGCATTATGCAGCACAGCAGCATTACGCTAGACAGCAATACCAACAGTACGCTCAGCAACAAGCACAGCAGCAAGGGTACTCTGTCGGAGCTCCAAATTATAGTTTACCATTCAACAGTAGTGGCGGTAATGTGAAACCAGTGACAGCAACCGCATCGCAGAAACAACCGGATTCTACCAAGCATACTGTTTACGCTGATGACGGTCACATTATAGCTCTCAGAGTAAAACAAAGCTAACATTTTATACGATATCATTAAACACTTGTAACATTTTATCTAATGATGAATTATTGTTAAAATTACCCCTATGGAGTGTTATTGAATTTGCAGGCTTTCATGACCCTTTTAATTAGTAAGCTGTCACCACTCCCTCAATTTTTGGAACTATAGACGATCATCAAAGATATGACCACATCGACTTAAATTTTATGCATAAAAATTTTTTCTGGAGAAATCTAATCTAGTCTTGTTAGATTACATTCGGAAATCTAGAATTTATTTATTGGTGGTCGAAAACCCCACGGTCTTTTAGATCAATTTTGCGTCAAAGTTGTCTCAAGGCACTGTAAAAAGACCGCAGCTCCTCGGTAAATTGGTCCGGAGACCGTTAGGTGCTATAAATACCAGCCCGGGAGTAATTTGGACAATTATTACGAGAATAATCTTTCTATTCCAGTTAAAATAATCTGTTTATACCTTATTCTCGGTAATTTTTACGCCTTTCGAGTGACGTTTTTTTGTAAACAGCTGATTAGGTCTTCTCCGATCGAGGTACCAAACCCTGAACTATTTAAAAAAATCTGCCCACTGTTCTCCACTATTCCCCACCATCTCCACAAGAGATTTTAACAATAGGATGAAGTTATTCAAAGGAGAGAAAGATGTTCAGAAAGAAGAAGCACACTTAGAGAATCCAGTTGATGACGCTGTCATTGAAGCTGAGCAAGCTGAGAACATACAAGCTGCTAAAGGAAACAGTTCATTGAGAGGTATATTTGACAACCCTTATGTTTCTTTCGTTGCGACGACCGCTACATTAGGTGGTTTCCTTTTCGGTTATGATCAGGGTGTCGGTATGTTTACATGCAATTTTTCAGACCACACTGACAAAAGTTTTTAGTTTCAAACGTATTAGCATTGGAAAGTTTCAAGAATGATTTTAGAGCTACGCTCGATCCAGATACCAAAGGTGTCTTCGTTGCATCTCTATTGATCGCTGCAATCTTCGGTGCACTCGCTGGTGGTCCGCTCGCAGATTGTAAATACATTGGTAGAAAATGGCTCATTTCTGGTTCTTTAGTTTTATTTGTTATTGGTGCTGTCTTCCAAACTGCTGCTCAATCAATGGACTGGTTGTATGCTGGTAGAGTTATTGCTGGATTGGCTATTGGTGCTTTAACAGAATGTGTACCAGTTTATATTAGTGAAGTTACACCTGCAAACCTCAGAGGATCTTTGGTTTGTGTTCAGCAATTGTCTATTACATTCGGTATTCTCGTCAGTTTCTGGATTTCTTATGGTACTTCCTTTATTGGAGGAATGTATTGTAATCCAGAGCTTGGTGAACAGGGGTTATACACCGGTGAACCAGATGCTGGTCAAAAAGATCCTTCTTTCAATCCTCCTCAAGATCTTCCAGCTGATGGTATCTGTAGACAATCAGATGCCTCATGGATTATTCCATTTGCTATTCAGATTGGTCCGGCTATTGTTCTTTGGATTGCTCTCTTCTTTATGCCAAAGTCACCTCGTTTCCTTTTGTCGGTTGGTAAAGAAGACGAAGCACGCGCTACTCTTGCCAGATTACGTAGAAGAGATCCACACGATCAAGTAGTTAATGCTGAAGTCATTGAAGTTAAAGCTGAAGTTATGTTCAACGAGCGTGTCAAGGAGCAATACGCACATAAGGGCAGTATCTCTAGAGCATTCGAACCATACAAGGCTCTATTGAGACCAGGTAACCGCAAAAGATTGTTCTGCGGTGCTTATACTATGTTTTCACAACAATTCATTGGTGTAAACGCTATCATTTACTATGCTCCTACTGTTTTAGGTCAAGCTGGATTACAAGGAAACTCAACTACAATGATTGGTACTGGTGTTTACGGCGTTGTAAACTTTGTAGCAACTATACCCGTCGTCTTGATTGTTGACAAGATCGGTCGTAGACCATTGCTTATCATCGGTGCGGCTGGATGTTTGATCAGTCATATAATCGTTGCTAGTTTATTAGCTGGATATGATGATAGTCTTCCAAAAGATGCAGGATATGCTGCTGTCGTCTTTATTTTCATCTTCTGCGTTATGAGCGCAATTTCCTTCTCACCAATCGGTTGGCTCTTGCCTAGCGAAGCCTTCCCATTGAGTTTGAGAAGCACCGGTGTATCTGTCACCACTGCCATTACCTGGACTTCAAACATGATTATCGGTTTGGCCACACCTTCTATGTTCGATGGAATGACCTCATACGGTACTTTCTACTTCTTTGCTGGATGGTCAGGCCTCGCTTTGCTCTTTGCGTTATTTATCCTTCCAGAGACGAAGGGTTTGACGCTTGAGCAAATGGACCAAGCATTCCCAGGTGCCAACAATGCCGTTTACGAGAAGGAAATGATGGCGCAAGTTTACCAAGAGCTCGGATATGAAGCACATTTAGAGAAATAGATTTATTATTAACATGTACTATATTGCAATTATAACGACTTAGATTTTAATAGAATTAGATTTTATATTAGTGAACCTAGCTTGAAATGATATTAATACAATCAATTAGATGTAAAATATAGATCTATAAAGATGATAGCGTACGTTATATAAGTATATAATATATTCCCGACGTTATCGAATATGGACAAAGAGATCGCAATAACTGGATCATTCACTCAACCGAGTATAACAGTTTTACAGCTGAGCTAATAGTTTTTTTTTTGCCTGCACTCTTTATTTCCTTAGCTCGTACTCGTAATCTGCCAGGACTCTTCTAAATATATACCACATAGGTAAAAATTGACTTTCAAATGGTTTATCTGAAATTTATGTTCGTCATGTTATCACTTATCGGTTGGTAAGGTCGTAAATGCTTCAGGGCTGTTCAATATTCGAAAAATAGACAAACATAGTCGGCCGTACTGGTTGATCATTTCCAGAATGATAAGAATGATGCCTTTGCGACATCGTATAGCACTTACCTAACTCAAAAGATAAATTGTTATTTATGTCGTAAATCAGAAATTAGACTTGTTTCGAATGGATACGTGCGGTGTATGTACTTTTAGAAAGTAACTTAGACCTAGCGCTAAGCAATAAACCATATTTATGTATATAGTATTACACTATTCACAGTCACACGCGTTAAGTGATATCATTTTCAGGGTACTACATTCCTTTGCACAACACTCGCGAGGTTGTAATATTCAAGACTTAATATTGACATTAAAGCCAAACTCTTTGCAGCATGCAAGCTGTTATATTATGATATATTTCATCTTTGTGTGACTTCTATCGTAGGGTAACTTTTCGTTCATTACAGTACCGCCAAGCGTAGATCGTGAATTAGAAAGCTGAAATTGATATGTTCATTAACTTGTAGAATGAGGTATAGATCGAATATCAACTCGTTAAAGTACTTAGTTATTGAAACTTCGGATATTGTTGCAACAATTACAAGATGCCGTCCGGGAACATAGTCGTCATTATTATCTTCTGTTCGATTCAGGTACGGACAGCACCTATAAAAGTGGAACAATATTGTGATTTATATTTGAGATCTCATCAGGATGTAACGTTTTTATGGAGTTACAATAATTAATTGGATTCTTCTGTATGTATCTTGTTAGAAAGAATGTCCTCTAAATACAAAACGATCACATTCTTCGGGCTTTTAAGGTCAGAATAATACTCTCGTGTATATAAGTACGCTTTGAATATTCTTCATAATTTATATGGGCACTTATACTCGTCAAAACTTCTTGTGATTATGCTATGATGTCCAGAATGATTCAATTACCCTCAAGTTTCAACAATAGTCTCTGGACAGACGATCTACAGTTAAACAGACTTTTTGAATTACTTTATAGGAATATTCAGGAGAACGTACAGCTCTCACAATATTTGGAGCTTCAACTCAAAGCCGAGACTGATGCAATCAAATCGTTGAAAACCAGACGGAAACTGGAATCAGCGAATGATTTTACTCTCGCTGTTAGTTTTAGTACACTTAGTAATAGCAACGAACTCGACATCAAGTTAAGATACGCTGATGAGCTCAAAGATTTGGTACAGCTCCTTAATCGTGACACAGCCTCCATACGTTCAAAATTGAAATCCAAAGAATCATTAGTTGATAGTTACCTCCTGCCATTGCAGAAATTAAATGACTCAACTGCTCAGTTACACTCCGCATATAAAACTCAGTTGATTCAGTTCAATGATTCAGGGAATGAGCTTCGTGATTGCATTGAGCAGCTTCCTTCAATGGTAATTAAGGTTCCATTGCTTGGAGAACGTCACGATTGCTACTTAGGTAGAGATATCTTCAATTGGTTTAGGCTCAAATTGAAGCTGAGCGATCAACAAGCGACTGAGCTATGCGCAAACCTTCCTATCAGGAATGTCAACACCCTCAAGAATGCATTTGAAAGTGCGTTTGACGTTGATAGTTACTATCAATTCACAACACAGCATCAACAACTCAAGAGTGAGCTAGACGATACCCTCTCTACATACATGCAGTCACGCACTCAACTCCACAGACAGAAAATGTATGTAGAAGAGGTCATCGAGGACACTTTGAAGTCTTTACAAGCTATCGAAACTACAAGGTTGTCTCTTATTAGACATATTCTGATGAAATATAATCAAATGCAGAGCAATTACGTGAACAGCCTTCAAGAATCTGTTAAAAGCTCAGCTCTTGCTGTACAAACTTTCAACCCTATGACCGATTTACAAGCTTTCATTGATCAGTACAAGACGGGTCCATTTAGACCATCAATTTATGAATCACCACTACCAACTACACTCAAAGATTCCAATTTTACGTTGTTTGGTTCAGATCTGACTCATTTGATTCCATGCCCAGATATCGTTGCACCTTTACAAAGATCTTCGCCACTTGTACTCAAGTTGATGCTCAAAAGTCTTGAGAGAAAGTATGAGCAACTGAAAGAACCTGAGCATATCCGTAAGGTTTTCATACTTGATATTCCACTCGCTACTTGTCACAATGTTAGCTTAGCGCTCCACAATGTTCCAAACGTGAAAGATATCTCTGCTTTAGAAACTGTACTTGATGGCGTACAAGCCCCAGTTCTGGCTGCATGTGTTAAGTTATTTGCACTTGAGCTTAGTCCACCACTTGGAGGTTTGAACACTTGGGAAGATGCAAGAGCTATTTATCCTAAATACAATGAAGAAGGTCATGAAATTTCATTCCAGGATATTCAGAAAGTGTTCGATAGAGTACCTCTAGTCAATCTCGTCACCTTGAACGAGATCATTTTGCATTTACATGATGTCCTTACTTCCACGTCGGCTGGTTCACAGGAGGAGGACAGCATATACTTGCAGAAAGTATCTCTCATTCTCGTCAGATGTAAGTAATAGAAGCTTTGTTTGAACTTCTCTTACATGATGTTCAGGTTTATTCAGACCACGTGTAGAAACGGATCTTACTATTCAAGATCGTCACATGACTAATTTACTTATTGATTTGATCAAGCATCCAATGGACATACTTACACCTGTCATTGAAAGAAAAGGTGCAGAGTTAACGCCTACGAAAACACCACAGAGGAAGCGTACTAAGCCTATTGATGAGAGGGTATTGAGATCAACATTCAATTCATCAGTTTCAAGTACAGGCAGTAATAGACATCTTACACCTGACGAGTTACTCGATCAACTTGAATTTGGTAGTACAGGTGTGAGGTCACGATCAACCTCTATCATGCAAGATAGCATACAAGCTTCTCCAACGCATGTTGAAGCACCTTTAGAAGATCTAAAAATTAGTGCTGAAGATATCGAGCAACCTAATACACTGGAGAACAAGGAGAATGGTGACAATGATATTCTGGAAATAATCGAAGGTCATCGTGATAGTCAGGCATCTTACGCCTATAATGAGGTAGCTGAAGAAGTGCATAAAGATGCTTCATCAATACCTCCAACGAATGAAGAAAACACAGCTGAGAACGCCCCAATAGTAGATACTGATACGGTGAATGAACATACTAAAGAGCCAAAATCACCAGAATTGCAAACATCTTATCAGCTAGCAGCTAAAGAGGAAGACGATGAAGATGCACCACCTGCATTTGTTACAGCTGCAATTGAAGCTGACAAGCCTGTCGATGATGAAGAGGAGAACGGTGGAAGTAAAAGGTCATCTTTCGTTGGACAGGTTAGCCGTGACAATAGTTTCAAAACGAGCAGTAACAGGTCGTCACTTAATCGAGGCACGAGAGTAAAGAAAAACAATCTGAAAATAGCGAATCCATAGGTATATATTGTAAAGATTGAATTATGCATTTGGTTTTATCTTTTCACAAACAATGAGTGTGTGTATAATAGGAGAATATGAAACGCCATATTTTTCGAATATTGATTATTGACATGTAAACAGCAATTATGGTAGGGGTTTTTGTTCATTTTTCTATCATTCCCAAAGGAAAATTTCTGCTGATTGCTCTTCTGGAATGATGCTCAATTGCTTAACAACTCTCGTAGACTTCTTAGAGTTATCAGATTTGAAGCTAGCATCTGAATCTTGGATAGCCTTTAAAAGTAGATGTTTAAAGATAGGATTATCGACATAGATCGCATTAAGTGAAGGTGATGAATAAGTCAAGAAACTTAATACCTCAAGGATGGGTTGTGATTCAACGCTAGTGCGATAAAACAGCTTCAAAGCTTTTAATAAGTTTGTCAGAAAACCTTTTTTGTACATCTGAACAAACTCACCGAATTTCTTTAATGATTGTACTGGATTTCTGAACATATTCTTGTAATGTGTATTACCCTTACGTGTATTTGCAAATGAAGAAAAGTGTAGATAATTTGAGTCCAAGCGTAGTTTTAGCGTGGATTGTTCGAAGAAAGCCTATATTTGGTGAAATCCAGAATGCATATCTGGAGACGCATGCAGGAGTGACGATGTCAAGAATGGAGATGATGAGAGCTACATCCTTGATGTCCTAATCGTGATGCGTTTGTCGTAATATATTCTTCTATAGCCCATGTGAGTTGTAGGATCCTCTTCTCATTGGGTTAACAGTATACTCCAACCTTACGATACTAGTTGAACACAAATGCAATATTGTTATACCTTCACACCATTGATATATTGTCACTTGTTAAAGTCATAACGTTTTACTTTTAAGTTGAAAAAATATTCACGCTTTATAGGAACTGAAGATTGAAATAAAGCGCTAGTTAAGTGGTATATAGTAATTAATTGCACCTAGTCTCATTCTATATCTACTACTAGACGTACTATTAACCAAGTTGGGAATAATATGATGTCCAACCAGATACCAAAACATGAGGTTCTATGACCGAGTGTTTACGTAGTTCAAAGAAGACACTGTAATAAGATGAAAGTAATTCCTCTGTATCTATAGATTAAGCTGTCAAGTATGTAGAAGTGTGAAGCGCCAAATTGAGTTCATAAGTGTGCACAAACACTTGAATACAGTATATAATATTAAGTATTAACAACTATCCTAAAGTTTCTTATTCATTTAATTCGTTACTCCGGTCATCATTGTAATGAAGAATGTGTTAGACGAACGAACTAAAGGAAACTAAAAAATTATCAAGCAGCTTAAATAGTAAATCATACAAGGTAATAAAATTTATTAACTTCTTGAAGAGGTTCTACCAGACCTCCGAGAGTCGTAGCGGTCTCGGTCTCTCTCCCTCTCACGATCCCTGTAGTCGCGATCTCTCCTATCTTTATAGTCGTACCTATCTCTATCACGATCTTTACTGTGTCGAGATGGCGGTGAACGCGATCTGTTGTGTGATCTTCTAGAATCTCTGTCAGTTTTTCTATCTTTTTCACGCTCTCTTGCTTTATCTTCAGATTCTCTCTCACGTTCTCTATAACTACTATCACGGTCGTTTCTACTGCCATACCGGGATGACGCATTTGAAACTGGTGACCCCCGACGATCGTAGTCCTTCTCATAGTCTTTTTTATCTTTGAAGGATTTATCTTTATAATCTCTATCATCATCTTTCATGCTGGTTAGTCTACTGTCATCATCATTATCTGGTGAAGGATCATCTCCATAATCTAAGGCTGAATCTTGTGCACCAATTTTATCTTTATCATTATAGTGCTTTGTTTTACTTCTGTATTTACCATTATCTGGTTTAGGATCGCCGTAGTCTTCTTCTTTCACTTCATTTGGGTCGGAAGATTGATTCATCATACCTATAGGTGGTACACCACCCATCATCATGGACATGTCAAATCCTGGTGGCATCCCAGGCATACCTGGCATTCCTGGCATACCGGGCATCGGACCAGGTGGCATCCCAGGTGGCATACCCGGCATAGGCATACCTGGCATCTGCATAGCACCCACTTGTGGCATTGGTGGCATCATATTCATCATTGCTTGGAGTTCTGGTGGGAGCACGTTCAATAATTCATCTGGTGTCGAGTTATGTGCCTGTGTAGAGTTAAAATTGAAACATTAGTTGAAAGTCAACGTACGGCAAATGGATTTATCTTCTCCACTGTACTACCAAGGTTCTTCTTTCGCGAAGCATAATCAAGCCACTTATATTCATCAAAGCCATAGTTAAACCAATCAGTTAAATCAGCGCCTGGCTGTCTCCATGGTTTCTCGCTATCAATAGCATTAATATCTATATCGTATACAGCTGCAGCGTCTAATGTGGCAGGATCAATATCTAAAGAAGGTGCAGTAGATGGTGAAATGATATCTTTTGCTGGGTCTTCTGCCATTGCTTGGGCACGCTTAAGGAAGAAGTCATTGGCGTCGCCTTTTTGTGCTTCTGTTGGTGCTAATGCGCGTTCTGGGGCGTCTACGGACTGGGTTGTAGCTGTACCTGCGACGTTGGCAGTTGAGGTGATAGCGGTTGTATTATCGACTTGAGTGACTGGTTGTGGTGTCTCTTTTGGTGTTGTAATAGAAGGTCTCTCCTGTGGTATATACTCTGTAGTGATGTTCGCTAAGTGGTGATTAGAAGGGTGTAGAGGTGTGAATATAGGCTAACGTTTGGTGGTTGCAACCTGACTAGCAGATCTACCTAGGGAATTCCTCTGAGGTCTGTTTACAGTTAGACTGGTGGCTTCACGAAGACATGACTGACCTAAAGTCGACAGTTTTTGAAGTATTGGGGCTGTCCATGATAATTTCGACGTCCTGGGTAAGATATTAGAGCTGCTATCAGTTGTAGTGCATACGGACAGATTCAGAATCTGAGGAATCGACACCATCTTGGTCGTTCTCCGGTGTGTCTGGGTAGTCTCTCTTGTAGTCGATAGCCTCTACCTTGTTTATCTCGTTGTGTGTCGTCGAGACGACCTCAGCCGGTGGTTCTTCTAGAGTCAGGCTAGCTGGTGGAGCTTTGTCTGTGTTATTATTGTCGCCGTATCTTTCATCGTTTAAATAAAAATTCTTAAATTTCCTAGTATTTTATTCACTCACAGGAATTCATCATCTTCGTCCATCTTGATCGTTGAAAATAAGACGTTGAAGTTGACTATGCAGCAGTTCAGGTCTAGCGATTCTAGTGGATTTAGAAATTACTCTGACTCTCTAATACAACCACCGTCTCCTAATAAGCCCGCGCGTACTTCCTCAGGCGGTAAGACCAAATCTCCGGCAGTCGGTTCCCTATTGTCTTTGTATCCTCTCACTAACAAACACAGGTCATACATATGGAGTCCTCCGTCACTCGTCTCCTAGTAGCTACCAAACAGCTCCTCGAAGCACTCAATTTGTGGGCACAGGGTCGTATGTCCGAAACTGGCGTTAGTGACGTATACGTAAAACTGGGAAATGATTTCAACGCAGCCGTTGCTGCTTTTGGCAGCGTTAGAATCGATATGGCTGATCTCATCAATATCCCAGACCAGTTGAGGCGTCATCTCGAGAGCGCGCTCAGCGAGACGGCATCAACAGCCGTTTTAGATCAATACCTCCCAGAGATCAGAACTATCATTATTAATCTTCTCCAGGGTCTGAAAGATAAGCAAGCACAATGGCGCAGACACCTTGCTGAGGAGAAGCGCAGACACGAGAATTCACGCTTATCACGCGCTTCACACGCATCCTCTCGAGACTCCGTTCTCTCAGAGCTAGCCGCTCGTCGTCAGGTCCAGATGACGTCCCCTAGACCTGCACCTCGTGGTGATGAGTTCAGTCCGTCTTCCTCAACAACATCCTCATCTCGCAATCTAGTATCCCCACCTCCCCAGCAAGGTGCCCAACAGGCCCAGCTGCAGCCTCCCCCAGAGGTTCTTCGTCCACCACCTCCACCCCCAACTATACAATTTCCTGAACCAGAAGTAGCTTCGTCATCAGCAAAGCAATCCCCACAACTTAATAACCCCCTTGCGGAGCTCAAACGACAGGACCCACTCGAACGTAGAGCCAGTAAACGATTTTCGTCATACACAATGGGTAAAATGACTTCTTCTGCTTCTGTGTCAGGTGGTATCTCAACTTTAGGTGCTCCTTTACCTAATGGTACACCATCAACTGAACGTAGAACTAGTAGAAGAATATCAAGTATTAGAGCGAATGGTACTCCATTTATACCCGATAACGCACCACCTTTACCACCAATACCTGACGCTGCTAAATTGCGTAGAGAAAGCGACTCTCAATCCTCGCTTGTCGAGTCTACTTACCAACCAGAAAGAGTATCTGAAAAGGATGAAGAAGAGGAAGAAGGTAGTGTCTATGAATCACCTTTTAATATATACCTCACTATTGGACACCAAACTAAGAAAACTAAAATAGAAGACAAATCTCTATTAACACTTGCTGGAATAAGGATGATGTTCATTGATAGATTCGCTTATTCATCCGGTTTGGAAGACTTTCCATTGATATACCTCCGCGATCCATCTGCAAATGTGGATTATGAGTTGGAGGATGTAATGGATGTCAAAGAAGGTAGTGTCTTGAGTTTGAACATAGAACCACTCGATCAAGTAAAGCAACATTTTGATTTATCAATAAATTCAGTCTCACAAGAACTCAAAGAATTGAAAAATGTATTATCAGCCAATACCAGGAGATTCTCCTCTTTGGCGCAACCACCTCAGACTTCAGCTGGTAACGCAATTGGAATGGGTATGCCAAGTGCACCAGCAAGTCAGAGACCTACTGAAAAGCAATTCAAGGCTGCTGCTGAAGCCCTCCAAGGCCAATCTGCGAGACCTTCCCAACAATTACGTATTGAAACACCTTCCACAGACGTCATGAAAAAGATACGCGACCTTCAAGCTCAGTTCGATAATGTACAAGCTGTACGAAGAGATCTAGGTATTACGAAACAGATATATATCGACTTTATGAATGAAACGAAAGATCAAATTAACGAATTGAGGACATCAACTAATAAAGTTCGCGAATTGGCTAATACTGAAATTGGTGGTGCAAGAGCTTATATAGATGTTGGAAAATCCTCACTTGATGGTCGCTCACAAGAAGTTCTCACTCGTATGGAAGAGATTCAAGATACAGTTGATGAACTCAAACATGATGTTATCGCCAGACGGACGAAACCAAGACCAAATGTACTAAAAAATCTCAAGAATGACTTTGAAAAGATAAAAGAAGAACTTGAAGCACTTGAACAACAGGTTTGTCTTGATTATTTAGATTTTACATAACTAATTAGCCACAGGTCGAGACTGTCAAACCAATGTGGAAGAAGACATGGGCTGAAGAGTTACAGAATATCGTCGATGAGCAGGGCTTCCTCAATCATCAGGAGAAACTCCTGGCAGACTTGAAAGACGATCATGCTGCATCCCTTACTGTTTTCCAACAAGTTGAGCAAGTCGCTTCTATCAGATCAGCTCAACCTACTAGAAGAGTTGTACCTGAGATTGAAACGTCAAGTGATCCTACCCAGAGTCTCGATACAGTTTTGTTGGAGATAAGGAACAGACAGAATGACCCAGAGAAACGCCTTAAAGCTATAGAAGCGGCTGAAAAGCAACGTGAAAGGGACGCAGAGGCGGCTAAAAAGGGTGGACATGATGCCGAATTCGCAAACGAACTTGTTGATTTTGTCGACAAGAAGAGCCTCAAGAAGACAGGAGGATTCAATGAAATAGAAAGAGTTAGGAGGAAGAAAGACGATGTCGCCTTCCAGAACATGTTCAAGACTGAGGATAGTGACAACGATGAGCTTATATATCAACAGCAGGAAACACAAAACGAGTCTAGAGATGCAGAAGAAGAAAAAGAATATAAAGATGAGGAAGACAGAGTTGATACACCAGAAGCACAGCAGACACCCGAAGTGTTCCAAGATGCAGCCGACGATGCGTCTATAATAGATAACGAATCGTCATTGATAGCATACACGAAAGACGAAGGAGAGAAACAGCGGTAAAGAGCGTTAAGAGTCTTAAAATAATAAAATAAGTTGCTTAATAATAATAATAATAAATAGTACCTTCGCATTTGTATAACTTGTTATAAACCGACTATCAGGATGACCGATGTCGTGAGCTTCAAAAAGCCTTCAAAGAAAGGAAGGCCAGCGGCTTTAAGGCAGAAAAGTCCGCCGAAGGATAATTCAAGAGAAAGCCACGAGAAATCATCAGTAGCCACAGTAAAAGACCGGAGATCAGCCGTTAAAGGCGTTGGCAAGAAACGCCAGAGAGAGACCAGCAAGGGTGAAGATAGCGACAACGATCAAAGTGGCGGTGGCGTCGTCGACGTCGCCTGGTCCGCTACGAACTCAAATGATAACACGATGAATAGGAATACAGCCGTTGTAGACCTAGACGCAGAAACGATAGACGGTCCAAACTTGAAGAAATACAAAGAGGGCGATGAGGTTTGTTATGCCTTAGTTGACTATCTTCCTACTAATCGCCATCAGGTCGATGCACAGGATCTCGAAGACGACGGAATGTACAAAGGTCTGAACTCTTACACAAGCCACTTAAAGAAGAAACCAGATAGCAGTATGTCTGATAAATTCAAAGCTGGCCCTGTACGCGCACCCACGAACATACGTCAGATTACGATCACTGATTTCCAGCCTGACGTCTGTAAAGACTACAAAGAGACTGGTTGGTGTGGCTACGGTGATACCTGTAAGGTGAGTGTCTAGAACTTTCGTCTTGCGATCAACTGCTAACTCTAGCTTAGTTCCTTCACGACCGTTCGGATTATATGGCTGGCTGGCAACTCGACCAAGCCTGGAATAAAATGCAAGCTCAGAAGTCAGGGGCCGCTGCATTCGAAGACGATAGCGATGATAGTGAGGATGAAGATTTGCCATTCGCATGTCTCATAACCCGTGAACCATTCGTTGATCCTGTCGTAACGAAATGTGGACATTACTTTGAGAAGAAGGCTGCTTTAAAAAGATATCAGAAGACACCTAAATGTTATGCCTGTGGTACACCAACAGGTGGCATATTTAACAAACCGAAACATTTGATAAAGAAGTTACAAGAGAGGGCAGCAAAAGAGGAAGCTGAAGCTCAAGAAGCTGACAGTGATGATAATGGCATAGAGGGTCTCGAAGAGAGGAACGAGACTTCTGAAGAATAAAATTTTATCCAGTTAAAGTGTAATAATATGGCATGTACAAGTTTTTTTTTATATTTTCGCATAACATTATTAATCATGTGCGACGTTAGCGTAGGAGGCCTTTGTGAATACACCAATATCATGTGGGAGAAGTGTTCCAGAATTTTCAGCCTCCGGGCGGAGAAGATCAACGTGTTCCCAACCCCCGAGTTCTTTCATCCAGATTCCAGAAGCGCGATTGAGCTGTGATGTGGTTAGGTGAAAATCTTGATAAACTTTTATTAACCTACCTCACAACCAAGTGCAGCTTTTTTCCAGATTACAGTAGTGTAAAGGTTTTGCAAGATCCTTGTGAGAGGATCTGTAGAAGCGACGTGCTCGAACATGACTAGTTTTCCACCTGGTTTGAGTAATGATTGGAGATATTTGAAATGTGCCGATGCGTTAGGAAGTGAACAGCAAACCTTATGATGTTAATAACGTAAAAAAGGATGTTGAATAGTTTTGTCTTACCTGTACCAATACGATAGTGTCAAATGTGTTCTCAGATACACCAAATGCTGCCAACTTGTCTTTATCATCAATACCAACTGGGATGAGTAGTGACTTCTCAGCAAAACCATGTTTTACTATGTTTTCTGCCAACATTGTACTTAAACTTTTTTCAGGTTCGAGCGCGTAGAGTGTCTCAACATTGTCCTTGTTGTAATACTTTAAGTTTTCACCTGAACCAGCACCAATTTCGAGTATCTTTCCATTAGCTTGTTCTACAAGTGGACGCTTATAGCCACCCCAGATCTCATCACCGTATGCGAGTATCTTTGCGAAACCAAGCTTGTGGATTAAGTCGAACCATTTGAATGGATTGAAGAAACCAAGGGAAGGGTTCGTTAATTGATAGAAGACAGCCGATGGTACGCCCTTTACAACTATCATTGAGATAATAATCAGAGGTCTGATCGACTCTACCAATCTTTGGTAGAATGATGGAGACTCTGGTGGTGCGCTGCTTAACTTACACTCCGGTGGGCTTTTGTATCGAGTTTCGACAACTGATGACATGAACGTAATAAATGACTAAGTAATAAATGCTGTCATAGTTTAGAAATAATCTTTAAGCCTTTTTTTTCTATCATCGTAGTAAAGAGAGAATCCATTAACTATTATACAGCGAACGCCTCAGTCGGACAGTCGAACAATCACCGCATCAGTTCAACCGTTATCTTGACGGTCGACCATCAAGTGTAAAACAAGAGATGAAGTAGAATTTCAAGTGGATATGTCTTTGTAGTACTATCTAATATCTATTAAATTACAACATCTCTTGTTTTCACTATTGTGACATTAACTAGAGATGTCTGATATAGAAGTCACCAGCGATAAGACTATAATACATTAACATAGCTATAGCATACGGTGTACTTCCGCATCTTTCACTTTTAACTCCCATCTCGTTTCTTCCTTCTCAACCATCATCTTCCGATGGAGATACCAGGGAATAGAGCAGACAATAAACCGTCTACATCTTCCAGAGGTCGTGGAAGAGGTCGTGGTAGGGGCCATGGTGCTCGTGGCGGTCGCAAATCCCATTCTACTAGGCAATCAATCTCAGAAACGAACGAGGAATCAAGTACTCAGCCATCCAGCGAGCCTAGCAACTCCGACAGACCAAAGCCAAAGCCACGTAGGAAGTTCAACGGTTCTCTCACTCAGTCTGGTCAGCAATCTCAACCGTTGCCACCAATACCACAAGTTGAAACGACTGATGAAGACGATATTCGCTCACGTTTAGAGCGTGAATTGAGAGTTGGAAAGGTGGAGTGTCTGATTTGTTTTGAAGTTGTCAAAACTCAGGATGTAAGTTCTTTGTTTATATTATAGAATTTTTCTTACAGGTCTTTCAGAGAACACACTCATGTAACACTTGCTTCAACGTCTACCACTTGAAGTGCATCACAGAATGGGCCAAGCAATCTTTTGGACAGCCGTTCAAAGAAGGCGAACAGAAGCATTGGAGGTGTCCCGGCTGTCAGACGAAATCAACAAAAATACCACGCGAATATAGATGTTTCTGTAGGAGACAGCGTGATCCAAAACCAGACAAACTGGCAGTCCCTCACTCCTGCGGTCAGTCTTGTTCAAGGAAGAGACAACATTGCAAACATCCATGCCCACTTCCTTGCCATCCTGGACCATGTATGGACTGTCAAACTTCACTTCATGTAAAATGCCATTGTGGTAAGACTACAACACCAATCAAATGTGCATATGCACCGAGAGATCCGTCGACTGGTAAAATTTTACCAACTGCCTGCGGCGATGTCTGTGGAAAACAACTCGGTTGTGGTCAACATTCTTGCATTGATCAGTGTCATCCTGGACCTTGCTCACCTTGTAACAAAGTTGAGAACAGCAAGTGTTATTGTGGGAAAGAAAGAAGCGAAAAGCCTTGTGGAACTCGTGGATATCTCGGTAAACAAGCATGTTATAGCAAAGATGAGTTTTATATTGCTCTATGGGAATGTTCCAATGTATGTGGTGAATACTATGACTGTAATTTCCACAAGTGTCAAGGAGTGGGTAATACTTTTAAGCTTTTTAGTCTACTAACACCTATCAGTTTTGTCACCCGCCTTCTCGCAAAGCTCTCACTTGCCCGCTCTCCCCAGAGGTCATTACTAGATGTCCTTGTGGGAAGCATGCTCTCAAAGAGCTCAATAATGGCGAGAGAAAGAGCTGTCAAGACCCAATAGCTTCTTGCGGTAAAACGTGTGGAAAGTCTCATTTAAACTGTGGTCACATCTGTAAATCGTGAGTGAGCATACTTTCTAGATAAACTACCGCTAACACGTAGTTAGGAAATGTCACACAGATGAATGCCCACCTTGTGATGCGGAAATTACAACGGTGTGTCGCTGTGGTGTATCAAAAGTAACAAGGAAATGCTTTGAAGTGCAACAAGAAGGCGAGGAGGTACTTTGCGATAGAGTTTGTCACTCACTCAGACTTTGTGGAAAGCACGAGTGTCTCAAACGTTGTTGTCCATTGCGTGAATTTGAAGACAGACGTGGTAAACGTAAGGCATTGATTGACACTCAAATTCCTGAAGAAGTTATGCAAATGTGGCATACATGTCCAATCATTTGTGGAAAGACCTTATCTTGCGGTACTCACAAATGTCTCGAACCAGATCATAAAGGAAAGTGTGGTCCATGTCTGAATGCATCATTTGATGAAGTGGGTATGATTATTTCTTCAGTGTTTAAATATTGACCACTTCTCCAGCTCACTTGCAGTTGTGGTAACACTACACTTGAACCTCCAATACCATGTGGAACAGAAATACACTGTACATATCCATGTAATAGACCACCTCCAGAATGTGGTCATCCACGTCCATCACACACTTGCCATGGTGATGATGTTAGTTGTCCACCTTGCCCATTCTTGACAACACGTTCATGTCAATGCGGTAAATCTCAAATTTCGAACGTTAGATGTTCTCAGGAGAATGTAAGATGTGGAAAAAAGTGCGACAAAATTCAAGAATGTGGACATCGATGCAAGAAAAGCTGTCATAAAGATGAATGTAGAGGACCGGAGGAAGCCTGTAGTTCAGTTTGTGGAAAATTGAGATCAATCTGTTCACATACTGACATTGCACAATGTCATGGTTTGACACCATGCGATGAATCGATGCCCTGTCAGGCGGTGATAATTATGGCTTGCAAATGTGGAACTCAGAAGGCTAAAGCAACTTGTGGTGCTTCATTATCCAACACTCACTCAAAGCAGGATGTCTACCTTGAATGTAAGAGTAGTTGTGCGGCAGCAGAACGTAATTCAAGATTAGCAAGAGCTTTAGGAATTAATGATACATTTAAGCGTAAAATTGATTACAACTTTTCAAGTGAAACTATCAGATTTGCTCAAATAAATCAAGGTTTCGTTAGTGGTATTGAGAAAGCCTATAATGAATTCATTGATTCTTCAAATAGAGCTCTACAATTACCACTTATGAATAAATCAAGAAGTGCATTTTGCATTGATTACGCTGAGGCATACGGTTTTGATACAGAAATTTTCGAAGATGTTATCACTATTAGACGCAAGATTGGTTCACATCTTCCTTCACAATTACTCACTAAATTGGTCGATGAATATAAGCAAGACAAAGCTGGTGTCATCGAATTCCGTAAACCATCTGGACAATCAACACCTCAATTATCAAGACAAGGAAGTGTATCAACTCATCAATCTGATGACTGGGAGGAATTAACAAATTAAAATGGTTAGAATGCATTAAATTATTATATAGATTTATAAGAATAGTAATAAGTACATAGAATTAGTAAGAGTGGTGGATCCTTAGTTTATAATGATAATAGTATGAATAATTAAGCTTTGTTAAGCTTTGTTTTCTCCTTGTGTTTCTGATTCCTTTTGTGCTTTCTTTATATCCAATCTACGATATAAAGCTGTAAATGCCGAAATTGTTCCAATGCTGAAGACGACCCAGGCGAGACAAACGCCGAAATTGAATCCCAGCTCGTTTTTAGTGTTGAAAATGATACAACGTATACCTCTATTGATATGATAATAAACCCTATTAAAGTTTTAGTATAGTTGACAAAGCAAACGTCACTCACATAGCAGGATAATACCTGAAAAACCATACTTGTAAGTCAACCGGCAAGGCTGCTACTGAAACGTTTGAAATAATCAAAGCGATAAGAGCATATGCCATAAATTGTGGTCCAATGACGGTAATAATAGCTTCTGTCGCAAGTCCTGTAGGCGATATCAATAATGGATGTGCCAATGTTTCAAAACACATACCTAGAGCTGCCATTCCACAAAGCAATAGGGCATAAGTACAGAAAAAGCCTTTAGCAGTGTTGCTGAAGTGCGCATTGAAATGTACGTCCCACGGTAAATTTAGCATTGCAAAGAAGAGCGACAGAATGGTGTATAAAAAGAGGGGGACCAAAAGTCTATAATGTGTTAGCAAATTGCAAAAAGCGAAGTTAATACCCACCTCATGCCAATGTAAGACCTCAAAGTGAGATGTTTCTCTAGGAGCGGTCTAGCAGCAGAATGACTATAGAGTTATGAGAAACTTCGTATACAAAGTATAAGTCAACTCACGCCATTGTACATATGAAGCTTAAAATAGTGAGATAAATGAGACCAACAAGTGTGATGGCCCTAGCAACTGGTTGGTCAAATGGTCTAAAATTATTGATAGTAGTAGCAAATGGAGTAGCAGCAGTTTGAGGTGCATTTGTGAGTGCCTCCATCGCAGTAACATTACCGCCTTGTTGGGACATGTAAGCAGCTAACATTTGTGTACCAGCTTGGATCGTTGCTTGCTGCACTAATTTTTGGGTTGTGGGCAAAACTATTCCAGCTGCTTGTTCATTACGCGCTTCGGCATAGTAAATACTGACTGAAGACATAGGATCATAGCTACTGTCGCCATTTTCGCGCGCGATTATTAAATTCTGAGTTGCATCCTGCTCGGCTACTACGAATACCCATGCCCATTCGTCCTCGACTAGTGCTTCTTCTATACTCTCGGCTGTTGGAACCTTCTCGGAGGGCTCCTCAGTCCATCCCAAATGATGTTTTTCGTTAAGCGATTGGAATATTGTAGTACGTAATGTGTCGCCTAACGTGCCATTCACGCCGTTTGTAATGTCTCTATTAACAAAGACCGAGTTCACCTGAAATAGTCGACCTGACTCGTGTGCTATACTTGCCCAATAAACTTGCAGGCATCTATGTTGTTTAGATGTACATACTTCTTTATAATGGCAATACTCACGACCATATCGCTATTATTGTCAGAACCACGGAACCAGACAAAATCTTGAAGTATGTAGCACGTAGGGGCTTCAAGTCTGGTGACCAGAAGCCCTTACTATATAAGGCTGATTGCGATGCTCGTTCAGTGGCGTTATCTTCTCTATCTACCATCTGATCCTTATCTGAAGATGACTCTTTATGGGATAATCTAGAGGATAATTAGAATTAAAATATTAAATATTTTTAAATATTTTGTACCTAGTCATTATTTCGCTGATCGCTGTCTAGAAAAGCGGAAAATTGATTTTATGTGATGATGTAAACATCGGTCCCCAGCATAGAAAAGCCTCGACGGAATTAGTAAGCATAGCAATTCAAAAAATAACATCCGATTCAAATTCAAGAGTAACAAGCTTACGCCCTCATTGCGCCTGCTGCTTATCTAACTTATATCTTTAATCATTTAAAAAGTCGAATGTATAAAATCCTAGTAATTTGGAAGAAAAAAATTCTATAGAGTGTTTTACTGTTGAGATGCAGAAGCTTGCTTTTTTTTATCTTCTTCAGCAAGACGAGTGTGTTCAATGATATCCTACAGGGTACATGTAAGCGTGTTTTTTTTATGAGCAGATAAGAAAATCTCACTTGTTGCTCCCATGGATAATCTACCCAGATATCTTCAATCTCTGCACCAGGGAAGTACTTAACATCTGAAGGGATTCCAGCTGCTTTCTCCTTCAATTTGTTGTGTACGACAAAAATAGCAAACTCGGTGGGTGGTGTATCCGCTGGAAGATGCTTGTATTGCTCTTGGACGTCCTTTTGGAGTTCGCTGACGGCGTACCCTAATGTTTTCCTTGTGTCATCGACTTCATCGACGATAAGGACGCGTTTTCCAACTAAACTCTTTTCACCGAGTGTAGAGAAATCTAACCACTGTGTTCTAATAACTTCTGTACCAACTTGTTCAACGGTTGTGTCTGGAAGTTCCTCATAGAGTGAAAGGCCAATAGCTTGGATTGGGACTGTTTTTGTATAAATTATGATGCATATGTAGCTATATATTCTTCCTCACTATTTTTTGAGCCCTTTGTTTTCAAGAATGTACGGAGAACACGGGCAGGGAAGAAACCACTGATATACGATTAGTTTGTGTGACATACGTGTATAATGAACTCACCCTCCACCAATGGCAACCTTAATGCTGCTGTCAGATAGAAATACGACCGTGTAACAACCTTACCATAATGTTAGGATCACTAAGCGAATGTTAGTATATCAAATCATAACGTAAATGAGGACACCCACAAGTCCTTCTTGATCTTGGCTGCTGTTTCGCCAATCATCTGAATAGCTCTAGTCAGAGATGTCTTCATAGTCCATCTATATCGACTTACAGTGTGTATATCGTTATCTGTAATAGCTGTTAGTAACTTTATATGAGAGTACCTTCAATTTACAAGTAATTCTAAGCTTAACTGGCTCGCTCATTCTTCTTGGTCGTCTTGATTAAAGATGGCGATTGCGGAGATACGGAATTGCTAAGTGCGAGTCAAATTCACGACCTCGATATTAGTAAATGTAAAGAAAATATAAACAGAGGATTATCCTTTTTTTTAACAAACGGTCAAGCAGTCGAAGAATGTTAAATCAAATAGTATAAATTATCTTTTACTCTTCATTTTCATCGAATTCATTATCATTATCATCCTCAACTTTCAAAAATACTGTACGAGCTACTATATTCCGGTTCCTTGCACTAGCCTTCTTAAGGAACCCAATACTGTCCAATTCATTCACAGCTTGAGTGAATCTAGCTTGCTTTTGGACTTCCATCTCATCTTCATCTATTGTTTCACCCTTCCGCTTTTTGCTACTCTTTTCTGACTTTTTCTCCTCATCTACATTTAAGACAGCTTTGAAAGCTGTAAACCAGTCACTCAAATTCAACAATTTTCCACCCTCTGTGTAGCACCTAAATGCGATTGTAATATCAGGCGTTAATGTACTTGGTACGACGTCATCGTTTGATATATCTTCATAATGTTGACTTAATAATTTCTCTGGGTGACGCAATGCAGTTAATATTGCGTGCCTTGGTGATGGATTAACTATCATTTGCAGATCAACACTGGTATATAATGTCCAAATCTCTTGAAATGGTATCACCTTCTCTTCAATCAGAGTACTCGTAAAGAATTCTGTCCAATCATTAGCACAATTCTCGGCGAATTCAACAAATTTCGGATCACGCGTTGTATGATCTTTATTTTTCAGTTTGACTTCACCATTATTATCAACGAAAGTCTCCTCAAACTTTTCAAGTTGCTTATTGGCAAGCTTTTGTGAGTTACCTTGAGGGTACGTAGCAAGGTATCCTCCTAGCCAATCATATAATTGCGTTTTCGACATCAAACTTCATTACACGTTAGTTAACTCATGACTAAAAAGTAACATACCTTATATTTTGAACTGCACGCGAAATAGGTTTGGACAACTCGCCGTGCATTTTTCCTTGCATAAGCGCTCGCTTGTTGGGTATAAATTCCTTGCTGTCTGGTACAACGGAGTGAATGAACGAACGGAGAAATATCAGCGCTTGGAAAGCATCATTTTCATCTGCCAGACTCTTTGTAAATGCCTTGCGCAGTCTAACAAGGGACTTTAAAAGACCTTTACTGTTTACTTTTTCTGCTAGGATCTCCTTGCACAGATTATGATCAACTGCATCCCGTCCTTGTCTAAGATAACTGATTGTTGATGATAGTGACAACACATAACGCCAAACCTTGTCATCTTTTATCATGTTCGAATGAAGTACGTCTGTATTGAAGAATATTGAATGTGGTTGGAAGAAGTGGTCTAGAAGTTGCATCTATAATTACATTATTGAATGCCTCCACTTGTACGGATTACTTACATCAATTGTATGCAAAAGGTGCTCGAAAGAGTTTTGTGAATGGTTGAAAGTGTCGAATAAGACATCATAAGCAGTACTGTCTAAGGCAAAAGGTGCATCATAATATATCGAAAAGAATAACTAAAGGGTTTGTCAGGTTAATTGGGGTCAATTTTTCTGCCTTACCTCTCCTATAACTGCTTCGAATGTTTCGTTGGCGGATGGTGCAGCCACTTGAGACATTGCAAGTTGTATGATTGTGTAACGTGGTAGCAAACGATACACGGCAGCTGGTGATGAGTCTACACAAATTACGAGGTGAACTGGTATAAGTTTACGATAATAGGACAGTAAACTGATGAAATCCTGTACTAATGGTGGAGGAAGGGCTTCGAAATCGCGTAATGTCAGAACAATCTTTGGTTTAATTTCGTCGGAGAAGGTATCTTCGTACCATCTATAAATTGTATTGAAATCAGAAATATTTAGTGTATGATTTATGTATGATTTCTAAAACATTGCGAGATCAATGGCGTCAAGAGGAATAAAACGTTACTTACCAAATTGCTTTCTTCGGCGTATTTATCTAGAATACCTGCAACAATGCTTTTTATACCATTCTGGAGGCTGGGAGTACTACCAAATTCCTGCCAGCCGAGCTCGAGGGTGATGAAGTCTGCGCTATCAGTGAGATCTTTGAGACGTTTAAGAATGACTAGATTTGATGTTGGCTCATGTGCTGTACTATCTCAGGTGGGGATCTCTCAATGAGAAAGTAAACGTACAGATTAATACGCAAGTAGGAATTTCATCTACTATCTCAATATCTGGAGAACTTTGGAGTACTTCAAACGCGTCATCGGCAACGCCTTCGAGTAATCTAGCCATAACTTCCTATGAGAGATTAGAGATGTCAAGATATACGCGATAAACGCACGTGTGCTCTAGCATGTAAGCTATTTCTACACGCCTGGAATGCTTGGGTACGTATTAGATTTCCATTGTCGATATCCCAGTCAAACGAAGGTAGATAGCTCCCAGTAGATTTCTTAGGTAACCTTCTACGGCTCACAGATACAGCCTATAAGGGAATTAATGAATAAAGTGACGAATAAAATCGTTATTCACTCTCGTATCCGCTTCCATAATAAATAACGCGTTATCGACTATCGTCTTCCCAAATGCGACGGTTTAACCAGTTATGCCAACATCCAAAAATCAAAAGACCCAGAAAACCTCAAGGAGCATCTTTGAAAGGATAACTCAACAAGGCGCTATTGACCTTGTAGGTATTTATTCTCTACATTAACTTATGCCAACAAATCCCAGGCAAATGAGCAAGAGGAGAATATCTACCTATTCGTACCAAATTTGATAGGTACTTAGCTTATTATACATATATAATTATCTAACAGCCTCAGGTTATCTTCGAATCGTTTTTGCTGCACTGGCAGTCCGTTCTATGAAAGATCACCCCAAGGTCTGTGCCGTACTCTACTGCATCAGCGCAATACTCGATGTAGCAGATGGTATGGCCGCACGATCATTCAACCAGACTTCAAAACTTGGAGGTGTTCTTGATATGGTCACAGATAGGTGTGTTTTTCATTGTTGTATGAAAGACTTTCTAACAACGCAATTCCAGATGTTCAACGACTTCTTTAATGGTATTCCTTTCGTCAGCTTATCCTGACTGGTCTACGCTCTTCCAATTCCTTATCGCACTTGACTTCTCCTCACACTTTATCCACATGTATGCATCACTCGTCACTGGCGCAACATCACACAAGCTCATCCAATCGGAGGTATCTAAGATTCTTTGGCTTTATTACAACAACAGGGTTAGTTCATAACCATCTATATGCTTTCCCCCACTAACTCGGCCGCCGTAGATTACCCTTTTTATCTTTTGTGCAGGTAACGAAATATTTTTCGTCGCACTTTACATTATATACACCAGCAAACTTCCTGCTATCGGTTTAAGTGCTGCATTGGTACACTCATTAGTTCCTGATGTCTTGAAACAACAGATATCAGCTGCTGCATTTGAAAATTTCACAAACTACGTCATCAATATCAATCCTGCTCACTTGGTGGCTATCGTAACTTTCCCTATTTGCTTCACAAAACAAGTTATAAATGTAGTTCAATTCTGGAAAGCTTCAAAAACTTTAGTTGGCGTAGATTTGAGTGAAAGAGCTAACAATAGACAAAAAAAGCAATAATAATTTCCTTAATGCAAATGGAATAACTTTACGCGTTTCTAGTTACACTTTTTTCTCTTTATTACTGTAATTTGCCTTTAATGATTAGGTCAATTTGATTATCATAAATAGTATTATCCAAGATATGAAAACTATCACTATCGAACTGAAAGTTAGACAGGTAGTTGCACGGCTACTGCTTGAGAAAATATTGAGTTGTTTCCGTTGTGTCGTCATCTTATCTGCATTACCTTCCAATTTGTTGCTAGTTTGTTCAATAAGGGGCATATCGCTACTCAAGCCTTGTGACAATGCCAAAGCGTTCTGTTTGAGCTGTTTTGTCATGGCTATCAGCTCTTCAGACAGATCATCTTGTTCTGCGCGAGCTGATCTTTGTGATACTGCACCATTGGTATCCTTGCCTTTCCTTCTAGACTCATAAAGTTCCTTTTCTTTGTGATAGTCGTACGTATACGATGGTTGTGGCTTTTTGACAGGTTCGGATGGTTGAACTGGTTGTGACGTTGTAGGCTTCTCGAGAGAAACTTCATTCACTGTATCCGTGAGCTCTCTAGGAACAAATTCAGGCTCTTCTGATAGTGTTTCTTTGTTATCTAGAACGGCATCGATAGTTGGCGGTAAAGTTGGGTATACAAGGTCGCTGGAAGCCTGTAGATGTTAATAAATGCACGACTTTGAACAAATTTAATTACCTTTTTCTCTGTACTATCTACAAATCCTCTAAAGTTGTCGTATCCCTCAAATTCGAGTCCAATATTTTTACGGAGATGCTCAATATCAGTCAATAGCGACAGCGCTTTAATATATATTTCAAATTCATTTCCAGCTTCTATTTGCGCTGTTATACTGTCTACTTCTCCCTTTAGTCTGGCTGATAGACTGTTCAGTGCGTCGTTCGCGTTTCTCATTTGATAGTTGATAAGAAAGAAATAAACTCAAATGTTATTACAATGCAATGCAAGATATGTTAGTCAGTGTATGCACCATGAGAAGCGTCAGACACAAGTTTGGAATATTTATACAAGACACCCCTCTGGTGCTTCAATGGACGAGGTTTCCTATGTTTGTTATTAATTTATGGGTGTATTACTTAGAAAGGCATTCTTACCACTCAGCTTGCCTTTTAGCGAGTTCTTCCTGGCTTATGTCTACATCGATTGTGTTCTCGATGGCATCGACAATAACTCGATCACCATCTTTGATCAGCGCTATAGGACCACCATTAAAGGCTTCCGGAACAACATGGCCAATGACAAATCCATGTGAAGCACCTGAAAAGCGACCGTCTGTAATAAGACATGACGATTGACTCAATCCTGCACCATAGAGGGCTGCAGTTGGTGTTAACATTTCTGGCATTCCAGGCGCCCCCTTAGGGCCCTTGTATCGAAGAATAACAGCTGTTCCTGCAACTATACGCTTATCCGCAACTGCCTGCAAAACGTCATCCTCTTCCTCGAAGCACATGGCTGTTCCTTCGAATTTCAGACCTTCCTTACCAGTAATCTTTGCAACTGCGTTGCCAGGAGCCAATGATCCGTTAAGTATACGAATATGTCCAGTATCTTTTATTGGTGCCTGGAGAGGATGGATGACGGTATGGAATTTATCATAATCAACTGTGATGTTTGCGAGATTTTCAGCAAGAGTTTGACCGGTGACGGTGAGACAACTTCCATCCAACAAGTCGGTGCTATCGTAAACATACTTGAGGACTGCTGGGAGACCACCAACCTCGTGTAGATCTTGCATCATGTACTTACCAGAAGGCTTCATATTTGCCAGGAAGGGTGTACGTGCAGCAACATCACTGAAGTCTTGCATTGTCAATTCGACATCACCACTACGTGCAATAGCTAATAAATGCAAAACGCTGTTGGTTGATCCACCCAATATCATAACAATGGTGATTGCGTTCAAAAATGCGCTTCTAGTCATAATGTCGCGTGGTTTTATATCCTTTTCGAGAAGGTTACGTACTACTGGGCCAATTTTTAAGCATTCTTGTACCTTTTCGGTAGTCTCGGCTGGCGTACAAGCTGAATAGCTTAAACACATACCCATTGCTTCAATAATACTCGACATAGTGTTGGCTATAGGTGAATTAGATAGTAAACTTTACTAATGATGTAATCATACCTGTGAAAAGACCACCACATGATCCAGAACCAGGACATGCGTTTTGTTTGATGATTTTTAGCTCAGGTTCACTAATTTTACCGTTGAGATATGCACCATAAGCCTCGAAAGTATCAGTGATGTTGCTTTGATCACCCTTTTTAACATTGAGGGGCTGACAATCGATCTGATGCGTGCCAGGTTTAATTGTACCTATCAAACTGTTAGTAAAGTTTACGATGTTTCATTTGTCTCACCTCCATAAACTATTATTGAGGGTCTGTTGTATCTCAAAGCTGCCATTAGCGCACCAGGCATGTTCTTATCACAACCAGGTATCAAAACACTAGCATCGTATTGTTGTGCCTCAACAATCATCTGAAATGAGTCGGCTATGAGGTCTCTGCTAGGTAAACTGTAGTTCATACCACTTGTACCCTGAGTAATCGCGTCTGAGACACCAACAGAACTGGCTGCGAAACCAAGAAGATTTTCCTTCTCTAAAGATTGTTTTACGTATTCGCCAAACTTGTTAAGAAGGTTATTACATGGATTGCTATCAAAACCAACGGAGAGGACACCGACTTGTGGTTTTTCGAGGTCCTCCTCCTTGAGACCGATAGCATGTAAAAACGCTTGGGCTCCTAGATGAGAAATATCTTCTGTAATGACAGACGAGTACTTGTTTAGCTTTACTTTCTGCTCACTTGATTTCTTTATCGGATGTCTATCTATTATCAGATTTGAAGGAAGCCAATTATTTAAACATACATATTGACTGACATGATTATAATACGAGTAATTTAATTTGCCAAACTCCATATATGCTGCCGTCGCCTCAATTCTCCAGCGACTGGTCTGCTGATTTCTATATACAGAAAATATTACGATATGAAATATTTTAGCAAAATATAATATATAAAATCGATTATTAAATCATATGCACAGCCTAGATTTTAGGTAGTGACGGTACTTTTGACAGCTGCTTTGCCAAGACCATCCTTTATATTCTACACTCATAATGGTAGCAGAAGAAGTTAATCACGGAACCGACATCGAAGAACCAGTCAAGCCAGCTACTGCTCCTGCTAGTAGCGCTCCGCCAAACCGCCACACGGTACAGGTGCAACCCCTCCAAAAGGACCAAATGCAGCCAAGCTACGCTCAAACACTGGAGGTACCACGCAATGAGCATTCTGCATATGGAAGTTTCATCAATGGCCTCGGATCTTGTATCGGGTGAGATCCTCCATTTCGGAGTAAATAATACGTAACTAACGCAATCTAAAAGTTTCTTTGGTGCTATACCATGCTGTCCTTGTCCAAATCCATTTAAAGAAGTTGATCAGGGTTCAGTTGGTCTTGTCAGTCGCTTTGGGTGCGTTTTATACTATCTTTGACACTTTTACTTAAATATTACAGTGCATTTTACAAATCTGTTGATCCTGGTTTGGTTAAGATCAATCTTTGCTCTGAATCCCTTGAACGAGTCTCTGTCCGTACTCAATTGGCCAACATTAAGGACCAAGTAGCAATCACAAAGGACAATGTTACTGTTAGAGTTGACGGTGTTATTTATTACGTAGTACAGAATCCTTATAAAGCAGCGTACGCAGTTGAAGATATGAGAAATTCCGTCATTGAGCGCTCTCAAATCACTTTGAGATCAGTTTTGGGTTCGAGAAACTTACAATCTCTGATTCAAGATAGAGAGCAAATATCTAGAGCCATTGAAGAGATCGTCACGTCCATTACCCAAGAATGGGGGTGAGTATTATTCAGATTTAAGAAGGATGTCACTAACGATTTTCAGTGTCCTCGTTTCTATCTCTATACGTGATGTACACCTCTCGGAATCTGATCAAGTCGCCTTGGCCGCTTCAGCACGTGCTACACGTCAAGCAGAAGCAAAGGTCATCGCAGCTGAGGGTGAAGTATCTGCAGCTAAGCTTATGAAGAAGACAGCGGAATTACTTGCTACTCCAGCAGCTATGTCTATTAGACACTTGGATGCACTTCAAAACATGGCAAAGACTTCTAATGCTAAGACTATCTTCGTACCAATGTCAGCAGACGGTGTCTCTGGTTTGACACAAGGTATGGGAGCCAGTCAAGCATCTGGAAGTGGCAGCCAAGGCCAATCCAATAACCCTGTGGCACGTACTGCTCAGATTCACGCCTTGGAAAATGCTTAAGTCACTAGCTACTGTTAATTTACAACAAGACCAAAGAACATTAATAATGGAACCGTTACGATAATTTTACTTTATTTTTATTCGTTTATTACTAAATTTGTACGTAAGCTCTAAATATGTACTTTTCTGTCAACTTTGTGATGTTTTACTTTTCGGATCTCGATTGTCTTAAGTGTCTAAGGATGTTATAATTAAAATTCCGCATACTTACCCGTATTTCCACTAAAATTAGCTACAAACGCGTTTTGTAGTTGTTATACGCTTCTGTTCCTAACCGGTATGATATGTTGGCGTGCCACTCGGGAAGATCTACGTGACAACTGTGCAAAACACGAACAAACTTGCAAGCTTGTTTTTGAAAACTTTTAAGAGTTTAAAAAGAATATGAGTGAAATGTCCATTATTTGTCGTATCCAGAACCTCTAATGAATGAAACTCTACGTTTCTAGTGGGTGTCTGAACAAGGAAACTATGTGTAAGCGAATAAAATCAATAACTGCGCAGAACTGTATAGTTACAACATATAAGAGCTTAATAAGATATTTCAGTTGTATAATAATCTGTCCATTGACACATTTTGATTCTGGTATATACATTTACACAGTTTTGTGTGCTTTCATAAAGCTTCTATGTTTAATATAATATTACAAATGTTACTTTTCTTACAGATATCTTTGAAGTGATTCTTGTATGCTATTCTTATCCTGGGCTGTTGCATTTCTCGACGAATCATTTGATTGATAGAAACCACGAGTAAGAGATTCGTCGACAAGCCAGTCATCATTGATTACCGTGAGATCTCTAATGAAAATTTTTGTTGTTTCCACTATCTGCTAAATGTGTTAGAGTAGAATTCGACAAATAACTGCAACGCACCTCATGGAAGACAACCCACTTGGTAGATGGTGAACGTGTGAACATAATACTACTTGGGTGGACATTGACAATTTGGTTACCATTAAGGAGTGTGTATGTACCATCTGGATTAAACCTAGCGACATTCTTAAAGTACCCCGAGACCAAACACTTCCTAATCGTTTCCTGATCTACTCCTGCGCTTAGTCTAGGATTAAGATTGAATTTCTCTAGGTATTTAGATAATTGCGAGCGTATTGATACAGCCCTACTGAGCGCTTTGAAGTTGAGTCTATGCTGACCGGCCCATCTGCTGCTACTCTTTCCTATCTTGACAAAAGCATTATACGCATTGAGTAGAGTCAAGTGGTCGCCTTCCTCTGCTACAAACTTGCGTCTCTCAAGCTCACCAGGACCATCATGTGTGAGAAATGGATTTTGCACAGATGTCATTGCAGCAATCGTTAGTATTTCCTCGCTACACTCAAAAGACACGCTGTTGAGCAACTTGTGATCATTAATGAAGGAGCTGTGATAATATCTTACTCACAATTTTTGTCATCATTGGATCTAATGGTATCTCGGCCATCTTCAGTCCAAGTTGCGGTGTGAGATGGCCACTATCATCGAGGGCACCAAGCGCATAGAGTAGTTCTAAGGCCCTGACAAGCATCGATGAAGGAGGATTATCCAGGTAATCAAAACGTAAAACATTGCTAACGCCCAATGCCTTGAGTTGAAGAATAAAACCGGTTAAATCAGTCCGGCATATTTCAGGCACTGTCGATTCATCTAGCCTTAATAGAGCGCTTTCAGGGAATAGTCTGAAGGTTTTACCAGGGGCAGTACGACCAGCTCTACCAGCTCTTTGAGTCAATGAGGCTTTAGAGGATGGGGCAACGGACAATATGTCGATACCTGTCGCAGGGTTGAAATGGCGCAACTAATAGACGGTCAGATCTAATAGAAGTAAATGATAACAATGATACTAACTTTAACGAAACCAGAGTCAACGACATAGCGGATACCATCAATGGTGATACTAGCCTCTGCAATATTGGTCGAAAATACGACTTTACGCACACCAGATGGTGGCCTTTCGAATATTTTGAGCTGTTCTTCACTTGTGAGACCAGCATGAAGGGGTAAACCCACGAGAGAGTCAGTATTCCGCCTGCTTGAAATTAAATTATCGCTGAGTAATTGTAGTGCTCTGTCTATTTCCTCTCTACCAGTGAGAAAGACGAGAATGTCACCACTTCCTTGCTAAAGAGGCGTTAAATGGTACTAGTTTCATAAGATAGTTACACACAGTCTCATGTATGCTGATAACAGTTTCTACTGCAGATCTCACGTAGTCTGATACAGGTTCTTGAGTGTATGATACCTCGACCGGGAACATACGGCCATCTAAACTAATGGTACCACATTTTTTAGATCCCCCAAAGAAATCTACAAACTTCTGTGCAGTAAGAGTGGCCGATGAGATAATGAGACGCAGGTCAGGTCGACGTTTGAGAATTCTAAGGGAGTGTTAGTTAATCTATGGAGCGAAGTAGGCAGCTGCTGACTTTTTCAAAACACCGAGTAGAACATCTGTGTAGGAATTGCGCTCGTGCGCTTCATCAATCTTGCGAATCGTTAGCTCAGATAGTAAAACAATGATTGACGAACCATAATGACTGAGTATTTTGACAAAAGAGGATCCATAAGCGTCTCCCTAAAGAGCATACCGTCTGTAAGGTACTTTATCCTCGTGCGGTTTGCAGAACTGAGGTCTTCAAAGCGTATTGAATATCCCACCTAGATATATGAGATTTTGACGGCGTTTTGAAGTATTTACTCACTTCATCACCCAATACAGATCCTACTTCCTGCGCAACTCTCTGCGCTATGCTGGTCGCTGCAACGCGTCGTGGTTGCGTGCATGCAATAGTATATGGTGGTGTAGCCCAGCCTTCTTCGTATAGATACTGCGGCAACTCTAAAGAGATGTTTAATAGAGTGATACATTCGGTCTTGATACCCACGTGTAGTCTTTCCACAACCTGTCTGTCCTACGACGATAGTGACCTGGTATTCCTCGAGCATCCACAGCAGCTTCTGCCCTGTGGGAGATCAGATATGAAATAGTAAACTATGATTGCCCTACTGTGCTTGTATATTGGCAAGGTCTCACGTTGGGCTTGTATACCGAGTTCGCTATTGTGTAATGAAGAGATAGTCAGAGATCCTTCAGCCTCATTGGCACGGTCAAGAGAGCTGCCTTGTTGCTGTGAGATGAAATATCGTAGAGCTGTGTATGCTCACCTGGAGCTGTCGTCCCAGGTTTCCAAAACTGAGCCATGGTGGTTTTCGTACAAGTACAAGAGATGAGAAAGATAGCTGCTAACGCTGTAGTAGTTAATGCACAAGGGTATAGAATATAATGCTAAATATCTATATATTATAATAAATTACCGTTTTCCTTCTACAAAGAGTACATGTTGTTTGACTGAAAGATGAGTTAATATAACTTACAATAGATAGTCCTACAGACCTTTTGGATCATACTTCATAGCGCTGAGCTTCTCAGATAAGCGCGGTCTTTGGCACTGGTAAAAGAAGCCAGTTTTTGCGGTAGAGATAAGTCTGACGAGTACGGTTCTATAAAATATTTTAGCCGTGTAATTTACTAGTAAGCTACATACCTCGCTTTTTGTTTCGCCATGGACGTCGGATAGAGAGTGATTTTACTGAGAGCTCTCTTCGATAGAAACAATGACTAGCAGTGAAGTCGTCGCAGGAAGCTCAGCTGGCGCGACGATGGAGACAAAGCTGATAAATGATACTAAGCGGCCCTCACCCTGGAGGCATCTTGTAGCGGGCGGGTGAGTAGTAGGTAATCAGGCAGACGATTCTAACGACATACAGTCTGGGCGGTATGACAGGTGCTATTATAACATCACCATTCGACGTTGTAAAGACTAGATTACAGTCTGATATCTATCACAAGTCGATAGCAGCCAAACATAATCAATCTAATATTAAAGGTCTAAGAGGAACACTCTACCATTTCGTAGAGACAGTGCATATGATGAGGTTAGTATTATAGCCACTATGCACTCCCTCTGACCGCGTACAGGGATATATACGTCAAAGAATCACCCCGTGCACTCTTCAGAGGCTTAGGTCCTACTCTTTTTGGTGTTATACCGGCGAGATCAATCAATTTCTTCACCTACGGAAATCTCAAGTCTATTATTGCCGGAAAATCTCGAGAAGATTGGTCAACCCACCTCCTAGCAGCTGCTTGTGCAGGGATTGTTACTGCAACTGCTACCAACCCAATATGGGTGATAAAAACGCGGCTACAATTATCACCTGAATTGTCAGTCTCGTCAAAATCTGCGAAAGTTTCTGCATCGCGGAAGGTTATTGGTGATTTAATTAAGAACGAGGGTATTAGAGGTCTGTATAGAGGTCTCTCAGCATCCTATTTGGGAGTCACTGAGAGTACGCTTCAGTGGATACTATATGAGCAACTAAAAGATTTTACGAAAGATTCCAAGCTTTCTTCGATGTCGACAATGGTCTCAGCTGGTCTAGCAAAGTCTACTGCAACCGTAATAACTTATCCACACGAAGTTATACGTACTCGGATGAGACAGGCAGTGCCTGTGGGTGAAAAGCCACGCTACACGTCTCTGATACGTACTCTCAAACTCGTTTTGGCAGAAGAGGGTGTCTCTGCACTCTATGGTGGCTTATCAGCCCATCTGATGCGGGTTGTGCCAAACGCGGCTGCAATGTTCCTTATTTATGAATTCGTAACTTATAGATTGTAGAATAATAGTCAAATGAAGAAAGAAATCTAACATCACATTAGAAATACTCACTACTTATAAATTATTATGCATTGATACATTGTTTTATACTCAATTATAATCCGAATGCCAAGAATAACAATGAGGTAAACGTTAAATAGTTGAATACTTAAATATGTAAGTGTGCAAACACTAAGTTAGTAAAACGACTAGATATTGCTGCATAAAGAAATGTACTTCTGACACCGCGATTAGTCATAGAAAGGTACCGATGTCAAGTTTGTTTTTCTCAAAATAAGCTATTTTAAGACTAAAAGAAAGCATGAATAGGTATTTATGATAGTGCCAATGCCTGCCCTTACACCGATATCTGCGTATTCGAAGACCCCACATCCCCGAGAAACGGTATGCAGCTATATTTACTTGTGAGGGAATGTAATTTTATACTCAAAAGTAACCACCAACATCTATGAAGATGTAGAAACTTTTTCACACGCGTTAAATTAAATTGTGTCAATTTGTACATACGCCGGTCTAGCTCAGAGATAGAGGTACAGCCACTGTGAAATACGGGATAAGGAATAGGAATAGATAGACAGATATACACGATAAAATTATTATTATAGCATTACAAAGATAAAATCCTTCTTTTTCCGGAAGCTCGCCCTCCTAAGAGCCTTGCTTAGGTAAACGAGAATCGGTGGCCGTTGCATCTGCCAAAAAGCAGGCACTTACTTTCGAATTAAACGTTCATCATCTTACAAAAACAACAAAATGTCCAAAGAAGAGGAAAATACAGCCTCTTGGGGGACTCCTAACGAAGTCAACGTAGATGACTCCAAGGAGATCTTCAGGAAGCTATCCCGCCAAATTAGCAAAGAACACCCAGAACAGCGCAAATCATTAGGCACTTCAGAAGCTACTGCCCAGGAAGAAGAAGAAGAGTTTGACTTACATTCTTTCATCACAGTACGTCTTCGCTTCTACTAGAACTATATACCTTACTTTTCTATTAGGGAGCTAGACAACGCTTCAAGGATGCTGGTAAAACTCACAAGCCACACCTGGGTATTGCCTGGAAAAACTTGACCGTTAGTCTCACTCACTTAATCACATTATGCATACTAACAAACAAAAAGGTAAAAGGTGCAGGAAGTGGCGCCACTTTCGTCAAAACTTTCCCAGAGGCAGTCTTATCAACATTTGGTCCTGATTTATACGCTTTCATCACACGTTACATTCCTCAATTAGATATTATCGGTAAAAGACCACCAGTACGCAACCTCATAGATGATTTTACTGGGGCACTCGGCAACGAAATGATGCTTGTCCTCGGTAAGCCTGGTTCCGGTTGTACCACCTTCCTCAAGGCTTTGGCCAACAAGAGAGAAGGCTATGTTGACGTGCTCGGTGATGTAGACTACGGTGGATTGACCCCAAGCGAGGTTAAGCACAAGTACCGTGGTGAAGTTGTCATCAACACTGAGGAAGACATCCACTTTCCTACACTCACCGTCGCACAAACCCTCGCTTTCGCTTTACGTGAAAAGGTTCCTCGTGTCAGACCTCAAGGAATGGCTAGATCCGAATTCGTCAATTACATCCTTGAAGCTCTTTTGAAAATGTTCGGTATTGAACATACCGCAAATACCGTCGTAGGAAACGACTTTGTTAGAGGTGTCTCTGGTGGTGAACGTAAGAGAGTTTCTATTGCTGAAACCCTCGCTACAAGAGCCTCTGTTATGTGTTGGGATAACTCGACTCGTGGTTTAGATGCTTCAACAGCTGTTGATTATGTCCGTTCATTACGTATTATCACAGATGTCACTGGTGGTACCTCCATTGCAACTCTCTATCAAGCTGGTGAAGGTATTTACGAGCTCTTCGACAAGGTTTGCTTGATCGACGATGGTCGTTGTATCTTCTTTGGTCCAGCCAACGAAGCTTGTGCATACTTCGAAAGTTTAGGTTTCTACAAGCCACCACGTCAAACATCTGCTGATTTCCTTACCGGTATCACTGATGTACATGAACGTACTTACAAGGAAGGCTGGGAAGGCCGTGCTCCTCGTACAACTGAAGATCTTGAGAAAGCTTACAAGAGCTCACATTATTACCAAGCAGCTGTTGCCACTTCTGACAACTCTTTCGCTTCTGAGAACAAAGAACTTGGTGTTTTCAAAGACTCCGTTCGCGAGGAAAAGAAGAGACGTATGGCTAAGAGCTCTCCTTACACTGTCTCATACTTTGAACAAATTTATTATTGTGTTATTCGTCAAATTCAATTACAACTCGGTCAATTAGATGGTTATTACACTAAATTCGGTACTATTTTGGTTGTTTCTTTCGTCGTCGCCTCAATGTTCTATGGTGAAGCTCAAAGCACTGACGGAGGTGAGAGTCTTTACTAAATGACTTCATTAAACTTACCAAATTATTAGCATTCTCACGTGGTGGTATTCTATTCTTCTCGATCCTGTTTATTGGTTGGCTTCAATTACCTGAACTTTTTGATGCGGTTAATGGAAGAGTCATCATTCAAAGGCAACGGGAGTTCGCCTTCTATCGTCCATCAGCTGTCGTTTTCGCCAGAGCAATTGTTGATATACCAATTTTGTTCTGTTGCGTCACTCTCATGTCTATCATTGTTTATTTCTTGGCTTCACTTCAGTACACCGCTGGTCAATTTTTCATCTACTATCTCTTCGTTTTCATTACAGCAATGTCTTTGGTGAGTTCTTGAACATTTTTTAAGTAAATTGCTTATGTCATCTTTCAGACACAGTTCTACCGTGCAGTTGCTGCTTTGTCACCAACGTTCAACGAAGCTATTAGATTCTCAGTCTGTGCACTCAACATTGCAGTTGTCTTCGTTGGTTATGTTATTCCACGTACAGACATGCCATCTTGGTTTAAGTGGATTTCTTACATCAACCCTCTTCCGTTCGCTTTCGAAGCGGTCATGGCAAATGAATTCCATGGTATGACACTCTCTTGTGAGGAATCTTCAATCGTTCCATTCGGTGTTCCAGGAGCAGAAGAACAATATCAAACTTGTGCCTTCCAAGGTTCTGTACCAGGTAATTTAAGTATTCCTGGTGATAACTATCTCGAAACTGCCTTTGGATACAGCTTTTCGCACGTATGGCCAAACTTCGGTTACGTTATGGCTTACACTGTTGGTTACTTACTCGCTACTGCCCTCTTCACTGAGATCTTTGACTTCTCTGGTGGTGGTGGTGGTGTCACAGTTTTCGCAAAGACAAAGAAAGGAAAAGCTAAGGCCAAAGAGAATGAAAAGGCTCTTATGGGTGATCTCGAAACTGGTCCTGCTTCACGTACAACTGATGAGAAAGGTGGTACAACTGAAGTCCAACCTGGCTCCATCAAACCATCTGAAGCTGATTTCACTTTCAAGAACGTTTCTTATACTGTTCCAACCCCTGGCGGTGACAGAAAACTCCTTAATGACATCACAGGTTTCGTTAGACCTGGTACTATCACCGCTTTAATGGGCGCTTCCGGTGCTGGTAAGACTACACTTCTTAACACACTCTCACAAAGAATGTTCATGGGTGTTGTTTCCGGCGATATGTTTATTGATGGCAAACCACTTGAATTAAACTCATTCCAAAGAGGTACTGGCTATGTTCAACAAGGTGATCTACACGACAGATATGCCACTGTCAGAGAAAGTATCGAATTTTCAGCTATTCTCAGACAACCACGTGAAACACCACGCGAAGAAGTTTTGGAATACGTTAATCAAGTTCTTGACTTACTTGAATTGAGAGATATTGAAGACGCTATCATCGGTACACCTGAAGCTGGTTTAACTGTTGAGCAACGTAAGAGAGTCACTATCGCTGTAGAATTAGCAGCTAAACCAGATGTACTTCTCTTCCTTGATGAACCTACGTCAGGTCTCGATTCTCAATCTGCATATTCAATTGGACGTTTCTTGGAAAAACTCGCACGTGCAGGACAAGCTATTTTATGTACAATTCACCAGCCTTCAAGTTTACTCTTCACTGAATTCTTCGACCGTCTTCTGTTGCTCGCACCTGGCGGTAACGTAGTTTATCAAGGTCCTGTTGGTGATAATGGTCATGCTATTGTTGATTACTTCAAGCGCATCGGTGCACGCGAATGCCAAGGTCATGAAAATGTTGCCGAATACGCTATCGAGATGATTGCTTATGGTCGTGATGCTAAAGGTAACAAGGTTGATTACGCTGACCTTTACCGTCACTCAAAGGAAGCTGCTGAGGTTGCTGAGGAAGTTGAAAGAATTAATGCTGAGAAGTCACAAAAGCCAAGAGAACTTACCAGGGCCATGACCAGAACATTTTCACAACCAATGTCTGTTCAATGTTGGCAACTCCTTAAGCGTACTATGAAGAACTACTGGAGAGACTCAGCATACGGTTACGGTAAACTTTTCGTCACATTCATCGTCGCTTTATTCAACGGTTTTACTTTCTTTAAGATTGGTAACGCACAACAAGAGTTACAACAACGTATGTTCTCGACTTTCTTGATTGTTATGCTTCCACCTGCTATTTTAAACGCAACACTTCCAAAGTACTACGAATCATGGGGTCTCTTCATGGCTAGAGAGAATCCTAGCAAGATTTATTCATGGCAGGCATTCTTGACTAGTTTTATGATTAGTGAAGTTCCTTTCGCTCTCATTTGCGCAGTTACTTACTGGGTTGTTTGGTACTGGCCAGTCGGTTTCTCATACACCGCAGACAGTGGTATTAGACTCGGTAGTGATCCTGCTTTGACATTCTTGTTAACGATAGAGTTTATGCTTTTCGTTGTGAGTAATTTCGGTGGAGCAGCTCGACTTTTGCTAATTCTTTTTAGGCTTTATGGGCTATTTGGTTATGTGCTTCAGCACCTAGCCCACACTTCGTTGCCAACTCGTGAGTTTTATTATCCAAGTGCGGAATTCCTTCTGATGAATCCATGTAGTATGCCATTCCATTTGGTTGTTCTTAACTTAATTAACGGTATTATCATCCAATATGGAAATATTCCAGTTATTTGGCGCTACACTTTATACTACATCAATCCTCTCACTTACTTCCTCGATGGTATGATTGGTGCAACGACGTCAGACGTTTCTATCAACTGCGCTGAAAATGAACTTGCTACCTTCAATCCACCACCAGGTCAAAGTTGCGAATCTTACGCTGGTGCATACACAGAAATGGCACCAGGCTATCTCGTTAATGGTGATGCAACATCTGGCTGTCAATATTGCCCAATGTCAGACTCAAGTAGTTTCTTAACCAGTATTCACGTATATCAAGGAACCGGATGGCCATGGGGTTGTGAGTAGTTGCTTCTAATCGATTTCTATGATCTAACATTTTCCAGACTTCGGTATATTCAGTTTATACACCTTCATCTCAAACGTAGCCCTAGTGTATGGATTATACTGGCTTACCAAGGTCAAATTCTTTAGCCCTACAATGTTTCTGCAAATTGGAATCGGCAAGTTTATTGGTTTATTCAAGAAAAGTTCTTAAGGGAAATTTTCGTGATATTCCAAATAAAGTTGGCATTGTTTCTTGACATCCCTTGCATAGGTTAATCTGGTTTAAACACTCTTTACAATCTTTACATAATGATCCTCTATTTATCGTATATATTACTCATATAATTGTTACTATATATATTAGTATACATAGTTAGTAATCATATTATAAAACGTGTGTTAGTATATCTAGTTGATATCAATGTGTCTCTTGGTAATAATTGTTTTTATGATGATTTTTATTGCCTGTTTATCATTAGTATCCTACGGAACAATGAGACAATGAAAACTACAGTACTGAAACATGTTTTTAAAAATGAAGGGAGAGTGAACGATATATCTTTAGTGTATTGGAACTTATTTATGATCTACTAAAGCAAAATGATAAGCTATACAATAAAAGGAGAAAAACCAGAAGAAATCAAAAAGAAATGTCGATGGGGCGAATCGAACGCCCAACCTTACGAATGCTAATGACTTCAGTCGTACGCTCTCGCCAATTGAGCTACATCGACGGATGATATTTTGAATTAGAAATAATACGACTTTAAAATAAAATACATGACGTCATAGATTCGCGAAAAAAATCTTCTGATATTTCTTATCATTTGATTGATTTACCCACATGCAGGACGTGTGATGCAGATTGTAGTCTCTCTCAAAGAAGCTTTATATGTCACCTGCATATAACAGTAAGAATTACATTAAGAAAGATAACCAAGATCAACGTTCAGTTCGAACTATGTCTAATGCTCAGGTTGACACAAACTCTTCTGTAAAGCCTTTTGCCAAATAAAGAAATTATAAAAAAAATCTACTCAACAATCATACGTTTCCCTGTATTCTTGATGAGGTTTATCGAGTGTCTGATCAATGTACCGCCTGTGATAACATCTTCTAAAACGAAAACTTTTCCTTTGAATTGTGCACCAATTATGTTACCACCTTCACCGCGTTTTTTAGCCTCTTTTCTGTCAAATGCAAATGGTACGTTAATCTTATGTTTAGTTTGCCAAAAACGTCCCATTTCCTCTGCGCTATGGGTAGACGTCTTGCTAATCCTTCTGGTGGTTGCGTTGATGTTTTTGCTACCTGGCATGTGCCGCAGCTGCTGACATACCATTTGATATCTTCGTACATTATTGGCAGATAAATAATGTCTTGCGAAAGAATTGTGTGTCTTGTCCGTGCGCAGATGCCCAGCTACTGGTACGTCGTAAAAATCGTGAAGGATAATATCTCATGTTTCTCCTTTTGGTACCACTCTTTTTTCATCAATGTCTCCTGGTTGTGCGTTTAATGTTAATAGTCCCTCCTTAATCTTATATGTGTCGCTTATATTGTCTTTATTATTTTGTAGGTTTTCTAGTATTTCTAGTATTTCTTTAATCTTTTTATCTTCCTGATAGTCTCTTTTTATTTTGTCTTGAGATGTTTCGCCTATTCTTGTTAAATCTATTAAATTAAATTGTGCTTTCCTTCCTAGTTTATAAACGATTTAATGTCGAATTCTACCCATATTTCTGACTATTCTGCTTCTCTTGATGAAAATTTTGCTGCGCTAAGGTCTGCGATTATTTTGTGATCTGTGTTAACTAAAATACGCCTTTCCAATAAGTAATGTAATGTTTTCAATTTGTTGCCACAATGCTGCGTATAATTCCTTATCCCTAATGCTCCAGTTTAGTTGTGAACTGTTTATTTTTTGTGATAAGTATGCTACTGGTCTTATTTCTCTCTTCTCCCCATGCTCCAATACTGCCCCTACTGTTGACCCTGATACATCTGTTGTTACCTTGAATTTTACTGTTCTTGTTCGAATTTTCAGTACCAGTGGTGATGCCAATTTCCTTCTTAATGTATCAAACCTTTTCTGTTGTTCTTTTCCCTAAATTAATTTGTTATTTTTCCAGGGCTATGATAAGAGACACGACGAGAATCACTTAACCCACGATCATATATAGTTGGACATGAGTGCAGCCAACCAAAACCACGTAAAAACTTAAAGAAACGAAAATAGTGAGATGCCAGAAAATATGTATAAGGGAGAAAATATTGTACCTATAAACCATCTAACGTACATCTTTTCATCTTATAGTAATAAAAGGAAGGAAAGTTAGCATATTATACTTATTGTTGGATGTTCTGAATACCTCAACGGGTATGGAGTACGATTATAAGGTTACAAAGCGATACCTGACAACGTAAACTATAATACATCAATTAGAAAGTACATTATAATACATAAACGATTAAGTATTAAGCGGTAGCAGTAACGGTGGTGAAGTGATTTCTGATTCTTATACTTCTTCTGGCAGGCTCAAAGACAACCGGAGATAGATTAGTTGGTTGTGTCTCCACAGTATCTTCTTCAGGTTCTGTTTCAGAGCCGTCGCCAATTTTAAGATCAAAGTTTATCGCAAAGTCTTCACTTTTATTCTTTTTGAGAATGCTTACATCCATTGAACTCTTCTGAGTCGAAGAGACTGAACGCTTAATTGTTGATGAAGTTACTGTATTCCTTTTCCTTGATTTCGGAGAAACTTGTAAAGTGTCTAAGCTATTAATTTCTTGTAAAGATTTCATTGGGCTTTCTTTGTGTTGTTCTGGTTGATGGCAGGAACGTTGTTGCTGCGAATCAAACCCCGTACTTATCTGATTCTCATCAATAACAGGCTCGCTAGGACCATCGGAATTTTTACTGTCTTCATTTGAGTCACCAGATGGCGGTAAAGTCTTCTTAGCGGTTGCAGGTTTAATACTCTTAGCAACATTATGTGTCTGTGTAATTTTGGTTTGAACTTGCCAGTCCTGGGGTCTGGTGGCTTTCCATTGATTAACTAATCTATTAACAAAGTCATCAGAGGTACCATGAACAAAATAATCCAGATCTGATGACCATTCTTTACCCGCGGCTGGTGTTGCATTGACAAACACAACATTTCCTGGCATTTTGCGAGACTTCTCATTGATGTCCAAATTATTTTGATGAATAGTTCTAGCAAAACCTTTAACTAATTGCTTTAAACCATGTACTTTAAGAGAAGTACCCATCACAATTAATACTGAATGGCATTGTGTTAGATTAACCAAATTAAAGAACGTCAACCTCACAGTCTGGTTTCTTTTTGCTGTCTGCAGTTTGAGCTTTAGCTATTGAGTCTCCTGACCAATGATTTTCATTGTACAAAACGATTCCAGGTCGTAGGCATCCGACTGCAAGTGGTCTTTTACCACGGGTATTTCTCTCATTAGCTGATAAATGTTAGCACGAGTGTTAAGTTTAATAAAAGACGCACCCCTGGAAGCGCATTGAGGGCATTTAGGTGACTGTCCATTAGCGAACACATTTAGGTAATCATTTGACATTTCACCGACGAATGAGCAACTAGCACAACGGACTTCATTAAGTGAACCGTGAAGGTTGACTAAGTTTTTTAAACCAACACGCTGCTCTAAACCGTCTATGTTTTGAGTGTAAGAATGGAGAAGTCTGCCCTTGATCTCCAAGGTTTTCAAGAACTTATGCGTCGGTGAAGGAGCCGCATTGTCAGAAGCCAGCTTTAGTTGTGCAATGAAAGAGTAGAAGAGTGCAGTAGTTGACGGGTTTCTGAATAACTGAGCATCGAATAAATCCTGACCTTTACCGATTTTACCATCGAATTTATCTTTAACTAAAGCATAAAGACCTTCTGGGGATCTAAAATCCTTGAATTATATTATTAGTATAGTTCCACTTTGTATATCAAACTAAACTTACCGGTATACCTGAACTACAACTGATTCCTGCGCCTGAGACGATAATTATACGTTTAGATTTAATGATCTTAGAATTTAAAGCTTCTAAAGCTTTTTTATGCTCAATTGTCGGCTGATTGAGCGATATGGTCTGCATGATGACGATTGGTGATGGATGTAGAAGTTAAAGAAATAACGCGTTCAAGACGCGTTAATGAATTTAAATTTAACAAATTTAGTTAATTAGATTAATAATCTATTGTCAATTAGTTTTAAAGTAGTTTGCTGTTTACTCTGTTCGCCGATTCTGATAAGTCGTCGGTCTATGGCATATATATGTGTATATGTATATTATACTATTCTACTGATGATAAAGTATTAAATTAAAAAGAAATTTAAATGATGTCACCTGTCTTAGATATAACCCTGTAAATATCCGTCTATAGAGTGCTGGTATTGTGCAAGAAACCAAGTATATTGTGATATGATTATAACTACGGTCGTCCTGATTTAGCTGTCATAGAACCTCATGATCAAACCGGGTAATATCGGTTTTCATTATTCACTCCTCGGTCAGGCTACACACTTCTTTCTTTAATGCGCTCAACCTTAGCAAGAATGTCAAAGAATTTATACGCTCAGCAATCTAAGCTGCCACGCCTTCCAGTACCCGCACTTGAAGAAACTTTAGAAAAGTACTTGGAATCAGCTAAACCGTTTTTAAGCACCGACGAGTTCAAGAACTCAAAACAACTTCTCGATAGCTTCAAGGATGGTCAAGGAAAGCTTTTGCAACAAAGACTGCTCAAGCGTGCAAGTGAGAAGGAAAGCTGGCTTATCGACTGGTGGAATTCACAGGGATACCTAGAGCCACGTGATCCTGTCACACCTTACTCGAATTACTACTTCTACCATCGTCAGCTTATTGGCAATAACCAACCACGCGTCGCTGCCAGTTTAATTAAAGCTACACTCGCGTTTAAACAGTTAGTCGATACTGAGGAACTTGAACCTGAGAATATCAAGGGTACTCCCCTTTGTACACACACTTACCAGTACTTGTTCAATAGCACACGCGTTCCTCTTAGGGATTCGGACAAAGTTGTTAAATTTGATCAATCAAATAAGCACGTTATCGTCATTTCAAACAACAGGTTCTTCAAATTAGACGCTAGCAACCCAAACAACCTGGAATCCCAATTACAGCATATTATTGACATTTCAAGTGATAAAAAAGGTGATGCTATCGGATCACTTACGACGGAAAATAGAGATATTTGGTCGGATGCACGTCATCACATACAATCAATCTCAAAAACCAATTCTGAGTCTTTAAAAGCTATTGATTCAGCTTCTATTATCGTAGCACTCGACGAGAGCGCTCCTATTAGTCGCGATCAAGCTAGTTGGGGTGCTTGGGTAGGCGACGGTCGCAATAGATGGTTCGACAAGCATCAAAGTTAGTATACTCATAGTCATTCTTTCTACAAAATCTAAATTACCTGTAGTTATTGTTTACAAGAATGGAAAATCAGCCTTCAATGCCGAACATTCTGCGATGGACGGTATGATCACGCTCCGCCTTAATGAATTCATCATGGGTGCTTTGGCCAGTAAGAAAATATCACTCGGTGAAAGTACTCCGGTAAAGCAATTAGAAGTTGAGGAGTTGAAATTTGAGCTTGATAACAAAGCACGTGAATATATCGCAAACGCAGAGAAACATCATGATGCTATCATGGGTGCACACACTATGGATGTAAGATATATGTTGGATAACGGTTGATAAATAATTAAATATACACAGGTAATTCAATACGATGGTTATGGATCTAATCTCATAAAATCCAAGAAGATCTCTCCAGATGCATGGGTTCAAATGGTTAAGCAACTTGCATTTTGGAAACTTCGTGGTCGTGCTCCAGGTGTGTATGAAAGTTGCCAAACTCGCAAGTTCCTGTATGGACGTACCGAAGTTATCCGACCAACATCGAACGAGAGCACTGAATTTGTAAGGCTCATGAGGGATTTTAATGCTAGTGTGAGTGGAATGATGAAATATCGATGGCGTCTAATAAGTTGAATAGGATGATGCTCGTATTAATGCACTTCATGCAGCAGCCAAACGTCATCTGACCTACGCAGGTTGGGCAGCCAATGGGGTGGCTGTTGACAGACACATCTACGGTCTCAAGAACTGCTTGAAAGAAGGAGAAGAGTTACACCCAGCTCTGAAGGATGCCGCTTTAGCAAGATCGAACAAATGGGAACTGAGCACTTCACAGCTGAGCTCACCATTCTTTGATGGATGGGGATATAGTGAAGTCGCAGCTGACGGTTTCGGGTTAGCCTATTCCATCCAAGACAAGTCGATTAGATGGACGATCACTTGCACTAACGGAGAAGGGAAGGACCTCGGACATTGCCTTACAGAGTCAGCAAATGAATTGAGAGAGTTAATGGAGAAGGCGTAAAATTTTGTAAAATAATTAATTTGATTTGTTATGCGGGTCTCCAGTTTCTGTGACTACAATCGTCATTAAGTCGGTTAGATAGTAGTAAGAATAAAATAAAATATAAGTATAAAAATAAAACTATGGATAATATGTATCAAAGTATAAATGATAAGGATAAAGTAAATCAGAAAAAGAGATCACGGCAACTATTGAGCTGTGGAGGTGCGTAGACTGTTAGTTTCATAGTTACACGCACTAATATGAGCCTAGAATGCAGGAGACTCAAGCTTAAGGTTTGACTCCTTAGTTTCAACTTCGGTATACTAATTGTTCTTAGTGTGATAGAGTATGGCCATGCTCATCCTGCAAAAAGCGTGGGTGTGCTGCTATTTGCCCAGAAGGTACACTCAAAGGTGGTACAATGTCAAGAAACGCATTGGTTTCTAATACCGCATCCCTTCTCAGTAGAATTGAACAGCTTGAGAACGCTTTAAAGAACGTGGGGGAAATAGTGCCACCACCGACTGAACCTATTATTAGCTCAGCTGCTTATGCCTTTAATTCACCACCACCACTTCAGGAACAATCATTTCAGGAGGAGGACTTTGCCGAAAGTTTCGGTTCGCTCACTTTAGGAATATCTGGACAAGCTAGGTATGTTGGCCCAAGTGCTGGTTCAGAGTGGTTGCAGAATGTCAGTTTACTTGCTTATTTACCTTCATTGACTTCCATTTTACTTACTTTCTATTAGGAAGATGCCATATCCGACGAAGATCTTGAATCTGAAAGGAGAAATGAAAGCTCTCCAAATTTCCAAGATAGCCCAAACACACCACCATCGGACTTCCCCTTTCCCGGTGCTACAAATCAATCAGTTGTGGAAGAAATCTGGAGACAATTACCACCTATAGAAACCGCAAGACATCTCTCTAATAAATATTGGGACTACGACTCCTGTTTGTAAGTGGTTTTCGATAATTTCACTCCAGCTGACTTTCATTCAGATATTATGTTGTTCCCCGTGAAATTTTTGATGAGGACTTTGAAATCATCTATCAAGGTCTTATAGATGTAAAATTCGCACACCAATTAGCACGACTTTATATGATTTTGGCTATCGGCTTACATTGTGACGTTTATGCGCCATTCGGACATCCTGATTGTCATAAGTATTATTGCTCAGCCAAAACACTTCTCAACGCTTCAGACTTTATGACGAAATGTTCGCTTGCAACCGCTCAAACGTTGCATCTAATGGGGAGTTATCTTCTCAATAGGAATCGCATCAGTGGTGCTGACTCTTATTGGCCTCTTCTTGGCGTTCAAATGCGTATCATACAAGCTATGGGTCTTCATCGAGATGGTGGCAGATGGGGTTTCGATGCAAGACAACTCAATGAGCGTCGTAGAACTTTCTGGGAGTGTCACACTATAGATGTTTTTCAATCAATCTGTTTCGGGAGGCCTTACTCGACACATGCCAGACATATTGATTGTGACTTCCCAATAGATGAGGAAGCCCGAAATTTTCATACAGGTGGTAAAGATGAAGGATATGGTTTCCATACTCTTAAATTCAAACTTGTTAAGCATCTCTGTAGGATTAGTGATGACATATATGGCGTCAATCCTCCCCCATACGAAACTGTCATACATGTAGATAGAGGAATTAGAGAATTTGACAAAAACATACCTTCACATTTGAGATGTAAGGCCGCTTCGTTGGTAAGAAATTCTTCAAATTATCCAATCGAAGAAGAGGATTCTAATAATATTAGTGATAAATTGGCTTTACAGGTTCGTCTATTTTTATCAACACATATAATATTTAAATTAACGCCTAAAAAGCAACATACACTAGCATTAAATGTAAATGAATGCTTGTTGGTGAGTTCATCATTCGAATCGTTATTACATTAATGTTTAATAACCATATGTAGTACCTAAATAGGCGTTATTTCGCGCACGCCTTAAAAACACACCCAGAAGATCCTCTCAGGTCATCATTTGCTCAATCATACATTGCCGTCATGGAATGCTGTAGAGTGAGTATCATCATTTACTTCAATAGAACCCTTAAAACTTATGTATAACTTAGGTTATTGTCGCACTCGTCAGAAGTATTCATACACTACTTCCAGAACTTTCAACACGTTATTGGTATTTCTTTCACCATTTATTCTCTTGTGGTGTTTGTGCTGCTGCATCATGTATGCTTTCTCCAGGTTCTTCAATGGCAGCTGAAGCTTGGAAAGATCTCAATGAAATTATTGAATTATGCGCTTTACCAACTGCAGGAAAGCGCGCTAATGCTTTTGTGCCAAGGCTTACACAACTTAGAGAGAAGGCACTTGATCGTCGCAAAGCACATTTAGAATCACGTGTAATGATTGGTAATAAAGAAGAGCAAGAAAATGAAGAAGACCATCTAGTTTTACTTGGCTTAGGTTCTAGAGTGGTTAAAAAAGGTCACAAACCTCACGTTACGATACCTTCACGTGCAAGGTCTTATAGCACTCAATATAATCTAGCAGGTGGAAATGCGCAATATAATCAACCTGGAATATATAGCCCTTCAAGTGATAAAGGAGTACCTGCTAAGTCATTCAATGAGTATGCCGCTATTAGTCCTGAAGATGAGAATTCACGTAGTAAATCAAGGAGAAGAAGCAGATTCGAAAATACATCGCGAAATGATAATGATGCGTTTATTAATTCACCTTCATTTAATGGAAACTTCACATTCCAAGCACCAAACGCAAATGATCCAGTTTATGAAGCGTTATTACAAACATCCAGTGGTACAAACTCAACTGAAATGTTTAATAGTTTATGGGATTTCTCCAATAATAATAAACCTATTCCTGATCTTAATTCAACTAACGATAACTTGAATACATCACTGAATAATGTTCCTATTGATCCATTTTTTACAGGAATGAATGCAGTGGTAAGTTAAATAACTTTAAATATAATTAAGCTGACGACTATATAGAATAATAATTGGACAGAAACGAATGAAAGGAATCAAGGTGATGGAAGACATAATGACGCTGATTGGAGTAACATTATAAATTCAATGGGATTTTGATAATAAATGTAAAACTAAATATAACTTGTATTTTAATTCAATTCAATTTAAAGAAAACGCGTCTAAAACTAACTTGAATAGCGTCCACGATGTCGGGCTATGAATTGGACATAAAATTATTCGAAAAGCGCTTTAAAAAGATAGCATCTGCTTGGAAAGTGAGATATATTTTAAATTTATTAGGTTTTATGTCTTAACTATATTCAAAAGGATACTGAAAATGAAGATTACTCTGGGTTTCGCGATGCAGACGCGATTTTAGTACCAGTTGGCGATTTAGATGAAGATTCCACTTTCAAGAAGTCAACTTCCCTTCAAGTGTGTTGAATTTAGCTTGATTATATATTAGTTGACTTTCAATAGAACTGGTTACTTGGTTACGAGTTCCCTACGACGATTACAATCTTTTTACCTGACAATACCGTCATATTCATAGCATCAAATACCAAAAGTAAGTCTTTAGTTTATTTTATAACTCTAGTAACATCCTCCTTCTAGTTAAAATACTTAAACAACTCGAAAGTGCTAATGATATTAACGTTGAATTAGTTACAAAAACTAAAGATCAAGAAGCTAATCAACAAGCTTTGGAAGCTGTAGTTAATCGTTTGGCCGGTAAGCGTATTGGTGTCTTCTCAAAGGATAACGCTCAAGGTAAATCAATCGATGATTGGAATAAAGCCAGTCAAGGTAAATTAGGTGAAGAAGTCGATATCACTTCTGCAATCGCTACCGTCACAGCACCAAAAGATACATACGAGCAAAAGAACCATAAATACGCTTCACAACTTTCTTCTCACTTATTGAAGTGGGGTATGGATAAAATTATGAGCTATATAGATTCTGAGAAGAAGATAAATCATTATACCGTGGCTGAACAGATCGAGCGTAAAGCTGCGAAGAATGAAGATGAGACTGACGCAAAAGACTTGTCATTTTGGAAGAAAATGAAGACTTTCAATGAGGTAAATGCGATACTTTTATCTAAAAAGCACTTATCTAACTATCCTATAGCTTGAATACGCTTCAAGTGAACCAGTTTATACCCCCATTATTCAATCAGGTGGTGAATACAGTCTTAAACCATCCGTTATGTCAGACGAAAACAATCTAAAAGCGGGTGTAATTACAACTTCTCTTGGTATGAGATATAAATCTTATTGTTCAAATATTGGTAGAACATTCTTTATCGATCCCCACAAAACTCAAGAAGAAAATTACGCTTTCTTACTCGAATTACAAAAGCGTGTTATTGAAAAAATGACACCTGGAACACTTCTATCAGAAGTTTATGAAACTGCTTTGAATTTCGTTCGCAAGACTAAACCAGAACTTGAAGAAAAACTGAGTAAAAATCTAGGTTTTGCTACAGGTATCTACTTCCGTGATTCTACTTACATGATCAGTCCAAAATCCAATCGTAAAATTCTCAAAGGGATGGTTTTTAACTTAGCAATTGGTTTTAGTGATATAAAAGATCCAAAGAAATCAGGAAAGAATTACGTTTTATCATTGATTGATACAATATTAATCGCAGATGAAGCTGCTGTTTGTCTTACTGAAGGTAATAAGTCAAGTAGGGATGTTATGTTGTTCATGGAAAACGAAGACGAAGAGGATAGTGATATTGCAGAAGTCAAACCTAAGAAACAATCTTCTCCAAAAAAGAAGAGCCATTCAAATGATCTCGAAAGCGCTGTTATTGGTAATAGAATGCTACGTGGTAAGACGCGTAATGCAGGTCGCGAACCTGATCAATCAACTGCTCATAAAATCAAAGAGCACCAAAAAATACTCCATGAAGCCAAAAACGAAGAAGGTCTTAAACGTTTTGCTGAAGGAAAAGATTCATCAAATGGTTCTAAACCAGAAGTATTCAAGCGTTTCGATTCTTATAAGCGCGAACAACAAGTTCCTATTAATAGAGATTTGAGAGTATGTTCATTAATATCATAAAATCTCACTTCTAATAATTCATACAGATACTTGTGGATACCAAAGCACAGACTGTTATTCTACCAATCAATGGTTTCATTGTTCCTGTGCACGTTTCTACTATAAAGAATATCAGTAAGACAGAAGAAGGTGATTACACTAGTTTAAGAATAAACTTCATTACTCCAGGTCAATCAGTTGGAAAGAAGGAGGACGTACCATTTGAGGATCCTGACTCAATGTTTATTCGTTCAGCTACATTTAGATCAACTGACAAACTAAGATTCTCAGATTTATACAAAGATATTACTGAACTAAAGAAACTCTCAACTAAACGTGCTGCTGAGAAACGTGAAATGGCTGACGTAGTTGAACAGGAAAACTTGACAGAAATTAAGGGACGTAGACCGGTTAGATTAGGAGAAGTATTTGCGCGTCCAATTGAAGGAAAACGTCTAGCAGGTGACCTTGATATTCATACAAATGGTGTAAGATACACAACACCGACAAGAGATCAGAAGATAGACGTTCTCTTTAGTAATGTCAAACACTTTTTCTTTCAACCATGCGAACATGAATTGATTGTTCTTATACACTTCCATCTCAAAGCTCCAATTATGATAGGTAAGAAAAAAACGAGAGTGAGTTATAATTAGTAACTCCTAGAAACCGTGCTAAGTTTTTAAAATAGGATGTACAATTTTACCGTGAAGCAACAGATGCATCCTTCGATGAGACAGGTAACCGTAAACGCAAGATAAGGTACGGTGATGAAGATGAAATTGAGCTGGAACAAGAAGAGAGAAGACGTCGTAATGCTTTGAATAAAGAATTCAAAGGGTTCGCTGAAAAAATTGCCGAAGCTTCCCAGGATAACTTTGATGTTGATATACCATACCGTGAACTTGGTTTCCAAGGTGTACCACATCGCACTGGGGTCTTATTACAACCAACAACTGAATGTCTAGTTCAATTAACTGATCCACCTTTCACCATAATTACATTAGCAGAAGTTGAATTAGCACACTTAGAAAGAGTCAGTTTTGGTTTGAAAACATTTGATATAGTATTTGTTTTCTCAGATTTCTCCAAACCAGTTATGCATATCAACTCTATTCAAGCTTCTCAATTGGATAATGTAAAAGAGTGGCTTGATTCTTCGGATATACCAATATCTGAGGGTCCAGCATCCTTGAATTGGAGCGCTGTTATGAAGACAGTAAATGAAGATCCGAAAGACTTCTTCGAATCAGGTGGTTGGTCATTCCTTGGTGGATCTGGCGATCAAGAGGACGGAAGTGACGAATCTGAACCTGAATCACAATACAATATGTCAGAGGATGCTGTAGATGATGAGAGCGAAGATAGTGATGAATTTGATGATTCAAATGATGGATCTGAATCTGATGCATCTGATGCATCCGACGTTTCAGGTGAATCTTGGGACGCACTCGAACGTCGCGCTGAAAAAAGTGACCGCAAGCATTACAAAGGTTTAGATGATGAAGAAGGTGCTTCAAAATCTTCAAAGGGTAAGAGACGTTAAATATTTGTTAAATTATGCCAAATCATCACATTTTATGAAATATTATGATATATATCGTAAAAAAAAATAAGTTTGCAAAATAAGCCTTCTACCCGGATGGATGATAAGTAAAATGTAGTTGTTTAATCCTTTTTAACTAAAATTGGATGCAATGTTTGCTCATGAAGTGCTTTACCTGTAGGTACCATTGGGTAACAATGCTCCGATTTTACAACTCTTGCGTGTAATAAAACTGGTCTGTCAGTTGGGTAAGCTAAAAATTCTTCCATTGCTTTTGGTAATTCTTCAAGACTTTCACACTTTATAGCATGAACACCCATAGCGTTGGCTAATTTACAGAAATCAGGATTGATCATTTGGGTGTGAGAATATCTTTGGTCATAGAAAAGATCTTGCCATTGAAGAACCATACCTTTCATAATTTTAATTTCAAAATTTAAGTTCCAATTTGTACTTACCTTGGAAAGCATTGTCAAGTACAATGACCTTTACACCAATATTAAATTGGGAAGCGGTTTGTAATTCCATTGCAGTCATTGAGAATGATGCATCACCATCAATATCGATAACGGTCTTGTTTGGTGCAGCAACTTTAGCACCAATAGCAGCTGGTAAACCGAATCCCATAGTTCCGAGACCACCAGAGGTCACCATTGTACGTGGAGATGTCCATCTGTAATGCTGAGCTGCCCACATTTGATGCTGACCAACACCAGTTGAAATAATGAAATTATCCTTCTTACCGCGACTCTGTTTGTCAAGTTCTTCGATAACTTCTTGAGGTTTTAAAAGTTCTTTTCCGTTAGAATTTTCAAATATAAATGGGTACTTTTCTTTCCAGGTTGAAATCTTATCAAACCATTCTTCACGAGGTTTTGAACGGATATGTTTTAAAAGATGTCCAAGATTTTGTGTAACGTCGCCAGCAACAGCTACATTCGCTTGGACAACTTTGTTGATATTTTTTGGCATTACTTCAAAGTGAATAATACCACCGCGTCCTTGGAGAGCTGCAGCTCTTGCTGCTGGTGCGAAAGTATCAACTTTTCCGGTGACACGATCATCAAACCTTGCACCTAATGCTATGATAAGATCTGCTTCTTGCATAGCCAAGTTAGCGTAGGCTGATCCATGCATACCAAGCATATGAAGTGATTTCGGATCAAGTTCATCAAAAGAACCCAAACCTTGTAAAGTCGTCGTTACTGGAATATTTCCATTATTCGATAATTCACGAAGTTTTGCTGGACCATCTTCGCTATTAAGAATACCTGCACCAGCATAGATGACTGGACGTTTTGCGATATTTATGAGCTCAGCTGCTTGCTCAATTGCATTAAAATCAGGGCCAGTATCAGCTGAAGAGAGAACAGGCGGATTAGGTAAAGGTGGAAGAGCTTGAGGTTGAGTGTAACGAGTTGGAATTGGATCTTTGCAAATACCTGCTGTGACATCTTTTGGAAGATCAACAAGTACTGGACCTGGTCTGCCAGATGTGGCTATCTTGAAAGCTTCATTGATTCTTCTAGGTATTTCTGAAACATTTTGTATCATTACGTTCCACTTTGTACAGCTTCTTGAAATACCGATAACATCAGCTTCTTGGAAGGCATCAGAGCCGATAGCAGATGTTGCGACTTGACCTGTGAAAACGATCATCGGAATACCATCTGAAAGTGCATCTTGCATAGCCGTAATCGTATTTGTAGCACCTGGACCAGATGTAACAAGAACAATACCAGGCTTGCCGGTGATACGAGCATAACCTTCAGCCATATGACCAGCACCTTGCTCGTGCCTTGGTAAAATAAAATCGAAATTTGGGGAATTGTAGATAGCGTCAAAGACAGGAAGGATGGCACCACCTGGATAACCAAATACATGCTTGACTTTGTGTCGAAGCATAAGCTCTGAGAATATTTCTCCACCGCTCATACCAACGAATGAGTCGTCGAGATCCCAGGGCATAATCTTGTTAACGTTAGATTGGGATTCCCTGGCAACTGGTTTAGGTGGTGGAGTCTGCTGGAACGATGGAGAAGGTTGTGGACGTCTACATTTAAATTAGTATGCTATAGCCAGGGTAGAATGAGTGACTTACACGCTTGCTGCATCCTTAACTGGTGGCTTTGAGCTAATAAAACGAGAAGCAATACTTCTATTTACTTGCAGAGTGCGTCTTGTATTACTCGCAATAGCCTTAGCAAATGCACTTCTAGGCAGCATCTTTTTACGTATCTGAAAAGATAGAAGACGAGAAGATAGTCATTTGACCGATTGAGTCAGAGAACAAAATTTTATTTAAGATTAAGGAATGCAAAATCATTTTAATAGGATTTAATTTAATTATAGTAATTATACTCTTTCGGCCTACTGTTGATTCTCTCGGAGAATCGGCTTATGACTAGGACGTTCACAAATACATCATTAAAGGTCAATTACTAATCAAAACGATTATATTGGTTATTTTATACCCATACATGTTGCTCTTATTATTCTATCACGAAATTCTAGTATCTAAATAAGTGTTCAAGTTGTCCTTAAGTTTTACTGTTGTTCCAATACATAGTTCTCATTTATATGGCTATGTTCGAATCATCTTCCAAATATCACAACTAAAATTGCGAATCTTCAAAGTAGAGATATAAATGAGACATCAAAGAATGGGATTTTGTATGACTTGAGGAAATGAGTCCATCAATCCAGATTCCAGCGATAAAATACGTCTTAAAATGAACAAATATCTACAATCACATAACCAGAGTGAATTTTTATTTTATAATATAGTACATGTATATATGGCAGATCGAATTACTGATTGTTTAGTTTCAACACAGATTTCTTGATTACTGGCTTTTTAGTACGACCGCACTAGAATGTGATAGAGTAATATGCAAAAGTTTTTTGTTTTCAATAAACCTAGGACATGATTATTATTCAAAACTTTAGCAACGATATATAGTATTATTGCCTGGCAATCTATAATGAGCCCATTGAAAAAGACTCTGCTAGTACAAAATATAGCTAATTTTACATCTACAGTTAATTTGTTTCTATAAGACTTCAAGCGCATGATTATACTATTTATAGTAGCTAAAGAGATAACCTATGAAAGCATAGGGTAGTTCAAGTGACAACAAAATCATTAACTCTCAAAGAAAGGCTAGAAGGTAGTTAGATAGCAAAACATGGTTACAATGATTAGCATGGACATTTACATTGTTCATTTATGAATAAGATCAAAATCCTCGACAAGCTCAAGGTTAAAAACAAGTCAAAAGTTATACATTGGTTTCTGATGATCGATTATCAATTGTGTCCAACTGATATGGTTGTATGATTTGATGATAATGCCAAGCTATGATGATCCTTGAATTAAATTGATCTAACTACCTCTTGTAGAGTGAGACATCGTTTATGGTTTAGTGTCAATAAAGTCAATGAAGTGTGCAATATATTCATTCATAATACATGTACATTCATGCACTGCTTCGTCCCAGGCTCAAATTAGCACAATATTCTAATGGAATTATATGTGCTCTGTCGTATATTGATAATATCAAGTAAACTAAAATTATCGGGCGCTCTGACCATTTCATTTTATAGTTGTCCATTATGTTGTTTTATTTTCGTCTCCAAACAACACATCCTTAAACAATGTTAATGCGATGCCTAGAAAGCTATTTACTACAGTACAATCATCAGTATATATAGCTTACAGGGATTTTCTCTAAATAATTCTCAATTATCGATGCTAATTCAATATTTCGACACTACAACCATCTCTGTATTGCTGAAATATTATAGATAAATGATATATTATCCATGAATTATTAGTTTAACTGTAAGTATGTACCAAAGTTCGCTTATGACATGGGTTTTTGGATGACATGCTTAATTGGGACTGACTGCTTTAGTTAGTGGTATGAGTCAGTAGTTATATAGGTACATTGTATCAATATCTTTATTCAGGTATTAAAAGTTACAAAGGATGGTAATAGCATAGCAACGACAAATCATAGAAGCACTTGCAACAATTTGACATCGTTCGCCAGTAGAACAAATACCCAAAAAATACCAAGTTACATCCAGCAAAAATTATCTTTGTCTGAATTATTAAACGCTCTTGGGTCTTTTCAGGCATATTTTACGGAGTGTCAACATTACATAGACGCCTTTGGTACCCAACAAAAAATTTCTGATGGCTAACGTGCCATATCTCTTCAATGGTGAATAATAACAAGAATCCTCTTAGTTCTGAATTTTGAAGAATTAGTAAAAATAGTAAATAACGCGATGAAAAGTAATTCAGTAACGTCAATATTGGGTTGTTGGAGATGCAGCTCATTTCAAAACACAGGATAAGCATTTGGGCTATAGTAATGCTACTAGACAGTTGATGACATTATCGCACTTAAGCAAAGTTATAAAGGGGTCTACTCGACAATATATGGAGAGAATACATATACCTGATAATGACACAATTGAAAGCTACATGGAACTTGCCAATTTTGTGCCGATGGCCTTTATGCATGAATTTAACATAGCTTACCTCGTGAAGATCTACGTGCATGCTTCTAATAGTTGTCATCGTCTTTCAAGCATCGTAATACGATTCGAAGGTTTTTGCAAAAAAAAAAAAGGATCATAACTTGAGAATTTATTAAGCTCAACGTAGTTAAAAATGCTCTTAGGCTAGTAACCCATTGTATGTTAAGGTTATTTATTATATTCTCTCACTGTGAACAATAATATGGAACTTGTCGTTAGCTCTCAGGAACATTACTTAGACGACATTAGTTTGGTTTTAATTTAATATATAGAAGAGCTTTTAACTAATAAAGCGTTCAATCGAATTTGCCGAAATCTCTATTTTTTAAGCGTATTGAGGATGATGCGTGAATGTCTCACCTTAATTTAAGGAACACAATGTAAAATGATCCCTCATAATCAAACTGCTGTTTGATTTTGAAATATATGGGAGCATTACAAGTATTCAATTATATCATAGCGGCGACGTCATTCCATAAGTTTCTGCAGTATTCCTTGATATGATTCAATAAACTTGTCAAATATACTTATTGCGTACTAAATAATGAATGTCGTTTACTTCTTGTTCGTGATATTGATTGACAAATAGTAAGTTGTAAAATTTCTGCAGGTTATTTTTCTGCTAATCCGCAACTTACCCATTCAAAGACCTAGAGATTAGAACCCTTTATAATTGAAAAAAAAATATTATATCTATTTTCAGACGCACTTGGTCCACAAAAGCATAGGGCGCCCATACATGGTGTTCACAAACGTTCCAGTTTCAGCCACTATCAATTATATAAGTATACAGTCAACATCTGAAGACACTTTTTTGATAGGTAAGTACGGATGCCAGATCACAAAGCTTCAGTCAAGCTGCAAGCAGGCACAAGAAGATTTGTAGGGACGGTATATTCATACAATGAGGGTTGGATGTAAACAGAAATGTATGCTGGTAGAGGATAGTATAGTTTTGAGAGCTAAACCTATGACTTTAATGTCGTTTGAACATGGCTTACGATTTAATAACGCAAAGTACCAGTCTCTTCTGTATATTTACACATCATGTCGGAATGTAGCCCATGTAAGTTACTGTTGGCAACGAAATGGGCTGGTTGCGATGATATCTGTCCTGACCGGTTAGGTATAAGGATAAGCACACGTTAATATTAGACCCAATCAGTACATTAATAGTTCAAAAGATTCCCATTAACGTTCCTTCTGCTAGCCGATGACGACATTGAACCGTTTAGATAATCTTACGAATTATAAAGTAAAACATTTTTTTTTATCTGGTGAAAGAATTACTTCGCTCATTTGGAAAAAGCGTGAACTTATATTAGCATTTATAAGAAAGTCCTCATATTCGCAATCTAAAAGTTGATCTGTCAATCCGTTCTGAAAACCACAGAATCGCATAGGGTATTAACTTCGTGACTGTTAATCATATCGTAAAAAATGTTATAAGACTTCTGAACTTCCAAGCTATCTCTTTCTAGAAAGAGAAGCGTCATATACCCTGTCCTACAACAGGAGTTTATATCTGCAATTTCATATAATCGTTAAAACCATTTCGGTCATCATAAAAAAAAAATATATATATACTGAAATGTCAGAAGTAAAATATGTTCAATATTCTATAGGCGAACTTCGTTTGACTGTATTTACTATCTTCGTCTCTCTAAGCTTGGTAGTCGGTTTTCCATGCTTGCACTGAAAGCTTTTAAAGCTTATCTAAATAAGGACCACTTTGATCATGATAAGTTTTGGAGGGAGTACAGACAGTTCCGGTCCTTGTAATAAGCATGTTTTAGGGTATTGGAATCCAGGTGTTGTGTCCGAACATACATGCTTCCACGCAAATACTGGATTATCCCCAGTACATCGAAGCCTCTATTCTTCAACATGTATTTTTCAAATGTCAATTGTGTTCTCTTCAGGTGTAACTGTCAAGAACGAATAATTATAATACATCAAATGCTTCCTTAGGTAGTTCAAGCAGAATTACATCGAGCTACTGGGTACGTATTACATGCATTGTTCGATTGAAGGATGAATGGAGTAGTGGCCATATAAAACTGCTAAAAACATTACCAATATCGTCAGATGCGAACATCATTACGCTATTTTGCATCGGTCAGTCAGTCAAAGTATTCAAGTTGTCATCTGTTGATCGATCTACCATAATAAAATTGCTAGCTCAAAAATATTCTGCAGAACATATTAGCGGTATTTTGCTTGGCGAGCGGTACCTAATTTACAGAATGCCTGCCTACATTATTGATAGCAATACTCGTTAATCAATCTTGCTTGCAGACAACCTTTTACGATACAACATTACTAGACAATACAATGAAGGTCATGTCTTGTTCTTAGTTAGTTTTGTCAGTTTAGAACATAATTGACATTAATAAAGGATTTAGACGACACGTAACTCTGACCAATTTGAAGTCATGAAGGTAGGGTTGACAATCACAAATAAGCTATCATATACTTTGGTTACCATTTCCAAATTGAGTAGTACATATTTATTGAAGCTTTATAGATGTGACTACTATTATCACTTGTTTTAAATAATTGAATCCCATTTATCTATCACTCGCTACAGAAACTTTTCATTGTCACTGATATAGGACATCAGTAACATGAATGTTTGATGTGACTGCATTCGATTCTTATCACGTTGTTTTTTCTTTGTATAATTTTGTACATCTAATATATTTCGGCCTACTTTAGAGAAATATGTAAAGGAAATATGAGGAAGGGATAATGTAAACTGATTTTTAGCATACCAAAACTCAGGCAATGAACCATTTTCTAGATCACTCTTGAGAATATTTACGCTCATTTGGACACTAATAGTATTGTCTAAAGTTCTGTTCATTGTCGAAGTACTGAGTAACACGTTATTCGACCTTAAACTTCACTTAGTGATACAAAATTGAAGAGGTATGGGAACTTCCTTAGATACAAGTACTTGGCATTCTGTTATTCAAAGTCGTTAAAAGTTAGCGCACGATCATAAGCGACCAATAAGTTATCTTTATTCTTCTGCTCAAATAAAACTATAGCAAATCATGACGTTCTACGAATAATTATGCCTGCTGAGGTGTTCCATCATACAATTGACCAAGCCATCGCAAAACGAACGCACACTTTGAGGTTTGCAAAGTTAGTTTTGTGCTATGTGAGATGTTCGAGAGTAAAATAACACTATTCGTTGAGAAACACCATAATTTTTGAAGCGTTGAAGTGCAGCGCAGTGATGTCAGTTAAATAAATTATGTTCACAATACTGGCAGTCAGGAAAAACGTTAACCGTAAATCATCTTTGTATAATTCGAGAACTATCGAACATTATGTAGCATGATTGCATAGTGAGGAGGAAAATTAACAACTAACTCTAATAGGGGAAGGTACGATTTGTTTTTAAAATAATTTTCATGTTTGGTATTGAATAGAAGTTTAATACACATCCACCTGTAGAAACACAAATATTATTGCCTCTCTCCTGCGGTTAAACCAATTTGCCAAGCAATCCTGGTACGATCATGTTGCTTTGCACAAAAACTTACCCAATTCCGTTTTTAACAACATTCGTCGGTTACAGCCTATACCTAAAAAAGCACCAAATATTGGAGAAGCTTCATGGTTTCCATTACCTCTTAAACACTTCTAGCTTAATACGAAGTGTTTCTGATAGGAAGCCTTAACTCTTTGGTTGTTATTTTCAAGTATGTGTTACAAATTTTGACTCTTTCTAGAATAATGCCCGTATACAACGGCGGGCAATATTCCTGGCTATATATCATGAATGGTAGGTAGTACTACAGTGTTTTGCGAAAGGACGTCTAATGTTTCAACTCCTGACGGGCGAAGAAGGTTAATCGAGTTCGACGGGAACAATTTTGAACATCACCGAGACTTGCAAAACGACGTTTCACGTAAATTGTTGTGACCACATCAGTGTAACCCATTATACCACTATAGAAGGTCATATTCGCATTATACTGAATATCACATCCAACTGAAATTTAAGTGATATCCATAATACATGCTGTAGAATGCTTTAAAATTAGTTTTCATCTGTCACTGAGAGCTAATTGTTTACGTGCCAGAGAGTAACCAGTTCTTTAATATACACTGCATTATCGAAAAAATCTATGCATGATGAGCAAGCAAACCTACTTTTCTAAGAAAGTTTGTTAATCTTGTTATTGTCGTAGTGATTCCTCTCAATAAAGAAAACACTGTTATCAAGATTTCTAAAACAGCAGCGTCAAACAACTTTTATGACTCTCATGTTGTATTAATTTGAAAAACTTCAAAACCTACGTGCAGTGGGGCGGTAGATTCGAGTAAGTAAGAACACGATCATAGTCACCATTTTTGATGTCGCGTGCCTTGGACCGTACAACCTCAGGCAACCAGGTTTTCTAAAACGACGTAGTACTCAATCCGGCGTCTTTCGTGCACCAGATTTCCGTCAAAGCTACTACAAGTATGTGTTTGATTTCGTCTTGTATTCTTGTTATCTTTCAGATGTCCAGTAAAGTCATATCGCTAATGAGGAGTGCTTCGTTACAAAGTCTTGTAATCGAAGGAAAGTAATCAATAAACTACGCTTCGCTTGAGGCCCGTAATATTGAAGATATCTCGGGCCACGTACTTAACAAATCACCCATCCCCCGCTAAGGTGGGGCGTAACCATTGTTTTTTTTTTACACCGCGATCAAGCCCAATGTTGAGAACATTTCGATAGCGTTACACAGTCATGCACCTTCACACACTAAAACAAACCACACCCTAACACTACCAAGCGTCATTTTTTAACAGCGTTACACTCAGCAAGCATTGATTACGAAAAAAAAAAACCTTGCGATTGTAACTCGCATCTTTCATCTGTCTGTGACTTTAGTATGTGTCGGAATGCTAAACTCGTTCGTCAACCTCTTCAGATAATATAGTGTTACCTAAACATGTAGAAAACCAATATAATAAAAAGTGAGATCTAAAATGTTTTGCTCCATCGGCAAATACGCTCAAACCCCAATGAGTAGGTGGAATGATGAGTAAGCGATCTTGTTTAGCCCGCAACAGGACAAAAATCTATCTATCGGGTGATCCCAGGTAGGCCCAGGAAGGTGCATGTTCCAAGGAGACAGAAAAATATGTTGATGAGGTTTAATTCATGCCCCGAAGAAGTGTCGCCATTGGGGATTTAGTTCTAGTGAGATAACAGAAGATACTACCTATGTGGTAATCCTGAAGGCAACACATTTTTAGTACACAGAGCGGGCGTTCTGGGCAATCTAATAATATCGATCTAAGTGTAAAAGGTTTTTCGCCACGTTTACAAAGCTTTATAAAAATCACCACTGGATCTTGAATATGGCCTTTCCTGTCTAAGGACCTCGTCCGAGTACGACCACTAGGCATTCCATTTGGTTTTTCGTTCTGAATTTTACTATTCGACCTTCCTGGAGTTGGTCTGTTAACCAGCTCATCGATAGAACACTTCAACCAAAAGCTCTTTATGCTGCACAGTGAGAAGGGTGTTTTGTTCCTGCTCTAGCCTGGTAGCAGCGAATTGAGGACAAGTGAATGAATGTCATCGACTTTAGACGAATTTTGGTTGGAAATGTTAGGATATGTCATGTTGTTCGCTCATATGTACAAATAGTTATTGTATAGCATTGCACATAATAACTTCTTTTTGTAGGACAGCCGTACTCAAAGAGTCTTTCAATGCGTTTATTTTGTGGCGATGGTTCTAAAATTTGTTTGTCACCAAAAAATTGTTTGACGTTAATTTGGAATAACACGACAATATTTATTCATAATGTGCGTTGATCAATTGAAAGTAACGTTCAAGTATTACCTATTCAGTTTCAGACTATTACCTCTCGTCCTTCAACAATTATAATTCCCTTATGTTTTTCTTGTTGCCTAGGCTATCATTTGACATTCTTCGATTGCTATAATTTGCATATGTTGCTTTGTGACGTTTGTGTACGGACTGTGGGGGTCTATCTATACACGGGTGCTGAAGATAAAGGATCCATTATATATTTCTCTAGGAAGCGGTATAGAAATATACAGGAAACTGTACTAAATTACATAATGTCAGTTAGAGAGATAATATACAATTTGAAACATTTTTACTTTTGAAATATGACACTAGGTGTCAAGAATTAGTTACATATTTTTAGAGTAAGCAAACAGCTATCAGGTTCGGACACAATAGATGTTCAGTATGATTAAAAAAGGTAGTGCATAAATACATCTGTTTTTTTTTTTACCTTGTTCCATATATAGGAATTTTAAGGTGAAATACGTAAATCCTAAGATCTGCTAGGAAATAAACAACACAAGTAGTCTTGCTTATAGACCATAATATCCACTTCTAATCAATGGAAGGAATGTGAAGAACCAGTTGGGTTAAAATAATCATGTGTAAGTAGCTGAAGTTAAAACACTAGATTACAAACAAAGGCAAATATAGTTGCATAAGAGCCTTCAGAGTTTCCATTACTACAAACACACCCACAACAGAAAGTGCTAATTTGGATGAAGTGCATGCACCATTATGAGGATGCTACAAATTTGTGCTTTCACATGAAGCTAGTTACCAAATGAGCCAATTAAAATTGATACCAGGTAATTTAATGCCTTAAAACTACAATCAAATTCACCCTTTATAAACAACTAGAAGCATTACAGTGTAAGGTTAACTACAAACAGGGAAAAGATTATGCTTTTTGCTTAGCCCTGTGATTGCGTGATAGTCTCTTGCGAATTTCATTGCTATTACTACAGACTTCAGCAGGAATAACTCTGTTTTTTTTTTTATGATTACTCGATATGATAGCACCATTGTTCTCAATGTGTAAGGAAACCAATACAATCCATTGAAAGCCTTTATGTTCACAGACTATTTAATGGATTTCTGATTAAAGGGTTGGTCAAAATCTATTGAAATTTTCGTGTATAAAGGTTAAAGACCTTTGTGTGTTGCAATTGTCGTGGGTTTAAGGCAAGTCCAAACGCATTATTATCTGAAGAAAGTAGGTTTAATATCGTATTTCTATGTTTTATGATATTTGCGTTAAACCAGCTTGTAGTCTATGACTATCACTTATCGGAGAGAATGACAGGAACGATCGAGCTCTTAACAATTCATATCATGTTTAGAATAGCACATAACACCGATACATGATACAAAGTAGGGTAGTGTACAAGCAAGATCAAAATATCAATGAAGATACGGTATCTTGTCTTCAAATTAACAAAAATAATGGTAAATTTTCCTTTAGGTTGTAATTATTAGAAAAGGCAGCTAATATTAATCATCTGTCATATTAATGTTTTCTTCATTATCACTATTTGAACCATCCTGATAGTGAACCGAATCATTATCATCATTTATAAAGTTCAATTGAACTTGATTTGAATCTTTTGTTGACCAAAATCTAATAAAAGAATCATCACCAACTGAACAAATTAGAGGTTTATTCGATAACCAAGTAATAGAATTCACGCAACCAATTTGATGGCCTTTTAATATTTGAATAAGTTTACCAGATTTTCTATGCCATACGTATATGTTTGAATCTATGAATTAAATTAGCTGAAATTTGATTAAAAAGTTATTAATAGCGGACCTTCACTACCACTTATTATGAAGTTTTCGTTATAACCTCCAAAAGATGATTTAATAACGTGCTGAGATTGTCGATGACCATATAATTTTTTAATTAAACAACGATTATTTAAATCCCATAGTTGTAACTCATTTGGTGCATAGTTAAATAATAGTTGAGAAGAATCTAGTGATACACTTAAAGATGAAATTTCATTCTTCATTTCAATTTGCCTATTGTGTTGTGAATAAAACATTTCGAGTGTAAGAAGTTTCAAAAAATACGAACCAAATGCAATCTCTCGTAGTCAAATCGTAGATCATCAAACGTCTCATTTCTTCTGTATAACTTAGAGTACCATCTGGTGATAAAGTCGGTTGAGGACCATCAGGTCCAATTAGTATGATCGACTTATTATTTGGAGTTAGTAAAGAATCAGTAATTCTAATTGGTAGTTGGTCCCATTTGTATAGCAAGTTACCATTCAAATCCCATTCTAATAATTTCTGATCTAATGCAGTTGAGTAAAGTATGGAGTCGTCAAAGGTGAACAATAGATTAGATATAGTTTCATCATGTTGATCATCTGATTTAAATTTGACTGTATAATTAACTGTTTCATAAAAAATTAAAACATTCTCAATTGCAATAATAAAAGTAGATTGATCGTTAGAAAATTTGATGACTGAAACGTCTTGATCAAAATCTTTTAGATGTTTAATCTTTTTAATAGAATTGTTAGTATAATCAATGGACCAAATTATGATAGATTTGTCTTTTGATGCAGTTGCGAAATAAGTTTCATCTTTCGTGAAAGAGCAATGCCAAATTTCATCTTTATGAGCTTTTATAAGGGAATTATTATAGTTTGGGAATGATAACGAATCATTTTTTAGATCGTTTAATAAACTGACTTCATTAGTATTAGAAACGTAGAAGAAGTTATCGGATTGGTATTGAATAGATTGATTTAATAAAGTGAATAATCTATTATTTGGTAACAATAGATCACTTTGAATAAAATTTTCTAGATCTTTTAAAACTATTGATCTAGATTGTTTCAAATTGTCAATTAAGAATGGGGACATTAGAAGGCAAGAAAGTTGCTTAATTTTATCATTTTGATCATGTAATAAAGGTGTTAGATAATTTCTCAAAACCTGTATAGCTTTTTGATCATTACCTGAACTTAATAACTCTTTATATTGTTGTACATAAATTAATTCCATGGAAGATTTTAAATTGTTATCATCTAAATTTAATTGCTCTAACAATTGAATTGATAGATTCCATTGACCATTGATTATCGCTGATTTCAAGGATCTAATCTCTTCTATCTCTAGATCAACATTTGACTCTCTAGTTAAAGTATTAAAAGATTCCTTCAAATCTAAACTTTCCAAAGATTGTAATATTAGCCTAATTATTTCTGTCCTATCGAAATCTCTCGCTGATAATGACATTAACTTAAATAATAGTTATATTGTAGATTCAGAACGAGATGATGGATGATGATATTAATCAAAAAAAATATAAAAAAGAAAAGTTTATACAAATATAAAAAAAATCCATTGAATTTATTCTATCAAATTTAATTGCCTTCAAATACGCCCTTTACTTGATTACCAAATTTGGTGACGTCATCAATAAAGTCACGTTTGTCTATAAATTATTATAATTAATGACTAATAAAATAAGATTAAATCTAAACTAACCAGGGTTGAAAACGTTCTTTATATCGTTACCAGTATCTTTGACTCCTTCAATGAAACTATTAAAGTCACGCTAATTAAAATAAGTGATCAATGAAAAAGGGTATAAAAAATAAACTCACTTTGTTTACGTTATCAATAGTACGAGCATTCTAATGAAAATTATCGTTAATGTGGCAACTACATTGTAATCTTACTACTCACAACATTCTCAATCTCGTTAGTTGCCTTCTTAATTGATTCAATTAAATGATTGCCTGACTACACTGTTTAAGTTCGATGACTGTGAAATATTTACAACTTACATCACGTCCTTCTAAAATTGGTAATGCTGTTGTTAATCCAGTAACAGTTAAAAAAAATACACTAGTTAATTTCATTCTTCCTCTTTATTGATTTATTTTTTTATCTTGATTGTTATGTACAAACTTTTATTGGCTCCAATTCATTCGGGAGGATCATATGAAAGAAAAAATTTTCATTACTATCATCGGTTAAAAAAACATTGATCTTTATAAAATACATTTATAGTTGGTATAATAACTTTATCATCTATCTATCCTTCGTCTTGTTAAATCTGACATTATTACCTCATAGGCTAATAATGTCATAGCAGAATTAGGCACTGTTCTTAGTAAGGTGACAGATAAACCTTTATATAAACCCTTTAAACCACTTTCATTCATAATAGCTCTTATAACTTTTAATATCTCTGAACTATTCAAATGATGCTTATCTCTATTTCTATCTATTTGCAACCTAGTTCTAACAACTTCATGAGGGTATGTTGAAATTGAAGCCATCATTTTGGAAATTGAAGAACATGATAATAACTGTAATGTTGTTAATTCATTATTATCATTTGATTTCATCTTAAATTTCAATCTCTCATATAAAGGGAATTGAATAACGACGTGACTAACGCCAACTAAGGACGGTATTAATCCTTTATAAAGAGCTTTTAAACCTTCTACTTTATATATACACTTTAAGGCGTGAAATGTATGTTTGTATGGTATACTCTCCATATCTTGAGTCTATTATAGTTTAATATAACGATAAATGAATAAATAAAGGAACTAACCATAAATCTAGTTTTAACAACCCATAGTGGATTTGATAATGTTGCACCTGTTGCACCAGCTGTGGCAGAAGCAATCATATGAGTTGACCAATTAACGCCATTTGGATCTCCTTTAATAATTAATATTATATAACCTTATAAAATAATAACTCACCTGACTTAGACAGAACTGCTTTGACTTCATCATAAACTGTAAAGTAAATTGCCCAAGTTGGTAAATAGCCGAATATTGTCGGACCTAATCCTTTATAAAATCCTTTAAAGCCTTGCTCTTTTGAAATCCTTTTTATCGTTCCTAAATTATTATCTATTTAGCCTTCCGGTAGAATTTCATGAGTCGCACGACAAACCTATTACACCATCAAGTGTACGGCCTTTGAACTTCTTTTGCGCTTGTAATTTAGTTTTAATCACATCTAATGGACACGTAACGACACTAGCCACCACTCCTGCTACACCACCTGCTATAGTCGAGCTATTGAGATTGATGTTAGTTCTTAGTTCTTAGTTCTTATTTGATTATTTATTTAAGAATTTATATATATTTCTTAAATCAATTTATTCTCTACTTACTCGTGCAGTCTCCAAGATGATGCCATTCAACTCTAAAGCCACAAACAACGGCGAAAAATAAACAAACAATAATAAAAATATAAAATTATAAAATTTATATCAATTAGTTATTAATTTAATTAGCCACTACACATTACGCATGCTTCCTTATTCTCAATGCTACAAACCAACTTTTCTTGTTCAAGTTTCTTAGCTTCTAACCTAGCTTTGGCTGTTTCAAAGTCAATCTCATCCTCATCCTCAGTTTCTTCACCCAAATCAACACTTTTTGTTGGTTGATTCTCATCAGTTTCAACATGTGAAGATAGTGTACGCTTAATTGAAGGTGTATTCTCAATACCACTCACTGCTCTACTTATAGTAGCTGCTCTAATCGGTGTTGAGACACTTTTTGCTGCATTTGAACGTGCGTTTGAATCATCAAGCTTCATTCTCTCAACACTACTTGTTATACTACCAGTCTTTGATGGTGTACTTGGTTTACTCTTTTGAGTTGCTTTCGCTTCCTCTAAAGCTTGCTTATCAACAGTGAATTGAATTGCAGCTGACTGTGGTCTAGTACGTAAATAATACATACCAGTCTTTAATCCTCTTCTGTGGGCGTAGAAGTGCATAGATGTGAGTTGAGCATGTGTTGGACTAGCTAAATGTACATTCAAACTTTGACTTTGATCAATGAAGGCTCCTCTATCTGCTGCTAAATCAATTATAACCTTCTGACTAATTTCCCAAACTGTCTTATATAATTCTTTAATATCATCTGGGATATCTGAAATATTTTGAACTGATCCGCCATGTGCGATGATCCTATTTTTCATAGTATCGTTCCATAATCCTCTATCACAAAGATCTTTAAGTAACCATGGGTTAACAATTTGGAATTCACCTGATAAAACACGTCTTGTATAAATGTTTGACGTATATGGTTCAAAGCATTCATTAAATCCAAGTATTTGTGACGTTGAGGCTGTTGGCATTGGTGCAACCAAAAGTGAGTTTCTTAAACCACGTTGAGCAACTTTTTCTTTCAAACTTGTCCAATCCCAAAGACCAGTTGGTGTAACATTCCATAAGTCATATTGAAGTTGTCCTTTGCTTGCTGGACTACCGTGATATGACTCGTAAACACCAAACTCTTGAGCTAATTCTGATGATGATTCAACAGCTGCATGATATATTGTTTCAAATATCTGCTTGTTTAATAATCTAGCCTCTTCAGATGAGAATGGGAATCTTAAAAGTTGGAAAGCATCTGCCAGACCTTGAACACCTAAACCTATTGGACGATGACGCATATTTGAGTTATATGCTTCTTTAACTGGATAATAATTGACATCAATAATACGATTGAGGTTACGTGTTAAAACCTTTGTAACCTTATGTAATTCATTGAAATCAAACTGACCATTCTTTATGTAACTTGGTAACGCAATCGAAGCTAAATTACATACGGCCACTTCATCAGGTGCTGAATATTCAATAATTTCAGTGCAAAGGTTTGAATTCTTAATTGTACCAAGGTTTTGCTGATTAGATTTAGCGTTTGCGTGATCTTTATATAACATAAATGGTCCACCAGTTTCAACTTGTGAATCAAGTATAGAATACCAAAGTTTTTGAGCTTTAACAACTCTTTTAGCTCTACCTTCTCTTTCATATTTAAAGAATAATTCTTCAAATTCTTTACCCCAAACTTCATGAAGACCTGGTGCTTCATGTGGACAAAATAATGGCCAATCACCATTCTCCTGTACACGTTGCATGAACAAATCAGGTATCCAAAGTGCGTAGAATAAATCACGAGCGCGAACTTCTTCTTTACCATGGTTTTTACGAAGATCTAAGAACTCGAAAACATCAGGATGCCAAGGTTCAAGATAGATAGCAAAAGCACCTGGTCTTTTGTTGCCACCTTGATCGACATAACGAGCTGTCGCATCAAAGGCTCTAAGCATAGGTACGATACCATTTGAAGAACCATTTGTACCAGCGATATAAGATCCTGTGGCACGGATGCAATGAATGTTTAGACCTATACCACCTGCAGTTTTAGAAATGAGAGCGCAAGATTTGAGTGTATCGTAAATTCCTTCAATTGAATCATCTTGCATCGTTACTAAAAAGCAAGAAGACATTTGAGGGTGTGGTGTACCAGCATTAAAGAGAGCTTTTAACCGTTAGAAAGGCATTATGAGAATAATAATAATCTACTCACTTGGGCTAGCATGAGTGAAAGCTTTGAGTGACATAAGGTTGTATGTTTCGATGACACGCTCTAAATCGCTACCATGCTAAAGAATGTAAGTTAAAATTGAAGCTGATAAAATTGAATACTTACGATTCCGACGGCAACACGCATTAACATGTGTTGTGGACGCTCTGCGACCTTACCATTGATACGGAGAAGGTAGGACCTCTCAAGAGTTTTGAAACCAAAGCTATTAGAAATATTCAATAACATTTTCATGAAACTAGTAATGAACTCACAAATTGTAGTTGAAATCACGATCATAAAGTATAGCGGAATCAAGAACATTACGATTCTTCATTACGATTTGATAAGTTTCATCACTAATCATTGGACCTGGTTTTCCATTCCTTGGGTTAACGTAATTATAGAGATCTTCAATAACAGCAGAGAACGCCTTCTTAGTCTCCTTATGAAGGTTAGAAATGGCTATTCTGGCAGCAAGTACAGCATAATCTGGGTGCTAGTATTTACTTTAATATGTATTTATTAAATTTATCTCTTATTACTCACTTTGACTGTAAGGTATGCAGCGGTCTCTGCAGCCAGGTTATCGAGCTCAACTGTAGTTATACCTTGATGGACACCTTGTACAACTTTTTTAGTTATCTCAATGGGGTCTACATGATTTGAATCTAAACCATAACAAAGTTTGTTGATCCTGGCCGTAATTCTATTACGAAAGGGGTTAAAAATTATCGAAATTGATTAGATTAACAACTCACTTATCAAATGCGACACTCTCTTTGCGACCATCGCGTTTAAATACCTTATCAATCGTTAGATTAACAAAAGAAACGCGTCGAAACACGTACTGTCATTCCGGACATTGTGGCAAAGTTTATTTACTACGATATTTATGAGTAAATATTACGCTTATAAATTTAATTTTTACTCACTTTTAATAAGTTAATGTGAAGGGGACGTTGATTGATAATGGTGAAGAATGTCAGACGCGTTTTGACTTGAAGAATCCGTGAAATTTTTATGCGTCTTATAAATTATTTAGGTACAATGAATTATATGCCATTCCTAACTAGTAATCTTACATTGCTCACGAATACTTTAATCAATTCATCATCTGCAAAGTTAATTTACGTCATATGTAAATAGATATATCTTACACATATTGGGTAAACCGCGTTCACGCTTGAAACCTTCCTCAATCAAGAATTTTGGTCTGTGCATTTCTAATTCTAACTCGTGTGAAGGCGTCTATCCCTATTGATAAAACAAAAACGTTGTTATAGATGAACTCACTTCACTGTTTGGGCTGAACACTTGGGTAAGATCAACTTGCATTTCTTGCTGAGTATAACTAAGGCGATCTTTCTTTCTTGAATAAGTCATGTTTTGATTCTGTGGTACTGTTTCTAGAAAGTTGTGAGTATAATAAATTCTAGAAACCTAGACATACGAGGTATTTCCATGTTTATACTTATTCTCCAATCGAAAAGTCTCTTTGGGGAGTAAATCGCTAAATCAGCAACTCGTACTTTCTCAATCACATCTTTAACTTGATCTGTTCTTAAATCTTTTGTCACTCTTATTTTACGTTGACCTTTTCCAATTGGGTAGAATGAATCTAACTCTTTACTATGAGCATATTGTATTCTAGTTGGTGTCTGACTGGATTGTGATGTTCTGTCGTTAAGGATCTTATTATAATGTTTATGTTGTGACTAATTATGTAATTAATAAAAACTTGCTCTATGTATATAGATAGATTCATGGCTTACTATTGTCATATCCGATATAAATCTAAGACCATCGGTATTTGTTAGTACTGCAGGTAAATAAGTGATAAATAAAGTTATTGAAATAACTAACTGGTCTCAACTGCAACGGGTAATTCAGCTCTTTGACCTGTTTGATCAACAAATATTCCTATTTTTGCTTCAACCTGATTACATATGAGATGAGTTGATAAGCGGAGAATTTAGCTGCTAACTTCAACTTTATGTTCACAATTCCTTGCGTGTTTCCAAATCCAATCAGAAACTTCTTTAATAAATTCATCGCTTGGCTCTAAACCGAATATAGACTTCTCCATTTTCATACCAGCCACTGATTTTATAGATTTCTCTTTGTCAATATCATTTCTTTGACGCTTTAAAGGTCTTGTACTTTCTGGTTCTTCTGGTGTAGTTGATTTATGAGTAAAGTCATCGCTAGACATTTTGATGATGAAAGTAGAGATCTCAGAGATTGAGAAGTATTCGATGATAAAAATATTTAATTTGATAAATTTCATCATAAATGACTACTATCACTCCTTCTGTACAGCCATCAGCTAAGAATGGGCTTTTTAAGAGATACCTTATTATCTCAACCAGAATCTTATCATAAGAAGAAGAATTATTTATTTGGTGAAGTCGTAAGTTATAGTATTTATATACAGTTGATTACGTAGTTTATAACGAACTGTGTAGTTAGGTGAAGGTGCTTTTGGAAAAGTAAGTAAATCTAATATAATAAATAACGATTTTAAACTTATTACAGGTCATTAGAGCTGAATGGCAGTGTCATCCAGCTGGCAAACAAGACGTCGCAATGAAAGTTATCTCAAAGAAGAAAGCTCAAGGAAATGAGAAAGCTATATTCGATGAAATGGACGTTCTCAAGAATTTAGACCACCCAAATATTGTCAAGTTCTACGAATGGTTCGAATCAAGGGACAATTACTACCTTTCTTTTGAATTAGCTACAGGTGGTGAGTTATTCGATCGCATCGCACGCAAAGGTAGATTCAGCGTTAGTTCATTCACAACAGATTTCTTAACTATCCTCATCATCTCTATTTAGGAGAAAGACGCTGCTACTGTCATTAAATCTGCAGTCGATGCCATCGCTTATATGCATTCTAATGGCATCGTTCATCGTGACATAAAGCCTGAAAATATTCTCTATAAAACCAAAGATGATTCCCAAATCGTAATCGCTGATTTCGGTATTTCTCAGAGATTAGATAATGACAACGCTCAAATAACATCACTTGCTGGTTCAGTCGGATACGCTGCTCCGGAGATACTCAATAGTCAAGCTCATAGTAAACCTGTTGATATTTGGGCTATCGGCGTCGTTACCTATGTCTTATTATGTGGTTATTCTCCTTTCCGCTCTGAAGAACTCAAAGAATTAATCGAGGAAACTAACAGAGGTAAAATAGAGTTTCATGATAGATATTGGTCTAAGGTTAGCGATCATGGTGAGTTAGTAGCACGTCTGGAGCTATTCTCACATTTCTCAGCAAAGGATTTCGTGAAAGCACTTTTACAGCCAGATCCTTCAAAACGTCCAACTGCTGCAGAGTTACTAAATCATCAAGTGAGTAAAATGGATATCCCAGTATCATCTAACTCAGGATAGTGGTTCAAAGATCAAAACTTATCCGATCAAGATGTCGGTCAAGGATTGCGAGACGCATTTAACAGCCGTGAAAAGTAAGTAGCTATTACTAAATACTTGTAGTTCCTAAATAAGTACTCAGGTGGAGAAGTGCAATAAAAGCTGTGACTGCCGTTTCTAGGTTTGGAAAATTAGGTCAAGAGGCTGCAAATGCAAGATCTAATACACCTAAGGATGACGGTTATGAAAATTTCAAGAAGTTTGACTTCAACTCTAATCGTTCTTTAGGGTCTTCAGTTGCAGCTAATGCAGCTAATTCTAGACCAGCAAACGAAGTGGATGAATCAAATGTATCAGAGTACGAGAGCGCTAACGAAGAGTTTGTTTAGTTGAATTGGAGTGTTTTTGGAGTTTCATTTTATCATATTGTACGATGTATCTTCACTTTTACTTTTCAATGTTTTAGACGTGACTTTTGAGAATTATATCACGATAGTTATCAATGACACCTTCATAGGTCAGCTGAAGAGCTGCTTTACGTTCTTCGGGTGTCAAATCGATTAATTGTTCCTATTATACGTTAAAATTATCATCAGAGTTAAGTAACTCACATAATTGAAACGGTAAAGGCGATCTTTGACCTATATTGAATCATTAAAAATTATCATAGGTAAGTAAGAAGTAGACTTACAAGTAGTCTAAATCTTTTTAATTGTTCTTGATTCTTTGGATCGAGTTTATGTAATAAAAGCATCTCAATAAGACGAAGAAATTGACGTCTGGCTACTTTAAGCTTTTTCCTTTCTTGCTCTATCCACTGTCTATCTATATCCAAAGCTGTCTTGTTTTCAAGAAGCTTCATTTCGTTCAACCAGCGAAGGTCGTTAATGTCACGCAGGATATCAAAAGCCTCAGAAGGATCCTCAACGCCCAATTCTATAACATCTTGTCTGCTTAAAACATCACTACGAATCGAATTGTATAACTCTGAGGCATGACCTTGTCGTTGGTATGGAGGTAGAATCAGAAATTGCCTGTAGCTTTAGGTTAACTGAATTGTAAACAGAAAAAACGACTGACGATAAGCGTTGTCTATGTCCAGTAGGAAAATGATAAAAGGAGTATAAAGATGAATAGCCAACAAAATGATATGCATAACTTCCATCCTCTCTGCATCTCCTTTCAAATAAAGTGAAGAATTCCCAGTTATCATCATCTTCATCTAGGTAGTTCGCTGCTTCAATAAACTAGCTTTATTAGGAAGTTTTGGTACGCTATCATGACACTCACTAGTAAAAGGAAGAACTGCATACGTCTATTGAAGTCTTTCCATCCAGCCGTTTGCCAGGATGATCTGTATATTTCATAAACGACGTCACCTTCTTCACCAGTGATTGATCCGTTTGAAGTTTCAACTCTCCTTCTCTTTCCTTTACCTTTACCTTCTGACTTAGCAGAATTACGAGTGTAGGACGTTACTAGTTCTCCTGGTGGTCTAAACTCCTTTGCATCGTCCTTAACAATACTATCAAAATCGCCCTTTTCTTTATCGAATTGTTATTGAAGAAAGATATAAGACACGTATAAACGCACCTAAGGGTATAAATTCTTCAAGCTTATCTTCAACGTTATCAGCGTCATCTTTTTTTCCTTCGTAGCTAACTCTCAATTGAGATCTTAAAGAACCTGAAGCCATATCGAGCTAAAGTTATTATGAGAAGACACGTAAAATACTAATAAAATAAAGCTTACATTGATTCGTAGGTTCTTGTACCCATATATTTGCTCTTCTGTTCCAAATATTGGGTATGTAAACTCAGGATTCCATGGTCGCGTCAATCTTAACTCTTCCTCAGATTCCAAGAGGTTTTCATCTAGTTCTATCCTGCCTTATTAATTGTTAACATCATTTTAGTTATAAATAGTTTCTACTCACGTAATCTTATCTCTAAAGCTTCGTTCGACGATTTCGCGAATTCGGTGGTCATAGCAAGTTACAAAGAAATCAAACATGTTAACATAAACTTTTACAATTAGTTTTCATCTGAATCAGAAATTATATCTTTAGAGAGTTGACTTAAAGGTTGGTCAATAACGTTCATCGTTAAGCATACTCACTAACCTTGTTTTCACTTTCTTCCTATCTGCATCGTCATTCTCAGCTGTTGAGGTACGTCTCTTGCGACTCTAATACAATGTTAGCAGATATCTCTCTTTATTCATGAGTCTTACCTTCGACTTCGTCGTCTTAGGCTTTTCTTCTTCACCTTCGTTTTCACCTTCAGCCTCAGACAAAGGTTGACTCTCTTGTTTCGCACCATCGTCTTCACCGTCTGACCCCTGCTTCCTACGTAGCTTCTTCTTCTTGTTTGTTTTGCGTTTAGGTTTCTTAACTGGTTCATTTTCGTCACTTTCATTACCATCCTCCGTCTCTTTACGCTTTTGTTTACTCTTTTTCTCTGTTTTACTCTTCTCCTCAGCCTCTTCTTCAGCTTTTAAGGTCTCTCGTAAGTTTTTGATATCTTCATGAGCCTGTTTACGCTTTTCTGCAAGTTCCTCACTACGCTTCTTGATCATTTCTAATCTATGAGCCTATAAAATTGTTAATCAGTTTTACGAATCTAATAAACTCACCTCATCTTCTTTAGCTTTCTGTAAAGCAGCTTCTTTCTCACGTCTTGACTTTTCAGTCCTTTCATGTCTCTCAGCTTCGAAAACCTTTTGCTTTTCAATCTCAGATGGACCGCGTACAACAAGGCCTTCACCAAATGCTTGACGTTGTTCAGCCAAATCAACACTGAAAGGTACAGTAGCTGGATCTTCTGCGGCAAGTTTACCGAATAGTCTACTTTGATCAGCTAACATCAGACAGATATGAAATACTTACTCCTGTGACTCCACTGAAAGATCAATCGCCTTCTGTAGGTCTTGTAAAGATCTTTTATCACTTGGTGTGTCTAAAACTACTTGTAACATCTTCTGCTCTATCATAGCAATGTTGTATTTGATAGACTTATCCTTAGGAGCCTTCACCGATGCAGTTTGGGCTAGAGTGAGTGATTTTTCTAGATAATGGAATTCAGATCTCTGTACTCCTTTACTGTAGTTAGCCCGACATGCATGTAAAAGTGTAATGGTATCTTCATTCTTAGATAAACCATGTTCGTACTTTAGATAATTTAGACACATCCTAGTGTTAGTATATTACGTACCACTTCAACAGCCTTGTCAAATTCGTCTTGAGCATAGAAACAATGTCCCATATTAATGTAAACACACGCTTCATCTAGACTATCTCTGATCTTTGTAAATATTGACAGTGCTTCCCGTCTCGATTTAGCATTATCTTCTTCACTAGGTTCTTCCTTGTCACGACGTGAAGAATCTGGTACCACATTCTCTGCGATAGCAATAGCAAGACCTTGCGCTGCATAAACGCATCTTGGATCATATCTAAGTGCCTTCTCCCAATAAATTATTGCTTCTCTAAATTGTCTTTCACGGTCCTTGGCTTCTGAAGTACCAGTTTTAACTCGCATATCTCTTGATTTTATATACGTAATCCATCCAGAGACACATAGAGCATAGACATCATTTGGTGCTATTTTCTTAAGTGTATCATCACAGAATCGTTTGGCAGATGATACATCATACTGTAATAAGAAGTGAGTGTAGAATGCTCTAAGGTTTTTGTGATCATTCCATGTGGTTAGCACTTCTTTAAGTAAAGTATGCGCCTCGTCTGGTCTCTTTTCATCTATATATAAAGATGCCAATCGTACTTTACATTCAAAGTATTCCGGATGTTCAATGAGCACTTCATTATATAACCTCCTAGCTTCTTGATGGTCTCCCATATCCTCAAGTAGGCGACCCAAATTATACTTAATAGTACACGAATGTTGTTCTATGTTAACCTTCTTAATACGGAAATCTGGAGTGTTGGATTCGCCATTCGTAAGCCTCTCTACTGCTTGTAAGAGATAAGCCTTTGCATTTGCAACATTGCCCCTTCTGGCCGTCAGTACCGCCACGTTATTGAGCATTTCAATTGGTATTGATAATCCTTGTTGACTTCTTAAAGTATATGCCCGTTCATACGCTTCACTAGATTTCTGTAAATTATCTTTCTCCCATATCTTTGCAAGCTCGATAAACGTTTCTGCTTCATTTCCGAGACCCCTTAATGAACCTTCCTCAGTTGAACCTTTCATTACGAGTTTGAGGAATCTATCAAATAGATCTCGTGCAGATTCCCTATTCTTATGTAACTCACTGGTAGAAATACCAGGTAAAACTTTTGAGCGTAGCGTAGCTAATATTAGAAGGGCTTCAGGCATCGGACTTCCTTTCTGAGTTTGACCTTGAACGAGTTTGTCAAAGTGATGGACAGCTTGCATCAGCGTTTCATCTGTCAACAAAAGTTGTCCCCTTCCTAATTGAGCTATAATATTGTTTGGAGAGCGCTCCAATGCAACTTTATAGCAACGAAGAGCATCTTCTGTATTCTTGTTATAATGATGAACACGACCCAGATTGTTATGAGCATCAACAAGTACGGGTATCGCATCCGCATATTGTATTGCGCGTTCAGCGTATCTGATAGCAGTTGGCATCTTTCGCTTTCCAAGGAAGTAATAAGCCAAGACATTGGCAGCATTTGAGTTGTACTCGTTCAATTTATAGGCTGTATGAACGTACTGAATACCCTTGCTGTAAGATTTCATACGATAATGATCAGGCTCGTTAGGTTTCTTGGCTTCATTTATGTTCAGAAGTCCTAAAAGAAGTTGTGGTGCATACAACGTCGGATTCTGCGATGTTTAGGCAATTTACTAGTAGTGTAAGAAACTTACCAGATGAGAGCTACGTTTCCAAGCTGCTTGCGCCTCTTTTGGACAATTAAGTTGCCAAAAACATAACCCAATCCCGATTCTTGGATCTGGCATCAGATTTGGAGATATCCTAAGAACTTCTTGATAGACGCGCAAAGCCTCAGCGTAATGACGCTTGACGTGTAGTACTCTGGCTTTCCCCATTAGCGCAAACACGTTACGGCTGTAACCTTTCAAAATGCTGTTAAAAGTACTTAAAGCGGCATCCAAATTTCCTTGTGCTAATTGCAAAGACGCTTTACCAAGATATAATGGAGAATTGATCCTAGGGGTCTCACCCTCGCTTTGAAGTGCCTTATCAGCCTGTACGAACTGAGTAGCGGCAGCTGTCAAGTATTCTTTGCGGCTTTTGATATCATGACTAAGTCTATCGTGTTTAGCGTTGTTCAAGACTAATTTTGGTGCGTTTCTCGCCAAATCGAGGTAGATATTTCCTTTCAAAGTCGCAAACTTGGAAATGCTGACTGCATCACGTTGAAATACTGTAGATAATTAATTCAGCTATAGGAATGTAATAAATGCAGACCTTCAGTAGCTCTAGAACATATAATCTCCGCATCCCACAGTTTACCAAGTAGCCAGTACTTTCTGATCACTTTGACCCATGGCAAAGCCATCTGTATGGTAGATAATTCATGGAGCGCATCCTTTGCGCTAGTCTGATAAACGTCGAGCGTGGAGCCATTCGGAAGCACCACAATCGTAGATTCGCTCATGACTGTCAAGTTGAGAGATAGAATGCTAGGCTAGATATCGATATTTATTCATTAATTTACAATTCATCTTTTAAGTGGTTATTCTTTATATCTCCTTCTTCTGTCTTCTCCTCCCATGTCACTTTTGGTCCTTGAGCCAGGTCTTCCGTTTCAGTGACGAGCAACGATTTAATAAGCTTCTCACTTGCTAACTTAGCACTAAAGTCCTGGATATCTCTATCGTAGTCTGTCCATTCTGGAATCTTGCGTGCCCTTTCTAGTTTAGGCTCTTTCTATAAAGCGTTAGCCTAATGGAAACTCAATCTAAGTACACCTACAGTCATTGGGTTGTTACATAGATCGATCGTCTTCGCGTCTGCTAAGCTTTCGTCTGAGTTCCATGTTTGACACCATAGCCATGACTTATCCAGCGAATGAATTGGTACCTCGGTCTGGAAATTATTTGGTAAATCTTGGTCCAAATTGGCCAATGAGCCGGGATCAGCTGAAAGTCCTTGATATTGGCCTCTCAATCGGTCTCCTGCTGCCATTTGTCTAAATCTTTTGAGATCTACAACATAGAGTGCGCTAATGTGATAATTACGACCACGAAGATAGTCCTTCCAGTAACCCCTTGTCCAGAAACGATAACCATCCATCTCTTGTCTATCCATTCCAATAGGCGGATAACCATATGCGCGACCATGTAAATCAACATCTATTAATTCTTTGAGGTCAGTCCTAACGATGTTATCTGCGTCTACGAATATGATCTTATCCAAAGACATTGGAAATAAAACATCAAGAAAGAGAATCTTGTATGCCCATAACATCCTCTGTCTTTCTTTTTGTGGACGTAACCAACTAGGCCACTTGTAAGTAACCAGCTCGTACTTGAAGTTATATTCCTTGGCCAAATGAGGTAAAAACTCAATAAACGATGGAGACAAGAAATTTTCAATGAACCAAAATTTCACAGTATGATCCGTGTGTTTTAACACCGACAAGATCATAATGGAAGCAAAACGCTACGAATATTAGTCGTGACCTTATGTAGATAGATATCATACCTCGTATAGTAGACCAGAAGCTACAGTAAAGATGTTGATATCTGCATGTTCCGATTTGCTACGCAACCCAAAGAAGCTTTTAAGGCTGAGATAGGGTTCAGTAAGCTCCACTAAAATTAAACCAAACCGTACCTTGTAATAGATTGTTTTACAAATGGTAACAAACCATCTTCATGCTGTTCTGAGAGTACGTCGATTCCTTCCATTCCTGGTTTTTTTAAGAATCGTGGATATAATTTGACGCCCTCGAAGCTGTCTACTATAAAGTCTTTGAGTCCTTCTTTGACGCTTGGGCTATTCCATCCTGCACTTCCAATACTTTCAAGCTCATATACATCTCTACCGCGCCCTTCTCTTATTTCAAGTTCCCACCTACCTGGAACAACAGCTAATTGAAGATACCCTAGGTTTGCAACCACCTGCGTATCTATTGTAGTATCTTTCAATGACAATTGAAGACCCCTCGGAGGTAAGCTAGTTCGCGAATCTCTAGCATGTCCATCAACTACAAGTTTGTCTAGCTGGTAAATAGCATTGAGATTTTTGTAAGGAGCGGTAGCCAGATTAAGGTTATCAAGATCTACTGGAGCATACACCGGTCGCGTTAACCAAGCTTGCGGTGGATCAAGTTCTAGTGTGAAAAGTGCATCGACTGGCATCTGAGAGAATTTTGTTGCATAATCAATAACATGGCCATTTTCATCGAATCGTGGCTTTGCATGCATATTGAACCTATAAAAGCGATTTGCTGCAATCTTGTCACTGTCAAGGTTGGGATTGAAAACTATTCTAATATATGTATCTCCTGCTTCTGCTATCGCGTGTAGTATTTTTGACCATTTTTGACCTTGTTCGCTGAAAGGATCTAGGATCACGTCTAACGAATATTGAGATGATAACTCTTTACCAAGACGAATCGACGTGTGTTTGGAGTGTAGGCGCTCTAATACTCTCGCGCGAGGCGTGTGAGGGGGTTCATATATGCCTTCTGGTTGTTCATTTTGTATGTTTTTCCATAGTTGTGAACCAAGTTGAGTTAAAAGATTGGCAACATCATCGACATTACCTTTCAGGCGGTGTGGAGCAATCTCCTCTAGAGCCGTAACTATAGGTAAAACTCTTTCTGCGTAATCATATTGGAACAAGTGCGAGTAGTCTTCCTCTTCCAAGCCATTTGGAGGAATTGGACCAATGACGCGACCATTTACTATAAGACCAGATTCACCTGGTTCAATATCTGTTTCATATATCCATTCACTTGCTCCTTCCATGCCTTCAGCATCTTCTGGGATTTCCCCTCTATCTTGTAATGCCTCAAAGAACTCCAAAGGTGAGACTCTTTCAGGTAAACCCTTTATCGTCTGACTTATGGAGCCAGTTGGTGTTTCAAGCTCCGAAGGATTATGAACAAATCCTAATCTAAAGGTTGGACTGACGATCATACCAGATAAAGCATGCTTGATCAACTCCATACTCTCTGGCTTGTTGAAATCAGATACCAACCATATAGTCACGTCGATTCTCTCTGGTGTGTCAGGAACTACAAATGTTGTTTCAAAAAAGTCCGATTCTGAGTGAACATAATTCATAATTTTACTTGATGGCTGTAGATATTTATTGCGACGTTTCAGTGTACTAGGCTTGTCGTAGAAGTATAAAGATACATCGCTTCTCTCGTCAATCTCAGCTTTGTAAACTGCCTTCGTGATAGCATCAGTCTGGGCTGAAATGTGTTCTTGAAGAGATAATATTAATCTCTGGTAGTTGGTTAATACGAAACGTGCCAAATTAACGTTCTCTTACATCATCGAACATAATCGGACGGCCATTGACGAATATTTCCCCTATAAAGTCGATCTCGTGTTCTCCTGGACTAACACCAAGACGCCTGGCATATTTCTGAGCTTTCTTCAAGATCTTATTCTTCGCCATATCTTCCATTACTGTATCAAATTCGTCTTGGAGAGGAACATCATTTAAAATAGGTAAATCCAGATACGCAGCTTCTGCCCTTTCGGCAAAGGTGCCGGTACGTATAGCAATATCTGAAAAATAGTCCAGACACGTCTTTACACCTCTTTTATCGATCAAATTGTAGAACAATTTCGTAGCCATCAAGCCTATATCTGTCAGAAATAATATACTTAAAATTTCCACTTACTATCATCGTTTAGAGAGTTGATGTAAGGAGTAACACCCCAACGAACAGGTATTCCGCGATCGATGAAAGCTCTCACATTCCTTGATAACATTTCGATAGCTTCGTTTTTTGACAAATCAACTACAAGAACACAGTTGATATAGTTCCTAGCCACTCTTCCCAAAGGTGATAATAAGCTACGCAGGTATGGTGACCATGATTTATTTCTATATTGTTCGTCTTTCTCAAGATCATTTATCCATCTCACCACATCACCACCCTCAATTCTATCTGAAGCATCTACCAAGCCCTCTGCAATGGAATCTGGTCTAGTGACTTGAGCGGCATACAATGCACGATGATTAAGCAATTTGATAGCATCGGATTTTGAGAAACCTAAAGTAGATATAGAATCAATGAGCTTATTTTCATTTTCAAGTTGACGCAATAAACTAAAACGAATGAGTAGGTTATAGGTAGGAAACTTCTGACTCACCTGAATGGTTCAATATCAACATCATACAGTCTACGGCCGTTTAGCCAGACAGCATTTTGGCCTGCTTCGATGTATTTTTCTTGATTATATGATAATTCCTTGAGTATATCGTTGCTGCCATCTAGGTCAGTCTCAGCTAATTGTGGCGCCAAGAGAGGAAGATTCTGTGTGATTGCAGTAAGTAAACCAAGTGGATTGTCTGATTTCTGTAGAAGAGCAATCAGGTTTCCAGATAGGCTGCGTATATCTTCCTTCGTCTCGATGGTCTGAAGTGGTTTTGTGAAAGCTTCTTTTAAAAATGGTTGCAAGACACCATACTCTTCATCTGACATATCGCTAGCAACATTGGTCTGTATGTTATTGATTTTTTCGGCGTTAACTCTGTCGTCGTGTGAGAGGTATTCGCGTTTCTTGAGATCCATTTTGACACCCCATCCTGATAACTTCTGAGGTCTAAAACTATGATCTCTCGTAGGAGCCCATCTGAGTATGTATTGAAGGCGTTTTGAACGCTTAATAAAGTAATCAAAGAATGGTTTGAAGTTCTCTGCAGTTGGATCCGCGTAGTGTATAATGATTGGTGGGTCTTCCGATGTTGGTTCGGAAAGTACGTGATCGAGGGTGCTTCCTGTAGTGTAAAAAGTATCACTAAAACAATTACAATTAGCTTTTCATGGTATGATGATATAAACCTGCCTTTCAGGCCAGGCTTGCTGGTCGAGTCTGTCAATTTCATCTACGTCACATAATTTCCTTCCCTGATAAACGACGAAATTTGGACAGGAAGGGTCGTAATAAAATCCAGCATCCTCTGCTACGTTGTATGCAGCAACTATCGCGGGTGAACTCGATTCTAATGCGATATGAAGATCGAACAACGATTGCTTTGACTTCTTAACTTGTTGTCTCGTTTTAGAGTAGATTTCTTCAGGAGTTGCACTACAATCTACTTTAGGTAACAGCTTATTGAGTATTCCTGGCTCTAATTTATGTGCTATTTCCCTGTTCGATATCAGAACCGTATATCTGCCATCACACTACTCACATCGCGATTTCGCAGTAGGGCGGCTGATTCCAGCTGGCCTGTACATCTACTGATATTGGAGGTGGTGCATGAATATCAGCGCTTGCGAAAGCTAGCAAGGCTGTCAAGAACACACTCCGGCCGAGCATCGTTGATTGTGGTGGTTGTTCAAGAAGATGTCATAGCAGTACTTTCTTTATTCTATTTAAAAGTTCATGTAACAAAATAAAAGGTATACAATCTATCCTGAAACCTTATCGAGTGAGCCCAAAATGGCTTTTGAGAATGATTTGACAGCTTCGTTTCTGCTTTCGCTACTGTTTGAATTGTAATAAGTAGGATTCGTACTCAACCGACGGTAGAAGAATGTTCCCTTCAGTAGGTTGCTTACTTCCTGAAGCTCATTCAACCTTCCAGCTTGTCTTTCGTATCCTACATAGTCTAATAATACGTCATCTTCCATCAACCGAGATTCAAGTGGTAAACCAGAATTGAGGAAATAGGCATACAGCTCTTTGTTACCGTTTTCGTGAGCCATTACAACGAATTCACGCGATGCATCAGTATCTCCTTCGATATCGACACTTGCATATGCTTGCATGTGTGCAACTTCTGGAAGGCTGTATTCTTGAATCTGTTTATCAACCTTATCTCTGTCACCAACAGGAGTTTTACTCTTCGTTGTTAAGTATTGCGTGTTCAACACACATACGCTAGATGCCCGTACTGGCATTGACCAGCACATATCTCTAGGCGCAATAAGAGCGCGTAAAATTCCAGTAACAAACAATTCCAGTGTTAAAGCAAGATCTTCTACTGGTAAACCAGTGTAATAAACACCGATACCATTCAGAAGATAACCAGCTAATGATTTGTCAGAAAGCCTGTCTAAATAAGGCTCCAATGCTATTGATTCTTCCGTTGCTAATCCAATTAAATCAGAATCTGTGGCTGATAATGTAATCAAGTCTGAAGCGACGCTTCTGCATTGAGTGCGTGTAGGCACAAAGAGTATTGCACCCTTAGATGCGGATTTAATCAACGAGTACGTTGGTTTCACGAGAGCTTTCATGAAAGCTGACATTGGTGTCACTGAATGCGTCTGGATACTTGTACTTATTGCCAAGTTTCGATGCTGTGGTGTAAAGTTATACGCGAGTGCTGGGTCCACACTTAACCACTTTCTTAAATCCTCGAAATTATCAAGGGATGCACTAATACCAACATAACGACTAGTACTGGCTTTTAATTTGAGTAAAGAAAGTGATAGTTCATAGGTAGAATTCAGAAGATGAAGATCGTCGGCAACTATGGTTGATAAATCATTCACTAATTCATCTGTTTGTCCACTTTGAAGTATCTTCATAAGAACCTCTGCACTACAAACGAACACAACTCTGTTTTGTTTCAAATGTGATTTGCGTTGCTCAGGATCAGAAGTGAGATTAACAACATTGACACTCATTGCTTTTGAGAATTTGGTGGTAATAACATGAGCAGTTTCTCTTGCTAATGCAGTACTTGGCGTGAGTATCAAAGTACGTGTATTGCGCTGCATTGTAAATGCTCTCCTTTCAATCATTATCAGCAAGATTATATCTTTTAATTAGCTACTCACCAGATAGCAAGTTGAGAAAGTGTTGATTTACCAGAATATACTGGCGCGCATAGCAAAATATTTTCGGTGTAAGCATAGAAAGACTCAAAACATTGAGTTTGGATCGAGTTGAAATTTCGAACGCCAATATTGTTCATTGCGGATTCTAATTTAAGATTACTAAGCGAAGAAGTTGACAAGAAAGGCAGGTCAATAAGCTTAGTTGAAGGATTTGGTGGTGCTGGCATTACCAGGTTTTCTAAAGAGACCGAAACCAGATCCTCAGATCCTAGCCATCGATCTGAAGCTGTTCTGATGTTAATGAAATCTATCTGCTTGCTACCGTCGATTCGCAATATGAAATCAACATTCACTTCCTCAGTTGTTGGCCTTATTTGGACATTTGACCATTGTAATATGTCAAGTTCATCCTCACTTTCAGCGATTAAAAAGAATGTTTCCAGACTCCCACTTATTTTTTCATTCCAAGTAAAGTTAGGTGTGACTTGAATTTGCAATTTCAGTACTTCATGACTTAATGGTTTCAAGTGAACGTGGAGTGATAGGGTAGGGAAACTCTTCAGGACCCTATGTAGAGCAGCCCCATGTGATTCGTTTAAATGAATTAAAGTTCCTAGTTCAGCTGGCGATAGCTCTACTAATTCCTCTATAGTGCTTTCATCTGCCCATCGAGTGATATTATAGATGACTTCATTTCTGAGACCAAATTGCTGTTTCATAGGGTGTTCATAAGGCCACAAGCGTTGCTCGAGTGCTTTGCTCATTGATATAAGTGAAGCAGCGGTCACAGCCCACTTGTGACTCAAGCTAATTTCCAATAGGGCTCTTATAAGACGAGCACCATTTTGCGCAACGTAATTACAATCTGACACGAGAGCAAAGTCATCAATGTAGGCTCTACTGATATAAGCTTGTAAAAGGATGTTACACTTCCCCTGACTTGTGTCAGTACCACCTTTAACTTGGCAAGGACAAATATCCTCCATAAGATGTTTTAATTCTGGTACTTCAGAATCACGCATTTGTATTTGATCAAACTCAACTGACTGACAAAGGACTCCCAAGATATCAGCTTCCGACATTGTTTGTGTGAGCTCTTTGTTGTATATACTAATAGATTCGTGGCAAATATAGAACTTAGACGCAATTTTACCTAAATCATCGGATTCAAAAACCATTTCATTTTCGTCAAAAGTGACCATTTTAGCTTGCGCAAGTTGACGTGCAGCAGACATAATGAGCATGTTGCGTTTATTACCCAATAGAGGATCATTCAACGGTTCGTCATGATCCATACCATACATTAAAGGATTCTTGCGCATACGGACAAACATGTAAGTGAAGGAAAGCCATTGGATGGCCTCGCTTACATTTGAAACAGAACCCAACGAGATCTCAGCGTTTAATGCGTCAACGATACCTGTGTGGAACTTCGATTCGATTGGATGAGAAGATAGAACAGCTTGGATGTAATCATCCAACTTTTCGTAAGACGTACATAGCCATGCAACACCGCTCGTAGAATAACCTGGACGACCACTTCTACCGAAAATTTGAAGTACATCCAAGATTGACAGATCGGAAAACGCACCCTTATTGCTATCATAAACCTGCGTTCCTTTGATAATAACGGCATGTGCAGGTAAGTTGACACCCCAAGCCAGGGTAGAGGTACAGCACAGTATTTTGATAGCGCCATCTTCAAACATCTTCTCCATCATACTCCTATCAGAACGCAACATTCCGGCATGATGAATACCAAAGCCTTTGTCGAAGAGCTGCTTCATCTCTCTATTCCTTGACTGAGCGATATCTCTCTTGTATACATGATAGCGTGGATGTTCAGAGCAATCAAACGAATCGAGTTGATTATCTTTCTTGGCAAACTCCATAAGCGTTTCAGCTGTCTTTACAGTTTCTTTACGTGCATGAACGAAAACCATAACTGAATGACCCTGTTCAACGAGTTCAATAGCTTTTTCATAGGCTGCTTGATCAAGATTCTTCTTTGATTGCGAACTACCTGGTTTACCTTTGACGCCAATGAAATGTTGCTCCAGAGGTATAGGTCTGAATGAGCCATCAAAGTAGAACAAACCCTTGTAACGAGATACTCTAAGGAAATCTGCAACATCAACATAATTAGGTAACGTAGCGCTCAATCCAACAATTCGAATAAGCGACTGTGTAGCCTCTACCTGTCTCAAAGTTCTTGCAACGATTGTTTCGATTACGGCACCTCTATCTTCATTGAGTAAGTGTACTTCATCAATGATCAATAGTTTAACCTTTGAAGCAAGATCACCTTCACCAGTAGGTTTGCGAGTAACTACATCCCATTTTTCAGGTGTGGTTACAATGATTTGAGTAGCATTAATTTCAGCCTTTGTTAATTGCATATCACCTGTCAACTCGCGAACCTTAATATCTAGCCAACTCAGTCTTTTGGACAGTTTTGCTGTTATTTCTGCAGCGAGTGCTTTCATAGGTGCAACGTAGATGATCTTGAAATCGTCAAGGCGTACACCGAAGCTTGATGAGCCTTTACCTTTACCAGGTCCATTTGTAAGCTTGTTCTCATCTGCAAATTGTGAAACAACTCTTAAAATAGTAAGCATTGCAACATCTGTTTTACCAGCTCCTGTTGGTGCTGTAGAGTTTGGTAAGTTAATGGATTTGAACGAAATGCTTTACGTACCACAGACGAGCATATTTTCATTGGTAGTGTAAGCAGTTGGATATACAACGGATTGAACACGGTTGAGCTTTTCATAACCCTTGAAAGAACGCTGACATAGCGCGTCCATCTCGCCAATATCGACAATACGCTCATGTAGTTTTGGTGGTATAGGTTTCGATGGCGGAATAGTGATTTCATCATAGTTCTACTTGAGTTAGAGTATCTCTACGCTGTGATAGACCGTAACTCACGTCAAAGTGATCCTTTGTTGTACCCAAAGGTAATAAATAACGCGACCCCATGGCAGAAAGAATGTTTCCACCATTAGCTGCATTTTTGTAGACATGAGGATAGTTCGGTTCTTCGACCATCTGGGAACTATTGGTAATCTATATTGAAATAATTGTAGCACTTACACCTCCTTCGTTAGAAAAGAGTGGACGTTTAGCATTGGCTTGACGTTCTTCTTCCTTACGTCTGCGAGCTTCTTCTGGAGTTATCGCTAAATAAGATTCTAAAGAAGTCAGACATTTCATCGAGGTAAGTAAGACATACCTTCTATATCGTTATTAAGGCGACCTTTCTCGCGCTTGAAAGCCTTAGTGTGTTGTTCAGCGTTTTGAGTATTCATTGCGACCTGAAACATTAGGACTAACCATTCTACACAAAGGTGAGACTTACGACGTCGGCCAGAACTCTGGCAAGCTCAGCTCTGTTGGCGAGTACAATAGAAATGACATCAAAGGCATCAAAACCAAGAGTATCTACTAGTGCTGAGGAAATATCGTCCGTAGATCTTGATGACGTTAAGAGAGAAGACACCTCGTTGATGATTTTATCGTGGAGCTCAGCGTCTGCAAAGGTAGAATTGACGAATCTAAATATGTGAGTGGTTGTGCCATAGTGTTTAATAAGGACATACTTGAGTAGATCATTGAGAGCATTTGTCGTGGCGTTTGAGCCAGAAGGACCTTCATTAGAAGGTTTATTGTGATCGTTGATACTATTTTGTCTATCTTGGAGTAATTCCGTTACTAAATTCCTGCTATCGCCATCTATCGCGTAGCTTGAACGTTCCGGTAAACTGAGAGATGTGAGATAAGCCAGAAGAGATAAATAGAACGAACATAGAAGCATCCTCCGTTACCAAAGATGGAAAAGATCTATCTTCTACTGCTACAGCACCTATCAAACTGTCAATGAACGATTCGAGCTCGTCGATCATCGTCGCAGATATGAAAGAAGCAAAAGCGTGTAGTTTTTATTAAGAAAATAACATTTTTTAATTAAATATCTCTTAGTTTGACATCTAGCCACTAAATTGTTGTAATCTGACAATCATCACATTATCACTAAATGCCATCTAAACCGAGTGATTTACGGCTAAATATACCGAATTCGTCTACGAATCTATCACAGTCTATCTTCCCTTCATCAACGCCTTCAAAATCTCAGCTGTTGAGCGTACCACCAACAAGTCCGGCAAGTAGTCGCAGGTTAGATCCGAATAGCATTTCTAGCCCATTTGTGAACCCTTCCACACCAAATCCATCCACGCAATCTCATAGTATACATCATTCACCAAGGGTTCATAGGTTCCATAGATTAGCGTCATCTTCCAAACCTGGTAATAGCTCAAAGTATAACCCAACGTCTCCATCATTCGCACATGCACCTTCTAGTGCTAACACCACTACTTTCACCAGTAGCGTCAATCCTTCTGGATCATCTAAAGGTGGTCTTACCAAGGATATTTCTACCGTTTTAGAGTTTAATGGTGACGCATGGCAAGCCCTCTGCGTTAAAGTCTTACCTTTATTCAATGGTGAGAATATGGTAAGCATATTTCATCATTATCCGGTATTCTTCACTAACACATTACAGATTACACCAATTGAGGACCTGAATACACTAGTAATACTGCATATTAAAGATACAATCGCTCGTTCGAAACCATCACGCGTTATTGAATCACTATCAAGCGATTTCAATGCCCTGATTAGCAATGGTATGCTCACTTTACGAGCAAAATTATCACAGCATGTAGACGAAGGTAGCGAGCGTTTAGCGACACGGCTCACAGAAATATGGTATGTATGCTTACCTTTTTGGATTAATACCTAACTATCACCTAGGACATTCTTTTTTGGTCAAGTTCTACCACTGCTTGAGGGTGTCTTTTTACCTTATAGCACTGATGATCATATTCAAGCTCTGTCAAAGTCCTCCACAGTCAACTCTGTCAAAGCTAACGAAGGATCTAACCATAATCACTCTTATTCAATTGATTCTGACAATTTGAAATCAAAACACTCAACGGCAGCGTCAGTTATGAATGTACGCAAATCTGTTTTAAGAGGATTCAGAGACCAGCTGATTATACCACTGTTTTCTTCACTTGAGAAGTTGTTCTTGGATCTATGCGATGATGTCATTCCAGCTACGCCTACATCAGGTGGCCTCCAATCAAAGCAGTCTTTATCTTCATTGAAATCAGCCCATCAGGCGATTCCCGATTCTTTGCCTTCAACAGCAGCGGCGATTGCTGCGAGTTCATCACAACCGACGACGAGCGCGTTCAGTCCAGTCCCCCGTTTACAGCAAATGACTTTAGTATTGTCATCAATTCGTGCATTTGACAATGCTCAGGATAATGTAGAAAGACTAGCTAGAATTCTGAGAAGATGCTACGTTGACGACGTTCAGGATCAACCTACTTCAAGTTCTGCTGGTAGTTTGTTATTCAGATCAACACAGACAAGTATGAGTATGTCACCCTTTGCTGAGCGTTTACTGGGTAAGAGAAGAGATAGAAGGGGCTGGATCCGTAAAAAGTCTAGTAATGCAAATGCATCCAGTACTGACGATCATCTTGACGATGTCGGCGGTGGACTTTACGAATTATCTTTAGAACGTGAACCTACGCAAAGAGACAGTGAAGATGAATGGTTAGATACACTACGATCACCAAATGTGTCCCCAGCATATGTCAGTACACCAACGACGAACACGCATGCTACAGAAAAGCAGCGAAACAAACCACCACCTATTATAGCGCCTCGGGGCTCAAGCTTGGCATTTGCTGGCAATGCAGATGATGCCAGCTCGTCCGACGAAGATGATTTGTCAGTTGAATTTCGACCAGTCGATGAATTACCGCGTGTGAGCACACAACCAGACCTTAGCAGGGTAAATGAGGATGATTCGAATGATTCGGAAGGTGCAGAATACTTGGGACAGAGATTGATGGGTGAAGGAAGTCGATCAAGTGAGGAAAAGACACAAGAAACTGTAGTCCAACTCGCAAGGTCACCGGTTGAGGATTCGTTAAAGAGATGGGAGAGAGCCCAGAAGGAGCTTGAAGAAATGCTAGGTATGAATGACGAACCAACGCCGACACTGAATAGTGATCACCGTTTTAGCAAGCCATTACCACCATCACCGAAACTTGTTGGTCTCGATCTGGAATCCGAGCCTGAAGAAGAGTAAAAGATTGTACTTGTATAATATTAGCAACTTGTTTGATAACAATGATGGAGGCTGATATGAATACCTCAGAAGTGAAAACCGAAGAGCCACAAGATATTCCGCGACTTGAAAACCGTAAGAAATTTGAAATTGAGCTTGAGTTTGTGCAGTCGCTGGCTCATCCGTTCTATCTACATGCATTAGCACAACAGGGATACTTTGAAAAGCCAGAATTTATAAACTATTTGAAATATCTAAACTATTGGAGAGAGTCCGTCTTCTATTATAAACGTACACCGCTGATATCGCCATAGAAGAGAATACGTTAAGTTCATCACATACCCGCATTGTCTACACAACCTAGATCTCCTAATGGAGCCTAGCTTCAGAGAGGCTATCAAGCATCAAGACGTTATACAGGCGCTACATAGGCAGCAGTACAGCGTATGGCTTGATAACAAACCACCATCAGATGCTGAAACCGTTCAACCTAAATAATTTCGCTAAGAAAAACAAGAGTATTAATTTATTGTATCAGTATCGTTAGTTTTCGTTTCTTATCATAAACTATACCTAATATTCTATAGATGATAGCCTAATAATTGGCTACAACAATGAGCTAGACTTTGAATCTTATAAGAATAATGCAATAAATAAAATAAGATTCGATTGTACACCGAAGCAAGTCGTAGTAGTCAACAATTCTCTCATAATGCTCGATACCGACGGTGTTTTATACCAATTCAACAACAACCAGCAACCAGTTAAATCAGGTATTAGAAACGTTATAAAACTATTACAATCTAATAACAACGTCGTCGTCGTCAAACAATCCAGTCTCGCTTTACTAAGGCTATATCCAAAACTCACTATCATCAATGAACTACCACTACCAGCACAGCATACGCATTCAGCTATCAACAATAACATAATATGTTTGGCTGATATCTCGAGCACTTACAGCCTCGTAAATCTTAATAACTCGAGGTTAATACCACTGTTATCTTTCAACGGAACACCTTCTATTACGCCAATTGAGGATGCAGATGAATTCTTTATGACAACAAAGAACGACGTTGGTTGTGTAGGCGTCTTCATTAACTCCTATACTGGAGAGCCCAAGCATGGTACTATCCAATTTCATTCAACTATCAGGTCTGTAGTTCATCAATCACCTCATCTTTTTACTATTTTAGACAACAATAGCTTGCAGGTACATTCCTCCATCACTCAATCATTAATTTATACGCTCGATTTATCTCATTTACAGCCCTCTTTTCTACAAACAGCACCACTTGGATTAGACGTACCTCAATTGATACCCAATCAATTAGAACTTATATCATTCCCTTTACTTGACAACAACGTAGACTATGGTGGTTCTTCAAAAGGTCCAAGTAACAACGATTCACAAACTGAAACTACACAAGTAATATTAGCTACCAAAACTGGTGGACTTTATGCATTTATACCACCATCCTTGTTTCAGCAATCGATTTGTCTCTTAGAGATGGAAACTGATGGTGCTAGAGAGCAAGCACTATCTTTAGCAAAGACTTTAAAGCAAGATGGCTTAGACTATCAATATATTCACTTATATGCTGCATTACAATTGTTTAAGCAGACATCCTTCAATGACGCTTCTATTTTGTTCACTAAATCTCAATGTGATATTCGCTTAATACTCAGGTGGTTCCCAGATCTGATAGCTGGTTTATTCGATCCTGATGAATTCGTAAGATTACCATTGGGTATATCCACTTATATTTCAAAGATTCCTCATACAATCGACCAAGTTATTGTTGCAAATTTAGAAAAAAACTACTCTCCTTACTTGTCAGTAGAGGAAGACGAACCGATTAAAGACCTTAAAACTACTCTTATGAATAATGCTCGAACGATGGTACTAGAATGTTTAAGTAGAGAGCATAGAAAGAGGCGTCGTTCGCGACAGTCATCACATAGTGACTCAGATGCGTACACTGATATGATTCTCGATACCTGTCTGGCTATAATATTTGCTGAAAAGACTTCCATGGATAGGAATGCACTTAGCATATTTGTTAGTCAACCAAACACTGTATTACTGCCAATTGCAGAACCTACATTGGTCAAACAAGGGCGATACACGGCCCTTGCTCGCTTGTATGAGACACATGGTGACACTACGCAAGCTTTGGAAATACACAAAGGGTAGGTAAGATTTATAGCGTAGTTCAATTATCTTACTTTTCTAGACTTGTTGAAGGAAGCATCACAGATATCGATTCAGTTGAGCCGTTGAAAGATACGGTAAGGTTATTGAACAAAGTGGAAGAACCAGATGTCTTATTAAACTATGGTTTATGGCTGCTCGCACATAATAGAAGTGCGGGTTTGCAGGTGAGGATATAACAATAAGACTTATTCCGAAACTAAACATCAAACAGGCACTTTCTTCGCACCCGAAAACGCCGTTAGATGAGACAAAACTATTAGAATCACTGGGGAATACGGATAAAATTGCCGAACAGGAATATTTAGAGATCTTGGTGTTAGCTCGTAATAGAGATGATAAAGACATCCGACGAGGTCTACTGGAGAGGCTCATTGGCAACGTTTTGGGTGCTTTCAAAAATGAATCAATAAGTAAAAATATGGCGAAGATAGATGATGAATACAAATCCCAAAGACGCAATAAATCCTATACTCAATATTTGACAAACCTACTTGAAAATGATCATACACGGACAGATGTCAAAGAATCCATAAAAGCGCGTATAAAATTGGTGCTTTATCTCCAAATATCAACTGATCTTGATTGGTCATCTATAATGAGATCGTTAGAACCTTTGATAAACACAACTTTAATGTTAGAGAAAGGAGTGATTCTTGGCAAGGTGAGCAACCTACTCACACCATTTGTTATCTGATGTTGTTTTTATAGTTAGAGCAACACAATGCAGCGTTGAACATTCTAGCAAGACAACTCAAAGACACATATTCTGCACAACATTATTGTGCCTTCCCGGGTTTTATTCTTAGTGCTAATCTAGCTAGGAAATGTATAAACGATTCGCATCTGTCAAATTCTTGGCTGGTTGCCTTAGCGCGCACATCGATGGTAGCAGTTTCCCCTTCGATACGTAGCCATCTCTTGAGAGTTTTGCTGGATGTTTATATGGTTGATGGTGACTTCTTTTCTGCAGAGATTGCTTCTCTGTTAGGATCTCAGGCACTACATTTGGACTTTATTGAAGTATGTTTGTCAATCTGAGATTTTATTTACTAATTTCTGACAGACATTGCCAAAAATACCGAATGACATACCATTAGCTTCCATAAAAGACTTCATGTTACGTCAGCTTCGTCGTTCGGAGCATAGAAAACGCGAGCTTAGTATACTCAAAGGGATTGCGGCTGCTGAAAATCTTACAAGAACGGAGGAGGCTTGGTTGGCTACACGAGAAGCGGGTGCCGTGGTCGAAGAAGCAGTCGATGATACCAATAATGGCTATGAAAAGGAGAAATAACATTATGTATTTCCAACGAAAGAATTCCGTTCTTCAAGTAGTAATTTCCCGTAAGCCCTAACTTGTTCAGTTTTAATGCTATCCAGTGATGTATAAAAGCCGCTTAGATCAATGCCATTCTGTATTCTTTCGTACTCGCATGCTTGCAAACACATCTCCAGCCTGTCTAGATCTTTAACAAAGATAGCCTCAGGTGAGGATTGTTGCTCATACTCCTTTTATAGTATTAGACGACATACAACGCTAAGAATTGTCTCACCTCCCATATCTCCATGATGTATTTTCCTTGCTTACTACTATGCAAATATTTGGTAACCAGATCATTCATAGCATTCTATAGGATTTATTAAATACTTGTTTTAGCTCGTTATAATAACAAACCCTTTCAAGTTCAGCCTTCACTGATTTAGGTATGTTATCAGAGGGGGCTATATCACCGACACTGGTATATGAATTGAGAAATAAACGAATGGAGATAATTGGACTAACATGCATTCAGCTATATCATGTATAAAAGCCATTTGGGAAGCTCTAAGGGGTTGATTATAAGTGTGTGCTTATCTGGCAGGTTCTTAAGCTTACTTGACATGATCAATATTATCATCTGCGCACACTAAACTCATTACTGACATTCTCCACATATGATCGCTAATACTCTCTGCACTACTGACACCACTTCTCAGCCAACCAGTTCTCTTCTGGGTTTTGGCGTATTCAGTCAGGTGCATAAAGCGTAATTTATTTATTTTCTCGTCATTAGTAGGCTGTAAATGACCTGGCAGACCCTCTATAGTCCTTGTAGTCGACATGGATGGCTATAAAGAAGGCTGATTTATATAGAAATGCATTTAATATATTTATTACAACTAATTTACATCGCAGTCCTTCTCCTTTTCAACACTTTCAGTGCTTTGTTTCCTGATAAGAAGACAGCCAGACCATTGACGATTGCGAACGGTATGAATTGGAAGAGCGTAAGGCTAACCCAGTATTTTATCAATAATCCTTCAAAAGCTAATAACGTGCAAATGAAAGCTGAGTTCGTAGTATTTGGCTTTAAGTCGAACTTTAAGAGTGATAGCTGGATTATTGTTAGTTAGTAGTAGTCGAATATAAGCTACATACTAATATAGCAAAAAGTAACCAAGGAATACCATTGATTATGATAGTAGCTACACCACTAACGACAGCTGGAGTGTGCTCTACCTCAGCTTTGAAAGTGTGAGCGATTTCCGGGAGTGGAACAAAGCTATCATCTGATTTAATACCTGATGCGACTAATTCTTTGCTGAACGTGAGTCTACCAACATCGAATACAGCGGTGTCTTGGTCTTTTGCTACAAATAACTTGATATCAAGACCATCAGCCGATTTTAAAGGAAATTGAGCTGTTCTCTAAAATTGAAGTTAATACATTGATAATAGTAGGGATGATGTATCACTCACTAACGAGAATCTACCCCGACCATCAGATTGCCTAATTCCGACGACGTCTTCCCAGTAATTACCGCTAGATTTATCAATAAAGCTAATAGATGCTCTGTCAGGTGTTATAGATATTCCCTCGGAGGTGGTATAGAAGGTATATTGCACGTTTGCGTCGTTCTCCAATTCTAGGTTCGTACCAAACTTGGATTGATCTATATTTAAACCTAAATCATCTACACCATGTATACGACTGCCTGATAGTTCTAACTTAGCGAAAGTGCTTGCGAGTAATCCAGCAAAAAGTAATTTGAACATGGATGTTGACGTAGAAGTGTGATTCCATGTAGAAATAATGAGATAAGTTGTTATTAAGAAGTAAAGTAGATTAAATTATTAGGTGGAAACATTGAAAACATTAGAAACATTAGAAACAAGGATAAGGTACTCTAACATCTCATCAACAACGATGAAGTCAATGATAATCTATAAATTTAGATCCCCTTAAGATGTATATATATATGTATATATATATATGTATTGATTGCATCAGTACTCAATTAATTACTTCCTCAGTCGCTACAACATTGTGACGAAGCAATACTATATATAACGAGGTTGACACATGATTTATACAGATCATCAACAATTATTATGACACAAATCACTGGCTATTCTACCCACGATATACGCTTTCCAACGTCTTTATCTGGGTGAGTATGTCTATCATATCACATTATATTCATTGCTGATTTCTCAGTGATGGTACAGACGCAATGAACACAGATTGCGACTATTCTGCAGCTTACATTATTATACATACCACTAGTGAATCCCTCAAAGGCTATGGTATGACATTCACGATAGGAAAGGGCAATGACATCGTTGTTCAGGCTATCAAACAACTCGCTGACAAGCTTGTAAATAAGCCTATAGAAAGTCTATTCAATGATATGGGTGCAATGTGGGCACTTTTAGTTTCCGATAGTCAATTAAGATGGCTTGGTCCTGAAAAGGGTGTTATTGGTATTGCTACTGGGGCTGTATCGAACGCAGTTTGGGATTTATACGCTAGATCACGCAAAAAACCTCTTTGGAAGCTTATTGTTGATATGTCTCCTGAAGAAATTGTCAGATCCAGTTCACTGAGATACATTAGTGACGCTCTTACACCTGAAGAGGCGGTAGAAATACTAAGAGAAAGACAATCGACGAAACAAGATAGGGAAGAAAATGCTGTTAAACATGGTTTAAAAGCCTATTCAACTAGCGTTGGCTGGATGGGCTACACGACCGAAAAAGTTCAGCGTCTGACAAAGGAAGCTCTCCAGCAAGGCTTTGACCATTTCAAGCTCAAAGTTGGCGTTTCAGTAGACGATGATCTCGCTAGAGCTAAGACTATAAGAGATATAATTGATGATCCACAATATCAACGTTCAGATAAACAAGTAAATCTGAAAGCATTAGAGAATAAAAATGCAGGACCTACAGGCAACGTTCTTATGATTGATGCAAACCAAGTTTGGGATGTCAAAGAGGCAGTTTCATATGTTAAAAAGCTTCAACCTTGCAAACCTTGGTTTATTGAAGAACCCACAATGCCAGACGATGTACTTGGACACGCTCGTATTCGCAACGAATTAAAGGATACTGGTATAGGTGTTGCAACTGGTGAACACTGTGCAAATAGAGTACTTTTCAAGCAACTTCTACAGGCTGAGGCTATCGATGTCTTACAAATTGATGCTTGTCGTCTTGCAGGTCTTAATGAGTGCTTGGCAGTTATGCTTTTAGCTGCTAAATTTAACGTACCTGGTAGGCTTCAACATTTGTTATTTTTAATATAAGAACTTAATACTAACATTTCACAGTTTGTCCACATGCTGGAGGTGTCGGTTTATGTGAATATGTCGTACATTTATCTCTCATTGATTATATTTACATGGCGCCATCTTTCGACAGGAATGTGGTAGAATGGGTCGATCATCTTCATGAACACTTTAGATATCCAGTCAGCGTGAACTCAAATGGCAGATATAATGCACCAACAGGTCCAAATGTTGGCTACAGGTGAGCACCTTCATCCGATTTTTTAAAATTACTCAAACAGTTAATAGTATTGAAATGTATCAAGATAGTATTGAAAGATACAGTTATCCAAATGGATCCTACTGGAAAGATGAGCATCCAAGACTTGTAAACAAAGCGCAAGAAGGAAGAAGAGTGATTGGTTAGGTCTGTCAACGTCTTCTCTAACATTTTGATTTTGTAAATTTACTGATGACATAGAGTTATGTAGTTATGAACGCATGCGAAATGACATGACTCAAAAGTTCATATCTTGAGACATATCAACGCATAATACTATATGTCTTTGAAAGCTTAAAAAGAGGGCTATGATATTTGTATTAGAAGTACGTATTTATTGAAAAAGAAAGACTTGAATCGGATGCTTAATAAGTAGAGCATAAAGATGGAGATAGAACGATGTTATAATTTCCTGACTTTCAGTAAGTCAAATATGGCACTTTTGACATATGCAATCAATAATATTAGTTATATCTCTATGTTTTGCTTTGCTAAGCAAGTGATTTTTAGTCCTTATCTGAGCATAGAAACATTTTTACATTACAGGTTAGTATCCTTTGTTGAATATATATATTTGTAAGATTATTATTTCTAACTTTCGTCATGCTGACCTATTACTTGACCGAAAAGCTTCAAATTCGTAGTCCGCGTACCTTCAAGGCTCACGAAATGCGCTAGTCAAATTTCGCTATTAGAAATGAAGCGTTTCACATGCTTCAATAGGTAGAAGTTTATATGCTTCAAAACCACTGGAAAAGTAAAAATTTCACACTAGAAATTAAAACCTCGTTTGTATGTAACTGAGCTCTACTGCAAATAATGGGCGTATTAGAAAGCTACAGTATTAAGAGCTATGAACAAGGGTTAACCTGGATTTCTAGCCAGAACAATGAAGATATATATATCGTTATGTCTCCAGTAGTTTCAAAATTTCATCTGATTGTCAACAACACAACAAGGCATCAAAATTTGATAAGGCTGTACAATTTGGTGGGAGTACTAACCCCTCCTTTCAGATTGTCTTGCATTAATTTTACTTTTAATTTGTATTAGCTTGACTTCTCTTAATGACGACCAAGCTTAACATTTACACCTTGTGACATGAATTGTTTACTAAAACTCTTCCCACTCAGTAATTATATTTTTGAGTTATCTTTCAGATTATAAAGTTATATTTCATTGATATCATCTCTTTTTTAATCATTTTTTCGTTCACTGAGCGCTCCTCTGTTATGTTTAACATTGGTATATTTGTTTATTCTTATATTGATCATATGAAAGGATTTTTAGAGTGATGTATCCTTTGTTTCTATATGTTGATCTATTGTATAACTTTATTGAAGTAAGACTGGGGAATGAATCAAAGTTTTGTGAGAGAATCTCCTCATTATAACCAAAATATATATATCTATTCAATAAATGCTATTAATACATTACTCTCAAGACGCATTTACATTGATTAGGAACACAACGTCATCAGGTAAGTTGATGTATGCGCTTAGGTTGTAATCTCAGACTTTTATAGATTATATACTTCCATCAGTATTTTATAATTCACCATTTAAAGTCTGGAAGGTTAGGCGATCTAAAAGGTATTTCTCATGCTTTCACATGACCGAAGGGTAAAAAAGGAAGACAAGAGATTTTAGTATATTTTTTTTTTTGAATTGTATTCATTCTAACGAAGAAAAAGGAAAATATTATAATTGTTTTGGTTTATTTTTGATTGTATGGGTACTTTAGAGGCCTAATTCGTCAGCGTATGGTAATTCACGTCCACCGACGGTAACCAAAGTGACCTTGTTCTTGAGAAGATCAGCAGCAGCCTGTAAATAAAGTTAGTTAGGAGATTATTATTTTAACTATCTACCCACTTGTTGGATGGATGAAGTAGAAACAGCATCGAATTCACCAAGAACTTGATCAAGTGACTTAAGGTTGTTGTTTATGAGACCATTACCGTTGATTTGCTTCCAGCCATCAGCTGAATCGGCGTAAAGTGTGTAGTTAAACTTAGACTTAGCGATAGCGGCTTGTAATTGAGTTGATTCAACGCCATTTTGAGCGATTTTCTTGAATGCTTCAACAGCCTTTTGTGAAGCTTTCTTAACGTTTGATTCAGATGAAGATTGAACAGCGAAACCGAAGAGGGAAGCATCAGAGTATTCAAAGTTAACGGCCTTAACGTCAGCTTCTTCAATAGCAGCCAATGGGGATAATCCCTTGTTCCATTTGATGTTTGATCCGCTACCCAAAAGTTCAGCCAAAACGGTGTGAGCTGGTGATGAGGAAGTAGAACCCCATGAAATGAAGGCGGAAGGTAAAGCATGACCTTCGTGTGGAAGGTTCAAGCGTTGTTCACCGCCAAAGTATTGAGACTTTTGAGTTTGAGCTTGACCGGTTGAAGACAAACCGGAGAAGTACTTTGAAAGTGAAGAAGAGATATCTGAAGGACCGGTTGATAAAAAGGCTACATTATCAGCTGAGTAAACCTTGCTAGCATAAGCCTTAACGTCTTCAAGTTTGACAGGGTGTTCAGAAGCTGAGAAGAGGGAGTTACCCAAACCTCTTCTGAAAGCGATAGTATGAGCAGTATCAATAGCTTGAATGAGAGCGTTTTGTTGAGCAGCGTTGAACTCTGCTTGAAGAGCAGGTTTTACGGCTTCGTCATACTCATGTTGAGTAAACTTGGTTGATTTGACAACATCAGCGAGAATCTGAACGAAAAGTTCTTGGTGTTGAGGCAAGAAGTCAGCTGAAAGGATCAAGTTGTCTCTTGTGAGTGTAGAGTATAAAACACCACCTGCAGCTTCAGCTTCTCTAACTTGACGTAAACTGGAGCGCTCTGCGGTGTTCTAAAGGGAGTATGAGAAGGTTGAGCGTAAGGTAGCAAAGAAATACTAACTCTAAAGGCAAAGTTCTTTAATACGTTTGCTACACCCTGGTTGTCCTCAAACCTAGTACCAGCGTTGAAAACAACGTTTAAGGAGCCAGCCAAAGAAGGTTTGAAAGCGGATTTTAAATTGTTATTGAGTGCTAATGATCTGTTCATTTTATTAATTCGCTCTTATTGGACGACGATCTAAGAGAAGTTGGTTATAGAAATGGACGAAGAAAAATTTAAGGAAAGGATATTAGATAAAGTGCCAGACGTATCTGAAGCTGTTAGTAGTTGGTACAAAATTTATACGCCGCTGATTATCAAACTAGAGGGTGACGGACGTCAGCGGTGGTTGCGGTCAGAGCTTCCAAGTTCTGATAGTTAGCGATATATTCAAAGGCTTAATCACAATAAAGAGACACAGACTGAGTGAGTAAAATTTAATTTTTTATTTTATTAAACATCCAGTCAACGATTATTTAAAGGAAGAGATAAAGGATTTACACGCGTTCAGTCAGAAGACGTTGACGAGAGACGAATACGAGAATGCTAAATGATCAGTCAAAGTTCATTAAAGAGCACGACCTAGTCGTCTTATGGTTAACGAAAGAGCAGCAACAACTTTTAAAGATAGAATCTGATAAAATATTTCAAAATAAATTTGGTAGATTTAATACGAATGATATCATAAATAAGCGTTTTGGTGATAAGCTCGTTTCTACAAATAACAAAGGTTTCATTCATTTGTTGAAACCTACGCCAGAACTATGGACAAACGCACTACCACATAGAACTCAGATTCTGTATAACACAGACATCAGTTTCATCCTTCTCAACCTCAACATTAAACCTTCTTCCGTCGTAATTGAATCCGGCACTGGTTCAGGTAGTTTCAGTCACGCAATTGCTAGAACTATCGGCAGAAGAGGAAAGTTACATTCTTTTGAATATCATAAATCGAGATCTGAAAAGGTCTCCACAGAGTTTGAAGAACATGGTCTATCAGATATCATCACTGTTTATAATAGAGACGCCTGCAAACTTGGCTTCACTGATCAGTTGAACGATTCAGTTGATGCTGTTTTCCTGGATCTACCAATGCCCTGGTTAGCCATCCCCCATGGAAAGAAATCACTTCGTAAAGACAAAGTTGGAAGAATCTGCTGCTTTAGTCCATGTATTGAACAAGTCTTAAAGACAGTCAAATCACTTAATGATGAACACTTCGCTAATATAACTACCTATGAAGTTCTAACTAGAAATTATGACACCTCTTATAATCAAGTACCAACTGTCAATGATATTACGACCAAGCTGAAGCACATCCTTGAAAAGAAAGAGTTTAGAAGGCAGCAGCAGATATCATCTGCACAAGCGAAGCACAATAAGCAATTGAAGATAAATGAGAAGACTGAACCAAGTGAAAATGATGTAAAAAGTGAGGAAACTGAGACACCACAACAAGCACCCAAACGTAAATTTGAACAACTGGCACCTCAAGATGCATCTACACTATTGAGTCGGCCGTTCATGGACACAAGAGGTCATACCTCCTACTTGACTTGTGAGTATACATCAGCTATTGAGTCTTTACAAACTAATGACGATCAAAAGTTGCATCACTTTTGCCTTATGACGTTGACAATGAGTCCGAAGAGGAAGCTGTCGATAGATCGCTAATTGATATATAAATTTTTTCATTTGGTATAATAGAACTGCTTATGTTTGATATCTGTCATCTGTGAGAAGACTAACGAAGGCTGTCGACTTTACTTACGAATAGCCCTCACTCTCATCGAGTGCTAATGGTTGACTGCTGAGTATGACTTCAATAGTTGCTGGTGGTGAAATCATCTGACTGTATAACGCGTTAGAGTTGTCCAAACGAACAAGATACGCCAACCTCTTCCCTTCTAATATTTCTGTAACAGACAGCGTCTTTCTGACTTGGGGATGTTCAACTAATCTCGTGTATTGATGTACAGGTTTGAAGTTCCTCTTTGCGACCTCGACAACGCTGATTAATTTCGCCGACAATGCGTTAGATTGCTCTAAACTAACTCCCTGTTTTAAACTTGTAACTTTTATAGCTTCCTTTTTCTGGAAAGCAGGTTAATAGTGAGTTAAATATATCTAGCGAAGGGTTTTACCTCTAAGTTTGAAATAATAAGGTCAATGTATCCATTCATTTTACCCGCTTTTGTAATTACACAAATATCCATCTTGGCCGTCTGTTTTCTCTTCTTCTGAAGCAACGTCGATAGAAAAAAATGTTCGGTATAATCAGATCAGCCGTACAAGCTAGAGCTTTATCTAGGGTACAATCATTTAAGCCTACCCTTTTGCAAGGTGTGTATACTCTCAAAAGAAAAAACCAAAGTGCTAAAAACCCACCAAGTACGCAATTACAGCGCAGGACACGAGGAAGAATCTTTTGAAGATTTCACAAAGCGTTACGTTTCATTCTTCGATCAAGTTGAAGACCTTTTCGAACTCCAAAGAGGATTGAACAACTGCTTCGCTTACGATTTAGTACCCGCACCTGAGATCTGTGAATCTGCTATCAGAGCATCCAGACGTGTGAACGATTTCAGCACCGCTGTCAGAATCTTTGTACGTCCCTTTTTTCTTCTGCTTATTTTCCCAATCAGTTGATTGGCTAACGTACGCTTATAGGAAGGCATAAAAGAAAAAGTTGAAAACCAAGGCCAATATGAGCAATACCTTGACGCTCTCAAACCACTCAGAGAAGAGCTTGGTTAGTTTTAGTACTTCGTTGAGATATCACTAATTATACAACCCAGGCATTCCAACTAAAGAAGAATTAAATGCGTAGAACAAATTATAATACAAATATATTTTCATTATTAAAATCTAAAACGTAATCTAACTATCTGTGCTTATCTCGCCTTCTATTAAAAAGTGTAACTAACTAAAAAAATACTCTACTTTGTCCATTTAAAAAAACTTGATTTCTTCCTATTGTCAACATAGTTATCATCCTTTGAATGTCCTTGTCCTTGGTCTCCTTTCACTATCGAGTTCCTCACACTCGCTCTTGACTTAGACCTACTTTCGTAGAAGCTATTGACAGGTATTTGGTGATTGTGTGGTGATGAGTTTTCTGGAACTACATCGTTACTTATATTATATTTACTCAGCGTTGCTCTGACATCCTTAAATGTCTCTTGCGTGTTTGGTGAGCTTGCTCTCCTTTCTACCTCAAATTGCCTCGCATAATAATCGCTAGCACCTCTACTAAGTGTCATAAACTTCTGGTGATTAGGTGTTAAGTTATTATTAGTTTGTGTATTATTGCTATTACTGTTATTATTGTTACCAGCTGCACTTAATCCAGTAATCGTAAATCCTCTACGACGATGTGATGATGAATTTCTCGATTGAGCATCCATACCAGATGTAGCTGTACCCGAACTAGACAAACTAGCTTTTCTCATAGTTCTACCATCTTGTTGATCACTCAACCACTCTGACTTATTTGCTTTTGACGCTTCATAGGCTGAATTAGCCTTCCTTTTATGCTTCTGTCGAGTTTCCCATAAAATTCTGGCTTCATCTTGTATTTCTAAACTCGCATCAAAAAGTTCCAAAGTCGTATGATCTAATGATTTCCTCTTGATATGATGATCCCTATTCTGTAAATCATTCATTTGAAGTTTATTGTATAGATTAGTGAGATCATTTGTAAATGATGCTAATCCTCTTGAATAATCTATACCATTGAATGAATTTGGTAACGATTCCCTATAAATATCATGCTTATAATTACTAAACCTTTCATCCGAAGTTCTTTCAACAGATTTTGCTAATTCATTTATAGATATCTCTTCACTTGTTTCATATGATGCAGCTGAATCTTCGTTTCCAACATATGCGACATAATCAATAAATGCGAACCTCCTATTACGATCTTGTAAGAATGGTGAAACTACACCCATAAAATGCTCTTTATCACCCAATTCCTCTTTATTATTAGCTAAAGCTTGAATTATTTTAGCAATTAAAGTTAATGTTCTTGAAACTGGGGGTGTTGGCGCTATATTAGTCAGACCGAATAAATTTGGGTTAATTATAGCAGGTACGAATAATCTTAAAAAAATAAATGAATTTACTAACTGAGCTTTTCCCCATCTTGCATGACATTGTTTCCTTATATTATGAAATATTCTCCTTAATTCAATTGGACATCCCACCCTTGATTCTATGATACTATTTAAAACCAAATCAGCCCAATAAAGTAATTCGTCTTTATCAGCTGGTCCTCTTTTTCTATCAGTGTCTAATTCACATTCAACTTTCTTCTCTATCATTTCACGGATAGGCTCTCCCAGACTATCTTCCAACCAACCAGTTAAACGACTCATAAAGTTCATATAACGATCCATTAATTTGGTTAATATTGTGTTAGGTCGAAATATTGTATTCTCATCAGCTCTTGATGACCATATTTCCTTATAAGCAAGATCATTTATGACTGACACTAATAGTTCTGAATCCACTGAATAAATGCTGATCAATGTATCAGCAAGATGTTCCTAAATATGGCGTTAGTTATCAATTTGTAAATTTAGCTTTTTTTCCTTACTAGTGATGGGTATATTGACGATAGATCATGAATAACTTTCACTCTATTTTGACCTCGTATGATCTGAAATATTTAGTGACTAAAAAAAAGCGAAGATTACTCACATCAAACAGTTCACTGTAACGACTTTGCGGTAATATAACATCCTCATCAACCCTCAAACTCAATCTCAATTCACCTCTAATAGAAGTTTCAAGAGTTGTATCATTAACACCAATAACGTTAAACCATTTTTCTACTTCTGATAAACGTGGGTATGCTTTAAGTGGAATAAAAACTGTTCCAAAGAGAGTTGATTGACCTTTTGATAAAGTATGAGAAGAAAGTGACCTAAATATCTTTATTGTGACTGAATTTAAATTTGGTAAATCAAGTAAAAGACAATCCTCTTTCCAAAAAGGATGTTGACCGACTTTTATTGATGTCTTGAAAGCTAAACCAGTTGGATCCCAAATTTCGCAATACCATTCGTAAGTATCGCAAGATTCAGTGAAATGAGTTGAGGATCTCCTTTGCAAGGAAGGTGATAATCCAGATGAGCTTGTTGAGGATAATGAATTGATTGAATTAACATTATGAGAGTTGAGTGTCCCGTTAGAAGTATCGTCCGGGTTGCCAGATTGATTCAAAGATAATAAATCTTTCTGCGGAGGTCGCAATTCCATTACATTTATAGATAGTTGCCTTGAGATTCTAAAATAACCAGTATGAGGGTTTTTACTAGTGTGATAAACATCGGCTTTAGTGCATGATCGAAGGAGGGTGAGATATGCGACCATATGTCGTCGAGAAGGGAACGCTATAAAGATTGGTTCATCTGTGTTTGCGTTACTGAATTGATTGACTGAAGGGCTTAATCGCTGTGACGATTTAGGTGACGTTGGTCTGAGATTATTAAGTAAACCGAGTGTGGAATAGCTACTACTAGAGTGGCCACTGCTATTTTGACCTATGAGCAGTGTTGGTGAGAGTGAATGGGTGTGTATAACTATCATATTAGGGACGGAGTAGACTGAGTTATCCACAGGACGAATATCGGTCATTCTGAGATTAGTGAGAGGTACTGAGTTTATTAATGCATTCTCCTATAGCCCTGTTAGTTTACTTGATAAAATAAAGATGACCGACCTCTGTGTATAAGAATAAAACGCCGGTTGAACTCAATTTTATCGATATATTCTTCCAGCCCAATCCAGTTGAACCTATTTTAGCAGAAGATCTCCGTAGTTTCGACATCTGTAGAGTAAATTGAGACGAATAGGCTCGTATATCTATACTCACCATCGGTATAAACGGACGAGTAATCCTCTGATTTACTTTCAGCTTTAGATTCGATATTTCATACTCTGGTATAAACTGTTTATACGAAAACTCATCAAGTGCATGAGCCATCTCCTCAACGTTGCACTTTAACGTTCATCTGATGGTTAGTAGTTTATTTTATAGAAAATTTACATTAACGTTATATTAGTCTTTATACGTAGATAAAGTTAGTTCATATTTCTACTTCAATAGCATTCTAATAGACTTCATATAGTACAGACCAAAATCGCTAGACGAGCTAGATTATCATCACGATATAACCAATAGAATTAGATCTCTAGCTCGCTCAGGTGATTTCCCTCATTTACTCTTCTATGGTCCTTCTGGTGCAGGTAGAAAAACGCGTATTATGTGCACATTACGAGAATTATTTGGACAAGGCGTTGAAAAGGTAAACACATCTTCTTGAAGTATATTCCAAGTTAATAGCTAGAACAGCTCAAAATAGATCAACGCGTCTTTCTCACGCCTTCAAACAGAAAGCTTGATGTTAACATCGTGCAGAGTAACTATCACATCGAAATTACACCTTCGGATGTTGGCCAATATGATAGAATTATTATCCAGGATATTCTCAAAGAGATCGCGCAGACTCAGCAAATTGATGCGAATGCAAAGCACAAATTTAAGGGTTCGTCTGCGTCATTCTAGTTGTATTTCGCTCACATATCCCCAGTCGTTATCATAAATGAGGCTGATCAGCTTTCAAGAGATGCCCAAGCTGCATTAAGGAGAACTATGGAGAAGTATATGGCTAACCTCCGTATAATACTCTGCGCACAGACAACAAGCAAAATAATTTCACCTATACGTTCACGTTGCTTGCTTATGAGAATTCCAGCACCACAGCCTGAACAAGTAGGTGGTTTCATATTATCCAGACCCTTACTGAGATGTTTCAGATGACAATCGTCCTCAATCATGTCGCAAAGAAAGAACGTTTTCAAATACCTGATGATGTCGCACAGCAAATCGGCAAAGAAGCCACTGGCAACCTTCGCAAAGCTCTTCTCGTTCTCGAAGCAATGAGGATGCAATCTCCAAACTTTGATATGGACATTCAGATAGCCAAGCCAGATTGGCAATCTTATACCATTTCCGTTGCTAAAGATATTACCAGTGATCCTTCACCAGAAGGTCTGCTCAAAGTCAGAGGAAAAGTTTACGAATTGATCACACATTGCATACCACCAACACTCATCCTCAAAGTAAGATTTTTCGGCCGTTTTAATTCTCCTGCTTATTTCCGTTATAGACATTACTTGAAGTCATATTGAACATGGTTGATGATTCGATTCGAGCTGATTTGATCTATTGGGCTGCCTTTTACGTCGGTTGGACTATTCAGAAATGATACCACTAACAGGAGATAATAGGAACACCGCATGCGACAAGGCTCTAAGCAAATTTTCCACCTTGAGGCCTTCATCGCTAAAACTATGAGGTAATTACAGATCGAAAGTCTTTTCATCATCTAACGTGACATTGTAGCATTCACAAAGGCTTTATTTGTGGTTGTAAGTGTTCAATTTGACTACATACTTAACTGACACACCTATAGTTGAAGATTTTTGATGCATAATGATATTTATTTCTATACTCTGGAGTTGTGTGCGCGAATATCGAGTTAAAGATTTTTAAAAAGGGTTTCATGTCGGCTTTAAGCCATTATCAACATGCTACCCACATATTTAACTCGAAGATAAAAAAGGAACTTAATTTCTCTGGCTTGTTGCTTGCTAATTTCATAGCAATCAAGCTTGATAAGTGTCCGACAAACCCAAATTATAATAAAGATATATATATGACAATTACTTTATAAATCTGTACATAAATTTGCGATGGACTGTATGTTATTAGTATTAAAATGATGTGATGAGGATAGACTCACAGTCCGTTCTAACTAAATCGTTGACAAATTCCTTCTTTGGTTTTTCTGATGTATTCAATGCTTGGTTTTTGAAGATAAGATCGTCATCCCATCTACGTTTGACAGCGAAACCTGATTCCTGGGTCGAAGAAGAAGGTGATGCACCTAGTGCATTCTGCAGATTGAGAAGGGGGTTACCACTAGCTATTTCTTCTTCTCGTGACGCTGCTTTTGCGTTATTCGATTCTTCATCCTGTAAGACACTGTTAATATATAGCATCAAGACTACCTGAGGTATTACAATACCTTTCTTGCTTTCTCTTCTGCCCTCTCACGTTTTATTTTCTCTAATTCCCGCAACAACTCAGCTTCATCATCTTCTGAATCTTCATCACTTCATTTCTGTAAGGATAAACGCGTCTTTAATAGTTCAGACGTACCTTTCATCATCATCAGCTTCCTCGTCATTGTCGCGACTCTGCTGATTAGTTGCTTCTACTTCAGCTGATGGTACAGAATCGCCTGGTTGTTCATCCTTATCAACGTCCTCAAGTAGTTTCGCCTTCTTCTGATCGCCGTTGTCTACAGTTTGACCAATCTCTTCTAAAGAAATGCCTTCAGCTTTACGTTTCTTTTCGTTTGCTTCTTCCTCCGCTTTAGTCAGTTCTAAACGGAGATCTCTACGTTTATTCTGGTCTGCGTTACCGCCTTGACCTGGTTTACTAGAGATTTGTTAGAGAATGCTAGAAATACTAGAAAGATACTAGAAACTAACCGGAATTTAAGCTTATTATGAGATGGTGCATCTCTAGCTGAGTATTGCTGCGACTGTGCTTTGCTATCAGCTCTACCAACAGCTGGATCCCAAGTTGGTCTGTATATTAGTTAGATTATTAGTAGATTTTATATTTTATTATCACCTGTGAGCCGTTGACATCGATGATCAAAGTAAAGGAAGTTATCTTTCAAAGTGGCGATCAAGATCTAAGTATAAAATGGTATTTATATTATAATAGTTTATAGTATATTACTCACATAATCTATAGGGTGCAGACGGTGGCTCATTCGTTTATAGATCTGAACTAGTAAAGACTAAAAAGAAACCAGAAGTTAAGAGTGATGATATTTCACGTATAGCTGCATGGTTTTATTGTGCATTATCAAAGAAATTGTTAAAAAAACCAATCGTTTCTTGTGAACTCGGTAAATTATACAATAAAGAGGCTATCGTAGAATACTTACTTAATAAATCAACTTACGGCGATGGTCAGAAGATTTGTGGACATATTAGATCACTTAAGGATATAAAAGAACTCAATTTAACCGCCAATCCTTCTTTCAAAGACGATGTTGATAACGAATCAATGTTAAATAACTCACCTTTTATCTGTCCGATAACGATGAAAGAGATGAATGGAAAGCAAAGGTTTGTATACATACCAAAAACCGGAGTCGTTGCTTCAGAAAGTGGTCTCAAATCAATGAACAACGGTTCGAAAGTAGGAAGTTGTCCTGAAACTGGCCAAGAATATAACTTTGATGAGCTCATAACACTCAATCCATCCAGTGAAGAAGAAACAGTCATGAAGGAACAACTCTACGCCAAAAGGTTGAAACAATCTGATAATAAAAAGACTAAGAAACGTAAAGCAGCAGCTGATGCCACTGTGCAAGTCACAAAAGCTAAGAAATATGATGACGAACCTGTCTCTGATGTTGTCAAGGGTGCACGTCAAGCAGTTTCGGATGCATTGAATAGTTCATCAAAGGACGTCGTTCACAGTGATGCTGTAAAGTCAATATGTAAGTAGTACTAAAGTTAACGAGTATAATCAATCTAACAACACACTCAGTTGGTCCTAAGGATATTCCAAAATCTGGTAGACGGACAGATGCGGAATGGATGACTCAAGGTACTTGGAACAGGTGTAAGTTCGTAACATTTTCCACCCACCCACTAACAAATGTGATAGATGCCACTTAATTTATTAATGCAATTTGTACTACTATTATACAACACTTCCTGAAACTTTCTTAAATAAATATGTGACCCTTCCTTCGTTGTTTTCATCCCCAATGAAATCATTCATACTGAAATCAGTCCATTGATGCTCAATCTTCTGTAATTTAGGTTTTGGTTCATCGTCTTCCTCTTCTTCCTCTTCTTCATCACTTGCAGGACAGAAATCTTCAGCAGATTCATATGAATGTGATGCATATGCAGCGTTCTTGGTATCATTTGCATCATTATTTGATATCGCTTCCTTTGTTTCATTGTATATTGTCAATTTTTTCAACACATCGTCAGCAAGGGACTCAAGTTGAGTTTCTTGAAGGCAATCAATATGGTTCCACCCTTCCAATGCAGCAAGCTTAGCTTGTCTATCTCTCTTAGATGCACCAAAAAGTTTAGTTTGATGTTGACTAGCGCTTATAAAGCCTTGTGGTTCGTTTTCATCGTTGTTCTCAACTTCTGTAATGGCTGATGGGCTTTCGACATTACAACTGCAATCAAGTAAATCATGAGTACCACAAATAGTATCATCGTCAACTTTAAATAGCGCTCTTAGTTCTTCAATTGTGAAAGAATCCGTTTCATTCTTCTTCTCAACTGTATTACCCATTAATGAATTCGATAATCCAATTTTTGTTAACTGTCTTTGAAATATCTTTTCATCTATCGTGCCAGTTGTCAAGAATCTATATATAAATACTGGTCTGGTTTGACCATCTCTATGTATTCTCGCCATGGCTTGTAAATCATTTGATGGATTCCAATCACTTTCGAATAGAATAAGTCGTGAAGCTCCAATAAGGTTTAAACCAACACCACCAGACTTTGTGGATAGTAAGAAAATGAATTTACCAGCTTGAGGTGAACGGTTGAAACTATCAACTATCTCTTGTCGCTTAGCCTGCTGAGTTGACCCATCAAGTCTACAAAATTTGTATTTGTTTACGCGACAATGCGTCTAGATAGCAATTAGAAAGTCTATTTTGGACGATATGCACTCACTTCTATCAAGTTTAGAGTCGTAGTGAAGTTTGACACTACAATGACCTTCTCTTCAGTTTGGTTCTTGAGAGTTTTCAACAGTCTACCCAAGGCCTTTAGCTTGCCACTCAGATTGAAATCATTCGGATTGACATTTACAGGAAAAAGTTCTTTGCAACTGTCGAACTTAAATTCTTTGTGGGTATCCGTCGAATTCTATAAAGATTGAGTTATGAACATGACGGGAAAAACAAACTTACATTCTGCATAATGTTATACAGTATACCTGGAGAGTTGCAAAGGTTTCTCAAGATACCTATAAGCGCTAAATGTTGACCACTCAATTTATCCAGTACCTTCTGTACGATTGATGTCTGCACTAATTGTTGATATAATCGTAATTGGAGCTTCGTAGGTGCAATAAACACAACAAACTACGATGTGTTAGATAATTATTGCCCTACCATCATACTCACTTCTGTCTTTGGTGGTAAGACGTTCACGAGAATGTCAGCTGTTCGTCTTAAAACAAACTGGTCATTGAGTGCTGAAAGTCCTTCTGAACGTTGTCTTCCTATCTCCAAGTCACCCTTACTACAATTAGGTGCTCTACTCCTCATAATAGGAGTCTCATATTTTTTCTTGAACGACGCATAGGTATCCAGTAGACCAGGGTTGCAAAATTCAGTCTATTTAATAATAAATATGTGTTTGTCTCTTTCGAATTGACCTACCATACAGTAATATTCACCAAGATCATTCTGAATAGGTGTACCCGACAAAATAATACGACGCCGGGTAGGAAATGCTTCAAACACTTGTGATGTCTTGTTAGATGATTTCAAGCGATGACCTATTGAGTAGATTAGATATGTATTAAAGGGTTATCGATAGCTATTCACCTTCATCACAAACTATTAGTCCTATTTGAGGTTGGCAAAACTTCAGAACCTCTGCAGCTGTTCTTAACTTCTCATAGCCAATGATGAGAACTTGATGAATACGTGATTGTTGAAACTTCTTAATCTCTGTGACATCTTTATCACCAACGAAGATGCCAATCTTTGACTGTCCAATCCATTTGCTAAACTCTTTCTTCCAATTGTTTACTAGCGATACCGGACATACTATCATTGCCTTTCCGATAACAGGACCTGAGTTTGTGACTGGATTTTGTTTCAGTAAGGTCCAAATTAAAGCGATAACTTGGAGAGTTTTACCGAGACCCATTTCGTCTGCCAAAATACAGCCGTTTCCTTTGTGGCCACGCATACCCATGACAGCTTCGTACATGAATTTAACACCTTCTCTCTGATGAGGACGAAGTTTTGATGAAATATGTGGATCAAGGACGACATCAACCAGTGGGAATTGCTTTGGATTGAGTTTATTGGCAACATAGGTTGAAATTGGTGGCATAACGAGTGCGTCTGGTGCATTTGGATCGAATTTTGATATGGGAGTAGGAATTACGCGTGGATTTGTGACTGCTAGACTACTAGACGTGGTCACAGAGTGTTGATTGAGATTATCATGTTCCAGATGGCTCGATGCTGGTTTGCTCGTGGATTCCAAAGTGCGATTGATTGTCGGTGGTTTGTATGGTTTCGCACTAGCAGCGACAGACGTGTAAAATGAAGCAGTAGGGACACCCTTTGTTTGTAATGGGGCGTTTTCTTTGGTGTCTGAATCGAGTAATTGATCTAGTTCAACGTCCTTACCGCCGATAACAAACTGAGCACCTGATTCGTATTGGTTATTCTTCTTATCAAATGATCTACCAATAACACTGCTATTCGTATCCTTCAGTATGAGCTGATTTCCTCTGATAGTCAATGTGCCATCACCATCCCAGGTCTTATGCTTCTTAAACTGAGGATTCCTCCATTGTACAGACCAGCACTGTGAAGATGTACTGGCTTCCACATTTTTATTAGAAATCTGATTTATAGCCGGCGATTTAAAGCTGCTATCTCTTGATCTCTTCATTTGTAAATGGAAGACAAATATAAAGAACTTATTTACAGAGATAAATCACAAGTGCCAGAGCATCTTCTCAAGTATTATCATCAGAGGAATAGATTGTTCAGTCAATACGACCAGGGAATCCTTTTAGATGAAGAATCCTGGTATTCAGTCACGCCTGAGTTGATAGCGATGCAGACAGCAGAGAGATGCAGATGCAACGTTATAGTAGACGCATTCTGTGGTGTGGGTGGCAATGCTATTGCCTTCGCCTTCACCTGTGAGAAAGTGATAGCAATCGACATAGATCCTATCAAAATTGAATTGGCAAAGCACAATGCAAAGATATACTGCGTAGATGATAGGATTAAGTTTATAAACATGAACTATATAGATTGGTATAACAGCTATAAACGTGATTACGATATCGACATTATCTTCTACTCACCACCCTGGGGCGGTATAGATTATCTGGATACTTTCAAGCTAAACAATCTCAAACCCGTAACAGGCACAGAACTTGTAAAATTAGCAAAATCAATAACGCCAAACGTCTGTATGTTCCTACCACGTAATACTACGATAGAAGACATAAGCGAATTAGACGAGAGAGTGGAAATAGAGGAGAATTGGATGTCTGGTAAATTTAAAGCCATAACTGTATACCTTGGAGATTTTTACAATTAATTTATAACTTTCCTTACTCGGTTTTGTATCTTAATAATGTCCATCACACGGCGCATCGCAAAAGAGTGTCTCCAGCTTAAACAGAACCCACCAGATAACATTAGGATATCATTCAATGATACTGACGTATTCGATATCGTTGGATACGTACAAGGTCCTGTTGGGACGCCTTACGAGGCCGGATTCTTCAAAATCAAGTTTAATTTCACGCCAGACTTCCCAACTACACCACCAAACTGTTCGTATTCAGTTCGTATTGCCCCTTAGTCTAATGATCCCTATAGGCAGGATGCTAACAAAGATATTCCACCCGAATATCAGTAAGACCGGCGAGATATGCGTATCCACTTTGAAGAAAGACTGGAGACCTGAGTACGGTATTGAGCATATATTAGTCACTATCAAATGCCTCCTTATCTACCCAGGTCCTGATTCCGCGCTCGATGAAGAAGCTGGAAAATTGCTTCAAGAGAATTATCAAGACTATTACAATCACGCTAAAATGATCACATCTATACACGCTAAGCATCGCCCAATCGAGTTTGATTCTTCGCCTTCTCAGACTGAGAATCAACCGCTCTCAAACGCTCCAATCGAGCCTGCGACAAAAACAGAGACCCAAACCCAAAAGCAGCCCCTCAAATCGAAGGAGGCTAATGCCAAAAAGAAAGGATTAAAACGACTCTAACTTATTTATTCAATTGTAATGTAAAAAATATTAATTGTCACTTAAATTACTACTACTGTCGCTATCTAGGAACTTCTCTAAATCGTCATCTAGCATATCTTCGTCAGCCTCTGGGATTTCAACGACCTCGCTGCTGTCTTTTAATGGAACAACAGGCTCTATTCCTGGTTTAGCGGTAGGTGTGGAGGTGCTCTCCTCTGGATAACCCTTTGGGTATGTCTCCATCCTCACATCCGCACTTGGCAAGTCATCTTTCGACCATTCTGGTAGAAGATCCATTAGAATATCATCCTGTATCTTCACTGGGTTTGCTTTCTGAGGGAGTGACGCTATTTTATCAACTGTGTGTGGATCCTTTGTGGAGGTATCCAGAACTAGCGAAGCTTGTAGACGACGCAAAACTATTCTCGGCATTTGATCAGTAGAATATTCTTCAGTACCAATAACGCCTCTAACTGCGTTCACTAATGCTTGTCGTCTATTTTGTGCATCGAGGTGTTTCAGGTTCGTTGAATCAACATCCACCATGTAGTTGGATAACATGAAGACCTTACGAGCTAGAATATGTACTTCTGATACGTTTGGAACGCTTGTCATCATCTTAGCTGCGAGATTTATAATTTGCATTTGTGTCTTAATACCTTCTTCACTAAATCCCAAGACAGATTTGCGGAGAATATCCGGAGCATACTTCCAGATAATATCTTCACCGCTATTGTAAACTTCATCGTCTGGTGGATTACTTATTATCTGGCTAACTATCCATATCAGAGCAGCCCTTGCATCGTCGTCTTCAATGCTACCACCAAACATTCTTTTTAGAAGCTTTCGCAAGTAAAAGCTCTGGCGAATATGATTATTCATGAAATTTCGCAGTTGTATTATCGATTTCTGACTCAATACCTTGTTAGAAGATACCGAAGAGGAAGCGAGTACTTTAAAAGCAAACTCTGAGGCCTTCTCTGTTGTATGGGTCAAATACCCAATGGTGTCAATCACTTGAGCGGCGAATGTAGTATCAGGATCTAGCATGTGACACTAGAAAACATCAGAAGTTATCGCTTTAAATATGTATACTCACTTTTAGTTCTTTAGCCAGTGCGATTAACTGAGACTCATTTAGATAAGTCATTATATTTCTAATGATGTTCAATTTTATAACTTTAATCGATAGTGTTTCATCCTTGACAATAAAAAAGCAAGTCAAAAACGGAGCTATCGATTCCTAGTAATAATTAAGTATTGTATCTCAAATTTAACACTGCGGTACCTACTGGATCTGATTCTGAGATGTGTGCCATCGTGAGCAGAACGTACATTGCCATTTCAGGTGAATCTTTCCTCGAACGGAGAAGAGAACGCAACGCCTTCTTCTTATAGGAAGGTGTACCCAACAGCAAAATAGTCTTGGATGCTTTAGCAGTGACCTAATTGTTGTCAATGAATTGATAGAGAAAAATTTCCAACTCACTGCAATGTTTTGGCTTCCTAGGAGATATTGACAGATTCTGAGGAAGTCGTCGAGGTCTTTGTCTATCGATTCATCACCCTCCGGTTTTGGCAAAAACATTCTGCTATACCGAGTCAACAAATCTATGATAACTAACTGGGACCATTCTTCGCACTCGACTAGCTGTCTAACAAGATGCCTAAATACCGGATGCAATGCAAACATACTATCATTGAGGTTCTCAACTTCTGGATGTATCTTGTTGAACGCGTAGATAGCCGAGCCGATTGGTATTGACGAAGATGAAGTCATCAAATCCAATGCTAGTTCCCTCAAATCCTCGTAACTCGATTCATCCAATCTAGCGACTACTATCAGTATCGAATGATATTCAATAAGAAAGAAACATACTCATAGCATTTTGGTATGGCCAAAGCAGCCGCTTTGCGTACATACGGGTTAGCATCTTTCGCAGCCCGCTTGACACATAATAAGCAAACTGGTGCCACATCCTCAGAGCTTATGCTCGAGAGTACACGTATAGATTGGGCTCGTACGAGTGGTGAAACATGACTTGAGTCTTTCTGAAACGTATTGACGCTTAACATGGCCAAATCTGGACATATCTTTGCGTATCTCGTCAGATAAACATACGCAAGGATCTTTATCTGAAAATTCCGGGATGATATGAGCTTGATAATCGACGGGAAGAGCGTCGAGAGATCTCTACTATGAGATAACAAAACAAGAACTCGCTTGAGTGCATCTATAACTTCTATATCTTTATTAGACGATAACTTTGGAACGATATCTGTGAGTTTGTCGCTCGGTGTATCTGCTATACGTATATTTGAACCAAATTCGATATCTCTATTGATAATGAGTGAATATCACATAATAAAAGTAAAATACCTCGTAGACTCAGCTAGATTCTCCTGTACTCGCTGCCTAAATCTGTTTAATATGTCCATCCTGAGTGATGGTAGTCTATATACCAACTATATAAAACAAATTGCGGAGATAACAACTAATAATATATAAGAAAGGTCCTAATGATCTCCTTTTGTACACTTCTCTGTGTAATTTATCAAGAAACCCCTTATCTCTGTGACCGTCATCTCTGATGAGCTTTAAGGTGAGATATCTCTATAATACTGCACTATAGCTAACATATTATCTAGGAGGAAGATCCTGGGAGTATACAAGCGCTCTTGAGTGCTCTGAAGCCATCTCTGGATTCTATGAACGGTAATAACACGGAAAAGACTCAAGAAGCACGGAACACGAGTGAAGTAGAAAGTGCGAGAGATATGGGCATTCATCCACCACGAAATCCTGAAATAGATTCCTTGTTAGAGCTTCTCGGTCCACCTGCACCATCAACAGCTCAGAAACAGCGTTCGTCACTCCCGATATCATCCACATCAATACCAGCGCCTAAAGCACCAGCCCCACCATCAAAATTACCACTAGTACAACAGAATGTGCAGTCAAAAGTTGAGGAACCGCCACTAGAGACAATCAGTGAGAATGAAGCACTACAGCTACGTAGTATGACATTTCCGCAAGCACTCATGCTTGTACCCACACTACCAGCACATAAAATAGCCAAACTAACTGAAATACGCAAGCAACAGGACAAACTGGAGAAAACGTTGCACACAGAGTATAGCGTTATGAATAGCAAGTTCACGAATGCGCGTAAAGAGCTAGAACAGAAAGCAACATTAGCACGCATTGATTTGAGCAGAGATATGGCTCGACTTGACGGAGACTTTGCCAAAAAAGTTGATGCATTCAAAACAAAAGCTCTCTCGCGGTGGGATGAACTGGTGAGGATACTTCACTTCAATACGCATTCCATACTAATAGCATTACCAGCGACCTCAACAACAGTCACAACTTGAACAGTTACATATACCCTGTTTCTACGTCACGGAAGACGTGGATGCGATATCGACACAGGCCAAAATACTGGCGGCTATAGCATCACAGCATAACTAACATAAATTATTACCAAGTCTAATACAACATCATTTCTTCTTAAAGAACGAATTCAAGCTGCTTTGTCCAGCTTTCGGTTTCGCTTGTGCGCTTGCAGCTGGTTTTGATTTTGGTTTAGTTGACGCGTTACCAGCTGCAGCAGTCTTCTTAGGCGGTGGTGCCTCGTCATCTGTCACCCACTCGTCGACATCCTCAGTAACCATGTAACCCTTCTCGTTCATCTTCGTCACACTTTTGGTTACTTTGCGCTTCTTATCCATACGTTCAGGCGCCTGCGTGTGCGTCTGTGCAAGTGGGGGAGCATCAGCTGGTGACGATATCGTAATGTCGTCTTCATCATCAGACTCAATGATGCGACGTTTGCCGTTCGCTGGTTTGGCTTTGGGTTTGACAGCGTCTTTTTCCTCCTTTTTGGGTATTTCTTTTTTGACTGCTGAAGGTGCTGTCTTTTTGGCTGGTGCTGCCGCTGGTTTTGCCTTCTTAGGTAGATTGGAAGGTGCAGGTGCGCTATGCTGGAAATATTCCTTCTCATAATTGACGATCATCGTCAGATCTGTTATCTTGGAAGCTGAAATAGCATGTAAATAGATTGAGGATATATCGATAAACATTTTCTTTGTTTCTGTATTCTGTGAGCTGCGCCAATAGCGCTCCAAAGCTATACATACCTTCTAGACGGTCGAGATTCGCTGTCAAATGTGTTTGTAGAGACGCACTATTCGTTCTGCCAGATATAGCGATAACTGGATGTACTGTATTTTCATTCGAGTTGTAGTATGCTAATAGATGGCTAAAAAAAGTCAATAAACGCGCTATATCGTATCATGTTTACGCACTTCTTAGCAATATTCGGACGTGATCCAATCTCACGACTGAGCATTTTACTAGTGACAATCATGTTGTCATCCTTTATCCACTTGTCAAGTAAACTTGAAGTATTCTCATCTGACATCCCTTTGCACTTGAATGTCAAGATCGAACCGTCAAAGAGAAGGAAATGACGACAATGAGGACTAGACGCAGGGTCAGCTTATCTGCACCGCCGGCCAAGCTAGAAACCCCAAAGGAAGTGCGCAAATTGAGAAGCTGGAGCTATTACATTATCTTCGCGATCGTTATCTTACCCTTACAGCTGTTTATTATGTCTTCTTTTATATATACAGCTCAAAGATTATACCATTTATACAATAATAGTGTACCGTATTGTCGGTATCTATTTATGGATATATATGCTCCCTTAGAAGTGAGTGTTCCGATAATATAAAAGACAGTCTAACAATGCAGGTTATATTCTACGTCTACCTCACCATTCTTAATAAGCGCATACAGCCAATTTCACTTCCTCCACCGCATTTCACGCCTTCATTCGCTAAACAACTTTTCATACGTATTCTGGGTGATTTCCGAGCAGTAAACACACGCAGAGTGACTGAATGGTCGGAAGATACTTCACAGGGTGCTTATGCAGCACCTGCCTTGCGTAGGGAAGATAGGCGGTCAAGTTGGGATGTAGACATGCTCGAATCTCAAATACCTGCACTCGAATATAATGACGCGAAAGCTAGAGACTTCCGCGAAAAAGTCAGTACTTGGTTTGGGCATGCAGAGTGGCACGACCTATGTCATGATGATATGCTCACATGGCTTAGCTGGTCTTTACTCGGTTTGCCACTTTCAGAAGCCAATTTACCGTTCCTCGAGAGTTGCGTTCATTTAGTAGAGAAACGTACAGGTAGCTGCCTTCCTATGAAGCGGCCAGAAGGTGCTCAGCCACCAACAATCATTCGTTTGACTATAGACCCAGTTAGGACACGTGCAAGACCAATCTTACTATACATTATCATACACATTGCGGATATGCTAACAAAGTTTTTTCTCATTTGGAGATATGATTGTAAGATCTGGATAATAGAAGGTGAAAACCCGCAATCAGGACCCTTAGAATACATAGTCAGAATACCGGATAAGAAAAGTGAAGACAAAGTAAAGCCCGTCACATTAATGCATGGTTTAGGTTTCGGATTACCACATTATGGACAAATATTCAAATTCTTAGCGAACAAATTCCCAAACAGACCTATTGTCATGCCACTCAATCGTGCAACTTCAATGATGATCTTCACCAGACGATATTTGTTACCAGTAACGCGACAGGAAGCTAGTCAAGGTCTGACGGAGGTGCTTGATAGACTGAACGCAAGTGATACAGACATAGTCTCGCATTCATTCGGTACTATAGCCCACACACATATACTCAAAGATGCGCCTCATTTGGTTAACAAATCGGTATTCCTCGAGTGAGTCTACTTTATTGATAAAATGAAGCTAAAATGATAAAAGTCCAGTTACTTTTTGTCTATGGGAAGGTGATTTATGTTACAGATTCCTCTACAAAGTACCAAAAACTGGTATTGAGCTACTTATGAACTATTTCATCGCTACTGAGACGGGATTAGCAAACACACTTCAGAGGTCATTCAGCTGGTCATGTAATCTCCTCTGGCCACAAGAGATGAAAATAGAAAGCACGAAAGTATTTATAGGTAGTGAGGATTTCATATATGACAGTAAGAGAGTACACGAGTATCTCCTTCGACATGGCTTACGTGACGGTGTCGCTCTCCACTACATGGACGGCTTCAATCATGGAGAGTGCCTGATAACGAGAAATGGGGTAATAGATACCGTTTGCGAATTCTTAGAGTAAATTAAGGATTACCTGATTGGTCACTTCTATAGACAGACCGTATGACGAATTTGGGTAAATAAATAAAGAGAATAACGAGACTATGTTGTAATTATTTAGAGCAATACGCATTCAATTTTATTTGGTGCCTCTGACCTCATTATCGAGATTCCCTCTTCTTCTTCTTCTCCATCATTAGATAATTCCACAATTAGTACAATGCAAGGCTCATCAGCTATAAAATTGCTGAGTGGTATGCTTATTATTAGCTCAGAGAGCGTAGCTTATACAGGATAGGTACCTCACATAGCCAACTCAGTCAGCTTATAGCCAAGAGGTAAGTCAATATATCGTATTTTAGATCTTATATTAATACATACGCTATATAGACTTGGCATACCGCTCTGTAACGCTACTATCGAGCTCAACTCCGCCGGCGAAACTACCGTTGCATTGCAAGAGAGTGTTAGAGACGACGACGTCTACATTCTCAACACTGGATGTGGTAATGTCAACCAACACCTTATGGAAACAATGATTATGGTACGTTTCTTTTGCTCTTATTCGGATTTTTCTCACAATTTTACAGATACATGCATGTAAAGTATGTTGAAAGGCTTTAAAATAGAAATAAATACTAATGAAAACTATTAATAGATAGCATCAGCTTCTAGGATAACTGCTGTTATCCCACACTTCCCATACGCAAGACAAGACAAGAAGGACAAAAGTCGGGCACCAATTACAGCTAAGTTGGTAGCAAATATGCTTCAAAAAGCTGGATGTGATCATGTTATTACTATGGATCTTCACGCTTCTCAAATTCAAGGATTCTTCGATGTACCCGTCGACAACCTCTACGCTGAACCATCAACATTACAATGGATGCGCGATAATTGTGACGTTGAGAATACAGTTATAGTATCACCAGATGCAGGTGGTGCCAAACGTGCAACATCCATGGCTGATAAGCTCAACGTCGATTTCGCACTCTTCCACAAAGAGCGTAAAAAGGCTAACGAAGTCTCACGTATGGTTCTCGTTGGTTCAGTTACTGGTAAAACAGCTATCTTGGTTGACGATATGGCTGATACTTGCGGTACACTTGGTCGTGCAGCTAAGCACCTCATCGAAGCGGGAGCAGAAAGAGTTTTAGCTGTTGTCACTCACGGTATACTCACCGGCCCAGCTCTTAACGTTATTACTGATAGTTCTTTGGAAAAATTAGTCATTACTAACACAATGCCACAACAAGCTAATAGTGAAGCATGTGAAAAAATTGAAGTCATTGACATCTCACAAGTTTTAGCTGAAACTATCAGAAGATCACACTATGGTGAGAGTATCAGCGTACTCTTTTCAAACCTTCCATATACACTTGGTGCAAACTAAACACTAAGTGAGGATTTCTTTTAGCTGAAAACCAAATTTGTTTTTCAATTTCTTCCACTTTCTGAAAAAATGATAAAGATGCATATTACAATTTCTGATATGACAACGTTGACTATAAAGAAAATGCAGAAAATAATGTGATGCCTGTGATATCTGAAACAAATGAGGAAGATAAACTGAGACGTGAAAAGGAGTTAAACAACTAGATTCAACTATGTTGATTAGTGTTAAGTAAAGATAACAACGGATTTGTCGTAGGTTCCATTGGTTTTGGTTGTGGTCGTAAACCACCCGATTGTGGAGATAACAAAGATAACAGTGATTCCTTATGACTTGGATCATTCTTATCCAAATGTTGTAGCTGCTGTAGTTGGTTTTGGTTTGGTGACAAAGTTTCTAATAAGGTTTGTTGGAGATTTTGAGGTGGATTCCTGTTCGTAATACCTGAAGGTGGATGCATGATCGTTGAGATCTGAGAATGGTTTTGTAAATGTTGCTGTTCTTGTTGCTTCTGAAATGGATGTTGATTACCTTGCAATAAGAAATTAATTGGTACATTCGTCGAAGCATTTGTTGGTAAAGAAGGAATCTGAGGTACTGAGGGAACCGGTGGCATTTTTGGAGGCATAAATGGTGGTGGAAATGGCTGCAAATTAGGCAGTGGCGCAGTTGATGGGATTGCTGGGTTGACTTTCGGTGAAGAGGACTGAAGAATCTGTAAAGGAGACTGATGACTAGCTACTGGTGTACCATAATGAGAAGAATGGTTAGAATTATTCGCGACGTTGGTTGAAGCACATTGACTAAATAAAGCGTCAACTGAAGAGACGTCTTGGGACGGCGTCGTTAATTGAGAAAATAAACTATCGATTGGGTTATCCGAGGTTTCTTTATCTGGCGAAAGGATTGCATTCGGTTTGTGTTTCTTTATGAAGCTTTTAAGGCGTCTAAAGAGGTGTTAGGAGGTCTAATCTTAATACATTATACGATTCTCACCCTATGAAAGGAGTAATCAAGTAGAATTTTGAAGTAGAAATATGTTTAGTATTCTTATTCCAGCTTGGTAAGTCAGTCAATTTAAACCATTGTATCTTTGATATCTCCTTCCTTGTTTGGGTTTTAAACTCAGTGTTCATATCCACATTTTGTATCAAGTAAAGTCTAATCTTCTGGTCTTTTATAGCGACGTCAATAAAGTCGGTCTCTATCAGCTTTGATGTACAATCATATCCAGTCTCCTCTAAAACCTCTCTAATTGCGCACAAATGGTGCTGTTCGTCTAAATTAATTTTACCTTTGGGGAAAGACCAAGCGGAGGATTGTTTCCAGCCTTTGACCAATAAACAGTGTGTATATTGAGGGTTTAATATGATAGCCCCACAAACAGGTACTCTAGTTTTATATCTAATGAAATCAGCAAACGCTTTCTCGTGCAAGTGGTAGTTTTTGGATAATAACGGGCAGTACTTGAAGAACTGCTGACTGAATTGCTTTAAATGGTAGCTTGGTAACTCTGGTTGACATTCACGAATGAAATCCTCGTAATACCAATGAGCAGCTTCAACTTGGAAGCACAACCTTTCTAAAGATTGCTGCTCTTCTAGAGGTAAATTTATTATAAATTTTGTCGATAAATTCAAAAATATTTCTTCCATCACGCTATCATGAGTCTAATTAGACAGAGGAAGGATTACTTGAATAAATTATATAAAAATTTGCTAGAACAACAAAATTTATTATTCTTACAATTCAATAACTTTAACGTAAAGGAATTAAACCAATTGAGGTCTAGATTGGGTGAACTTGATAGCAATTTAACCGTTATTAGGTCAGGCGTTTTTAGAGGTTTAACAGAAGATATCAAACTTAAGAACTTGCTTAATGGAAATATCTGCTTGATTTCCTTCAACGAGCTTAATCCAGCGAATTTGAAGAAGGTCCTCACACAGGTAGATACCATCAAATCTAATTCAAGATTCAAGGCTATGCCTTTAACAAACCAATCAACTGACACTGTCGCCGTCAATCCAAAGTTAACTCTCCTTGGTGGTCACATTAATAACCAAACTGTCGATATTTTCACTATAAGACAACTCGCTAACTTACCTACACTCGAACAAATACACGCACAAATATACTCCCTTATTACGACGCCGTCATCTAGAATACACTCTCACATTCAACACCCAAGCCAGCACCTCTCACTCTTACTTAAAAGTCATTCAAATCATCAACAAGTTTAGGTTCTCTTTTAGAATTATATCTGTAACTGAAACCAATATTCTGGATAGATTCTTAGTATCTTTCGCATTCGTAGTATGAACGTAGATCTCTTTATCTCGATTCTTGTTCAACGAGAGCACTCTCTGCTTTAAATATTGCCTTGATGCGTCTACATCTTCATTTCTCCCTTGATAATCGTTAAAGTACTCCACTTCTCTTAGCGGCTTATTTTTTATCTGTTCTTTAAATATGTCATTCTTGTTAAGAAAGACTATCAGTGATGTCCGTATAAACCATCTACTGTTGCATATACTATCAAATAATAGCAGACTTTCTTGCATCTGATTACTCTCTAGATCCTCCTCTAATGCTTGATCGTAGCTACTCAGCGCTATGACAAACTGCGTTGTAAGTTAGACAATTCTACTTTGAAAGATCATCTATCACTCACTATGATAGTTGTTACACCTTCAAAACAGTGTATCCATTTCTTTCTTTCCGATCTTTGTCCGCCGACGTCAAATATTCTATAATCGTAGCCACCAATATGAAAATTATTCTCGCTAATACCTATACTCTTCGCGCGACAAGTTAGAATGTCATCAACATTTGGTATATAGTCGCGGAACATGACTCTGTCTAGATTGTCGAACCAATAACTCAAATTTTCAGGTATTGCAAATCCATGAGCATCCTTGAATACCCTTTGTATACTCGAATCTGACCATAGATCCTTTAATCCACTTATTGGTACTGGTGGTGGTGTCGTATAATCGAATAGCTTGGGTATAGTTTCCAGAAATTCATCAATAAACTCCTCGTTTTGAGGTAAAAGAGATAAGGATTGCTCATATGCGCAATCTATGGCTATCCATAGACCATTAATTATATTACTGTAGATTTGCTGACGGTACATCATCACCTCGGATAAAGTAAACGGTTTCTTGGAATGGTAGATAACTTTCATTTGCTTTATGATTGTAGATTTTCCTGATTCACCTGCACCTAAAAGAAGTATTTTATATGTCTTACGATCTTTCAAGAAATCTCTTTTCAGCATTGTGTCGATTTCCTTTGTCTTCTCAGTAATTGTATGACTTGAATTTGAACTAGTGGATAGACAACATCCCATCGTATGTTTTTATTTGATGATCGCAGCTGTTAATCGTTAATATGAGATCAGATCGTCTCGGTAGTATTGTAACATGACCGTTTAAGAATCCCTTAATTCGTCATTTTTTAGTTTCGGTTGATAGTAATTGTTATTTTATTCTTTCCTTATCTTTAATTCCTTATATGAAAGCCCTTCTCTCGTAACTATGACGACGTCTATAAAAGATATAGTAAATAGCTTCAATAAAGCCCAACAGGAGGGAAATAACAATAATACGAATACAAACACATCTGATGAACCAACTACCTCATCTTTGACGTCTCAAACAGCGTCAAATAACATGCCTTTTTTGGAATTCGCTAAGAAGTTTAAAAGCCTAGCACACAATGGCTTAACAGAGGATGATATAGCTTTCTTACAGACGTCACTTAATATGGATCTTCATAGAGGCATAGGAATGTTTATCACGACAATACACAACCAGCACACACTGAACTGGGTTAAAGCTTTATCTGAATCTAGTGCCAAGGAGCCCACAGGTGCTGGAACTACAGCAGCCACGACTTCTGCCACTACATCCGCATCAACGTCATCCAGTCAACCTTCTCAACATGATATCCAACTCAGAATACTGAATCAATACCAACAATCACTATTTTATGCATTCAATACATCAATAGAACATTTGCATGCTTTCGATGAAAAGAGTGCGTTTTACTTCGTTATTATAAGTGAAACCGATCTAATATAACTACTCTAGCGGCCGAATTAGCTGAGCATATCCTTATATTCTCTGAAATACTCAAAAAAGTGGGTGATAACTTGGTTTCATTATTAATTTAACACATAATTTAGGAGAAAACGTCTTTACATCCACTCAAACATCTTCTTACAGTCTTTACGAATGGAAATACAAATGAGTTGACACCATTGCATAAGCTCTTCGTTAAAGTAGGTTCTCATTCAGCCTAATTAAACGCTTAACAAATTAGGCATGTATCACGTCAAACTTACCTAGTTATGCTCTACCCGTGATAGAGAGAGGCATTAACGAGCTAGCTATTTCAGTAAGTTTCAAATCATACATTGATGAAATTAAATCAAAATAGTATTCGCATCTTACGGCCAACGACAATCTGCATTACTTTACCGGAAGTGCAACGCTTTTTATCATGTTAGAAAGATATGAGGATGCTTTAGATGTACTTGAGCAGGTTAGTGTTTATCTCGTTATCCTTATACCACTCAATACTAGTTCCAGATTGTAACATTACCAATAACAACATTGGCAGTTAACCCAATGATTTTGAGGGCTTACAAGCAACTAATTCTGCTCCAATTGATCGTAAATGGACAATTATCTCCATTACCTAAGTACACATCAGGAAATCTCAACAAATCTCTCAAGAAGCACGCAAGCGGCTATCATTCATTAGTTGAAATTGGAGCCAAAGCTACTGAACAACCAAACTCATTCAACAATGTCGAACAGACTCTCAACCATACGATGGAAGTGCTGAGAAAGGAGAGGGCAAGCTTCACGAAGGACAATCTATTAGATTTGGCTCTCAAAGCCGAAGATAGCGTCTTTGCAGCCCAAATAAGCGCATATTCAATGATATATACAGCAATGCCAATCTCAGATCTCGCTAATGTGCTTGGTATCTCTTCTGATCACAATGACCAGCTCATCAACAAGCTGGGAGAATACATTCATAATGGTGCAGTAAACGCGCAGTTGAATCTCGTCGAAAATGTAATAGAATTTGCTAGCAAAGGAGAAAAAGGTAAAAGTGAAGAAGAGTTAATGATTGATCTCGAAAATGCTATCAAGGGTTCACTTAGTCTTCGCAGCAATATGCAAGAGCTTGATAGAAAACTGACACTCAACCCTGCTTATGTTAAGCACCACATACAAAAATCAGAACGTAAGAAGAAAGAAACTAAAGATGAGCAACATAGTGATACACCAGCTGATGAGATGGATGGTATGGACATGAGTGATGGAGAATAGAAATCTATTTACTTTGTACAATGCTACTCGTATAGTTATTAAAAATACAACATCCTTTTTAAATTACTGATATAGTCAATGAGATAATGATAATTTTGCAATGTTGTCCAATATTCCGTCTAAATGAATCAATTTTCTGCCTTTTTCAAGCCAAAATGCGTAAACTACAGGGTTTTCAAACCAGGGAATTGAAATATCTGCATCCTTGTCTACAGTCTTTATGTGTTGATATTTCATGAAGTAATTACTAATGTTCTCGAAATTCTTTATCTCATCCAATATTCCTATAGTGGCTATCATCATGCTGTCATCCTTGCTGTCATCCCATGTAGATAATAAAAGAAGGTTGAAAGGTTGTAATGCAGCTTTCGTTGAGCTATCATCAATCAGTATAGTATTACTTTGATCGTATTCTTTATGTTTACGCCATATCATTTCAAGATCTTTATAAGTTTGTACCTTATTTCTAAAATCATTACTTGACATCTGCATGTTTTCCCGACTATAGACGGCGAGCAACTTAGATTGTTGCTCAACATTAAAGGCACTTTCAACGTATCTTTGTACATTTTTATACATAGCAGATGAATAAACTATAACTGAAAAGTTACGGAAAAGAAAACCCTTAAAATCTACCAAATAAGGACGTTGGGAGGTATTTCGTGATTTCTTATTAATTATTGTGCCATTTAAGTCCAAAATGATTAACTTTTTTGATGTGGATTTACTACCAGAAGTTGTGTTAGGTCCAGTACTAGATTTTGTGCAATTCGACAAATAGCCGAGTGATGGTCGTGGTGGTAACATTTCAAGACAGCGATGAGCGAATCATCAAAACTTGGCTTAGGGTTAGGTATTGGCGTCGGCGGTGCAGTCATATTATCAACAATTCTGTTCTTTGTTTGGAAAAGGCGTATATACGCTGTGGCAGCATCATCACGTAGTCAACACTTAGAATTGACAGCAGATACACTTTAGATAATAACTTTAGTGTCAAACACATTTCTTGAAAATTATTGACAGCTTTTATATGAAGAATGCCTATCAATCATAATCTTGTCAGCTGTCAAATAATTTCACTCTATTATCACAAAATGGACCTTATCGAAGTTTGTTTATTGAGATTATGTCGCTGGCATTCCTTCAAATCACATCTCGGCAACGTGCCAGAGGTAAATGAAACGTCATACGTCAAAAAAACACCTTGGCCGAGTTGGACATATGCATAGTATAAATATGCGACAATATTAATACTTTTACAACAAAAACAACCAGTAGCTCTACTACAAAACTAATTACAATGATTAACCCACGTAATTTGTTAACAAGTCATTCAAGACATTCTTCAAGACTCGACGACCTCCTTGATGACGATCCATTTGGATGTAGCGTTGACTTCCCTTCACCACCACCACGTGACGATGGCCCTCTCAGAAGACAACTCTCTAGAGGAATCAGACAATCGCTTCAAGTGAACACTCCGCCAAGTTTAACATACAGCAGTAGTGAAGCTAGCGAATCGAGATCACCATCACCAACTGGATCAGCATTTTCATTAGGTGAAAGCACCTATTCACTCAACGACCATAGAGATTATCGCCCTATGACACCACCACGTCTATCAAGCCTGGATTATAACACTAGACCACAGAAGCAACAAAAACAACTCCTCAGCCCTGTAAAGCTTACAACTGAGACGAGAAGACCACAGAGTCCGACAAAGCAAAAGTTCGCTAGTGTCTCTAAATCTCTTCTCACTTTCATCTCTATGTTTTAATATGCTAGCGATATAGTTTATAGTAATATGTAATGTATTTTATTTGTATTTTATAATAAATGGATCAAAAATCTCTACATTATTTCTTATCTTTGACTCTAACAATGAAGTTATCGGGAATTCTATGCAACACAATAAAGAAAACACCTTTATATGATTGGCATATTGCACGTGGCGCTCAAATGGTTCCGTTTGCTGGATGGTCCATGCCGCTTCAGTATAAAGCTATGGGACAGGGTGTGTGATATGCTTTTACCTTTTTTACGGAAACTAAAGACGAAAAGTTGATGCACACAACCATGTACGTAAACAAGCAGGTTTATTCGACGTATCACATATGCAGTGAGTTAATTCTCTCCTTATTATCACAATCAATTAAATACCGAACAGGCAAATTATGTAAGTTAAGAACAAATAGACACTCATACTTGACACAAAAATACAGCTTAAAACAACCAAAATCATCGAACTTCATACATTCCATCTTACCGGTATCTTACAACCAGCTGACCAACACAGGGTCATACAGCCTCATATTAACCGAGGAAGGCGGTATAGTTGATGACTGTATACTTACTAAATGGTCAGATGAATCTTGGTATTTAGTTACAAACGCAGCTAGATCGAAAGAAGTTGCAAATTGGTTAACCAACCAGCAAGGAAGATACCAAGATGAAACTGGAGAAAGTATCAGCATTGATTATTTAGAATCTAAGAAACAAGCTTTGTTAGCGTTACAAGGACCGAAAGCTGCAGAAGTTCTCGCTAGACATTCTGAAACATCACTTAAGGAACTTTATTTTGGCAACGTCAGTCAAAATCTCAGATTAAGTGGTGGTGCAAACGTACACATTGCTAGAAGTGGTTACACAGGTGAAGACGGTTTTGAAATTTCAGTAGAGGAGAGAGATGCTGTAGCTATAGCTGACATGCTCGCCGATGGCAACCCAACAATCCCAATAGGTTTGGGTGCCAGAGACAGTCTTCGTTTAGAAGCCGGTTTGTGTTTATACGGTAACGTAAGTAATGTCTTCCTCTTCATATAATCAAATATTAAGACGAATATCAGGATTTATGGGAGAATGACCTTACCGTCGGTGAAGCCGGATTAGCATGGACAATAGCCAAGGATAGGAGGACTGAGGATCAAGTAACTAAATTCCCAGGATGGGGTAAAGTTATACCATCATTAAAATTAGCTAATATGTCAAAAAGACGTGTTGGTCTCACCGTTGAAAAAGGTCCAGCGGCTAGACAAAATGCATCAATATTGAATACTAATGAAGAGAAGGTCGGTCATGTAACTTCGGGTGCACCTTCGCCAACTCTCAATCAAAATATCGCTATGGGATATCTGCCAAAAGAATTCGCATCTATCGGTACAAAAGTGTTGGTTGATATTAGAGGTCGTAAACGCCAAGCTGAAGTTGTTAAAATGCCTTTCGTCGCTAACAACTACTATCGCGAGGGTATGGGTATATAGAAAATTAAACATGTACAACTTATAGCATTATCCCCATGCAACTGATGTACTTTTGATTTTGTTAGCAAAAGAAGATATTGAAAAGTAAACAAACCTATAATTAACAATCAAATGTCCTTCAGTTCCATAGCATTTGTATAAGTTTCCAATTGTATCGTCGGGTGTAGGTGCAAAAGCACTATTAATATAACAGAACTATTGAATATTCAGCTAATTAGTCATAACCATACTTCTATACTAACAATTGGACAGTTCGAATTTGATAAACCACACTCCTTCCTAAGAAATTGTATGACGGTATAGAATTTATTAGATTCTGATATTTTGTAATAATTTTGCTTCATAATTGGTGCAGCTCCTATCGCTTTAAACCTTACAACGACTGTGTTGTTTATGGTTAGATAGATAACTTATGATAGCTAGATATAAACGCACCCTTCTTTACTTCTTTACGCTTGTATACTTCTATAGCACGTTGTGCGGCATCTTTTAGGCCTTTATCTTTATATATTTGTTCTATATCCGCTACATCATCTACAGTCTGTTCATTCTGATTACTATTGTTATTCCTAGCGGGTGGACTACCAATCGTATCCAAATTTGGTGAATTCTTAGGTGAGAACAAAGCTTCTGATGTAGGTAATGGCGGTAACGTAGGTGGTTGTTCAGACATCAACGTCAATGATAAAGAAATTGTGTTACATTTGATTTACAATAAATATATTAAAAATATAGCAATACTAATACAAATACAATTTAAAGCAATAACTAACGTTTTAATAAAGAAAGCTAGGCAAAATGAACAAATCCAAGAAAATTATCAATAATTTCGAAATTCACCTTGAACTTGAAGGTTTGTTGGAATTATCGTACCATTCTCCTTTATAACTGCTATAAGGTTGAGTTTATCATCGATTAGTTTGTAATTGTCTTCATTCGAAGGTAATCCAACTATAATTTCATCATTTGAGATGTAATCAACGAAAGTAGACTTCCAGATAACGATCTCTTCTTCTTCATCAATAGGTTTATATTCACCACCCAAATCTATACCTAATCCAACACCAGTTTTCTTTTGTACTTTACCATAGAAGTACAGATCAATGGAATCATTGTCAAAACCTTGAAAGTTTTTACCAAATACTTGCATGACATTATCCATATTGTTGTAAAATTTAAGGTTAGATCTGCCAGGTTGATAACCATTAGCTTTGCTATCTACCTTAATCCACGTTGAAAAGAATGGTATTGGAACTGTAACGTTCAGGTTTGATCTTTTGAAATATTGATCAATTGTACTTGCGTTGAATTCTGGTGTATAGATATAGTGATTGTGTACCTCTGTAATTTATTATTTAGTTTACATAAAAAGCCTCATAGTGATAACTTACCGACACCAGATATAGTCCATAAAGCAATCTCACCAACATCTAATGACCATGTCATACCATTTTCTGCATATGCATCAAGATTATTAGCATCATATTGACTAGAGCGTCTCTTATTCCTTGAACTACTTGACTGGTCAGTAGATGAACGCGCACTGGATTTCCTCTTTGGTCTGTAGGAGATATCCTGACTATCATCATTCGCTATATCAGATTGATAACTTGTTCTTCTAGACTTATTAGCGTTGTCACGATCTTTGACAGGGAAATCAACAGCACCTGACTGTGATTTAGGTGGTACGATCAATCTAATCAGCTCATCGACGCAAGTCAAATACATCCCAGAGGCCTCCAATTGACCAGGCTCGGTGGATGATTGTACAGCCAATTCAAGACCAACCTTGTTTAGTTGTACAGTCGATTCACCAAGTACACTGCCTTTAATACAGCCAGTCTGGCGTTGATTACTATGTGAATTACTGTCAAGACTAGAGCGTCTACGATAATCATCGACATTTCCACCACCTGTCACTGAAGTTCCTTTACCTCCTCTTCTGACGATCAATGGCGGTGATACAACACCATGTGATAATGATTGTAATACGACGACACAATTTGCTTTGATAGCTGTCGAATTAACACCACTAGCTATAGCTCCTACAGGTGGTGTAGGCCAATCATCAGGTACACTAGGCAACGTATCTCCCGCATGTTCTGTATCGTATATCCAAATGATGAAGGGATCCCAATAATTTGCATCTGGTGTAAATGTAGCATTTTGCAAATTTATACCATTCTCATTATTAGGACAATTGTCACTACCAGTGGGCCAAATTGAAGGAGTACCAGTAACTGTCAAATAACGTGTAGATGAAGTTTGAGACCGTGCTCTATTATATAGACTAACCAAGCTGCCATGAAATACGCAAATTTCTTCGTTGCGTTTTGGTTTCCTTTGCTTTGAAGCCTTTGAAATGATATTCATATTTGGTAATGCGAAACTACCTTTAAATGGATTCCTTGAAAGTAATGAAGGTATAACTACCTCTGCGTAACAATTTGTAATCTTCCTATCATCTGCTACATCGGTTATATGAAGATGTCTAGCAAGTGCCTTTCCTAACATCGTCATTTGATTAGTATCATTGGACTCCTCGACATAATCAGACTTGTTAGAATTTGGAGATGAATCTGGTGGTGTTAGAGGTAAATTTGATTGTTTAGATTGTGATTCTGTGAACTGTGACCATTTCAGCTCGCAATCATGAGCTTGTAAGCCATTGCCAAGCTTAACCTGAACTGAAGGTGATAATTGTCCAAGATCTAAGGCTAATGCGTGCGACTGTCCACCTTTCTTGTTTTCGCTATTCCAATTCTTGCCGATAAGACAGACTTGTGGTGGAGGTGCAATAAATCTACAAGCTGGTTAGTAAATTATGGATTATATATAATATCTAAATCTACCTTTTCTCATTACCGTATGATTTCTGTGCTGTTTGAGGAGTCGATATCGATATAATCTGTTCGCCGAAATCTACTCGATGGGGAGAATTGAGGAAGTTCTTTAAAGAAATTTTCAAACGCTTCTCCTGTTCATCTATAATTCTCAGCTCATCTTCTTGCTGTTTTTCCAGTTTATGTCCCGGAATAGAAGATGACGTTGATGGTGGCGGAATGACGGTAGCTGGTTTAATGAAAGTATCTGAGGGTGCCACTACACTGACGGAGTGTCTGTTTGCATTGCTTAGGTTCACGAATGGATGTCCAAAGTATCCAGATGTTGGCGTAACAGGCGTTGGTTGATCGACGGTGAATGTACTAAATGCCGAGCTTAATGAAGGTACACTAGAACGATGTCTACTATGTTTATACTGTGTTCTCTGTTCAGGATCTACCTCTGGCTGTTCAGTTTTTACTATATCGTCTTCTACGCGGCGTACTTGACCCCCCGTTGGGCTAATCGATAACGAATCGTAGTCATCCTGATATACGGCCACTGGTTGGGTAGACTCTTCGATATTATAATTACTAAAATCAAAGTCCATCGTAGTTTCTATCCAAGCTTTCTATCTCGATATCTGAGTTTTCGAGATTTCGGCGAGATCCATCTGAAACATTTAATCTAGACTATAGTAAATTTTAGCTTAATTAGGTTTTATTATTGTATATTCTATGTATATTTATTTATAAATTTTATAACATATAATGCATTAATAATTTAAGTATCATTTAGCTTCTATATTCTTATGTCCATATTGCTCAAAATCACTTCAAATGTAGCCAATTAATTAGCTGGGGTTGTGATTGTAAATCTTCCCCAATTTAATTAGTGAGATCTAATGACACGTCAGCTGGTCTGTCTTAGATATTCTACTGTACTCACGTCATAAGCTTCCATTAGGGGTTCAACTTCCTTTGTCATGGGTCTGGCTTTTTTGACTTCATGCTTGGCATTTTTAGTGTACGTTTTGAAATATTTTGCTTCTTGCACTTCAACCAACGTCCATGCTTTACCGACTAATCCTGCGCGAGCAGTACGTCCAACTCTATGAACGTATTTTGGCATATCAAGTGGTATATCATAGTTTATAACATTCTCTATTCCTTGTATGTCTATACCTCTCGCAATAACGTCCGTAGATATCAACCTGAAACATTTCTTGGTAAGAATTAAGCTACAATTATGACGCAATGAGGCTTACATATCAACTTCACCATCTCTAAACTTGGTCAACATCTTTTGTCTCTCTTGAGGTGAAAGATCACTACTAAATGATGCTACCGTTGGTCCATTTCCAACTTCTTCCTTGAATAATCTAAGTAGATGCATTAACCTTGTCGCACTTTCTACAGATTTTGTGAAACATAAAGCTCTTCTTACGCCCCTTTGATGTAATAAATGTAATAACATCAATGGTTTATACGCCGTTTCGGAGACGATCATTCGTTCCTAAAAAGGAAATTTTGTTAAATTAATTACGGATCTAAATATAACTTACCTCAAGCGTCGTTGGAATTGCGTAATCTTCTACTTTATTGTTACGAACGATCACAAATTTAGGTTCGTTGAGGTGTAAGGAACGGATTTTTGATGGGTCGGTCGTAAGTGTAGCTGAGAACAACATTTTTTGTACCTGTATTATATGAGATTTGTAAACAATACAAAGCTGATCCTTACCCCTCTCTGTGGTCTTTCGAAAGTTTCTATCAAATCATGTTTTTCATCTATCAACATGGAATTTGGATAACCTAATGCATCGTGTGTATCTCTCTTTGGCTGCGTTTGAATTGGGGTTGTTAAAGCAACTTGTATCCTGTCTATCCAAGATTGGAAAGATTGATTTAACAGCCTATCTGCCTCATCGATAACCTTTGCGTATATTAGCTCCATGAATATGTAAGTCAAGATACCTACCAAAAATCTGAGATGCTGTAATGTAAAGTTCGGTGTTGAGTTGATGTGATCAATCAGTCTTCCAGGGGTTGCAATGAGAATATCAACTTTTGAGCATCCACCAGCAAGACTTAAAACGAATGTTTAGTTCATATGCTATGAGCAGCAAGAATACTCACACTGAATCAGTTTGATCGACAAGTTTTGCCTGCTCTTGTTGGAATGATTGTTGACCAGTGATGGTTCCAACCTAAGTAAAAATCAATCGAAAGTCCTCATAGTAGGTTATACGTACCTTCAAATCCGTTCCTTTGGCGAATATCTCGAATGTCTCCTTGACTTGTGAGACGAGATCACGTGTAGGAAGGACAACGAGTGCTCGTAAACGCGTAACTAAGCGCCTGGAGATAATCTCTACGATTGGAAGAGTGTATCCTAGTGTCTTTCCGGAACCAGTTGGGGCTGATACACATATATCTCTTGGACTCTCTGATGGATAAAGTGGGTGTCGTATATTTTCCTTCAAATCACCGATAAGGAGTGGAATTGCAGCTAACTGGACTGCGAATAAGCTCTCAAAACCAACATCAGTTAATCTACTCTTCAACCTTTGTCCTATACCGAGTGTGTGAGACTGTGCTGATGGAAATGTCTGATTTGCATCTACAGGTATCTCGTTGGCGAAAACGTCAGGTAAACCAAGCTTTTTAAGTTCTTCCTGTGTGGCAGTATTGAGATTCTGGGGTTCTGGAAATGCAAGCAACGGTAATTGGGGTGCTTCTACAGGACCCGGAGGTTCAGTTGGTGAAGATGATTTCTTAAGAGCTTCTGGTTCTTTTGTTGTAGCTTTTGATTCCTTTGTAGTAACTTTTTCGTCGTCACTGTCGCTACTATCATCACTGTCACTTTCGCTACTACTACTACTACTACTACTACTACTGCTACTATTACTACTATCAGATGACTCTTTATCGCCATTTTTATCATCCGTTTTAGCTGTATCTAATCTCCTCTTCTTTTTAGGTGCAGACGCCTGATTAGCCTTCCTTCTTATCTTCTTATTCTTCAGGTAACGCTTTTTAGCTGCTGTTTTTTGCTATATACATTAGTCAGAGAAATACTTTCACAATGTAGTCGCACCTTTTTCAGCGTAGGCGCTGGTGCAGCAGAATTCATTATGGTGGTAGATGTAGAAGTCGGAGGCGAGGTGAATAGAAAAGAAGATGGATATGAAGAAGCATATTTCACTACCATGATAGATGATTCTATATATAACTGTACAATAAAGTGTTACAATTACTTGATATCAGGTGGTCACTTGATTGCATTCTGGCTATACAAGTATCTCTACTAAAAGAGATTTACCAGTGGACACTGTAAAAGACTCATTTATCGAAGTTTATCACGGATGTCGACTGATGGCCCTCGACGGAAGATCGGCATAGAAGTTGAAACAACCAGAGTATCGGACCGCAGCTAGAACATTAAGAATTAATAAAATAAAAGCTGAAACAGTCACGTTTAATGAACGCATCATTGAACAAGCCAAGAATAGCGTCCGTATGGTTAAATATATCTAAAGTGATCAGGAACTTCAAACTTTGAGGGTATAACAGCCCGTAACTGCGGCTAAGTGATCGCCGTCAGAGATTACAAAAAAATATTTCAACTATCGTAACGGATTTAACGATATTAATGATTGTCTCTCTCCTAAGACATTTGGTTTATTAATTTTCTAATCATGTACCTTAGTCCGTGCGCCGTGATATTTAAGCGCACTGATCTTGTTTTTGGACAGTCAACTTCTTACGAAAGCTTTTAACGAACAAACTATAAACTAACGAAAATGAAATTCTCCGCCATTGCTATGCTCGCCGCTGTCGCCTCTGCAGCACCAATCTTGAAGAGAGACGTACCAATCGTCAGCTTCGAGGACGCTGTTGCATCTAACAAGAACATCAACTTGGTTACTTCAGATGCCACCCTTCCAATCGGTTGGAATAATGACGTACTCACAACTGATCAAGAGCCTATCACTGTCAACTTTATCCCAGCCAGCTCAACATTCATGAAGTACACATCTGATGACAACACAAAATATGGTCACATCGTCGACACCGCCACTGACTTGCACTTAACTGTCAGCTCACCTGGAAAAGCCAGTGGCCAGACAATCTACTCATCTGAGGGCAGTTCTTCAGATGACTCCGGTCAAATGCTCCAATTCTGGGCATTAGATGTTAACAGCCAACAAGTTAGATTCCTTGGTGCCCCACAAGGCGCTGACTTTGGCGAGGGACCATTCTACCCAGAGTCTCAAAATGAAGGCAATGGATTAGAAGTTGTACTTACAACTGATCAGGTCGCAAACCTCGTTCTTGCTTAATTTGGATATCATGACGAAAATTTACACCTAATAGGACGATTTCTACAATTTACGAACAATTTTAACGAAATTATGCGGTATTACTATCAATAAATTAACTGGATGATTACTTTTTTACTTTTTTCACGATTTTTTGGATTTAAACGTGATTTAATTCCACTTTATAAGACAGACAAAATATGTATATAGGATTTACATTTTATTGCACTACATGCTTGTTTGAATATTCTAATAATCTTTCCTTTAATTTCCTTTTACGATCTACTCCTCTGACGTATTCGTGAATGTTCGAGTAACTATGCCAACAATACATCATAATGGTAACTTGAGCCATAACTACCACCTTAAATACGTTCGCCCAAGATTGCACAAAAACGTAAATATACAGAAATGGGTGCCGATTATTATAAAATACTTGGAGTAGATAAGAACGCCAGCGAAGATGATATTAAGAAGGCTTATAAGAAAGCCGCTCTTAAATACCACCCAGATAGGTGAGTTGGATTTGTTCTTATATTATCCCATACTGATACACCACTTCATAGAAACAAAGGATCAGAAGATGCTGCAGAAAAGTTCAAGCAAGCTTCAGAAGCTGCAGAAGTCCTCTGTGATGGCAACAAGAGAACGATTTATGACCAATGTGAGTATATACACTTGTTAAAACGTATCAGCTAACGTCATTTTTCTAGATGGTGAAGAAGGTCTCAAAGGCGGTGGTGGTGGCGGACCATCACCAGGTGCATCATTCAGCGGCTTCGGAGATGCTGGAGGTGCATTCCCAGGTGGTTCATTCTCCTTCTCGAGCGGTGGTAGACCTGGATTCGGCGGTGGTGGATTCCAAGCAAGCGACCCAATGGATATCTTCGAAATGCTGTTCGGACAGAAAGGAGGTATGGGCGGTGGATTCAGTTCGCCTATGGATGATGACTTTGGTGGATTCTCTTCATTTGGTGGCATGCCCGGTGGTATGCCTGGTATGGGTGGTATGGGCGGTGGTACACGCTCCACACGCTCAAAAGCTCCACCAAAAGATGAAGGACCATCCGAATGGACGAAAAACGTCGCTATTTCTCTCGAAGATCTCTACTCAGGTGTACAGAAGAAAATGAAAATTCATCGTAAATACCTCAGCGGTAGAACAGAAGAGAAGGTCCTCGAATTCACCGTAAAACCAGGCTGGAAAGCGGGTACGAAATTGCGCTTCAATCAATCAGGTAACGAAGTCAGCCAAGGTAAATTCCAAGATATCGTCTTTATAATTGAAGAGAAACCACATGCATCATTTAAACGTGACGGTGATAATTTGGAAGTACATCATAAGATAAGCTTAAAAGAAGCACTATGCGGTATTCCATCACCTTCAATCAAAGTAAGACATTTGGATGGTCGCTTGATAGATGTTACACCACCTTCAGGGGTAATACAACCAGGCTCTAAGCTTACGAAGTATGGAGAAGGTATGCCAATCAGTAAAAAGGATTCAGTCAAAAAGAAGGGTGATCTGAAGATCATATGGGATGTTGAACTTCCACAATCCCTCAACCAGCAACAAAAAGACACTTTAAAGAGCGTACTTGCATGATTATGAAATTTGTAATTTAACTAAATAATACATCTACTTAATTATAAACGATTACATGACTTTATTGGTTTATATCCGTGTTGTTGCAATAATGGTTTTTCACGAAATTCAACAGCTTGTTGTGTGCTGAAGAATCTAATTTGCTGACTATATAGGTATGGTTTCCTGCTAGATTTGTTAGCAACCGAGATCGATGTGTAGGTGAGTAAGTAATCATTTCTGTAAGTTGTCAAGTTGTAATGCTTATTCTTAAGGCTCTGGTCTGACGGGATACAATTATGTAAAGAACTAATAAAAAGTATAAATTTTTGTAGATGCTAAGTGCTCCTCTCTAAGAGAAGAGTACATTTTGCAAGCTTTAAGATGACCAAAAACTTTAAGTGTCATCTTCTTATTTATTGAGTTTAGGAAGATAACTTTTTGCATCTGTTTGTGATGGAAAAATTTAAGTGGACTTTTAATACCTAAATTAGCACTTATTGGCTTTCAGTTGCTTATTTCTCATAGATTTATCAGTTGATGATGATGATGAAATCTAAATATATTGTTAAGACGATACAAAGTTAAACTGCGTCCATCAATACTTCTTAAAGCATGAGGATTTGAATGGTATGTTGAATTGGTGGGAAGCGTTTCTTGACTCGTGTCGTAAAATGTCTTGATGATTTGCGTGTCCGGGAAATTTCTCGGTTACGCCGAACCACCGGAGTATCTTGGGTACATAGTCAATTGCGGTTTGAAAAACTCGTAAAGGGCTTGAAGAGCTTGCGCGTTCCTGAGCATTGGACCTAGTTCGAACCGAATGTTGATCTTGGTTATCTTTCTTCGCAAGGTGATTCTTGCCATTATGTGTCTTCTACATATAAATATTCTATGCGAGATGCTATCATCTACGCCGCACGTCCTGCATTTAGGTGAGTCGATTAGTTTGAATCGGTATCGGTATGACTTAGTCGTAGGGAAGTGACCTGTACGTAGCTGGGTTGCTAGGCACCGTGTCGCTCTGGGTAGCTCATTGAGGAGCTTAGCAGTTTTTGCAGCTGTCAGCTTTCCGGCTGATGTTTTTGAGGTATTGGACTTGATGACTGACAGTTTCGAAGCTTCGATTTTCAGTGGAGCTGTATAGCGTTCGCGCATTCTGCGTCGCATTGCTGAGTATGAAGTACTAAGTGTGAAGTCAATGTTGGTGTAATGATTACATTTTGTCCTTCCTCGTTGGCTGTTCTGTCAG